GGTGTGGGCCCCCAAAATGAGCATTTTTCGGGCCCTGCGGAATAGCAGAAGGTCGAGAATGTTTCCATGGCCTCGTCCATTTGATCAACATTGTCCGTCAAATAGTTATTATAATATTGCTCTGCGTTCAGAACACCATCGAGTATCATTCTCCCAACGCGGTCAGGAAACAGGGAAGCGAAAGTGCTGCCGATGACAGTGCCGTAACTGATGCTATAGCACCACAATTTGGCGTTTGATGGTGACTGACCGGCCAACTCAGCCTCAGCTTCGGTAAATGTGAGCAAATCATGGGCAACTGCTGGCGTAGTTACATAATATGAATAGGGTGACTTGTTCTCGACAGCATTGTTGCACCACTCGCCGTAGATGGAGCTTGAATAGTACTGTTCCTCAAGCGATGTTGATGAGATATTGGTGGCGCCTGTTCTGTGCAGTCGATAGAAAGCCGATCTTGCTTTTGCGTCCTCCGAGAAGCAGTCGAGATGCAAGCCACTGTTGTTCACACCGCGAGGGTCAAAGGAGATGAAGTTGTACTGCTCTCCAAACATCTGCCCGATGAGATTCTGGTATGTGAGAAGTAGGTCGACACCAGAACCACCCGGACCGCCTAACGAAGTGTCAGTCCAGTCAAATGAAGTTCAGACAACGTTGCATGATTGAAAGAATTGAGATCTTACCGGGGTTGAGTACAAGGCTTGGAGACTCGACGGTTGCATTTTTGCCAGCCAGCTTGATGAAGGCAATCGACGTCGTGCCAAGACTTCTGTTTGAATAATCCAAAGGAACTTGCAGTCTAGAGCAATTAAAGGCATCGAAACATGGAGTCCATGTGAGGTTGGCTGATGGCTCAATCTAGATGGCTCGTCAGAAAGCTTGAAACCCTTGGGCAATGTGGGACCGTAGGGTCCCGGACTCACATTGTCAAATCCATAGGCCATGCCCCGATCATGCAAACTGTGGGCTTTCAATCCCAAGCTCATGAAAAGGATAAGCGCATTCACGAGTCGGTTCATTGTAATCCCTGGAGGCTCTCATTGATCTTTCCGTTCAGTTGCTTGCAAGAGCCAACACAATTGCGATATCTGGGAACTATTTATTCCAGTTGAATTTCCTTAGATAGTAGTATCAAGTCTGGCGGTTTCAATAGGCAGCTGCATTCTTCCCATCAACTCACAATACCTCTTCTTGCGCACAATCGCTTTCCGTTCCACTTGTACGAACCAGCCAATCAATACTTTTTTGGTCACCACAAGTATAACCAAGTACGGCGGGTGCGGGGAGCAGGATCCTACCCCTGTAAGTGTAGTGGTGGGTCCAGGGCTTTACTCCACGTTTCAATTGAGATATATGCTCTTGTCTGTATGGATACTTGCATTCTTAGTCCACCAACCCACAACGATGACTACTTATGTAGTCCCCTCCTTATCCTAAATAGTTCAAGAGGAACAGGCTCGCCTTCCTTGGTGCCCCAGTTGTACGAGCTAACCAATCAGTACTTATCACGATATGCATTAACTAGCCTCTAGCAAGCAAGTAAGATTCATGCCGATCAAATTTCTTTCTAGGTCCCGCATGTACGAACTAGCCAATCAATAATTCTCGTGAAACGCACTAGACTCTATTTAGTATGATTTAATGCCTTATCCAATCCTTCATCATCACTTTGAACACTCCTTTTAAAGCGCCCCCGCTTTTATGAACCGGCCTATCAAGCCTAGTCTTACCACAAGCTTCGTTTTTTGTACTCCGTACCGTCCACCTTTTCCCACTCCACTGTCCACCTCAAAGGATGTGGCGATGACAACCTCACTGGCATGCGAGCCGACGAACAGATCGTCATCTTGAACTTTCATCGGCACCCCGTAAGCTCCCTTTCGAAGCCAATGTGTGCGGGTGGTGGCTTACGGGTCGTGGTGGCCTCGAAATTGTCCTCTACCTGAAACGGTGCGGACTGCAAATCTTAGACAGCTCACATCACCGTGATGGATGGGATGAAAAACAAGAACACCAAGACGGGCAATCAAGCCTGGAGAAGAAAGCCTCGCAAGTTCGCTCCAAAGTCAAGACTAGGCTGTAAGACCTGCAAGTATGTCTGACTTTCCGTATTGCTACAGAGCGATCAATTGGGTTCAAAGACTTCGAAATTGACATCCCTCAGGATAAGACGAGTTAAATGCGATCTATCTCGGCCCTCATGCTTGAAATGCCGTTCTACTGGCCGCACCTGCGATGGCTATAGTGAAATGCACCTCGCATTCAAGACCGAGAAGACTGAGATTGAATCAACACATTATCACAAGGAGATCGCCGACAGAGCAGATAGCTGCGACAGTTACCACCCCTGTACCACGATCAGTGCGTACGAGTCAAAGCAATGGCACTCGAAATACCATGGCCTCACTTTGCAAAATCTCGGATCCTTTATGATCTTACCCGTGACTAGGTCAACCCAGGCAGAGGCAATGTGCTTTTTCAAGGATATTTCGATCAAGCACCTGAATGAATACCGCCCTTGCGAACCATGGCGGAACACTCTCATGTTCTTCTCCCAAACAGTGCCAGCAGTACGGCATGCTGCCATTGCTCTAGCTTTAATTCACCGAAACTACCTGGATCGTCATTCTAACGGTCGGGTGTATCAACCGCCTTCCTTGAAAGACCGGCTACTGGATAAGGCTCCTTTGCTTCACTATAACCGCGCCATTCAACTTCTGCTGAACCCGGAAAGTGGTGACAGCGCCGAAATAACAGCTGTCACGCTTTTGGTCTGTTATCTCTTTACGTGCTTTGACCATCTGGCGGGTGACGACGTACAAGCAGTGAAACACCTGCGCGGAGGTGTGGCGCTCTCACGCAACATCGACAACGCTACATTGAACAACTGTACCTACGACTATGCCCAATCCTCGGGGGTTCACGCGATTATCTGCCTGGTCGCAAAACAGATTCGCCGTCTTGACATGCAGGCCGTCATGTTTCTGGTCGACTGGACTCCAGCCAACATCCAAGAGACATTCATGTCCCATCTTGCACTCTTCGACAGTACGTTTTGGTCACTCGACCAAGCTGCCGACCACCTCCAGATTCTCATCGCTCAGGTAATGAGGCTGCGCAACACAGAGCAACAAATGTCCCCGACAGGTACGATGCCGCAGTTACCTTCTTCACTCAAGGACATCGTTCTCGGGCAGTTGGAAACGTGGTCGAGTCTCTTCGAAAACCTCCTGCAACAAGGCAGTTCCTCTGAGTCAGACTTTGAAACGGACCCACTCGTATCACTCCTGCGCTTACAACATACTATCGCATGGACTCTCCTCAGTGGTTACGGACCAGGCAGAGAAATGGACTATGACAATTTCCTGCCCCAGTTCCAGCAATGTGTCGTATTGGCGCGCGAGGTAGCGGCGGCGCATCAGCAGTATTCGGGGTCGTCAAGGTCGACTTTTACGCCAGAGATCGGATTTATCCCCGTTCTTTACATAATTGGGGCCAAGTGCCGGCATCCTAGTGTCCGTCGTGAGGTCTTGAGTATTTTGCGACGGCAACTAATACGGGAGGCGACTTGGGATAGCTTCTCTACCGCTAGGGTGGTTGAGCGGGTTATCGAAATTGAAGAGGGTTCGGCTGGGGAAGAGCAAATGGTACAGTACATGGAACAAATTCCTGTATGGCAGAGGATCGAGGCATTGTCTTATACACATATCCCAAGGGGACAGTCTGCGGCCAGGTTGGATATTACGTATACATTCTGCACCCAGGAGGGAATACACATTGAGTCACTCATGGTAGAACGGACAGGGAGTCTTATCATGTCAAATAATCGATAACAGACAGCAGGCCGGGATAAAGAACCAAACAGAAACTGATTCCCGTCTATACCTGTGAACGTAGCTAGTTCCATACCCCAGACAGGCTTCTCGCTGCAAAATATATGTCCACCACCGCACATGTAACATCCAGGTTGGACGAGTTAACCCGGGATGCACGTAGACGATGCCATCGCCAAAGAATCCGCGCCCCAGAAGGATAGACAACAGAAGATAGTAGATGGAGATAGAGCACAAGCTAAAGGCCCCAGTATCCCCATACTAAACTCGCATGCAAAGACTGGACATTATTATCAGCAAGAGGGAAGTCAGAGGAGGAGAGATTCAGGAGGTGAGTAAAGAAGCTACAAGTCTACCTTGAAACCCGCCACTGATTGCGGGCAAGTGCTCCGTCAGTGCCACTGCTGTCGCCATGACAGGCTAGAACATATCAATCTCCAGGGTGCGAAGGATCACAGTTTGAATTACTCTTAAGCACGCATTCGGAGATCCCCCTAATCATCGGATTGATGACGGAACGTCTGGAACCCTGACGTACAATGTAGTTCTTGAATATTAATGGTAAAAAGGCAGTGGACGGGGGTAACTTGACGAGGAGATACGCTTTTGAATAGCTTCCAGTACACAGTGCGAAGCAATCGAACCGCTACACTTGTCTTCACATTCAAATAGCAAGCAGCTTGCGTTAACAAGCATCGTATTTTTTGAGGAAGACGGGCTGATTTTTATAGTGTCCCTGTCATATCTGTAAGGATGCGGACTATTACACTGCTGGTATATTTCAACTGGTACCTGATTGGTTAATAGCCACACTCAACGACTAGAGAATATGCCTTGTTGGCCTTTCAATACCTTCGATTAACACTACTCAAGTTCCCATCGTTGGAGTCGCCGAAGTATTGCAGGTAACTTATTTATTACATGGACATAGCGCCATTTGGCCGCACACGATGGACGGCCTGACAAACCTAATTACACAATATACTTAAAGCACTGCAGCACACTTTTGGCATTTTTCGTCTTTCTTCACCAATACTTGAACTAGAGAGAATTGGTTATACATTCCAGGAAGAGAAAGATCCTCAAACATGTCCCCGGCCCACAAACACCTGGCGAATGCACCTACGAATCTCCGCACATTTTCTCCATTTGAATTATGGCTCAGTTTCTTGATCTAGCAGTTCAGGTACACGGCTACCATAGTCAGCATCCTATCACACATTACATATGTACGAAGCAAGACAGCTCACCATTCGCAAACAACGCATAAGTGTCCGCATTGAGCAAGGCCTGACTGGCATTCAACGCAGTAGCGGCCTCGTATCCATAAGCGTAGTCTTCTGTGCCAGGGCTATAGACTCCCGGAGCATGGGTAAACTCGTGTAGTGAGGTGGTGGCCTGGTCCTGAGCATGGCAGCTTCCCGTCAACGCCGACAGCGCGGTATAGTAGATATCGCAGTTGGCAATAATATTGTAGGAGGGAATGGTATATGCCAGTACGTTCGGGCTACAGTATCCGAATAGATCGGCGCAGTAGTACGAGGTACGGCCGGATGAAGTTGAGTTTGCCTCGTTGGCGACAGCACTTAACCGTGCTGCTACAGTACTGCGCGCCTCGCTAGAGTTTGTCTTAAAGTATTCCAGGAATCGCGAGGCAGAACCTGAGGTGGCAGCCTCAGCGGCAGCATTGGCAAGGGAGACAGTATTACTCAATGCTGTCATCATGGTGGGTAGACGAGATCCTAAACAGTCTGTGAGCATAGTACGACGGTTCAGAAGCCTGACAGCCTTGGTTACTAAAGCAGCCGCTGCAGCGTCGACATCGATAGTAAGCTTGTTGGAGGTGAAAGGGATATGCCCGTTAAAGCTGCTGTTCTTGACGGTAGATACGATACCGGAGGAGCTTATTGTAACGCTGCCCCCTTTGGTGAGATCGCAGGTTGACGCAGTGTCAAATTCATCTTCGAAGGTGGCGCCGGGGGCAAGGGTGGTCAACGCGTCTTCTGATAGGTTATGGGTCTTAACGCGCCGTCGGATGCCCTGGAATTCAATCTCGGTGTCTCTGTGAATTAGTTCATGCAAGGGAGTGTGCAGGTTGGAATGTGTGGAGGCATACCATTGCGGAATACAGCCACCTTCTTGACGGGAGCTGCATCACCGAAGAAATTAAGGTGAGAAAAGGTGACCTCCTCCTTGCCAACGTTCTTAACCACCGCCTTGATGCGCGTGTTGTTCACTTGGCTGAGAGTCACGTCCAATCCGGAGTCGCTGGCCATAACGAGGGAGGCGGCCATGAAGCCGGACATCAAGGTCTGTAGAACAAAGCAGAAACGCATAGTGAATGGCGGTAGATTGAGAGGAGCTATTGAGGACTAGGATGGCAAAGGGATAGTGGCGTAGGACGCAAGATTTATAAAGGGTTCTGATGTAGCTTATATAGCCAGGCCTGTTCGTATCCCATCTTGGTTAGGCTGAGGGGACCGCAACTCTTGGAATGAAGCCTCTCGCTTGGCCCAGTCCTGAATATCGTTGGTAGCACCAGAATGGAAACTACCACGTGGGTTTGCACAGACATTCTCTCTCCTGGTGATTGCATCTTCTGGCATTGGTTAGTAACATTCAGACTCTCAGTAACAATTAGCCGGGCATTGTAGAACCGCATCTGAGGAAGCAGCGATAAGAGCATCTCGAGGCTTAAACCAGCGTTATTGGCTGCTGGAAAGAGTCACGGCTCAGACGGGTGAACTACGAATTTACTGCCACGATCAACACGAACTTAGAACGGGAGTGGGTGCATTGTGGCATGCTAAATTGTGCGATGGTCGCTTATCTAGCCGCAGTGCCTCCAGCGAGGTAAACATATAGGAAATTAAGGGCGCGCAAACACCACTCAGCAAACTGCGGTCAAGAAGCCTGTTTAGCAGCGGTTTAGTGGTAATATTCAATACTTACATTTGATCCTAACTAATGAGGTATGCCCTGAGTAGTGGCAAGTATAAATGCATCATCGCGAGGGAACCTTTACCATCTGATATTTTGAATTAAACCCAATAAGAACTTTACAGCCTACTACCACTACTATGTGGTTGCTCTTTGCCAAACAGCTGTCTCGTACTCCACCTCTCTGGTATCATGACTAAAGCTCCTCAGCAGATTGAAAACGAGAGACCCGTCGGCAACTAAGGAATGTGGGTCGCATCTACTTTGAGGTAGGGTCCGGCCCTTTTTCAGGGGTCTGCTACGCATATAAAATGTCAGTTCAATGTCAAACCTATGATACTGATATATCTAGTCAAATAGATATTGGGCCTTTAAAGAGGACAATATTTCTCCTTATTGCCCTAGGATCCTTGTATGCGTGTGGCCGTGGCCTGATCAACCTTCTGCTTACTGAGGAACCTCAAAAAGTCCCAGCCATGCCTGCATTCTTCCCTTCACTTTCGCTAACTTGCTCGTGACAGGCTCCTACATACCTTAACCACATTCTACCGGTACCGTTTATCCTTCAAGGCATGTACATATACCCTTTAACTCTGGTACGACTAGAGTGGATTAACCTCCCCGCATTAACCTCACCTCCCCTCCCGTTTGCCACTCTAGGTACGACAATGGTCTTATTAACCTGCCACCTCACTAATTTCAGTTCCAGTATGACGTTTAGAGTTCCGTAAAATAGTCAGGGTACGAACTACATATGTAGTATTATTGTTCTAGAAATAGATACACCCACCCGCCACGGAGCTTCAGCTGTTGGTCAATAACATCACGTATTTGCTCCTCCAACTCTTTGAAACGAATTACTTAATTTTTCTCCGCCTTTATCGTGTCGACCAGCGATGCCACCCCTTGATGCGGTAACAGTCTAAAACCTGCATAAGGATAGACGGATTTAACGAAGCCGTGAACATCTCACCATGGTCTCACTTTGATGCCAGCAGAAAGGAAGAAAGGCCTGTGATTAGAGTGGCAAACGGGGAGGTAAGGTTAATTGTAACGGTTAAAAGATACACTACGAGGTTAAAGTACATTATACTTAACATTATATACATAAATATTCTACAACAAGATGTAGCGTAATTAGGGTTTATAGTATAAAAATACAACACTGTATTCACTAATACAGTTAGCTTACTTTATAACATACACTCAAATTGCTCTAAAATAGTATTTTATGTTTGTCCTGTATTAGCTATGTAATTTTCAATTTAAAATTCCTTATATAATAAAAATATATATTTTAGATTTAATTTCATTTATAAAGCATTAACTAATATAGAATTCTAAATTGAAATACCATTTTTAAGAGGTCTGGTTTTTAACCTCCGCTACCCCAGTTCGCCAGTCGAATTTCAGCCAATCTGCTACTATGAAAACTCACCAGGGAGACAGACACTTGAGTTTAAGTATTGATACATCTATCAATCAAAATTACCGCTATTTCAGAATCAGGAAAGATGTATTCAATAATGAAAATGGATCAACTCTTCACCTGACTTTATACTGATTTGCTGTCAGATATTCGGTCAGCTCCGAATAAGAGATAGGATACAACTCATAAAATGTCTTAAAATGATCAAGTCTAGAGCCTTTTGGGCTCTTCTTGAAGATATTGATTATTCTGATGATATCTATGATTCTTGACTTGCTTATGTTGATCGTGCATTCGGGCCTCTTTTTTTGGCCCATCTTCAATCACATGATCATGGTCATGTATAGCCATTTTATCTGACAATTGTGTTCACAACTTCCACTGAACTTTAGAGGGATGCAGTCTCATCACAGGAACAGAACAGGCTGGGAGATCAACCTCATCTAGCTGTATTTCGGATCGTTGCTTCTTCTGCTGGAGCTCGACGGTGCCCAACACTTTGGCCCCCATGCGAAGATAAATTGGCGCACTTACTTCTGTCGCCTCAAAGAAAATATCGACCCCCTCTTCCTCAGCAGCGGCAATCTCCCATAACATCAATTGTTTGGCGACCCCTAAATGTTGGTACTCTGGCAACACCGCCAGCATGAGAGACTCTACCCAATCGGACTGTGAGCCGAGAACGAGTGAAGCCCTCCCGTAGAAGTCCTGTATATTACCAGTGGAGACGGCCCGATTGGGGGTTGCTCCGGTCTCGATCTCATAAAGCTGGCGCTCTAGGCCTGCAAGTCATTAGCATTAGACATACAAGAGTCCTCATCCTCTTTTACATTTGGCATCGTCGTCTGGATTCCACTTATCCACATCCTTTGGACGGCCATGCCGAACGCAGGAGATAAATCCAGCCAGCTTTGACCCCAGGTAATGTTTGTCATCATGGAACCCCAGGTCCTTCTGCTCCAACAGGGCAACCATAATAACATTGCCCGGGGTCACAAAGGCGAGCTTCAACGCCTGCAGGAGTGAGTTATAGTAGTCTTGGGGATAATGACGGCGAAAGGGGTGAAAGTGAGCAAAAACTGGATCGTTCACGAAGGCTCGCGCCTGGATAAGAGCCAACGCCGCGAGATCAGACTGTCTGGCTTGACGGAGTCGCATTTTGCTCGAAGGGTGAAGAAAACCCAGATAAGGAGAGGGTTTGCGTTTGGGGGTATTGCCGCCAAGGAATAAACGCCTTCGAGCCCCGCATCCCAATAGGTCTGGCTAGACTCTCCAGAAACGTAGGACCAATGGCAGCAACGAAGATATCTACATCAACGTGTCCTTTATAATCTTTATTGAATATACCCAGAGACGCCCAAGGTCCACCAAAATATAGCTATAACTAATTAAATGAACCAAAAAAAATTCAAAGATAGTTAAAAGAAAGGATGAGAGGGGTTTTAGCGGTTTAGGAGACCATGTAGAAGTGCGCTGGATTATAACAGGCAAAAGACCTCTGAAGGTCTACCCACAATTGCATGTATGGATGACCATGTCGGGTCACAAAGTATCTCCAGAATTTGACTCAACAATCGGTGTAGGGCTTATTTTTAATCCCTTCGGTGGACGGGCGCATCAATAAGAGATATGCAATGAGTCCCTACGGGGCCTCATATCATCGGACTATAGAGAAAGATTTCTATTCCTGAAGTTTCTTCTCATCATGTTCTATGGGCGAAGGTAGAATAACTGCAAATAATTGTCACACAACCTCATATAGATAAGTCCAGCCGGCTTGCGACAAAACTATAAGCGCGAACAGCTTTTCATGTATAGTGTAGTGTGAGCTTCGTGCAAAGAAATATCAAGATGGTTGCTATATTAACAGAGCAGCAACAACAGTACCGGTAACTCACGTATACCTGGATCACTCCAGCAGCATCATGGACTTAGATCCGATATTGATCAGACCGGAGTCTCCAGAGTCCCTTTGTAATTGTAGTGCTCAACGACACTAGGTCAGATGCACTTGATTTCAAGGGCATCAAACACTCAGCCACGCTTGGCCTTCACTGGGATACTAGCGGAGACATGCTCGAGCTTGATGGTAAAATTGCTAATATCCCGAGGTCCCTTGGGAAACTGGATATAGTATGGGGTGCAGCAAGGTTTCATTGAGATAGTGATGCGGCGCAACAAGTTAGAAAAAGTATGTCTTCGTATTGATTGTAAAGTCACAGGCATTCGTGCTCAACATCGGCGTAGGGTATCATTTATGTCCCTACGTTCCTATGCCTTCCTTTGCCTCAAAGTAAACTGCTACGTGGAAATCGAAACTACCCCGGTCAGACTGTTCACGCCGCCCTAGTTTCAAGATCCTGGTGAGCAAGCCCCACCATGGCTTCTGCACGATATCCTTGATGCTCAGGCGAAAGATGAAGGAGATCCACATAACACCTCGTATTTCCTCCATTATATTGGATGCCTGATTGATGTATGATCAGACTATGACTTGACTTGAGGGCCAATGAAGTTTCCCCCTAACGTGCCATCTACTTGACTTTAGGGATAGCTGCGGTCCCCGGTAGTCGGTCCTGCTGGCAAGCCTGTGGATACCAGTGCTTTATAAAGGGGGCGCTACTACCGCGGAAGATTTCGCTAAGCTCAGGGCTAAATGAATCCGCAGGAGTGTAGGTTCGTATAGAGCCTATCAAGACAACAAACCCCCGTATGAAACCCAGTGATTTCGAGAGATCCTCTCTGCTGTCAAATCATGTTTACTGTGGAGACTCCAACACCCATATCCCTAAAAATCAGAAAAAGAAAGGGAAAACAATTGCAACAACACTATGGGCTGTGTCATCCCGCAACCTCCAGGTGGAGCTGGAGGAAAGTGATTTTGCCGAATGCAGAAAATCAGGACGGGAGCCATGACGTAGACCGAACTACTACGAACACTAACTACTCTTGATACATTTGGGATTAACTAATAGAAGATCCCTGCTTTACTCAGGATTGTTGTATTTTATATTATTCTCATCTCTAAGAAGCATCTCTCTGTATAATCCCAACTACAATCCGGTTTTCACCATATTTTATTCTGGCTACAGCATTGCTAACAACTTCCTTTGCATGGCTCTTGGCTCAAGTGGTAAACAAGACTCTAGACACGATCAATTGATTTGGCTTATAAATACTAGGGCTACCTGTACAGTGAACCCAATGTGAATGGCTACAAGCAAGTGGCACAGATTGATGGTAGATACCGAAGGCTGAATATACATCTGTAGGCTTGGATACCCACAGTAGCACGGCCTATAGTACTAACAATCCTAGCTAGGGCTAAAAATGTAGGGTCCATATATATTGAAGAGGGCGCCTCTTGCGAACTTTTTGAGTATACGTTAACCTTAACCTATAAACTGGATAAGGCTGCTTACTCACTTTAGGGATACAGAGACTTCAAGAACTAATCATCCTGCTCGTTTTGCCTAGGCTTCTAGTGTCCAGTGCATGGAGCCTACTGCTTTGAACAAACTGCCTCGCAGATGAAATACACCATACCTTACTTTCAACATAATTTCACAGTTCTGCCCTTTCAAATATATCGCAGGGTGTGCTCCACTATATATAGAGAGCAGGTCCTCTTCATCACCCCAACCCGGCTGTCTGCCGGTGGATCTCACACTGTCAGTATGAAAGTCTCCAAATATCCCAGCTAGATCCCCAGCATGGAGATCCACTTTGTAGTCTTCTTTACCACAGTTATTCTGGATCATCTCGCGATTAAAGACCTTTTTGATCCACTTTACAGTCCAAGTGGTGCCAGCGAAAAGGGTGCTACTATGGCCAAGTCTCTTCCATTTAATAAAGAATATATCTGTTCCTGCGTCGCAGAATTTTTTCTTTAATATATTAGTATTATTATAGGGGGCTATAATAAAGTCCAAACTGCCCTGATAGATATACAGCAGAAACTTGGGTAATTTATCCTTCTCAATATAGTTTTCTATAACACTAATCTCCCTGAGTTCAGGCTTGAAATCAATCAAGAATTTATTGCTGTTCTGGAACCACTTGTTGATATTTGCCCAAGTGTGAATTAGCGGGGGCTGGATCTCAGGTTCACTGCAGTGCAAAAGGCTGCCAAGGAATTTCTCTCAGTATTGGACCTTTTAAGTTATTATATATAGTCTGGTTAATCTTAGGGATTACATTCATCACGCCAAGTATAGCCCAGATATTCAAGGTCAATATAACTCAGTTGATATTTCTATATATATTTATAATATTTAGCAGAGGCTCCCTGATCGCAGCTCCAATAATGCTAATATTTGACATATACTCTTAATAAAACTCAGCAGCCCATTCCAACGCGTACCCACTGCCAGAGTAGTTAAATAAGATGGCTTCCGCGGCCTTATCAATGCCTATAATATATTATGATTTTGTTACAGCGCGGATCAAGTCTAGTATCTGATATATACTCTGGGAGCCCACAGTGAACGCGATATTCGACCCTTTGTAGTCCAGGATAACCAGAACAGCAGATCCGGCATCGAAAGCAGTCTCAGCCACAAAGATTATTTAGTTAAGATTCTATACAGTCACGGCCTTGTTCGTAGCTTTCCGTAGCCCATAGAAGAGGGAGCAGTTAATATCAGGCAAGTCATAGATAATTTAATAGAAGAGGATCCGGCTAGTGTTAGTCTCTCAAGGAAAGATACTTATTATAACAGATATAGCCTTCTTTTTGTCAAGGCCCTGGCTTATATAGAGTAGTTGGAAGGCCTTAAAATCAATATTTCCACCCGGTAGGATAGGCAGCTCGATCGTTACAGTGGGGTTATCTAGCACTGTTCCTAGCTCCTCTTCAGTCCAGTTATGGGTTTTTGGTATGCAGAAATCATCCTGCAATGGGAGCTCGGGGATATCGGATGCAAGGGCAAGAGACCCAAGCACCAGGGCTGCGAAACACAATACCAAGCTTCTTATAATTTCGGGTTTCCTGCATGTTGTAGTAGCTCTTTCCCTCATGGACCAGCTGTTGGAGCACCTCTATTTAAAACTCGAGGGAGGAAAGATACTCCATACCCCAAGGACTGGAATCCAGCCGAAACCAGAGGTGAGAGGTCACACTTCTCCAACACAGCGAGTCTAGGTTGAGCTCCCATACTGAGTCTACCATGGAACCACTGCACAGGATATGACGTCTCGTCTTCAATGATATGTACTTGAGAGCCAAGTTGCGGGCCGACTAGGCAGTTACAATAGCTCCAAATGCGGTAGGAGGCCCGAATAACTAATGATACATAAAGCAGCGTAACATCAGTTATTTAGATAACATAAGTCCAGTTGTCTGATACCACATTAGAGTGAGTTCCTCCCAGGGCTACCGGTATTCCAAGATCACCCGGAATTACTATGATGACGTATATCCGCATTCGGGTTTTGATCCTGTTATACTATCGAATGTAACACAGCAAAAGGCTTCTCTTGCAGGTAGAATTATTACTCCAATATAGAGAGAGGAAGAGGCTATAGTATCATTTATTACTATCTTATGAGTAAAAGGAAGGTAATATTGCTTTGATTCTCTTCTCTTTTCTTTTGGTGAAGCTTGCTGAGGTAGGTTATTTTCGACTTTGCGTTTGCCTAGGGTTTAGCGGTGTAATGGTTGGTCGACTATTACCATTACGATGAATGTTACATAACGATTCCAATCATAAAGGCTTCTTCCAGATGTAACCTGCATACCTAACTGGAGTGGAACTAGCTGAAGAGCAGAGTATCCCGGACCAGGTTTGCAAAGAAATGCACTGTAGATTGGACTTGACGAGGTCAATGAATTATGGTCGTCCGCTAGAAGTACTGCGAAAGGCATACGACCAGGCAATGTAGTCAGCAAATCTGAGCGGCGCCAAACGAACCTCAAATGGGCCGTTGAGGCAGTTCAACGTCAGGCCACGTAATACCAACTCCCGCTAATGACAAATGTCCTACGGAATCGACCTGTTAGTTCAATTGGTCCGCTCTTTACCCTGCAGTACCTTGAAAAAGCACTAGGTTATACTACGTTGCTCTCCGGGTGAGTGATGTAATTTCCTTTGCTTCGGATCGTTATTAAGAGATTGCTAAGAGAAGACCCTATCTACTTCGATCCAGGATGGTGTTGAGATGATATAGTGGGTACGCATCGAGTTCAACTAGAAGCTCAAGTACCCATATTGAAAAGGGATGCTCCACCTTTTGAGCTTGTATCTGTATAGTTTAGACCCCGTATCTAAACTCTCGCACCTTTTTCTGGTAGTAGTATGACGCTAATAAACCTGTTGCGCCGAGGGCCAAAGGTATAGGTGCTTTCGCTTGCGTTTTGATAGTCCGAGCTATCCCAGCGCCTAGCAGGACTGTACTGTTTGCCAGAGCCAGTTCGGTGCCGTAATCCTTATTTTGCTTTATCAGATAACCTAAGGATGCCGGTAAGCATATGATGAAATACCCAAGTGCATCCTTTCCGCTTACCTGAGCACGCATAGGAAATTCCTAGCCCAACGCCTGCGATCAAAGAAGGTGCTGAGCGCGTGCGTAAATATCCCACAACTCCCCCTATAGGCACTAGGGAATGGTTACCAACATTCAGCAACCCAGTAGACTCATTCCGAATGACCAATTGGGAACTTACAGAGTGCGGCAAGCGTAAATGAGGGATGTTCAGCCATAGTTCATCAAAGCACGGTATGTGCGCAAAATATTGGGTTCTTTGGCGACTGGTGTTTTGGTGGGCATAAGGGGCCTCATTTAAGTCGGTTTCATGACCCACAATCGGCTCGCTCGGACAGAATGAACCCCGAACGCCAAGCATTCTAGTTCTACTTTTATCGCTTTCCGGTGACAAGTTCCGATCAATTTTAGCAGTAATGTTGAATCCTTTCCCTACATACCGACCCACCACTTGTTTGTGAAATATCAACACCACTCCACAGGAATGTGTAATCTCTTGTAGTACTGAATACCACTCTTCTTCAATCTCAGGGATGCAAATTCAAGCATTAATCAGTCAGTTGCTGAGCGTCCCTAATGTAAAGCAAGTGCTTGCTCCCAGTGATTGGCGTGATATGCACAGGTATTATCGTACGCTACTGTGAAGCGAAGGGTTGAATACTTTTCAGCCACTTTCAATTTAAGAAATGATCTGAATCCTAAAAGCATGTCACTATTTCTACCAAGTCTCTATCTAGGGAATATCCCATTTGCATTGTTATTTTCCCCCTATTACTAGCCAGGAACAGAAAACAGCAGACGGTTTACACGTACGACACTCAGCTAACCAATCACACCCTCTCAACGATCTATCTCAGCCAACAGCCTCAAGTCCAAGCTCTTGAAATACTCACCATCTTCCGCTTGATACTAACACCTCTACTTGGACATCGTAGCCTATGTAGCCTCCTCCAACAGATGCTTCAACCTCCCCGGATTATGCAGAACCAGCTTCTCCAAGCCCGCTGGGACCCCGTCCCATAACTCTGATACCTCGTCCCTCCCGAAATGCACCCCAGTTTTCGGCGCCATCAGCCGGGCCATGCGCTTCGCCGCCCGTAACCTGTTTATCCCAGTTCCACAGATGCAAGGATAACCCGAATTCATCACCATGATGCGCCGATTGATGCCGTCCGTGTGTGTTAACGAAGAAATTCTAGACCAGGAACTGAGATTTCAATCGGGTTTCATTGTCGTGGAAGAGCTGATAGCCCAGCTGCACGAGGTCGAAGTGTAAGAAGCCGAGCTCCTCAAAGCAGGGGTAGGATTTGATGGTCCAGCCGTGGTGGGGGCCTGATCTCTGTGTAAGAGTAATCCCCCGGAGAGGAGAGGGAAAGGGGGAACCCGGGGTCAGTCACAATGTCCTTGGCGTGAGTTTCAAGTTCATAGCCTGGGATGCGCGCGTAATCGCCGAGAAATCTACCCGCCTCACTGTTCTTAAGGCCAGAAAAGTTGACCGGTTCGGTCCACCCCGGAGACGATTTAGTTCAGGCGATCAAGATGGAAATTGGAAGAGTGGATATTGGATACAAGCGTTTGGGAGATCACTTGATCTTCACAACTATCTAGTCGTGGAGCTTTGGCCTTCCATGATTCCTAGATCGTAGTCGGGTCCGTGAGGTCTTCATAAACTCACAAGACGCAACTTGCCTTGATGAAAGCGACAAATGATGTGATGTAAAGGTTTATCTAACCAGGGCAAGTACACGTATTTCAGAATTCAAGATTCTTCCCGATCCTGGTGGCTTCGTCGGATCGATAAAGCCTAATAGATCGCTGCGGGAAGCATACGCCAGCACACTCCTTAAAGCTACGGCCGTGCCATCGTAGACTTAGTTGCAGCTTTTGCGACCTATGCCTCCCAATCATCCTCACAAACACTGAAAGAATTTACGGCGATTGTGTGCATTCGTGGTACGGTAGAGAACGTCCCGGAAATGGCAGCGGCGGTCGAACAGATGACCTGGGAGCTACTGGAAGCATTGAAGCTTCTACTTACTCGGGCTATCCGATCTAAGCTCTTCTTGCTAACTTTTCGAACCGGTGAGGCCGAGCCCACAGCCGCATTGGCGCACAGTTCCTTGCTAGGCCTCAGTCGAGGCTCTTCGGCCACCTCTTGCATGATTCACGGGCTACTATATGAACCTGGGAGTAATCCGTGCCATTAGAAAGGGCCATTGAGCCAACGATTGGCACAGTCCGAGAAGCCGGAGCTCCGATCGGTATGTGACATCTGAGGCATTGCGGTAGGGTCATAGTTTCTGTCATCATGCCCCATATTCCCATCAGCCAATCTGCACCTCCCTTGTCTCTTAAAGGAGCAAGGGCGTCGCTGAGGGATACAAGCAATGCCTTCTGGGATATTCTTAGCGATCTTTAGCATCTGCAGAGTAAGCCTCGCGACATTGTCACCCTAAGAGTGGCAGACAATTCCCTGATGCAAGAACAGCTGCGAGTGAGGATGAACACCAACTTCGATCTTGCCCCACGATACCTCTTGTTGAATGACACCATCACCGGGTCTGTCGGGCTGAAAGCTGCTATCGCGCACTTTCTCAGCCATTACTCAACCCGTCAAAGGCATCCAAGCCATTGGATATCATTACCACCAATGGAGTATAATCAGCGATTAAGCACTGCTCCTGGGCGTTCTGTTACCCAAATGAAGTCGTTCTGATTCGACGCACGTATCATTGAAGGTTCAACCGAGATGTTTGCCTCTGGCCCGCGTCAAGCTCGTTCCTGCCAGCTTCGATAGCGTGGATCCAATCGGCGTTTCTGCTGTGTCTAAGTACGAAGAAGCCATCATGCTTTGCAGCCCACACAACCCCCTGGGTGGATACTATTCTTGGTCGTTTATCCTCAAACTGATGAAGCTTTTGCCAAAAAGTATCGCCTGCGTTTAATCAGGGAGGAGATATATGCTCTCTTAGTTTAGAGACAGGGCCAGGATAGGGCGACGCCTATAGAGGGCTTTACATCAACACTGACAGGCTAATCGATCCGAATCAGGTTCATATGCTTTGGGGCCTCAGTAATGGTTTTGGCTCTAATGGAGTACCACTCGGTGTGATCACTTCCCAAGGCAACTGTGACCTACTGAATCGATCCAAGGGACCGGTCCATATAGCTGGAAATCTGGCTTGGCAGACTGTCTGACGACCAGCGTTCTCGAAGATAAACACTTAGTAGGCAGATATATCAAGAAGAACCACAAGCAGCTTGCTGCCGCTTACACTTACGTTGTCCCCTTCCTGCATGATCACGGAATCCCGTACACGCAAGTGGGTCCAACGCGGGCTTCTTCGTCTGGTGTGATCTATTAACACCGCCTCTCAAAGTGTAAGCCTACTGCTCACCAGATGAGGATGAGTCTGCACGCTGGAACCGGAGCTGGGAGCTGGCTGACAAGTTAGCCCTGCACAAAGCGCATCTTGGAATTGGCGCTGACTTTGGTAGTGAACAGCCAGGATGGTTCCGCATTATTTTTCTCAGCACCGTGATCAGCTCGATGAGGGAATGAAGCGGATTCTCCAAGATCTGTACTCCTGGATCTTATCTTGGCATTATATTCTGTATTTCTTAATTATATGGTTAATATAGTCGATCTAACAAGTAAGCCACGGATCACGGGGACTGGTCTGATGACTACGGTATAAAATCGTTGTCTCTCATCTCTCATCTCTCACACGGTTTATAACACTCACAACACATTCCACATCAGCCATTCATCACCCTTTGCCTACGTCTCGTTATGGGCCATCAACTCACCGAGGATAATTTGAATATCGATATGGAGACGGACTCGGCCCCAGTTTTAGGGCTGCATGTAATTTGAACTCTGCTGCCCTCGAGATTCTCATGGCCCACTACCAGAACGGGCTCCGTCGCTGAGATGAGCTCTCACAAAGGATAGGAAGCTTTTGCCGCACTATTCACCCAACGAAGGGGTATCGGAGACATCTTAGGGAAATTGTGAATCTTCACTGGTAGCGGCCATCCGAACCAAGTCGCAACGCAACGTGAAACTTCTCCTCGAATGGGGCGCAGATTTCAACGGGATCTCTAATGACGTCTTGGTGGGTTACTCTGTTCGCTTTAGCTGAAATATTCTAATGCGATGATCGAATCTGATATCCACTAGACACCGCTTTTGTGTTCCTGATAGATGGCAGGCATAACGCTGAGGGTGGAACTTATGCAAGTTAAATTAAATTCCCATTTGATACGCTCCGTCTAAGGATATATGTATATATGTACCATGCTTAATCAACGCCAGTGCATGTTCCTTGAGCATCCATGAGTGGGGGACCAAAACCCACCCAACCCGCTAAGTAAGACCCGGTCTATGAACCACTACTTTATCTTCCTGCCCGATTCTGATCCTTGACAGGTTGCCAGACGGGAAGAGCCTCCCGGCGTATGATCATAGCTACCTTGTTGATAGATACCCAACAAGACAATATGCAAAGGTGCCCGAACACGCCGGGAAAGACAGATACTAGACGCAGGCAGAGAAAGGATGCCTGAGAAGGCAAAAGCGGGCAAGCAACGACTTTGCTCGGCTCCGGAAGGCGGTCAGGGTGACCGCTCGCTTACCGATTACGTTGGTCAACTAGTCTCGGTCTAGACCTCAGACGTGTTTACCGCCTAACTAGAAAAAGTCAAGAGGGGCGGAAAAAAAAAATAAGAAAAAAAGAGACATAGAAAAAGCCTCCCCTGTCTCTAACCTTCCTGCGTAGCGATAAAAATTTTCTCCAACCTCAGATTCAAGGCCACAACAAGTCATCATGGGAAACGTAAGCAATATTTATAAAATATATTCTCGCTCTTCCATCGAAGTAATTGCTCTCTCGATAAGACATGAACTCACCTACAGCCTGCGATAGGGAGCCAAAGCCGCTTCCAAGCGTGAGCGCAACGCGAAAGACAGCAAAGGCACCGCAAAATCTCAAAAGAAATCCGTACGTACTATTCCGAGTTATTGTAAAGGTCAGCAGTACTCATGGTGCTTACAGAATGAAGCTGCGAAGACTATCTTGTGCACGAAATGCAAGCAATCGTTCCTTAGCACCAATCGCATCGGGGATCTGCAAGCCCATGCTGACTCCAAGCACGCAAACATGGCTTTCCAGGAGCTTTTCCCTGACTATGTACCTCCACAAAAAAAGTGAAGATGTGATTCATTTCTATGGATCCCTAGGCAAACATATGCTTTCGAGCGCATTTACCCCTGCCCTTCAGTTTATCATGTTTGGAAAACACGCTTTTGATTGAGGTAATTCCTTTTGCTATGTTTCAGAGCGTAGGCAATGATCTAGCGTTTTATGAATTGGTGAATTTCTGTATACGGAGGCCTACACTTCCCGCATAGCCGGTCTCATTAGCTTTCGTCACCCACGGCGGATCACTAGATCGAGCGATATCAGGTTTATGATCTCTAGAGCTACTGCTTTAAGAGATGTGGCCCTGGACAGCTATCATTCAAGTTGAATAATTTTCATGTTCATTGGGGTGGAACTTATAGATGTTTATCTACCTAAAAGAAAAAAACCGTATATATTTATGAACTTTATATAAAAGGACCATATCCTGCACTTGCTTGCTTTCAAAGAAATACGGTTGCTCTTCATGGAAGACAAAAACTCCTTCGCGGCAAAACAGGCAAGGGGTACCGTTATATATATGCTGTAGTAACGGACCAGATATGTTGTCTTTATCTGGCGCCGTACCAGCAACATGGTAGTCCAGCTGGAGACACCAGATTTCTGCTTCTCTCAAGTCACTCTCTCCTTCCATGAGTGGTCGAAGCAAGCAATGCCGATTTCCACTCCGTTAGACCCAGGATCAATTACATCAATTGCACAAATATCGAAGGGGAACGAAGAGGGAAGGCCAAGCCTGTTTAGGCGCTCTGGGCACTGCGTCAAACAGACCTTTTATAATTTTCTACGAAGCTTTAGTGAGGCAAATTTGATTTGGCCGTACTGGCTTTTCCCAGTAAGCTTAACGATGGATACCAGAATCACGATGGCTGATGCAGTTTCCCTGTCCCAGTCAAAGTAGTGCTCCCCTTAACGGGTGCACCACGTTATTTGTCCCTCGCAGCTGGCCCATAACCATGACGGTGCACGGTACGGAATCGGATGGCGCTCCTCTATATCACTCGAAGCTTCTTCAGAAAAGCGCCACAGGAGGCCTTGGGTGAGACCACCTTTCCATATACCTGCGAGATATTGATTCTGATAGCCTTGGCTTGCTGTATACTCGGCCATATCCGATACAAGGCCTGAAAGTCAATAATAAGCATTTATGAAGAATAATAGCGCCGAGAAAATTAAAAGCTGGGTATTTTCATTCTCATTATCACTGTCAGCACTTAAGGGTGCGTGTCCCGAAGACCCTTCCAGATTAAAGGATTGCTCATACGACACGTTCCGGGATGCAACTCCTGGAACGGGGCGAGAAATCGAAGGCTCGTCTGTCCCCGATAAGCATTCACTATGTCATTCCCAGTGCATCTGACGTACTGAAAAATGTAGCACTTGCCGAGCGAGATATCGCTATTGCATTGTCCATCCTCTCCGACTCTATATTGGCAAGTCCACTTCTTGCTCCCCTTACGCGCTATGTTTATCTGTTGCTTGAGGAATGATTTTGGTGTCTGCTATGGACCTCGTGCCTCGTGGGACACAATAGGTATCGGGGTTCGCTTTATCTGCCAGCTGGTACTGAAGAAAACTATCAGTGGTCTTTATAGCTGAAGTAGCCGCAAGAACCAAATACGCGTTGTATATTTTGTTCATCTGTACTCCCTCTGTTTCCTGGTCTTCCTTAGAGTTCTGGATGATACATAGCGAGTCAATACACGGAAAGTGAATTCCTAACCGTTTGTTAAGAGCGATGGCATGTTGAAAGTTCTCTGGCAAACTGAATTTTAGGGTTGGAGGGAAAAATGCCACAGGATACGCATTATAGAGAGTGAATAGAATATAGTAGCTTTGTATTGGAATACCTTGGATGCGGTTATGGATAGCCTTGTTCGTAATCATTGTCATCTCTGCAGGCGTATCCCAGCAATGGCTGAGCGCGGTATATGGTGTGACATACGGCTCGGAGATGTCGTTGCTAGGAACCCCCAGGGCAACCATGGTAGGACCTTGCTCGATCTGAGATCTCTATTAGCCAATGGCCTAGGGTAACGGCTACTAGACGGGGTCGTTCATTATGATATGGGGAAACGGATCGACAAAGGAGGGTTTGTTGTGGAATCACATCTCCACAAGACACCTGAGGCAGCATTAGGCCGCCTTAACAAACCAGCAGTGACGTCCTTGAGAAGATCCACCAGCACCGGAGCTGGTGTCCCACCTGTGGCGATCTCGAACGCTTTGTTAATCCTTGGGGGAGATTCGGCTGTATTCCGCACCAACACATTTCACTTGGTACTGCCTCGAGATATCCCCAGGGTGTCAGCTTCCTAGAACGCGTCGCTTCCAATGGCAGAGGTGACAACCTGGCCGCTGAAGGTAGCCATGGGCGTTCCGTCAGAGAGAGCGTCCTGCATGGGTGAGGTCACATTTGTGTCTCGAGGTAACGGGAACGACGCCAGGTTCCCCCGAGGCCCTTTTATAGGCCCTCAGCCATGTGTCCTGCACCTTGAGGATGGAATCGATATGTTTCGAATCGTAGATGGTATCGAAGACTGGAAGAATTGTTCCGCCGGGGTATCCAACTGTCAGCGTGTAATGGATGACAGTAAGTTTGGAGGATGTACGGCATTGGTGCTACACGTACGTATATGATTCACACCTTTTTTCCGCATCATCCTGGGAAGTTCTCACCTCCTGACATGCCGACGAACCTGTGGATCGTATTAGTCGGCGTTGGGTATGTGTCATGACTTCAGGTTTTCATACGAGTCGTCCATCTCCGTCGATGTGGTTGGTGATACTTTTTACTCTCATGTTCAGCAGTAATCGAGGGACGGTCATGACTTGGCGTGGGATCCGGCGTTCTTTGAATCCCAAGATTAGTGCGCTTTGTCACATTATTCGCATTGACCGTTAAGTATCCTATGACTTACGTTGATTGCCGTTGCAGGAGTTGCTCTTCGCCTAATCACTTCTATCTTGGACACCCTGATATGCGATCGAGGAAGTCAGGCTCGTCAACCTCGGATGGCGAGGACAATGGCATTTCCCCGTTCGACTGATCTGTTCTGTCTCGTTGGGAAAGGGGAGGGGGCTAGCAGAAAAGGTATATGCACAAGAAGAAGAAAAGAGAAATATAGGAAAAATGAAACCATTTTATGCAATGCGTTTCTGCATAAACGCGCCAGGCTGTTGTTTCTCGAAATCCAACAACACACGAAGCATTTACATTCAATGACTCATGTCCGGGGAAGCGATATCGGTCGCCATGCATCGATAGCTCCAGACTCAAGCATCAAGCCCAGATCCAGCCCGATGCAAGCTTCAGCTAAGTCTCGATCACAAGGCAACAATTAGACGTACATGAATGAGTCATCGAGGTGCCGAGTCAATGAGTATAATCTATAGCCAGGGGAGCCAAAACACCGAAGCACCAAAACAAGCCACCGAGATCCTCCGAAACAAATGTAGTGTCCGCTCGTGCCATAATAGTCAGGCTAGCTTCCGCGTATACTTGGCAGAATTATATAAAGCACATATGACGGACGTTCCGCAATTAGGTGCGACATCACTATGTGAGAGCTACATTATTCACTTCATTCGACGAGTCCATGAAACCACAAGATGTCTACATTTCAAATTTACTAGCTTTGTGCGTATCCATCGACTTCAGCCAATCCGAGGCTAGTGAAATTGGGTTTTTTCTCCCCCACTGCGGATGCGACCTCGTATAAATAGTGCGGACAACGGCCAGTGAAACGAACAACTCTTCCTTCTCATCTCACTCTCACCATGGCCTCTGAATCACCCTTTGCTGTTGTCATATGCCATGGCTCGTACCACACACCGGCACCTTATCAGCCACTGCTCGATGCCTTGGCCGCACGTGGAGTGGAGGCATATTGTCCCCAACGACCAACATGCGACTTAAGCCGGCTTAATGTGGGCGATGTGAACAACCCCGACTTTGATCGCGAACCTCCTGTAGGAGGCTATCCAACTGCAGCGGATGACGCCGCTTCGGTAGGGGAACTTCTAGATCGACTGATCGTAGAGGGGAAGTCTATACTCTTAGTGGGACACTCCTCAGGTGGATGGGTTGCCGCCGAGGCAGCGCAGAGGGAACGGCATGCAAAGACCCGGACATCGAACGGGGAGACTGGAGGAATTATCGGTCTCTTTTTCATTGGTGCCTTAGTCACCCCTATCGGCGAGTCTGTGAGCAGCTTCTTCCAGCCCAGGGATGGCAATGTCGTCGTCCCTCCGTTCATGCGATTTCATGTGAGTTTTGATCCACGTTAGAGGGAAGTATGACTGAGCTCTCACATAGAAAAACGGCCTTGGGGTAATGGTCGATCTGGCCAAGTATCTGTTCAGTGATGCTGGCGAAGGAGCGGCAAGAGAGTGGGCGCAGTGTATGACAGCGGCGCCTAACATGACTAGCCCTCTCACTCATGATCCATACGACTTGCCATGCGCTTATGTGATACTCGATAGGGACATGTGTCTGCCCAAAGAGGTCCAGCAGAGCATGATTGACTTGCAAAATAAGAAGAATCCCCGTCCGTTTACGGTTTATCATGCTCCATGCGGTCACTCCCCGCACATTACTTGGACAGAGGGCTTAGCCCAGGTGATCGAAAAATTCTGTTCGGGAATCTTACAGTGACTGAGTTGGTTATCACGTCCCAAGAGCTCCATTAGACTACATCAGGTTTTCTAGCTTCGTATTGGCATAGATAAAAATTAGATTACGTGTTAAAATAATTCTGAGTAGCTATTAGCGCCAATATAAAGAAGCCTTTCTGTATTGATCACTTGAACTAGACTTACAGGTCTATGGAGGTCAGATTGCCGCACGCAGTTTCGCAGGCTCAATATCGAGAGAAATAATGATACTGCTAAAAGGTGGCGCAGAGTGCGAATGATAAACCCGTGAGATTTTGAAGACCCAAAGCTATACCAATACTTTTTTAACTGGCGTTTGCCAAGCAATATAGCGAATATTTATCGCGATGGCTATACGTGAATCAATCAATCCCATCCACCCAACACTAACCTGAGAAAACACGCGCTCAGGGTTAGAAGACAAAATGCCTGCAGGTGAAAAACTACTGCAGATATTGTTTGAAGTATAGACCTTAGCGCGTGCTTGAGGACAAGCTCCAATAAATTCAAGCTTGTCGATATGATTGAAGCCGAGCCGAGCTTTACTCTCCACCTTCTCCTTATACACGCGCTTTAGAGGAGACAAAAAACCAAAATCTAGTGGCTGAAGCAAGTTAGGCGACATATCTTATAAAACTGAGGTGTTAGATGGCCTTGGCAGCCATCTTGTACTGGTAGACGATATGTACCAGGACGCCGGCGAGTAGTCGCAGGAATAAACAACTCTTTTGTTTAGGAGACGACTCGATGGTTAAGAGTGGTTTAAGAGTGTGGTTAGTCACCGGGCTCACCCTCCGAGAACACTATTTGGCCCGCCTATAAAAGGCTCGCATGGCAGAAGGCCGCCTACGATCCCTCTGTCTTCAACAGAGACTCCGTTCACAACCTACTGTTTGAATGTCGATAGTGGTGATGACATCGGGAGACGATGTACAGAACGCTACGAAAAGAGGGGCACACTATTCCTACTATGCGTGAGGAACACCGGGAGGGATGGCTCTTAGCAGAGTCGAAAACAACGGCGGCTGTGCTACAGTTCCTGGAGGAAATTACAGTGGGCTGCAGCGGGAGAAAAAAGGCTGAAGCCCTCAAAATGAGCACGACGAGATGATGAATGGGGTTAGGCATGTTGAAGGAAGCGGAACGAGAAGGAGAAGGTTAAAGGGAGAAGGTGGCTCGCTGAGCGACGAGTGACACCCTATTGTACCGAAGCCAAGGAAGGTTAACCAGCCTGAAAGCCCTGTGCAGTAAGGTGGTTTGGGGCGAGGAAAAGGTGTAGAACGGTCATCAGTGTATATAGGGACTAAGTAGGGCTACGGCTTGCCATTCGCCGTCTTTCATGGCCGAAGAGGCTCGGTAAGGACGTTGACCTTGAATAATAATAATAATAATAATAATAATAATAATAATAATAAATATAAATCGACGTATGCATCAGTTTGTAAAATGGCAAAAGCCTGAATGAAGGCTAGACATGCCAGAAGCCTTGAGTTTGATGATCAATACCAGGAAAAGGCAATCCTTGAATCAGCTAATCCCTCTTCCTTAAATGTACCAGAACTGTCCGTAACACCGCTATACTTGTTGAAGTCATCGTTGCGGTATACCACTAAGTCGACTTCATACAAAGACGGGAATGTAAACTCATCGTGCGCTGCATTAGCCAGCAATTGAAATTCTGGAACGCAGCTCTCCCGCTTCCAGATTCGGCCATCGTCGTCATGTCTGGAGTAGGAATGGAGACTGAAGCAGGTAAGGCTCTGCAGCTGATTGGGAAGCACATCCTTGAGATGGCGTGGGTTGGCCCACGGCTCACCCAGTAATAGTTCCAGTTGGATTGACAGCGTCCGTAGTTCGGTAAAATGCGTCATGGACCCAAACACACCGGTGTGTCGAGCATATTCTTGGGGAAACCGCCAGTCCTTCGGATCGCTCAGGGAAAGAGTAATTGAAAGATCTTCGACCGTCTCGGAAACATGGTGGTCTAAGATCCGCTTCAAGTTATTCCCATCAAAGATGGTCGGGGCACAAACGTTTCTGTAATGGTCGAAGACTAATTTTTTGATATTTTGCGTTCCAGACAGAATGCTCTCAAGGATATCTTCGGGATCTTCAAGTGAATCTTCATTCCAGTTGCCCTCATATCCCATATCGATAGTCAAGCTAAGTTCTTCCAGGTATGGAAGTTGGAGAAACGTTGCTATATGCCCAAAGCTTCCCGAGTGTAGAGTGAGTGTTAGAGAGACTAGATTTGGAAGATGACACAGCAATATACCTTGCATGGCCGCTTGTCCGACATCATTGGGATCTTTGATCGCTTGTAGCCAATGGTCCTTGGCTTCGTCAGGGCGGAAATTGGTTTCCAGGAATGCCCTTGCTGCATCAAGTTCCGCCGGCCGGAAAGGAGATTCAAGCTCCTCCTCGCTGGAGCAATATTCATAATCCCAATATTTTAGATCCATTGGGGTAACTTGGGACTGTTCCATGGAGATATTCTTTACGTATTTCCCAAGTTCGGGCCGAGTCAAGAGCGTGCGGCATAAAAGTGGTGACGTGCTATCTACGGCATTTCGAGGATCAGACCCTGGTGGCCCGTCATAATCGCCTTCTAAGTGGAATTCCTCATATAAGAATGGCTCAAACCGCTCCCGAGTGATCCTAGAAACGAATAATAGGTTCCTTAAATCCTTGATGAGCTTTTGTTTCCGGAGATCAGCAGCTAGATCTTCAAACACAAGCAAGAGAATCACCCAAGGAAGCCGCAGGGCCATATCTGACTGGGCAGGGTTAAATAAAAAATAAAAAGGAATCAGAGCCGTCCACACAGCACCGTGCGATAAGAAGGTCTCGGAAGTTTGAATGCTTTCATCAGGGGAGATTCACGGCGTTTTTAGGCTGCGTCGACAAGGTGATCCTCATCGACGATGTTACCTAAAAAGCGGATTCTAATTAGTTATGTGTGAGCCTCGTATATGTCTCCACACTACATCCCAAGCAGGAATAGTATTACCATAAATACTATTAGCGAGCCCTTTTAGTGAGGCGCTTGGGCTAGAAGGGTTGCATTTTACCTTGTAGTGGAGCCGCTTGGCTCTCACGAAGCAGGGCTATGATGAGCGCCATGCAAGCCGTTTGAGTCAATCTCCCTCCACTAAACCTAACAGCATTGATAGCGCATCGGCAGCCAAATAGCCATCAAAATACCGGAGAATACAATTTTGAACTAATCCCGACTACGACTCACGAACGCTATATCCGTCGAAACGCTCATAGTCGTTCAATTAATCATCGCCGTCGGGATAATATTTAGCACTTACACACGCCGCAGGTTCGGCAATGATCCCAAGGAACCCGCTTGTATAGAATATCCACCCTGTTCGTTTTTCCATAGAAGTACCTGGCCAGAAAACCAAAAACGAGTTGTCTTAGCCTGGATGGAGATTGCAATATCGGAGATGGAGACAGTGACTTGGAAAGAGGTGAAATTTTGACATCTCCGTACCCACAATTCTAAGTTCTTTTGTAGACCCGGTGCAGATAAAGCGATTGAAATAGCGAAGTGTTGTTGCGATATTGTTGGGTAGATGTACATCATTCGAGAATACTTGTCCGCGGCTAATGGTTTGCGTGTTGTCAATGAATTTAACACCATAGATGTACTCAATTAGATAATGCGGCTATTCACAATATCGATACATTTCACAAATAGCGAAGACACAGAACATAAAACCCAACAATCTGCTTCTGCAAATTGCAATACATTCAGGGCAACATCAGAAACACCGAAACGAACATTCCTCAATCCAGTTCATTCAGATGTACTTTCCTGGTACATCCCCTGAATGACTTGTTCCACCCGAAGCGCAGGGAACTAACTAGTCAAGAGCATAGCCACCATTTACTGCTGTGAGTTAAGGCTCGGTCAATAAACTACAAAGCTTCATATTCGGAATTCCCATGCCATCCCGAATACCCTGGGATTTCCCGTCCCAACGGTCAGCCTATTCTTAATAGCTATAGATATTACATTATTGTAAAGTATATTAACACCTATAAAGCTAATAAGATCTATCTAATAACTTTATTTATCTTATTCTATTTATTCTTTACAGTTACTTGATTCAGTATCTTTGGACCTTCATCTATGGCCTATAGCAACGAGCTGAAAAGCTTTTTTACGTGCTAGCCAGGGCCTAAGCTATATTACCAAGCGAGTTTTCTTTAGGCTATTCTGGCCGAGCTGGAATAAGGCCTTATCTACAAGTAATATCGAGAGTGTAGATATCACCTAGTTTCTGGTCCTGGAATACAGAGATTATTTTGACGCGCTTTACTAAAGAGGATCAATGGCCTTCTTCCAGCGAACCCTTACACTCAATTCTACGGATAGAAGACTGAGGCAGATTAGGAGGCTTCCTAAGCAAGTTATTTCTGCTATTTATAAATAGCCTGACCGTTGGGACGCGAAAATCCTAGGAATTTCGGGATGGGCCGGGCTTTTGGGATACAACGCGATTTCCCATTTCCTATCCCAAAATCCCAAATTATTGCCAAGACGTATATGGGATTCCAGTTTTCTGGGTTGAACCTAATGGGATGGAAACGGGATGCCAAGAATGGGATGGGATGGGTTAGACAATGATCAAGGGCGCTAATCTGAATGGGGTAGAGTGGTGGCTGACATCGGCGCTTTATTTTGAATGACACATCTCGTAACGGATGGCTTAAACTAACATGAAAGTAGGAACGACAAAACAAAAAAGTGGGAGGGAGAAGCATATCATAGGATCGCTAGAATGGTTCGTGAAGGAGACAATCCTGAAGAAAGATATACCGATTGACTGTGCTTGCGACAATTGCGAAATCCTCGTCATCCGATGTTTCGGTTGGAAAAAGGATAATTTCGGAGATATAAAACTTAACTTCCTGACAAAAAATTCCTAGTGGGTTTCATCACTCATGTTCTCGAGAAGCTAAACTAAGGAAATATTTAAGTGCACTCGGATAGCAGACAGACGGAGGCTTCGGGGTAATTACGGACAAGTAAAGGGAGGATTGAGGGTTCTGTAGCACGATAGAAGCGAAAATAAGGGAGGTAGGGCCTAAGATCGAAAAATAGAAAAAATGATCTTCTTACAATCCTGTATCGGCCAGTGAAGACTGCCACGTCACCTCCTGCCTTCGCAGGGTCTAGTCGTTAGGGCTTAACGGCATCGAGATTATAGATCGCTGAAGACGTCTCGGTCGCACAGGATGTTTCGTATACAATACAATATTCTCGTGTAGAGCCCAGAGTCAAGTTAGAGACTATGATCATCTACTGCTTTGAGAAACATGATATCTGCCTATGCCTCTATTCTGGTTCCTTACCGAGTAGATCCTCATCATTAGACGTCATGGTGTGTCTGTCTGTATCCTATCGATCTGCGGAGAGGAGATATGATTGAAGAAGAGAGAGGGAGACAAGGATACTCTAATCACATTGCAGCCTCCCGTTGCCATGGCTATGGCAACTTCCCGTGAGCACAACCTTCCGGCTCTTGCAATCATGAATCTCGAACGTTACATTCTTCTGCTGGACCTTCTTCGCTACGCAATATTAGACTGCAGACTCCCATAGCAAGCTCATCCATACGCACAGATAGAAATTGAATCGCCATCATCAAACTCTCCCGTGTCCGTGGCCGGAGTCTTCACATTGCAGGTGACTTCAGCAGGCGTCGCTGCCTCATAAACCACTCTGACTTGGACGAGCGCGATGTTCAACTTTCTGGTCTTGGTATTCGGAATCGTTACCTCGTCCTTTCTCTCGCATGATCGTTTGTACTCTTTCCTTGCTTCAGGCCCCATCATTCCCTTCTTATACATGTCCGCATTGACATGGCTGTTTCGCAAGGTGACTATGCCGCCCTGACTATACATGATGTGTTTGGGAAGTATGGAGAAGGTGGATATGATACTGAGATTGCTCTGAAAATAGTGTGCCATGGGATACCTGGCTTTTCCCCTGCCATTGAGACGTCCGGTGTTCCCGTGCGCCATATCAACCCTTTCTACCTTAGGGATTAACGTGTCAAGACGCGAAAGCGTACTTTTGAGGTCTAGCTGATCGAGGGGGTTCTTCTTCTGCAGGGATCATCCTTAGTCCCGGAGTAATTTCCAGCCACTCTCGCCCTCCGATTGACACGAAGCCCCTCCCAGTTCAACATTTGTCCTGCAGCATTTCCGATGTCCCCTCCATTACCGGTCACTGTACAATGCATACGTCCGAGTAGTAGAGCTGGATGATCTTACTACCTTTCGTACAGGCCGTATCAGTGTATAGAGGAAGAAATGCTTAGAGGAAAAGGACAGCTGCCGAGGCCTTGTAGACACCCACTATTGGTCAAGAACGGGGGAATGGTTGGCAGTCGCAGTCGGACTACGAATGGAGCACATACTAGTTCAACCCTTTTGACATAATAGTATTATACTTTGGCTCCGTAATATTCCGTAATACCAGCCAAACTGCTATACCTTCTTCCCTGAAAACACTTTGAATAGTCCCGTACCATGTTTCGTATTGCCGTTGAACATTGATGCTTAAGGCTTCGACCTATCAAACTCTTAGCACGCGATATTACATGTATACAGTAGTAGTAGTCCTTTAAAGAGTCGCGTTTCAAAAAGCTACAATCAAAGTATCAGTTCGCTGCATCATTCCTCTTCTAACTGGAGGGGAAAAAAAAAAAAAAAAAAAAAAAAAAAAAAAAAAAACCAACCGCCGAAACCTAATGCCAAAAGCGTCACGTCGTCGTTGTTTTCTTGACTGCCTGAGGCTAACGTTCCCGAGTTTGCAAGCGATAGGGCCCTCTCACGTGAGATGTATCCACAAGCCACAGCCGCAGCCACATAAACTCCACCAAATAAACAATGCATTGATCTCCCTCCTCGTCGCACAACTACGAGCTCCAAGCCAAGTAATACTTGGCTTGTGTGAACCTCTGCTTTTTCTTATCATCACCATTCAATGGTCCTCCGGTTCGCTCCTTCCTGCCTACGCTATTCGAGCTCTGTCTTTCCTCCTACCGCTCAGCAATCGGACGGTCATTATTTTCCGCGGCCATGCTAAATGCTATTTGACGGACAGGAGGTCTTCTGAGTTGGGTCCCTGTCTTACACCGGCTGCGTTGGATCAGAAACGGTAGCTTTCGTAACACAGAAGGCCCGTTGAGGAAGAGTAAGGGTCAGATGGGGGTTGACCATGAAAATGACACAAAGGATTTGATTGACTGCTACTATGCGTGACAGGTCGGCCCCGATGAACGCCCTGCTGGAAGTGACCCGGCCGTTTCTACGAGTGGAATTGCTCGATTGACGATCCGGAACCTGCCTATCGACAACCGGACCTTAAGAAATAGACTCATGGGGTTGCTTGTTCCGACCGACCGACTTTGCCCTTTTGAGCATTTCTTCGCCTGCTAAAGACCAGATCCCCAGAAGATGAGGATTGCAACAATGGGATGTAACGCTTGCGAGGCATGGGAACTACACACTGTGGGCCCCAGTCCGGTCACACGCTGCTTAAGTAATGGGAGTAACATCTCGCATGGTCTCCGTTAGTCCTTTACCTTATTCTGGTCCACCCATGCCCGAATATCCCAGAAATTCCGGCATTTATGCATAGTGGTGAAGTCCACCCAGCGACCAAGAGGGGCGGTGTCGTCGACAACAATCATCACTGGGGTAACGTCTGCCGTGCACATCATACTCAATCGCAGGGACTCAAGACAGTGATCTACCATGGTCGTCGAGTCAGCAACATCCTGGTTCACGCTTTTCTGCAACTCACCGATATGCGTAGCTGTAACGGCAGCTTTCTCGGGCTCGAATTGGCTTGGCGGATATCCGAATTCCTCCTCGTATTCTTTCTGGTAGATCTTGAGCCGGATCATATTCTAGACGTTTCTGGTCAGACGACATTCTAGGGTAGAGGGGAAAATAGTAGTGGAGTAATGGAGGACTCGACGGACCAAACAATGTAGCTGATGGAACACCTCCAAGTATCCCACGTAACCATCGCCTTTGTCTTTCGGGGTTCGGAGCCAATTGACCGCGGATGATTTATTCAGGAGGGGAAGCTTCTCTTGCGGGATGTTGATGCCCGGTGCTACGGAGTTCGGCTTCAGTCCGGTGATCGGTGTATATGCGGAAGGGACCTTATACTCATGTACAATGCCTCCCATGCCGCCTCTGTCTCGTTGGTTGGACGTCCCCGATATATGGATGGCTCTTCAAAATCGCCTGCGATATTGTAGGATGTATATCGGATGACGCCTGCGTCTATCACCGGGGCTGCGCAGCATAATTTAAGCTTCTGCTCAGAGGACCATGATTCGGACTTACGCACAGTAGGAGAAGAGGCGCAAGGTACAAGCTTGGTCCGTAGCTACCGTTTGATACCTAAACGTGAACAATCCAAATGCCGCAAAGAAGAAAAGTAATTGGAGGAACCATGGAAGCGTGCGAGTTAGCAACGAGTGATGGGAAGTAGTTGTCCAGCCATGAGCGCCTACCGGCGTGTATCGCTGTCGTTGGACTGACACGTACGCCAAGTGTCGAATGTCCTGTAAAAGTCGTTTCATGATGCCATCGAGAGACTCTAACCTCTCCTTCTGTCGGACTTACCGTCACTCGCTGGACGCACAATATAGGTACGCTGGATGCAGCTACTTCGAGGTAATATGTGCTGGGAACCTTCAGGCAAGCTAACGACAGACTTCCGTACTATGTTGCAGCACATGGTAACATTGCATTGGAAGGGATTCGGATCCTGGGGTGGCTTCTTCTACACTTCTTCATCGGAGGTTTCTTATATACCGAATGCCTTCAATATCCGCCCCGGTAACACTCTGCACCGGACTTGGCACAATAGTGGGTTCTTATCCAACTCATTCGAGTACTTGTGAGCCATCAGTAACTTGTTTGATTTTATTAGGGCTATTGCGGGGAGAGGCAACGGACTGGTGACCCAAAATTGACAAAATAGCCCTTTCAGAAACAGACCAAGTTGAGATCTCACTCGACAGGCCCGTCGGATGCCGTTCCTTGGCACACCCGGCCCCTCACGCAGGATTCCACCCTTTATTGGAAGCTATCTTAGTGCTTACTTTAATGTTTGTACATCCTCCAGGTTAGACCAGGGCACTTGTCCTAGGTCTGAAGTGAGGAGAGGGTGTATTGTGTCTGATTTAGGGCAACGGTGGCAGCCCAATCTCCTCAACCATCTTTCGGATACCCCAGAAGTTCCGACAGGTGTGCATCGTGTTGAAATCGGGCGTTCCTCCTTGAAAGGCCTGGGGGTCGTCGATAAACATCAAAGGCGTCACATCGGAGACACACATCAGGGTAATGCGTAGGAGCTCAATGCAGTGATCTAACGAACAGGTTATTATTATCCCACCCCCCAGAGTCGCCAAGATAATAGGGTGAAGGCCAGTGAGTGAAGTACCTAAATGGGTTCCTTTCACGATCTCATTCCCAGGACCACTCCCATCGGGCCATTCTCCGAAGTGTGCAAAGTAGCTCTCCTTGTGAACTTCCAACCGAAGGGTATTCTGCACATGATTGGATTACCTCCCGTGTTACGATATGAAGGGCCCTAGGAGATAGACCTACTATGCAATGTAACTGGTGGAACACTTCGACCAACGCAGCAAACTCTCCCCCACCCTCGTGGCCCGTGACAGGGGGGACAGGGAGCCAGCCTTGGCCTCGTGGATCGGATTTATTGAGCACTGCTAATTTCTCTTCCGGTACGCTAATCGCAGGAGCTAGTTGGGTTAGCCGTCGCATTGGTCTATCCATGACGAAGGTATGATGTGACTTACTTTCCCAGAGCGCTTTCCACGCTTCCTCGGTACCCTCACTAGGGGGCCCCCGGTATATCGAAGGTTGGTCGAATTCGTTCTCAAAATTCTTAGACTCATACTTGACGATCCCTTCTTGGATGAGGGGCGCTGTAATTGGCAATTAGCCTTCTCGACGCCATAAGCTCGTTCGTAAATCTCTGTACGGTGCAAGTGAGAGACGGAGGCAGGATCACATACAGTATGGAGAAAGCTGTCGGGTGCATTGAAGGGTGCTTGGCTTCATAGTCAATGCGATCACTGTGAGCCCGAGCGAGATACAAAGGGCTAAGCTATGAAGGATCCAGTTCAGTCTATTGCCCGATTGTGGCGAAGAGGGTACTGGGATCCCCTTCTGTTGAAGGAAGGATAGGCTCAGAGCGGAGCTATCTCCAGACACTGGGTGGTTGAGAGTCATGATTTCCGTCTCTTCAGGCCTGAGAGGACGAGTGTTCCCTGGAGAAATGAACCCAAGTGGCACTGGAATGTAATGCAACAAAGATAGGTATACTGCGTTGAAAGCCGGATGAAGCCTCGTATCCTCGACCTAGTAATAAATTCCGGAATTCTTTCTATGACCGATCAATGCAGATTGACAGATTGAGGGTCAGATATGCACGCCTAATCGAATGTAACGTCGTGGCATTCTTCTTCCGGGACGTCGGGCCTCATTTGGGTCCGATCACCTCCCACGTGTGGGGAGATAAGATGAGTTGACTAGAGGTTAAATGTTAATTAGATTAATATAAACCGTTGGAATATTCATCCTACCGCTGCTACCCGGTCCATCAATACTATTTAAGTCCCTCGGGTTTGCAGATAGTCGGAGATACAATCATTATCCATTGAAGGGTTCTTCTACGAGCTTAATACCAGAGATCGAGGACAAGATGAAGACTATCCTAACCCTTGGTTCGCTTCTTCTAGGCGCAGGAATAGCCTTTGCCGCGCCCACTCCAAATGTGCATATCACCCCTATGACCCCTACGGAGCGGGATGAAGATTAACGAAGAGAACAATTATAGGGAGCCGATGTCGAGCCGGAAAGTGCTCACTCGTTCAAGATCAATGCCTATAGCCCTCCTCCCTCCACCAGCAAGGCAAACGATGTTCAGCCGGAAAGTGCTCACTCCTTCAAGATCAATGCCTATAGTCCTCCTCCCTCCACCAGCGAGGCAAATAATGAAGTGACCCCGGATTCGAAGAATTTGTTCATCATTCATTCCTACGGCAATCCAAATGAGAAGCGCGAGGCCGATGTCGAGCCGGATGCGAAGAATCTGTTCATCATTCATTCCTACGGAAATCCAAATGAGAAGCGCGAGGCCGACGATGCTGTGGAGCGCAGGAGTCAGGAGGATACCGCTGGTACACGTGTTTTCAATATGTTAGCGGCCTATCGCACAACTCAAGAATAGAGTATGGAGGCTTAAGTATGCTTGGCCTGGTAATTGTGGGTCAGGATCTAGGTACTACAGGTGAAATGGTGGATGTACGTATGGTGTAGTACTCATGGAACATAACATGGCATCGATATACTCTTAAAGGGCAAGACCTAGGTTCACGTAGATTTATATCAAGTCCTACAGATAGGGAAAAGGCGACTAGGCTTCCAAATCAAGTATTATCTTCATATCCTACATTGGGCCAGTAAAGTAAGATCATGAGCCATTTTCCCGACATATCAGAATGTACACGTCGTCTAACGCTATTTACACGATATAAGTTTGAAAGCCCAAATGGCTAGCTAGTATTGAGGAACACCATGCATCTTTCTTGCAAAAAAGACACATAATGCCAAGCGCTCATCTATGCAGCCATGCAATTCACATTACTAGACGTTGTCCGGAAAGTTCAATCCGCTCCATAGTCAAGGAGCCTACAGTGGCAAGTTCATGCAACAACTTTATCCGACAAACCGCGTCGACGACGGCCAATCCGCAATCGTTTCTTCCACTTCATACGACTCTTCCGTATGGAGCGCTGGGTACGCTCCCAGGGGTAGTTCACCGGTGACTCGCCGCCCGTGAAGATCATAAAATCGTAAAGGAAAGCGCCGATCATGGCGCCACATACGGAGCCTGCCCACGGGCCATAAAACCAGTACGGATTGGTAAAAAGTTTGGACCCGTATCCGAGGGCCAGCAAAGCAAGACGCGGTCCAAAATCACGGCTGGGGTTGAATGCGGCACCTGTCTGGTAGGAGAAGGTGATGCTGAGTACATATACCATTAATCCAACAATCAGCGAGTTCATACCCGCGCCTGGAGGGGCGTTCTGGTCGTCACCCAGGGCCAGCACAGTAGTAGCCATGAGGACAGTCCCGAGGCATTCTGTAAAGAAGGCAGTTGCTGGATCAATCCAGGTCTGACGCTGGCTAGTCACAAAGCTGGTTACGATCCCAGTACTTGGGCTAGTAAGAAGGTAGTGGTGAATTGATTGATAGAATACACCATAGGCAGTGAGTGCGGCAACAAATGCACCTACAAACTGTGCGAGGAAGTATTCGGGCATTTTACGCTTGGGAAAGCCACGATAGAACCACAACATGATCGTTACACTGGGGTTGAGGTGGGCTCCCGAGACACCACCGGAGATATAGATGGCCATCATGGTAGCGAAGCCCCATGCCCATGCAGTCGTGTTGGGATTACCGGCATTAGCCACGGTGACGGAGACATCAGCACAAAAGCCGATAGTCAGTTGAACAAACACTGCAAGAGATTCCGCCAGCGCCTCGCGGTGATGAGTGCGAATGACAGACCAGGTTGTATGGTTGTTATGGACTTCATCTTCCACCAGCTCCTGTACAAGTGGGTGGAGGTCTTCCGGCAACGCCGACTCATGCAAAGCCGATAGGTCTGGTAGGGCATCCGCAGCAGCAGTATCTACCTCAGGTTGCTCTGGTACAGGCTCCAGTGGTTCGTCACTGCCATGAGGCAGGTCTTCCCCGGCCTCGCTGGGAGCTGCGCTCGGTCCCTCGGGGACAATGGAAAGTTGATCGCCTGGGGCATCAAACCGTACGGAAGGGCGGCGCCGGCGAGCCGAGGACGTCCGTGATACGCGTGGTGAACCAACATCCCCTGTCAGAACCTTATTGACGAAGTTGCTTTCGCGCTGCAGGCGAGCGTCCTCGACCTGCGCGGCCATCTTGCGGGGATCCGCCATCTTGGGAATCTGCCCCTGCTCCAGGTCATTTGGATCCACTTCTAGTCCCAGCTTCTGCGAGTTCTCCGCTGGACGTTCGGGCCGCAACCGGGAGTCGAGCAGCTCCTCCTTGGTGGGCACCATGCCGGGCCGCACTACACGCGGCAAGGGCTTTGCCAGCGACCAGACCGGCTTCGCATTCGCCGGTTGCTCATACGCCGGATTGAGATCGGAATATCCCGGCTGCACGAAGGGTTCGTGGGCCTGACGCAGCTGTGGACCATCTTCTGGACCGCCCATGGTAAATTGTCCCTGTGTGCGCTCCGCGAGAGTAGTCCGCTGCGCCAGGCTGCCTGTCCGCGCGGAGCGCGCAGTACTGCGGCGTCGTATTCCCTCCATTCCCACATCTCCCGTCGTCTTAACTCCGGAAATGCGACGGGCGGGAGAAGCATAGTTGGCCGAGTCACTGAGACCACGGGTAGGCGATCTCGGTGACAGGTCTCTATTTGCATCTCTCCGACTCTGACTGGTCGCTTCCGACTAAGCCGGAGTGGGAGCTGGCGTTAGCGAGCCGTGTGGGATTGAGAGATTCTGCTCCAACTGTTGGTGAAGGAACTCACCCTAGCTCGGGGGCGTCCGGGTCTCCTCTCGTCCATAACCGCACATATCAATAATAGAAGTCAAGTTGCGTATCGGGCCAATAATCTGAGTCAAGTCTTAACAATAGGACCCAAAGTACGCCACAATGTAAAACAGATCCGTCTATAGATGATTAGATCATGGAAATATCGATACAGAAGGTGGGAGGAAATTTTTCACGGAGGGGGAGCTACTCCGTAAGAGGGATTCGAACGGCGGCTTCCTGCGTGCCGGGTACCGAAACAAGCTTTCATCCAGGACTCGGTGGTGAACTAGGGCAAGGAGTGGACCCCTTTTGACAAGATATGGAGCTCTCCTCCGTCAATCACGTAGCCTCACGAGGACGATCAACACACTGGCCTCTGCGTCGGTCGACCCGGCCGCTCCGTAGAGCTGTGTGCTGGATATCGTGTCCCACCGTATCTGACGTCTCACCTGTCTTGAGGCTTGAGATCGTTCGGATGGACATCTCTGACGTCAATTCCGGCTTTTTGATCTGTTCGAGAGAACATCATTGTGATGACAAGTTCAGATTACCTCCCCACCATCGTCCTAATGAATTGCACTACGCAGTAGGCGACATTTGCCAAAGACCCGTGTCGAGCTCAAGGCCATATGACGTCCGCCATCAAAACACACGACTCGGGAAATTCTCAACTTGGTTCTGTGCCTGTTGGTCCGAAAAATCAATCCTTTTCTTCCCGAACAAATGAATGGCTTCGCTTGCCCCACTCTGTGTGGCAATAAACGGCTCCATCCATTAAATGGCATTCACAGGCCCAGGGACAGAACAACACATAATAATCAGACTGGGGAACTCATAGCCGAGTGTGGTATGGGCAGTTTATGCGTAAATTCACCTCCAAGAGCGCTCTGTTGAATTAGATTCTGGAAAGGTCAAGGATTTTCCAGAATATTTTCAAGTTGAGGTAAAAGGAATTCTCCATGGAAATCCCCACTTACGGAATATTACTTTGTCCGGCAAACGTTTTGGATTCCTATGAATCGAACAAGGAAAATTGTCTCTCTTCGGTCCATCCTCCAATCTTCCATGAATATAAAAGGTGATAGAAACTTGAAGATTGGATGTCTATAGTAGAGTCGTTCTAATCCTATCAGACAACTTCTTATCTGGGACTTTGTGAGGAATATACATATATTTTCGGACAGATACTAAACTCAAATCTTATATCTGTATATCTTTTGAGAACTTGTCGTTCTGTATACAAATACTAATACCAATAAAGCAACCAGAAACATTTTCTTAAAAAAGATTAATTAACAATAAGTATGTGTTGACTTAATTACACTTGCAGCCGGGAAACGAGGACACACATCTCTAGCGTCACATGAACTCGCATCATACCGTGTACTCAAGTAAACTTCAAGACCAGTCTTCGGCTGAGCTTTAATACATATATGCAAATACCTTCATGTGCCATTGTCCGTCTCTAAAATGTAAGAAACGAAAGGGAAACAAGGGAATCTGATTTAGATTTTCGAGTACTTCGTCTAATGCCCAGATACCGGTAACTTGATATCGGACAGTTCCTGGGCTGATAACTGAAGAAATCTGGAAGAAAAGAAAAGAGCGCTAAATACATAATAGGAACTGTCGTTTAACAGACAGTGGGTTACTCCCTCGAACAATTCCGTCATCGCTCTGGATAATGGCACCTTCACAATCCACGACCCTCTCCTGATTGCCCACTTGATCATTCTGGCGCTTGCGCTAGGATTTCTGTTTTCCATAAATGGTCATCACGGGCCGCAGCAGCTAGTACATCGGCAATCAGCGCTCGTGACCTTTTGCAAGGTGATTCGCAGTACAAAGCATGCGCACATGTGTACTTTACGCACATCTTAGCAAGGAGGCCTCTGGCATTTCGGAAAGACAAGCAAGTTTTCAGGCCTTTTATACCAGACGACGCCAATTAGAGTAGCAGAGTTAACGCTATAAGAAACAATATAACTTGGTGATATAAGTGGAAGACATACCAAATATTCGCCTGGTGGATTCCCGACACAACACATGTGTTGGAAAGCTGGGTAGGAAATAAAGCCTAACAGGTCTACCTAGCCTATCCAGTCTGCCAGGCATAGGTCGATCTTTCTTATCAGCGCAGCTTGTAGTTTGAAGCTGGGATCTAGTTAGCCTGAATATCCAGTTAGTACTACCAGTGCTGTTTGATCCTAAAGTTCTACCAGTTTATATATTAAGATTAATTAGATAGGTTTTTGGCGGGTAACCCGCGGGTGTAGCGGGCTGAAGCCCGTTAGAGTACTCAAGCTGTTAGGGAACACTATACCCCGCAGCCGGCCTGGCCTGCGGGCATACTTGTTGGAGCTATTCAGCTCCTGAGCCTTTAGATAGCTGAGGGCTATAGAATGATATATCTAGGGGTGCAATAGGCTCAGTTAGTTGAGATATGTTGGTTCCTGGTGTTTCCACCGATGACACCTACCTCCTAATTAGTCACCCGATGAGCCTGTAGCCGATACAATAGCTCCCTGCGCCCCATTTCCTTGAGATTCCACAAGACAGGCCGTTGGCCCTCGTTTATCTATTCGTCACGTGGTGTATTTCGACCCCTCCTTCCTGTAATACCTTATTGTCCTACTGTTGTTGATTCTTTCTTTCTTCTTCAGCGTTTTCTTCTTGTTTGATAGCTATGATAGTTTATCGAACGTTGCGGGTCTTATCCCTTACACCACCTGACTATTAGGGCGGACATATTTCCGTCCACAAGTTGCTTTCCATCTTGGCGCCACTATTTGCACTTCTGTCTATCGTGGTTGTAGCCTGTTGGACAGCAGCGAAAGCTGACGTCTGCAGAACCGACAAGGTCATGGCCCGCAGCTCAGCGGTCGAAACGTAGGATCGCAGTCGGGGTCGGAATATTCGATTCAATTCCCGGTAATCACTGCAACTTCTTTCATCTCGGTAGTGGCAAAATCATTTCTAGGTAGATGCTCCTACAATCATCACGCAGCAGGCTCTGAAATTACTATCCTGTAAGGCTATTTTTAGTAAAAACGGCCATGACTCTAGCTACGCAAGCAGCAGTGATTGATCATAAAGCAGATTTTCAGATTTGATGTTATTTCTCTTGGCTAGACAACAATGGAAGAGGTAAGTCTTAAATCCTAGCCAACAAGGGAATCCATGTGGGGTGTATATTTCTTGCAGGCCAGATACACCTTCTATACACTGGAATATCGATGTTGCATAGGGGGAACCGACGCCCACGAAAGGAGTCTAAATGCAATGTTCTGCTGCAGTTTCTAGCAACTCTCCAAACAGAAGATGGAGCTCTCAATTATAAGTAGACTATATGTCTAGAGATGTTCACGATTCATTATGAGGACTGCACGACCGTGTGTAGGGTCGGACTGTGCATCTTGATGGCCTATTAGGTCGAAGAACCTATGGATAGAGTTAGATATGACGGTGGGAGTTACCGGTTATGCGTTTGGCCCTTCCAGAGATGTATCCGGTCGTGCTCTAGTGCTCACTTAAAGTGTCCCGACGACACCGGATAACGCAGCTGACCATGTAACGCACAGAATTTCGCGAAGCAATGCAACGCATTTCAAAATGCGACCAAACCGAACAAAAATCTCGAGTAGAGGCCGCCTGCCCCGCCTGCTTTTGGGGGAGCGGAACGCCATAATCCATAGCTATCATCTAAAGTTTTCGATCTGATCTAGTATCGGTAGCATGGAGGGGTTTGGGACACGCTAGATGATATCTGTTTCGAGCTTAATTTGAATCTCATGATTTCAACCCAGTGAACAAAAGCGTACGTTAGATTACTGAATTTATTCTACTAGGATATTGATATGGTGAATGTATTGTGCGTAACCTAAACTCCTGCGCTATATTATCTCTATGATTTGGTATTCTTTCGTCAAAAGCCTAATGCCTTTCCACCTCCGAAACTTTCAACCCAAGATAGTATCTGGGACGGGCATTGATACATATTATAATGCTTTCCGTGATGTCCAAGTACACCAAACAGACAGACTTTCTAGTAATTAGTGGAAGGATACGAAATAATACTATTCAATTCGCCATACTCAATTCAAAAACGGCCCCTATACTAGGTAGGTATGGAAGCCAGGTAAAACGATTCTTTTTTTTTTTTTTGTCGCCTTTCTTATCGTCCAAGAATCTGATCTCGATGGACAAACCGCCCATCCCGTTTAATCTGATTATAAAAGTCCTGCGCCCACCGTAAATGATGGCTATCCCCCAGCTCCGTAAACAACTTCAAGGACAGTGTCTGATCCTCCATACTCTCCGAATGATTAAGTGGCGAATATATATACCGTCTCTGAATCGTAGGCATCCCCTTATCCCAGCCCCTTTCGACGGTCTGCCGAGCCACTGCGATGGCCTTAGAGTCCGTAGCATAGGCCTGCGGAGTGCCCCGGAACATATTCCGGGGTACTTGGTCCAGCAGAATAATCAGAGCTAATGCTCCTTCTCCTTGGGAAGTCTGGATCCAGTCGTTAAGTTTGCCGTCTTTCGCTGCTTGATATGCTTCTCCCAGATGGTCGCGAACGTAGGCGTCGTCGGTGGCGCTGTTACCGTACCAGAAGGATTTCTTTTGTAGGTAGGTTGGGGAGGACCTGGGGCCGAACCAGATGTCTAGGACATCTTGATAAGTGATTTTTGACATTGGGGGTTGAGTATAGTGAACCGTTGTTGGTAATAGAGGAACAAGCGAGGGGAGAACTTAGGAAATCTGCGCCTGGGGAAGTTGCAGGTTTAAAGAATTGGCTGGAAGCAGGAAGTTATGGGATATTAGTATGGAAGGGCAAGAAAGAAATACTACTTAAGAGTTGTATATTCAATGCGAATCTGGACTATTAAGGTTCAAGAAATGCAATATGCAATATGAATCGGATTTCCCCAACCGGCCAACTTTTCTTAAGGATCCACATGCGGAAACTTCTCTACAGTGGTATTCTTTACCTGGTTGTAATCCAATGTTCTGATGGTTCGGATTTCAACTGAATAAATAAACCTTGGCCGGCACCTTGCCGAATACGTTTGTAGGTGGACCAGAATCATGAAACATAAGCGAAGGGGTGAGCATTAAACCTCCAAAAGCGTCTTGATTAGCGCCACTAATAGCCACACCGGAAACTATCCTAGCACCAAAGCCCGGAACTCGATACTCTCCCGACCCGGGGCATTCGGTGGGGTCCTAGGGTCGTGGAATGCGGAGTGAGGCACACGACCCGCCACCGATTCGTCGGAATCACTGCACTTGAGCAGCAAACATTCATCCGACTGCATACCAGACCAATACATCCATTCCTGGGTCTGGTTGAATGCCACACCAATAATCTCTCCGGTGCGGTGTGGCCGATGAATCTTGATAGGGATCAAATCCGTCGATTGGACGGAGCCCGCCCTCGCAAACGCTAGTGGGGACGACTGTACAGGACCCTTTAATGGCTTCCAGACGTTGATAATACGGTAGCGACCGCGGAGGGCCTGCTCAGCCTCGTCGGGGTCTTGAATGCAAAGCCGGACGCGGGCGGCCGCCGCTTGCGTCGTCTGGTCCGCATGCGCTGTATGCAGTGGTTTGCGGTGCGTATTGACACTTTCCATCCGGATAACATAGTCAAAGATGATGACTCGGTGGGCGCCCGTTATCTTGTTTAGCAGGAGTTCCTCCACCGCTGGGTACCAGGCGCGCTGGATTGTTTCCTCGGACTGAATGGCTTCGTACGGTACACAGAGAACGCCCTGGAGTGGCTGGAACGCATCTTTATCTAGAGAAAACTCGTCCTCACGGCCGCGGATGTCGTTCAGCATGACGGGCAGCGCGGGCTCGGTGTAGTTCATAGCGGGAAACCCCTCTGGTGGCGTCCCGGGGTATAGGAATGGTTGGGCGCCATCCACTGGTGCTTTGTAGAATTTAATTTCTACCTGAACCGTGCCGTGAGGAATGGACTCGGCAGGTGCCTGAGATACGGCGATGGCGCCTGTTTTGGTCATGGAGATGGGAATCCTAGATGATAAAGGTATAGAGTCTTCTTGGTCTGTTATAGGTGGTATTGATCAGCTCTTTCGAATGTTTTACTTTTACTTTGCCATTTGGGAGCACTGGGGATTTTATAATCAAGTCGTTATTTTTCTGGGCTACTTTACATTCCACCTTCGCCTGGGCATGATCAACAAGACTATATTCTATATACTACCCCGCGAGTGCCGGATCAGTGCATGTGGGGCAAAGTTGCTGGAATGCTATGGATGAAACAGAAGCCACGGTGACACTAGGTAACATGGTCTATAGGTTTGACTGTTAGGTTTACAGGCCCATAATATAAATATTCATATGAGGGAAATTTGTCTACCTCTGTCCCTATTATCCTGCTACTCTTCTTTTTAAGGCCCACCAAGTTGGATCCCGCAAAGAGACGAATCATAATCTTATCCCAATCTAATTTCAACCAGGCCATCAGTTAACAATGGCAGAAAGTGGGCTTTATAAGCCATATCAGTATGACGACGCCTATGCTTGTGACCCAGGCGTTCTGCGGTTTCTCAGCAGGGTGCTAAGCCATTTACCTCCACAATCCCAAGTTCTTGATGTTGGATGCGGTACTGGCAAGCCAGTGGCTGAAACATTGGCTGCTGCAGGCCATTTCATAACGGGGATTGACGATGTGGACGCCATGGTCGAGCTGAGCCAAAAACGGATTCCCAATGGCATGTTCCAACTTTCTGACATGCGTGAATATGTCCATCCCAAGGGAAAGCAGCTAGATGCAGTGTTGATGGTACGTTCTCTCTTCCGCTTGGGCAGGGAGGAGATTGAAGAGACTGTACGGAAGTACGGAAGCCAGCTACATGTTGGCGGACTGGTATGCATTGCGACAATGGCCGCCGATGATTTCAACCTAGATAATATACTCTCTGGATATGACCATGATGGATTGTGTGCAAGGGAGGTCAGAAAACGGTTTATGGGCAATCACGTTACAAGTGCACTGCTTACTCGAGCCGGGTGGAAGCAGCTCCTGCAGGAGAATGGCTTCAATATTGTGGATCAAAAGATGGAGGTATTTGGACCACCTGACCAGATTGACTCGGATGCTTTACCATACTATTATATCATTGCTAAAAAGGTGCAGTGATTATTTGTCTGCGGTGCCTTTTGCTTTCGCATTAATATATCAAACTGTATCTCTACTTCTGTAGAATACCAAGCCTGTGTATTAGTTAGCTTTACTAGTGCTGTCTAAACACATGCAGGGTGCAGACTTAAAGTGCGGGTATATCCACCAACTAAGAAGGCTGCGCATGACCAAAAACAAAGCTTCTCTGTCTCATACAGAATTCATCCCGCAGGACCTATTTTGGCGATATGTTTTTTCACACTCTCCTGTCCAAGAGATACCCTTCTAACTGAAACGAGGACCTCATATGTAGACTGTTGTGATTTTGCGCTTCCACCCCGAGCCACAATTATTAGCTCTGTTCTCTGTCAGGAACACAGTAGGGGCATGTAGTGGTGCAGCACTTGCACAACGAGAGATGGCAGAGCAACCGTGGCGCTATCTGGGGTCCCCAAGCTACTTGAACGCATCTGAAAGCTATCCAGAATACCCGTATTTACCAGACAAGTAAGTATATGGGGTGAACTTGAAGAGGTACTGGGAAACAAGCATGTGAAAGTTAGTGACGGCTTAGCCATGGTCGAGGTCGTTTGGGTAAAGAGGATGTACATTCACTGCTTAAAAAGCAAATGGAAAAAGTGTGCAGTAGAACAAAGGGATTGAAATGACTGGTCAGGCTTGAAAAAAATGGACAGTGATAGCTGAAGCTCAGCGAGGGTTATAACTACTGAGAACATACGGGAATATTAGTTAGAGATCTTTGCGTTAGTGTACACTGTGTATATCACGATAGCTGGATCTCTACATAATCCCCAGTGAGTAAAATGTTCGTAATGGGCCTTGCTTTTCCTCCAATATCATTAGGTCTTTAGTCAAAATTTAATTAAATATGCGCCACTACCCACGTGAGTTACATATATATTGTACAGGTTACTGCATCAGTGAACTACCTGCTCCTAATTTCATATAACGTGAGCTCGAGCTTTCCTTTTGTAGTGATTCCAATTAATGGACACTTCAATAAACACTCAGGGAGCCCCTTCCCTGCTTTTGAATAGAAGTGCACTCAACATATACCTTTATTTCTTGTAATCAGCGTAACGACGTGAGAAAAGGGACGGTAAAGACTGGAGAAACCTCTTCAGTATCAGAAATTACACGGCCACTACTAAAGCATGGACAGCTTTCTTTGAAAAGTAAAATATGCCCACACAAAGACAAAAGAAAATTGCCAGTTGACGAAAGAAAGTATTTCACTAGGGAGCTTGTCACATTTAATCGGATTATAATAAAACAGGAATGGAGTTATATGGTGACTGAAAAGAATATTTCGGACTTGCAACTGCGACTCGGGATCGGAAGCGTTCTATCTCAACGGGGTCACTGAAAATCCGTGGTATCCCGGGGAGGCACCAAGACAGTTAGGGTCCCAGTTCTTGATTTGCTCACCCTCGGCCTAGCTGATCTGTAAAATGCATTTATGGACCATAAAGTGCTTAGCAACATGGCGAGGCCCGTCGCGATACTTGTGATAAGTGACGTTTGTCATCCTATAATTGCCAACACTCCAGAGGCTGGTGACACTGAGTTTAAGCCGCGGGCCTAGTATCTATTGGCAAAAATAGCTGTAAGGGATGCTGGAAAGCTGAAAACTGCTTTTATCTGTAAATTTGAATATAGGCCATCGTGCAAGGCTGCAGTGGTAGAGATTCTTCCCATGGGACCCAAGCTTGTAAACACACGCTCCTTCGAGAAAACCCAGCTATAGCATCAATGAGCAGCATAACCCCTGTTGAGCAAGCTGAGACAACGTAGGCACAGGTAATTCGCCGTGTACAATTTTGGTAATATTTAATCGCGTCTCGTGCTGTTTGCGAAAACTTAGAGACCACTTGCTGCACGCCAAAAATATAGCCGAAGTCGAACGAAAAATAAATACTTGGTGTGGAACAGTTGATAAGGCTTAGGACACTATGGTTGTAGATACCACTGCAATAACTGAGTATTTCAATCAAGTATACCTCAAAACAGTTTGTCTCAATTGTGGCCGCAGCATCAACTGGGCCTTCATTAGCGACGCATGCAGTGCCAATCCCTGCGGCCGAAGATGTGTCTCTTATGAGGGTAGCGATTGTGTTAGCAGGCTTGCTAGCTTATTGCGCTTCCCGTAGCTCTTGGTTCATCCACAAGGATACCAAGAAGCCAGGCAGTTTCCTTATCAGATGGCATCAAACGATCGATACGTAGGCCTAACGTTTTTTCTTTGTCAGTAATTGTTACTGTCGCATTAATCTGGATTTCACTACCGGTATAGCTCTAACACCAGAAAGAGCGCCTCAAAAAGCGGTACTATCTTCATGAAATACATCTTAATAGATGGGGCAGAGCGAGAAGTGCACCCTATCCTGATAAATATTATTAAGATAAAGGAAGCTAGAGTAAGTACATATGGCAAAATTAAGCAGACACGCTTTGGCTCGGTTATGGTAAATGACCTGCGTGGCCTCAATGCGGAAGTAATAGAGCTAGATTTTATTGGAATTAGAAAGATAACTCTAGTAACAGACGGTATGTAAGAAATTACCAACATAAATCCTGAGCCCGACATTCCAGTAAGGCTGGATTAAGATGGTCGATGCTACCACGTCAGGCCGTAGATTCAGCATGCTGAGCCGGGAGCCGGGAGCCCATTGTCGAAGAAGAAGAAAGTGAAAAAAGCAAGAAGAAGGGAAACCCCACCTGCAATACTGTAAGATATTTATAGGCTGGAGATAGCGATTAACAGCAGAATAGAAAGCAAGCAATATACTAACCGAACAAGCTCCACGTATAGTAGAAGCTAAGCGCCTCGACTAAAAGTCCAGATAGCAGAGGGCCTAGTACCAATCCTAGGTTGAAGAATATCTCAATCAAAGAGAACAGACGGGAGCTCGCGCCGTAATCACCGAAGACCGTCGGATCCTTTGACTGTAGTTCATGCATGACCCCTGTTGCCGTGGCTCTATTAGAATAGTCGTGGAGCAGTAAAAACAAAAAGAGGAGACGCAACGCACAAGTCATCTGCAACGCTCCCCCACCGCGGACCAGACTGAGCATAACACCGATGCCAGCTATACATGTAAAAAAGGAGGCTTTGCCATGGGTTTCAGAGCGGCTCCAGGAAAAGGTGTTAGAGCCAGGGACCCCGAGCAGCCAGAGTAATGGAGCTAAGAGGATCCAGCCGACTGTAGTTAGATATCGATACCCTAGACGGTCGCGGAGACATCCGACTAGTGGACCGAGGATTACTTGAGGGAGCTGTAGCCCAAGAAAGATCAGTCCCACAGTCATGCTTTCCCAATGGAAGATACTACGCAGATGGAGAGGCAATATCGTGTTAAAACCGGCTGTGATAATATTATACAGAAGGAGGTTGGCTGCCCCTGTAAGGACCCTAGGCTCTCTGAACATGGCGCCATAAAACCCCGGGCGCTGCTTGGGGCTATCTGACGGATCAGCCTTGGAAGGCATTGTGTTAAAAGACAAATAACCATGTGGCGATGATGATGATGATGATGATGGAAGCAATGTAGACGACTCGTCCTGGCCTTGCGGCTCCACGGCTTCTTGCGAAATACTTGACGAGGATGAGGCCACCGCGCGGGGACCAGGAACAGAGGAGGGACTATCTCGCCTCTCAAGCATGACAAGGCGGACGATAATATTGAGGACAAGAACTACTAGGGGAGCGGTCCAGGCAGTCCAGTACCCAAGGAGCTGGAGGAGTATTCCACTGATCAACGGCCCCGTGACGATGCCCAAAAGCGAAAAGGACATGGTCAGCCCCATAGCCTTCCCCATGTCTTCCTGTCTGACGTTATCTGCTAAGGTGGCATAGCCCACAATCCAGGAGGCTGATCCAGCGACCCCTTGTATCACGCGGCCGAGATACAGCACCCAAACTGTGTATGGGTAAGCAATACAACTAACTCTTCCTGAGAAGTCCGGCAGGAAAGGAACTCACCTGATGACGCGATTGCAATCAAATATGTCCCGGTTAGAGATACTGCGAGGGAAACCAGAAAGGGCACCTTGCGATTGGGGGTCTTGTCAGTGAAATAGGCAATTGGCGGTGCAACCACGAGAGCGACCAGACCGTGAAGAGCAAGCAGGGCGGTGGTGTACCGCTGCGTTTCGGATGGGTCAATATTTAGACGGACTTCCAGCATGTAGCTCAGCATAGGGATAATGAAGCTATACAGAAAGGTTTCTATGGAGTCTCGGTTAGTTCAGTCCTTGATAGCGAGGGACTTAGCCAGTTACAGGATGGGACACAAGGCAGGTGCTGTACCAGCGAACAAGGCAATGCTGATAGTGGTGATGATGAAAGGCTTCGCGGATCGCCATCTGTAGCCCCAGGCGTCCATGGCGTAAAATGATAAGACGTGGCGACCGGGAGTGTGGATAACGAGTAAACTCACCACCTGCATCCGAATTTCGACCCCTAACTATCCTATCTGCTGGTCAGACTGAATGGACAAAAAGGAGGAGCAGAAACCTAGATCATCAGGTTGTAGCATTCAGCCTTGATTGCTTTATGTCGTTCTCCAGAACCATCGACTACGGAGTTAGATTACAAGAAACGGCAATCGTTAGCAGTCGTGCATGTATTTCAACGGAGAAAATATCTCCGATTGTTCCAATAGGCTACATGACCTGGAAGGGATTTACGTTTCGAATGTGCTGAAAACAGGAGCCTGCAACCTAAAGTCCCTGCGTTAAGAAAAGAGCTTTAAGGCTGTCTTTCTCCGTTTCCGGAGACGATCAAACCAGTCCGTGGGACTCTTCAGCTCCTCTCCAGAATGTAGCCATCATAGAGGAATAGAACAAAGCCTGACTACGACGTCTATACAGCTATGCCTGAGCTTACGTTATATTTGTTGACGAAACTGTTTTTACCGTACATTCCACCAGGTCCCTCAAAGCTTCATCGGTCTCTTTCATGATCAAACCATCGCACCTGGCTTTTTTACTACTATACTACCTGGGCATCGTGGAACTTAGACCTCGCCATAGCCCGCAGATTTGCGGGTTGGAAAAACCAACCCCCCGACCCTCAAACCCGCATGGATAACCCGTTACCCGCAAATAACCTGTTTTTGCATAAATCTCCCAGACCTTTCCTAAACAGGACGGATAAAATGCTGAATCAGCCTAATAAATAACTGTTATTTATACTTGTCTCAGTTATAAGCATTATTTGAACGATTTTCTAACAGTTTTTTAGAGAACTCTTTAAAATATATTTGTATTCTGATATCTTTAATATAGTAATAGACTATTCAGTTAAGATGGTAGGTGTTATGGGACGGACTTACAAGCAACCCTATATCATGGGAGGCTCTGCCTAAGGCATTGCTGCCAAGCCTTACCCCACAAATATTTCGTACAACGCGTTATTCCTGTCAATTAGCTATTTCTTCTTGTCCAATAGGCACGCTTAGGTCAGAACCGTCCCGTAACATTAGAAATAGCTAATTACCTTCATCAAGTGCTGGAGACCAGCTTCACGTACCATAAGGAGCATGATATGAATCTATACGAGACCACGTGATCCTAGTGGCTTGGCCGGATCATCGGCTCCCAACCCCTGAAGGCTTTACCCATTAGTGACAGAGACAAGCATAGAAGCAGTCAAGATAGTTGATACAGTCATCTATAGAATTGAGTATCTATCGGAATGGCATCCGGTCCTCAGTAGGCTACGTACGTGTAGCTGATACAGCCTCATCCTGCCTATCTTTCCCCTGAGATCACAACACCTTGCATGTGGTTGGAAGCCGCTGTCGATGACATTATCGAATGGATCTTTCGTTACAAGGACCATCTTCGAAGGCTTTTTTTTGGACCTCAGGAGAAATATGATCGCATTTTAAGCTAATAGCGATATAAGTGTGTTTCGTGGAGAAAATTGTAAGGCCGAGCTATGGCCATCGCCGCTTTTTCAGGGCAGAACCCCTCTGCTCCCGCAGTAATGCAATTGCTTGTCTAGGATACAGCTCACCGTGCATACCCTTCCCATCTCCCAACTCAGCCTTTTACCATACGTGTTGACACCTAACTGTTTGATTCCAAGTTGCGTCTCTCACCTTGTTTATCCGTAAGCACTTGGTGGTGCCTCTGTAATAATGAGATAGCTGCCGATCATGAAGCGACATGTGTGCACACAAAACGTGATCATGCCATGTATGTAGTTCAAGTCGCGTAATATATATATATTTTGTTAGCTACATATGAGAACCGAGCCTCTCACGATTAAGCATGTGTAAAATTGACCGTTCTATATGGGGATTCTAAAGTCAATGAAGAAGTTGGCAAAATACTCTCAAGAAACGTTTCTTGATGCTAGCAGGTTCGACTTGTTATCCTCGGTCATAGAACTCTTTGAATTTGTCTCAAGTACACCCTAAGTCTATCGGTGACTGATATGTGTGGTCCTCGTCCACGGAGTACTCAACTATAACTAGGCTGAAATGCTGACCCATGCTCTAACAACTCTGAGCTATAGGATGTCTGCTTGGAGTTGATTTCACACACTGCAAAACTCCAGATCAATATGCTTCAAGCTCATAGCTGGCGTAGATAAACGGTCCCGCCCCTTTGTAATCATTCTGCGCAATAGGCACAGACACATAATACTAGATATAGTCAGCATATATTCTTCGTGCATAATTTTCAAGGAGGTATGCTATCTCTCTAATTCAAAGTCTCACCTCAAAACTGCCGTTACTGCTCAAACTTCCCACCTCCACCGTCCCCTCCCAGTTCAGCGTCCCGTTGTCATTCTTGCTCAGAAACCTCTCAACTAAAAACTTATACCCCTTAAGAGCATCCAGGAAATAATCCCCTCTTTTCAAGTATCCTTTGCGGATTCCCTTTAGGAAGCCGTAAGTAAACATAGCAGAGCCACTGCTCTCAATGTAGTTCCTAGGATCGTTTGGATATAGCCCATTCATGATCAACCACCACCCACCACTTTTATCCTGAGTTTGTTTGAGTGCTTCTGCGAGTTTCTGGAACCGATGTAGATTCCTCTGCCAGCCTGGGTGAGACATAGGGAAGCAATCAAGGATGTCCACAAGGGACATAAAGTACCATCCAAGAGCGCGATTCCAGACAAGGGGTGCGCCACCTGTCTCAGGATCTGCACACGCAGAGAACATGGTTATTTGCAGGTCGTGCTAATGAGAGGGAAATAGAATGGAGGCAGAGAAGGAGAAAAGGGTGCAACGTACCAGCCCAAACAGCAGTTTTACTATAGTCAAAGCCGTGAACTAACAGACCATCCGTCGTCAAACAATGCTCTTCGATCAAGTCGAACTGCAGCATAATATCATCCCAGGCGGTACTGTTTCCGGGATCAAACCATGCGGTATAAAGCGCATAGAAATTGGTCACCATGTAGATCCCGTCCAGCCACATTTGATTGGGATATGTCGGGTAGCGATGCCAGAGCCCGCCACCCTCATTACGCGGCGTGACATCGATCTGGTGTCGGAGGACATCGGCAGCGAGCTTGAACTTCTCTTCCCCAGTGGATGCCCAGAGAGCCAGGAAATTGGTACCGATCCGGAGATCGTCGACGGAGATTTTGGCGCTGAGGTTGTAGTTAATCAATTCGCCCGAGTCACTTACCACAGCGGACATTTGAGATTGTAGGAAGTCAAGGTAAACTGGATCATGGGTTTTGTTGTAGGCGAGTTCGATGCCTCGGTAAAGAACTCCATTCGCGTAGTTCCGGGACAAGCCCACGGATTTGGAGAGATAAGAACTCGCCATCCATTCCGTGTAGTTGTTGTTCTTTGCCGCCAGTGTGGTGGCTACCGTGGCGGCAAGGACACTTATTGACAGTTTCATATTGAGTAGTATATTTTAGCTATGTCAATTATATATATTTTCCGTCCTGTCTGAGGTATGTACATAACACTTTCTCGGTTATATACTCCGTTAGATTAACGCCGTTTTCTGAAACCACGTCTCTGAAGCCAAGAAACGGAGGAATTATTGACTTTTACCCACGGAGAAACTTTATCCACGTACTTCTCCCGGAAGTTGGCCGATCCAGATCTGGTGGAACAAGAGGTTAGAGATCAATGGTGGAATTTTATGCCTGGTCTTCTTGTCTATTGCTTGGATCGATATCGATCGTAGCTGAAGGTATGCCCTCGCCGCTGCGCCTCACTGTATGTTACAATTAAATTGGATATATATAGCTATACAATGAATTGCCATACACCAGGGACACTAAGGCCTAAAAAAGAAAGGGCATTATTGAAGAGAATCACAACATTCATCTCATATTTCACTACAATTTCTTTCTAGTTGTATACCTGAGCATGCAGACCGGGCAGGATCTCGAGGTCCTTCGGCCTATAGGTAAATTTCCCATCATCGGAAATCTTCGCATCCCGTGTGCGTCTCTGCTGCTGGGTTTGTCGCACCTTTACCCATTGCTCGGTGGTGAGATGCTGACCTATCTCGGTGAAAGCATTCTGTGTGAGCCCAAGCCGGTTTAACAAAGGACTGTTCTGAATTGGATCAAGGACAACATGATTATTTGGCCTATAAAAGCATTAGAATGTATTAGGAGACCGAGCTTACTTGCGAACCTACCGCGCAAAGTATAACACGCCAAGCCGATCCACATGGGCCTGATCGGCAGGCGGCACATGGACACGATGGATGCTCGACTTGATCAAACCGCCCGTCAGCGCAGTCAACGCGTCGCAGGTGTTGATCGTAATGGTCCCATCCTGAGGGCGCACCCATTTCCATTCGCCTTCGGAATTGAGAATCTGCAGCGCAGCAACCGGTTGGCGGAATAGTAGAGTGACGGTCCCCAGATCCGTATGGCCGGGGATATACATGCCACCGACTTTCTTGTTCTCCTCTGCACTGCGTGCTGCATAGTGCATGTACCGAAGATGGTCCTCGCCTTTCACATTGTATTGATGGTCGCGGACGAGTTGATCTTCTTCAGGAAGTTCGAGAAGGATGGCAAATAGACGGAGGAGCTTCTCCACTACTTCTGTATGGCATTTCTGCAAATCTAATCTTAATAAATCTCTCGAAACTACACCCAAGGTAGTGTACATACTCGACTGAATGCTTCGATCTCCGCAATATTGTCGGCGAGAATAGGGGGCTGTTGTCGCTGGTGATAGCCATCGAACTTTGGAATATTGTATACTTGCACGTTGTCCTTGATGCCGTTCCCAAGGCTGGTGGAGTTTAGTCTTTGTCCTTACTCCTCGGATTGAGGGCGTTACCTCCGGTGGCCAGCGGGCCTGTATCCGTTGTATTCTCCACGTTCGAGGTCGGTGCTGCTGTGGTACTTGAGTTTCTCTTCAAGAGGAAGCGCGTAAAACTCGCGACCGAGGGCAAACTGACGGTCGATCTCGTCTTGGCTGATGTTGAAGTTCTTCACGTAGAAGAAGCCTGTCACCGGGAACATTAGCCAAAGCCCTATGTATAGATAATCATACATACCAACATGCCGCACTGCATGGTCTAATTGTTCAACTAGAGCTTCCTTTCCACCTGGCTGGTCATACTGGCTGAGGTCAAGGGTTATCAGTTCGGCCCAGTCGACTGTCATGTGAGCTTCAGCGGAAGATTCTTATCGATTCGGATCGTTGCTTACGCTTTTCTTGAGTCACTGGGACATGATCGTATCTATCGATGAGCCGGGCAGGCATCTTTCCGAGAAAGGTACAGATGATTCTTTAGGGATGTTTTAGGTTGTGTCGATAGGGGAAGGCAAAGGCCCGAGCAAGACAGAGAAAGAGAATAAGAGAATATAAGCACCAGTGTCAGATATTCCTTCAACCCCGCATAGCTAAAATGCCGATGAATTACTAAAGGACCCGTCAAAGCACGCAATGACTATCGTGGATTTTGAGCAGAGTGATTGGAGCATATTTAAGATAAGGGCTCGATAGGTTGATGTTATACCGGGGTCGAGGCACGCCATCCCGCAGCAAAACAATACTCGCAATCTCTTGATAGAACGAACGGCACAGCAAACCCGTCATATTTTAATCTCTCCTCCCATCACGACAGGTTGTGGAGCCGTGGTAAATATATTTATAGTGTTCGGATAACTAAATCGTGTCAAAATGTACGATCGGAGAGGTGATATAAATCCATGCAGTCAAGCAATTGCCGATTATTCGGGGTATATTAGGTCGACGAAATCCGGCACGGGCCTAGTATAACAATGCCTGGCTGCAACTCAAACGGTGGAAAGCTGGGTGCATTGGCAGTCCTGAAGGAGGTCTTCAATTGGTATCCGTCCCATTATCCTACGAGCGAGCGAAAGTCAGTCATCCATCCAAGTATCTCTGTTAACTATCTGACCGTATAGATTGCTCTTCAATCTGGACATATCAATCTTGTTGTTCTCCTGTCTCTGCTGTAAGATATCCTCAACCCAACCCATTTGATTATATCTAACGGATCCTAGTCTTTGTCAAGTACCTGGGTGCATCCATCCGCATCGGGTGTCCACACTCCGAAGTTGACGCATGTCAGACCAAACAAATATCAGCAATGCATACGTTAGCGGACTCAAAGAGGACTTCACCCTAAACGGGAATGAACTCAATTACTTCAACATTTGCTACTACGCCGCCTATGTCCTGTTCCAGATTCCGGGATTACTGATGATGTCCCGACCGAAGTCGTATGTAAACAGGATGCCCCGCGTGGATACAAGATTGACTAGATTAGAGCTCGATGGTTACTGCCCAGTCTTGAAATCCTCTGGGGGGTTTGCACCTTCGCGCAAAGCCGGGTCGCCAACGTCAGCCAGCTCTATGTGATCCGATTTCTAGTTGGCATGTTTGGAGCCCCCGTATTTGTTGGGACTCATTTTATTCTTGGTTAGCTCTCTCCCACTCCCATCCAATATACTCGCTGATTGTTAAAGGGTCCTGGTATTCCGGCCCAGAGATCTCCAAAAGGGCGGGCACTTCGTTTATTTGTAATGCACTAGGGACTATGATCAGTGGATATCTGCAAACCGCGGCCTACACGAATCTATCGGGGGTCGGGGTATGCCGGGATGGAGATGGCTATTCATCATCGATGGATTATTTATCATCCATATGGCGTTGCTTGGATTTGCCATCTTCCCTGATATCCCAGGCTCACCTCGACCCTTCTTTCTAACAGAAAGTGACATCGCCTAGGCGAAAGACCGGGCGCGGAGGGCCAAGATTCGCCGGCCATGGAAAATGGGGATAGACGTTTTCAAACGCACTCTCAAGCGGTGGCATATCTGGGCGTTCATCTTCTGTTATGCGTGAGCTGGATTTTCTCCCTTCGGTGCGATGCTGATTTGCTATCAGATGCATGATTATATCTCCATATCCAACGTTATATATGAGCCTCTGGCTGAAGGGCGAAGGCTACTCAGTCACCCAGATTAACAAATTACCGACTGTCACTTATGCGATCAACACGATCAACATTGTTGCCTCTTGGCTGGGGACGACCCTCGCCGCGATATATCTTACGTGGCTTACTTACACCATCGCGTTGGTCTGCTGTCTCTTCTCCGCGTCATGCATGATAGTCTGGAATATCCCAACTGGACTAAAGTAGATGACCTCGGAATCTGTATTTTTGAGCAGACTTCTAACCCGGTCACAGGTTCGTCGCATGGTATCTCTTCGGACGACGGGATGTACAAGTCCGATCCTATACTCGACTGTCAATACCATTGTCAAAGACGACTCAGAGGAGCGTGCCCTTATCATGGTATGCCACCGACATTAATTAGATGGTTGAGTTATATTTGAATAAGATGCTAACGGATGGGTCTTCTAGGGCTCGATGATGACCTTTGGCTACTCGTTCCAAATCTGGGTACCGCTGCTCCTATTCCCAACCGCTGGTCCCGACGATGCGCCGCGATGGCGAAAGGGGTGGCCTGCGGCATTTGCCTTTTTCGTTCTTCTGTGGCTTGGATTTATCGCAGCTATTGCGATACATCAATGGTAAGAAAGCGCACCGGGTAGATGTATCTTTGTTCTCATTAAAGGTCTAGGGAACAAAGGCGAAAGGGAACTAACGTATATCCTCTACGATGAGCGCGACGGAAGAGAAGACGAAGACGCAATTTTAGTTGAGGTTGCTGCGAATAATAAAGGTGGGAACTAGACGATGATACCGAGGTGTCAGACTTGACCCTATTATGGCTACCAGCTTCCTCGCTACGATTGACAAATTTTTTATCAGATCATTAGATCAAGTATAGACATGGTATCACTGGCCTTTTGTGGTATTGTACATATGATGCCTGCATTCCCCCCGTTTATCGTTTCATTCGCATGTTACATATAGGAGACATTTTCAGATTCTACCCATTGCAGGGAGGGCTGGCTATAAAATAGCTCCCATACCTGATTATCGTCCCATGCAGCATCGGAGATCACACTTTCACCGAGACAGCTATTCGTCAGCGGCAGAAGGCTATCTTGATTAGGCTCAGTTGAATTGGGGGCGGCCACATCCTGTTCCTGAAGGTCATCCACAGAATCATGCTCATTTGTATGGAGTCCTGATTGAGGCGATCGCTGTGCTTGCTCTGCTTGTAACGCCATGAGAGGGCTACATAGCGTGATAAACCGCACAAAAAGCTTATGAAGCTTGGCTATGAGCCGATTGTTCTCCACAAAGCGTGAGAGGATCTGAGTTACATCGCTTATGAGGGTAAAGTCCTCGGGATTGGACGTGCCCACGACGCTACAAAAGAGAACGAAGAAGGGGGTTAATGGGTGGAGCAACATTGTCCTATGGGCGGAATATTAGCAGGATCGACGCGGAGGAAAAATGGGAGAGGCGAACCAGGTAAGAAAGATTGGGCATAACACAGAGGAGCCCTTGTCTTTGAGACACATCTCCGAGAGGCGCTTGAATGAGTACAGTGCCTTGCGGGCGGCCGAAAGGCACTCGGCACGCGTCAAAGGACCTTTCAAAACGAAGGGATTGGAGCGGAGAATTGTGGTGAGAACTGTATAATAGCCGAAGTCCACGGCATTCCATCCATACTCAAGATAGGCAGGGGTTGCCGCTCGACGCTGCAGCAACACTGTCAGATACTTAAGGGAAGCAAGAGTGCGTTGAGGCGACTATTTACCTCATCATAGGTAGCCCGTAGGCGATACATATCTTGCGCAAGCGCTGTAACCGCATTTGCCTGGTACGATTGGTCCCAGCTGTTGGCGTACACGGTAAGCCCGAGGACCTTTTCTTGCATCTTTCCCAGTTCGACAACCGTCTTCACCACAATTGATGTAGGGAATGAGGTGTCCACAGTAACCAACGAGACCGGATCGATATCCAACGATGGAAGGGAGGGAGGCCGAACAAGTAACATACTCAGGCTTTTATCGAGATAATAACACCAAGCCACAGCGGCTTGGATCTCCTCTGATACAGTGCTAGACTGATGAGTCTGTCCCAGGTTGTGGTAATTAAGAAGTACAATAATACGGGCAGCGTAGGCAGTAAGTGCCCAGCTACGGGACATATCCCCTCGAAGTTGCATTAAGAGTGCCTGCGCAAAATCCGATTAGTCTAGCTAGCTGGCGCGCTGGCAATGAAAGGACTAACCCCAGAGAGTAATGCTTGCAGTAATTCTAATGACGGGTAGTTGGAGACATTGATTCTATCCAAAGCTCTTGAAGCCGCATATTCATATCGCTCCTTCGATCGTAGTATTTGATGCTGGAGGTGATTGTTATCGGGTGATCCTGGTACATTAAGGAGGCAATAGATGGACTTCAGATAAACAGTGAGTTCATAATAGCTACGCTTTGGCTCCGGAACCTTCCCTTCCATCAAGGAAAGGCACATGTTTTCCAATATTCTTGGAGGGATATGGTCCATCCAATACTGGCTGGGCTCCTTCCTCGTATCTAGTAAGTTAGCGATCGCACCACGAGGGGTTCAAGCCTGCTACATACCTGCCATCATCATATAGAGCATCTCTGAAGCGAAGGGTTGCCTCTTCTGATCATCTTCCTCACGCCATACAGCGCTGTCAGGACGGGTATCCTCCGTTTGAAAGGGTGTATTAGAGGCCTGCTCTACAAATCTGAGGGCAGATTCAAGAACTGTCCGCCGGCTGCGCACCATGTCTTCGTTACAGTCAAGTTCCTGTTGTAGAAACGTTCGAGCCTCGGTAGTGGGCCGAATGGACATATCCGACACCACTGTCGTAGTCGCCGGGCTCGTTGGATTGGCTGAGTGGAGTATCTCATAACTGCAAGCGGTTCGAGGGGTGTATTCACTAGACGGAGTCGCTGGTGGAGCTAGGTGTCTGATGTCTGCCGTGGTACTACCTCCCTCGGCGGTGGAGGCAATAAGGGCTTCAAGGCCGGACTGTCTTCTAGATTGATAAATGGCTCTCGCCGAGCTCTCCAGTTGAGCTAGACGGTCTGCGATGGAAAGCGACCTGCTTGTCAAGTCAGTTGTCTGAGCCCAGAGCGCGTACGGAGCAGCGGGACTCTACTTAGAAACCCGAGGGTGTACTGGTCGCCGGCGCCGGTTTCGATGGCAAGAAGCCCGCGCATCTACACAGTTCATACACGGGTCTCCTCGATCACATTTGATCTACACGGCCCGAGTTAACATTATGACCACCCCGAGGAAACCGTAGGGCTTCGTGCCTTCCTGGAGTAACATAGATCACACTAGTGTCTGTTAATATCAATATGTCTCAATTACGAACCATTCAAATCTCCATTATGGCCTTTCTACCCGATAAAATAGTCGGCAGACCACTGGAGTAAATATGAAAACGGGGCAAGGGAGTATGTACCGCGGGCCTTTCACCCCGATAGCCAGTGGCCATGGTGTTCTCAGTCCACCATTTAAATAGTTAATAATACCTGAAGAAGACAAGAGGGTAGTGAGATTCAAACATCAACGATAGAATTTTGCCTCAGAAGTCGTGGAAGAAGAAGTTTTAGTTATGCCATCTAAAGGGCCGGAAGAGCACGTCGATACGGCTTCCGACAGCTCCGAAAAGTCCGACCGAAAAGGGAATACGGCCCGAATAGAAAAGGAAATGATCGACGGTGTTCTGCTCAGAATATCTTCTGCGGAAAATTGGAGATTGATAGAGATCTCCGATGACCCACCGTTAATCTTCACTTAACATTCGCCCTATATCTTGGGCCCGACCAAAGATGCCTTGGTCTCCCTGTACGAAGAAGAAATAAATTATCCACTTAGCAATTCCCTCTAGTCAGCATAATTAATACCCGTGGAAGCTCCTTTGTATCCGATATATTATTGTTGTCTACGATAAAATCATATGGTGGTCGCCTCTCAACAAGTATCTCTTCTCGTATCCTCGTTCGCTATCTCCATAGGTAGGTCATTCCTAGTCTTGGCAGCATGGAATAGGTTTGCAGGGCGTGCACTTTCTCCTCACAGAAGGCTGACATATCCCTGGTTTGTCGCTGTCTCTGTCCTCGAAGAGCGCTGAGGTTTCCGTTCAAGCATGAGTTAAAGAAGTCAGTCCGAAAATATAGAAAGTTATTCGGGTTATTCAGGAAGTTCAACTTGGAGCTATGTACACGCGAGCTTCGAACCTCCAACTGTCTTTGTGCAACAGGTTCAGGATTCGGAAATTATGGTTAAGCTTAAGCGGCGAGCAGATTAACCAGGATCTGTAGCACCTTTTATGTACGGCCACCAGGTAGTGTTCTACTTAGATAGAAGCATGTCACTTCCGCTTCGTCTCGGAGGATTTTTCTCAAGTAAAAGCATGCGCTACAACTGATTACATCTTGTTGCGGGCTTTATATCATTGCTAAAGGTAGTTCCATGTATACTTCTTACACATGAGTCTAACTAGTCCTTAGCCACTCGTGCTCGGTGGTCCTCATCCTCGCGTCAAGTCAGAAAGTCAAGATGTGCCAGGTAACGTCGGGAAAGGTCAGAGTTGAATAGAAAGAATTAATACAAAGGTAGAATGAAGTGAAGGTAATTCCTAATAGATCATGTCGAAGTTCAAACAAAAGGACACTGTTCGCTTCCTGGTACACCGGCCACAGAGACCGTGGAAGTGACCGTCACGATCTTCACGCCGTCGTTGCTGGGGATCTGATTCGGAGCGCCAGTAACTAGTGCTGTGGTAGTACTGGTGGAGCGCACAACCGCGGGCGTAGGAGTGGGAACCTTGTCCAAGGTCACAGGGTGGGAGTAGTCTGAGCACCAACCAATAGTCTTAGGCACAATTCCGGGCTTCACAGATCGGGACGAGGTAGAAGTGGTGGATGGTGATGGAGTAGGATGGGTAGAATGGTGATGGTGGCTGGAGTTAAAGCCGTGGGAGGAGTGGTGAAAAAGATGAGAACTGGAACCGGTAGGGCTCACCGTGACATAAACGGTTGACACCGCAGTAGTGGGACCGCAGGTGGAAGGGGATGGTTGGGAGATAGGATCAGAACAGCTGGTGCCATCTACGGCATCCGAGATAGTGAACCGTTCTCCCTGTGCGTGGATAATGTACACATTGGTGCCGTTGATGGCACTGATCTGGTAGCCCCATTCGGGGTTGGTGTCGCAGGGAATCTGCACCGAGTAGGACTGATCCGATGTGGGCACATTCAGAGCCAGAGGGACATAGGAAGGAGGCCAGGAAACAAAATTCCAGAGGTAGAGGCTGAATTCAGAGGGATCCGTGTCAACGGTGCTCCAGTTGACAGTGATCGTGGATCCAGCCGCGTAGGTCGAGTTGGCAGCCGGTTTAGCGATGCTAATGGCAGACACCAAGGGTGCGAGCACCAAGCCAAAGTGGATCAGGGAGATCATTATTCTGTGTTCTTTTTTTTCTTTCGACGTCCTGCTGACTCTTTCGAAGTTGGGGATAGGCTGCGGCTGGGACACAGCAAATGAAGAAGAGTTGAAGAGGCAAAAAAAAAGCCAAAAGAGGAAAGATCCACGAGACTGAGTAATCACTCAAGCAGATGCGAAAATAAAGAAACCAAAACGAGTGACTAGTGGTAAGACCAAACGAATGACTGTTATTGACAGGGAGCGTGATAGTGATCAGCAAACGGGGGATCCACGAGAATTAAGTAGTTCGTGAATCTCTTACTCGGAAATTAAGCCGTAAGGCAGATGAACCCATCTTCTCCATCAAAATGACTCTTCATTAAACTAGTGGCTTTTGTTCCGGCCGGAAGCCCACTATCAATCCCCAATTGGTGATGTTTGAACGGGGCTATGGAACGGCAAGGCCTGTGCTCGCCTAGTGCCTTGGCTTCTACTCCAAAGTATTCAGTTCTTGCCTCGTGGGATTGGGGATAATCTGTACGATCACTCTATTAAAGTGCTTGGAACGTCACTCAGAGTGGGTATTTCTCTCATAGCAGATATAATTTGCTTATCGAGCAACAGCGAATAACACGTTGAACGTGCTTGATCAGTAAATAAATGGTCAGCTTCAGGGGCAATAAAAATTACCCAATTTCCAGTTGGTCCAACCATCGAAGTCTGGCTGAACCTAGACTAGTTAACGGCGCCCCAAGGTTACATTCCAAATGAGGTGTCATTTTACTTAATTTGGGTCTCCTTTACTATATATATCACTAGAACAGCTTTTCCGCTCTATCCCAGCAGGGGCTCATTCCCAATGTTCGCATCCCACGCCTTTCATTATAAATATGTTTCCAGACCGCAAATAGGCGATGTCACCCTGTGAGACTAGCCCTTCGAGACCCTCTTGCTGTTCTCTGCAAAAACGCAACAAGTGAGAAACCCTCCCCCTTATTGTTGACATAGCCATTGGCAATTTCTCTTGTCCAAAAATTAATCTGGCGTCCTGCTTCGCGTCTAGACTCAGAAGTACCCCCTAGTAGAGGCTGATGCAACTGTAATAGTGCCTTTATAAGCTTTAGGGGCGCGATATAAATACTAGCTTATGTTAACCTGGCTTTAACAGGTAGTGGTTACCCCTTTCCTATTTTAGCGCAGTCATATAATTGCGCATCAGATACAGAGCCACTTACATGGTTGCTCTGTGGGGTCTTGCGAAATCCGGAATATCAATGGCAAAAGGGACATGGTAACCCGGTAAGCTGGTCTTTGTCGTCGTTTGGCGCTATAAAATGTAATGTTACCTTTGACCCTAGCCAACAAGTATTGATATCCTTAGCTATAGATACTCTGGACCCAATTGACTACTGCATTCTTGATCATTCGAGTCTGGAGCTATCGTGGGATAATTCTTCACGAACGTAGTTTTCTCTGCCACGGGAGGCCTGCCAAACATCCCATAGCGAATTACCGCATCGTAGTGGTTCCTACAGGCTCCGGATACCTAACGCGACATCAAACAATATGAAAATTGTCGTTGTTGCATAAGTCGTTAGGGCAGCAGGCATCACGGGACGTCTATCATTCACTAGAGGCCCGCCTCTGTAGAATAGATTGCAAGATATTTGTATTGAACGAATCAAAACGATCAGTTTTTCAACCCTATCAAACTATCTCAAAGGCCTACCTAGGTGGGAACCATGAGGCCATTTATATGTGGCCTGATTACCATAGTATTCAACAATCAACATACTTCTGTAGATGGTCAATTCACCAGACATATGTCAGGTGCCTGTGATACTAGGTAATTTCATGGGTGTATTCAATAACCTCACCGGCTACTAACACAGGGAGTGATCCAGAGTGTACACCGCTGCATGTAGCTGGTGGTAATGCACAGATGACCGCGTAAAATCCCTCTACCTGTAGGTACGCGCCGGATGAACTTTTATTCTTCCTATAAAGAGATGGACTGGGTTAGGAGCACGTATCCTGCAATGCCGCTCCTTCGTCCGGGACGTCGGCTTCAGTGCACCGTGCCTATTTTTTTTTAAAAGAATCGTGAAACACCCTCTACCATAATCAACCCCAAACCTGTCTGCCATTGCTTTATAGCTGTCAGGTAGGATAAACTATTGTTAATACCTTGGGAACGAAGACTCCGTCGAGCTGCCAACGTGGATATACGAGCATAATGTGCTTCAAAGGACCAGTGAATCCAGCGCGGGAGCACCTCTATCAGTTGGCATTGGTGCTGGCTCTTTGATAGTCCTAGGAGGCGCGGGCCCTTCCAGACAGATACGCGTCCGCTGTCACTGTACTCTGTAGGATGTAGTATTTAGGCATCTTTAAAACCCTACCATTAGAGGCGTTTTGCTTCTTGATTGATGCACCAGCTGGCAATTGTGCCTGTTACCCTGTTTACCGGCAATCCCTTGGACAATGCCCACCAGGCCTGGTGGCTGGAGTCGTAGTGGGTCGCGTGAAGTGAAAATCCAGACACTCTCGAAAGGGTCCAAGCTGAGAGAGGACGATTTTATGAAATGCGTGGCCCACTGGTTGTTGCAGAAACAAATTGGTATCATTCATAACTCTTTGTTGCCTTTCCCTTTCCAAGCTATCTGTCACTGACGGTGTGACATCTGGAATAGTCCTCTCATTCCAGCTCATTACTATCCTTCTTCTCATTCATCTTTGGGTACCCAGCCTAGGGCCATATATGTCGAAATTCTTTACGCTGTCGTACTATAACCACAGCTCCGAGAAGTATGGGATTGGATATAATGATTTCTATTTCATAGCTTTCTCGATTATACTGCTCACGGGGCTGAGAGCCAGTTGTATGAAGTACATTCTTGCTCCGCTTAGCCGGCGATGGGGGGTATCAAGAGCCAAGGATGCCACCCGATTTGTGGAGCAAGGATGGACGGTCATGTACTACAACATGGTCTGGCCATTAGACATGGTAAGCTGAGCTTCTGTCCCCAGACGTTGAGAGATGTGCGTGTTTGACCTGCTACAGTACCTTTACTACAAGTCATCATATTTCCTCAACATGGCGGAGCTGTGGACCGAATGGCCCCAGCGGGAACTAGATGGGTTGGTCAAGGCGTATTACCTGGGCCAATGGTTTTTCTGGATTCAGCAGGTGCTGGTAATCAACATTGAGGACCGTCGGAAGGACTATTGGCAAATGCTAACGCATCAATTTGTAACTATCGGCCTCATGACAGCTTCGTACGCCTATCACCTGACGAATTTCGGACACTTGATTCTAGTGCTTATGGACGTGATTGATCTTTTCCTTCCAGTAGGTCAGCCAAGGACCAATAGCGATAAACCCACTGACAACCTCAACAGCTAGCGAAATGCCTGAAGTATCTCGGCTTCACCACCATCTGCGATGTCCTGCTCGGGTGTTTCATTGTATCGTGGCTCTTTGCACGCCATCTGCTGTTTTTGAAGACTTGCTGGAGTATTTATACTGATTTCCCTCGGATAGGTCCTGCCGGCTGCTGTCGGGGAACTGCAGAGGATCTTCAAGAACCACTTCCAGTCCCAGATGACTGGTCGCATTTGATCGAGCCCTTTTATGATCCGGTAGGAACAGTCTGTATGAACAACAATATCATGTATAGCTTTTTATCGTTTCTTCTCTAGCTTCAGGTCCCGATGGTCCTATGGTTCATAATCATTGCGCGAATCGCCCTATAAATGTTGCAGGGCAAGAGAGCCGAGGCCCTTCGAAGCGATGGAGAACTGGACGAAATATCGGAGAATGAATAAGGAGAAATGAGGCTCCCTAGGATCTGGCTAAGAAGATCAGCGCGAACACGATATGTCAGAATAGATGGGAACGCTATACCGGTGGGAGCGTCGCGAACGCCAGCAGTGTGTGATTCTCCAGCCGCCAAGCTCAGAAAGAGCTATTGAATAGGATTGGATGCGATAAGCAAATTGGATGAGGAACAAGCAGAGAGCCAGAGCATTGCGAAATGATCGACTGACCTGGAATTGTTGGGTCTGTATGAATTTGACCGTCGTTGAATTTGCAGTCATGGTTCTCGACATGTGAGAAGAATATTAGTAGAACCAAACCGCAATTTAACAGTAATGAAATAATATCTCCAGCCCTTTCTCCAGAGAGCATTTGAGGTAAATATTCTTTACAAGTTTGTTTGTGGCTTATTGATGGAACGCCAACAGCACACATTCAATTATCTTCCCAAGTCTTTGGTTGCGGTGATCTTTCTTTTTCAAATTGTAGCAATGGCCCCAATTCTCTCGATGATCGTGCCTCCAGTAATGGCAATTCATATTAATATTCCGCTACTTTTAGAAAAGCCAATGGGATGAGACCAGATATAAACGCCTATGGACTTATTGTAGGAAGTAATAATAATAGAACTGGGAGAGTATAAAGCTATAGGCTAATGTATCACCACCGGCTTGGTCGGAAGAACACCCACTCTTCCATTCCCAGTACTTCAGGCTAAAGTGGGAATTAGCCGGAAGTCAAGGAAGGACTCCAGATGGATCTCCCCACGAATGACGGTTCAGGTTGGATGTGGGGGTACGGGTGGAATTTCATTGGTAAATATCTGGTATGCTATATATGGTCCTGCAGCGTTGGTGTGATCGTTGACGTCTTTGATATGTATCCATGTAAGGACGGGAAATTATACAGAGCATGCAGTCAGTAGGGTATTACCTGTATATTTTAGAGTAAATAAGAGAAAGCCGATTATAGCTCAACAATCAGCCATCCATGGTCTCATCAACCACAGTTATCACCTTGTTCCAGGCAGTGAATCACCCGCGGCCAAACCGAGCAAGCTTTGGAATACTACTCGGACACGTTGTCAACATGCATAGGCTTCTCAGCCAGCTTCTCATCGGCTGTATGATCCGACTGCTCGCCCAAAAGTGCCAAGAGGCCGATCTCGCGCTCGATCCTTCGCTTTCGGGCCTCGTCTTCCACGGCCATGCCTTGCGATCCAAACAGTTCATCCATCTCCTCCAGGGTACGGCCTTTGGTCTCCGGCACCAGAAACCACACCCACAGGACACCGATGGTGGTGACACACCCAAAGAAGATGAATGTGCCGTAGTTTGACGCTTTGAGAAACGGGGGAGTAGAAAGACCGACGGCGAAATTGTTAAGCTAGCAGCATGGTCAGAACGCTGTAGACAAATTATCAAAATGGAAAGGACAGAGCGTACCCAGTTACTGCTACCTCCAATACTAACTCCCTTGGCACGCATGCTCAACGGGAAAACTTCCGAAACGACAATCCAAGCAACGGGACCTGCGGAGGTCAGTATATAAGGTAGCAATCACTAACCTGTCGGACTTACCCCAGGCGTAAGCAAAGTTGATAATGAACATCCACACAAAGACGACAGCAGCCCATCCAGCCCCTTTGTGATCCGCAAACGTATGCTGATAGGATCCGATAATACCCGCAACGATGAAGTGGCAAACCGCCATACCGATACCACCGGCAATGAGAATCTTCTTACGACCGATGTTGTCGACCCAGAGAACGGCCGGAATGGTAAAGACGAACTCGAAAATCCCGGCGACACCAGTGGCTAGCAAGGAAGTAGTCGTTCCACCCAATTGAAGGTCTTCAAAGATTTGTGGACTGTTGTGTTTATTAGACGCGCCGGGCTGCTGTCGGACACGGCGGTTGACAACTTACGCATAGTAATTGATTCTGTGAAGCGTTAGCATACATCATCATTATTGCTGATGGAGAAGAATAACTCACGCGTTAATACCATTCCATTGCTGAAACACCATGACCAAGCACTATTTCCGTCAGTGATTGCATGTCGAAGCTTGCCAGTAACCATACCGCGACAGTAGTCCTTTTGAACAGCGACTTGTCCGTGACCAAGGACATGTAATCATGAAGCCCAATCATGAACTTGCTCTTACGCGACCCATCTTGGTACTGAGGGTACTTCTTGCGAGCAGTCTCATCCTCGAACATACGTAGAGCCTTGATCTCCAAGTATTCAATGCGAACGAGGATATCGTCGACGGAGGTATCGCGCAAACGGGCCAATGTTTGAAGACACTCTTCGTCTCGGCCTTGATTCATCAAATGACGTGGCGATTGAGGCATGAAAAGCATCATTCCTGCTGCGAGAACAAGAGCAGGTAGAATTTGGATGCAGACGGGGATCTCCCAGGCCGCAATTGACTGGCCCTGCCCGGTACCGCCAATGAAATTGGTACCATATCCGATCTAGTAAGTCAGAAATGACTCGCCGCCACTTGAGTCAGGGGTGTACTCACCCAGAAGCTGACCATGATACCAAATGTAATCGCCAGTTGCTGAACGGCGACTAAAGACCCTCGAATTTCAGGAGGGGCCTAGTAGAGTGAGCGAGGAACTCATTAATAATGGCCGTGGATCCAATATACCAACTCAGCATTGTACAGAGGTACGATCATGCTCAGGTTACCCACGCCTAAACCTGTCACAAATCGACCGGCATAAACATAATCGGGGTTCGTAGTGCACGCCTGAACAATAACTCCCACACAGAATACCACCACCGCAATCACGACCGTCACCCGACGGCCCGTCGCATCAGCCAAATAACCGTTGGCGAGCGTTCCCAGCCAAGCACCGAGCTCGAGGATTGAGGTCAGCATACCTTGGGCTGTGCCTTTGTGTTCTGCATATCCTTGAGTCTAGAATGTATCAGTGGACGCCATCGACGTGGAAGAAGATCCTGGGCGCATACAGCTTCGATGAACGACGGCATGGTAAGAATTTGAGCGAACATTCCCTGGTTATCTGGACATCATTAATACTCCCCACACGATGCCCGAGATACAATGGTCGCACATACATCCGTATACTAGGCCACCCAGCGAGGCGAATAGTGCAATGCCGCACGTCTTTTTGCTACTAACCAGACCGCGCCATCCAACTCGGCCCCCAGCAAGCTCTGCGCGCTTGGCGGAAATGCCATAAGAGGCTATTCCCCCGGCCATTTTGGCAATACACCGGCCTCTCTCTGAATTTGGTGCGAACGCTTTTGGTAGAGAAGAGAATTGGATAGCGAAGGTGGCTGTATATAACCATATAGAGGAAACGAAAAAGAGAGAGGGAAAATGACTTAAACCACCGAGACAATGGGGAATTTGCAGGCAGATGCCGATCACAAAGCGGAAATCCTCTCGTCGTTAAACATATGAGAATCCCTGTACGTAGCGGCGTTTACTGCTCTTATACATCCCTCACACGCGTACTGAGAACGTGCCTTTGTCCTGCGTAGTCGGTGCAGTTTCCGGCAATGATCGGTGGTCCGATTTAGCCAGAATTTCCCCTGTGCGTGGTTTCCCCGGGTATTTATCCCCGTGGGGCCCATCAGCGAGGCCGGGGACGCTCCAGTCCTGCCAGCATCACATCATTCAGCTTACCCACTTGATAGTTATACCGAAGGCCAAGAAACCACTTATCCTCAGGCCGCTAAGCTTCGTGGCTGCGCCTTGTATATGATAAGCCTTGGCTGGTCGACCGCGAAATTTCTGTGTTTTGTTTTCTTCTGCCAGGGAGATGAAATCGCATAATTCAAATTAGAAAGATACAATCCCCGGCCAGGAAGGTAAAAGAAACATGGTATCATGGAAATCATGCACCGGAATATCCTATATGCACCGATTGGAGAGGATAATGTGGGTAAGAACTGGGGAAATACCCGCAAGGCAATTGTGGAGAAAATAGATTTTACCCGGTGAATTTATTGACTCCACAAGGTGGGGGAGACTGTAGTGGTCAATCATGGTACTACCTGCTGGATCCCTACCATAGCGTCTGGATATCGTTATCAACCTGCGTCTGAATACAATGTTCTCAACTCAGTTTAACAGCTGATACTAGCGACGGACGGGTAACTACTTGCCTCGAAGGTAGACTGAAACCCACGAACTACTGTCCAAAATCGTTCGGTAAACTAGCTTGAAGAATAATGCATCACTATCAGATATAACTATTGTCTGTTATCTTGAAATTTGCGAGATGTGGTTAGCCGTAAGTTCTCGTCGGCCAGGGAAGTTTGAAGAGACAACAAGGAGAAATGGCTTACAGAGCCATAGATCATGGCCTAGAAACCTAGCAGTAGTGATATAGAGCCTTTTCTCGCCGATAATCTGCCATGGCTTCGTGCTAAGAACAAGGGGAGATCCAATCAAAAAACAGCTTTACATTAAGCAGGCTACCAGGAAACGACAGAACCGCTGATGTCTTACGCCAGGGATATCAGAGATCAACCCAGCAAGATTTGAAAGCCTCGGCCTGATCGCACTGCCATTGCTCCGACATTTCTACATTCGGATAGGTTATCCAAAACCCGTGCAGGAGACAGGTATACCTTCGTACCGACGTTCTTCCTGCAGGATCTGTTCGAACAGTTACGTCCCTTCCCGTCATGGATTGATTCTACTCGCACGCATAGAAGACTGTGGGCTGGGTGAAGTTTGCACGGGACTCGAACAATAAAGTAGAGAAGCGTTTTGCCTCAATTAGAATATCATGTTTAATTTTGATAGGGATCATGCAGTCAATACGAATAGCAGAACGACCTCCACGACCCATGAGCTCATTAGCGATGAAATCAAAGGATTTTCTGGTCAGCACTGGATCTTGCGGACGTTCTGCCGAGCAGGAAGCCCTTTTCAATCTCTATTGGTACGGCAAATAATCGTAATTGGTCTCCAGGCACAAGATCAGGATATGTAACTGGGTTGGTTAACCTTGTAGGTCCGGATCCTCATGTACATGCGTGCACGTCCTTTCTCTATGTATTGCGCTAAACACATACATTATGAACGTTACAATTAGATAACTTATACTAGAACACGCGCTACGAATAGCGGTAAGAGCGGTGAGGCCAATCCACTCTCCTTCAAACCTTACCTCTTATTCCAAGTTCACGCAGCTGTCCATATACTCTGTTCAGAGGTATGAGTATTGCTCGAACAGCGACTTCAAATATACCTCATGGGAATGACACTTACTTTCAAAAGAAAGTTGGTCGTCATGATCTGTATTTTGTTTTTGAAAGGAGGATTGGATTTCTTCATCACTTGGTCTATCGCCAAAAACTTCCCTTGCCATGATTCTGTATTCGTCTGCATTCATAGACCCTAATACAAGTCCATTAGATACCCGTAATTGCAAGGCTTCCTATAGCGCGGCTCGCCGTTGACGTCCTTGCCCTGCCAGAGAGAACGCATTAGTCGTTTCATGTGAATATTTGGCAAGAGTCACTGTGAACTACATGCAAAGTCTTAGAATGTTCTTATAAATATGTCAAGCATATCAACGTTTGGAGAGTTCTGTTATGCTGTAAGCTTGGAGATCCACAAACCTTGAAAAAATAGAATAGTTCGGTTTCCAGGAGAAGCGACTAGAAGAGAAAAATTGTATCTGATCAAGTGTCACAACAGTTATGTATAAATCATGAGGCACCGTAGAAAGATTTCAGAGCAAGCGTATGTGGCACATGAGGCTAGGACACGGTAGAGGATGTGAGATAAATAACTAGGGATATCCCCCCCAGTGCTCGTCAACCAGTAAAGAGTATCCCGCCATGTCGACCGAAGACAAAATCGCCAGTCTGGCGGTTCCTATCCGGATGGAATGTGAGAATTACATGAGTTTCTCAAGTCCACATTCAACTGTCGCAGGGGAGTCTCTTGAATGGAAGCAGCCTACAGCGAGGCCAAGTCGGATCGCAAGACATTATGGCTCATCGGGGGTTCGTCCTGGTATCTGCGTGGGCCTACTTGTTTGACTCTTCCACCATATCCTACTACTCAGTCGATGCCTTTTCATATTTCAAGCAGCACAGCTCTGTGCTCTCCACACTATCGATTACCACCTACATCATCAGTGCCGTGAGCAAGCCCTTTATCGCAAAAATTTTTCAGAAATCACCTCCCGACCCTACACGTACGCTTTCACTTGCTCTTTTATATTCTTGTTCTTGGGTATGAGGCCATCCTCAGGTTTGGAAACAAGGCAGTTGTTCAGGTCGAGCGAGATTTTCATCTTCGGTTTCCCGGGGTCCAAGCATTCTGCTTCCAGGTGTTTGTCTGTAACTTTGATGTTCTCGCAGGTCTTTGGAAAGTAGGTCCCGCTCTCCTCCTTATGACCATCGGGCAGGGTGTAACGCTGGGGCTGAGCGTGAGCGAGCGAGAAGGCTAACAGGGCGAAGAAGACAGTCAGCTGAAGCAATTTCAAGATCGCCGTTGGACGAGGATAGATGTTTGAATGGGACTTTTGGATATTTTGCTCAGGCAGTTTCCTATGCAGCCATTTTATCTCCCTACTGGTTCTTAAGAATAGCCGTCGGATTCTCGTCCTGCTCGCAGCGTTCTTGGATTCTTCGGGAGTCTTTATTCTCCCAACTTACGGTTCTAGAATCCATCGAGTACGTCTTCCCAGGGGCAAGTCATCCAGTAATAATGGCTTGTATCCGGTGATGGGGTATAACAAAAAAGTCAAAAGAAATAGAGAAGTGCTTTGTCTTCCCAAGGCTCCATAGCCGAGCAAGTGCGAAACTAGAAGCAATGGACAGGGAAGTGTCTATGAAAAAACATATCCATATCACAAAACCGCATCCTCGGGTATATTATACTTGTAGGGTTCAGGTTATAAACCAAATGACAATCTAGCACAAAATACTATAGCATGAAAGTTAAGACTATATATAGTTAACCTTTAGAATATTACCTAATTTGGCTGTTAGTATAATATACAAGGCGAATAAACACGACTTACAGAAAAAAATAGTATATACACTGAATCAGTTAGCTATATTATAGTATTAGTAAAATATATACAGAAATAAGAACAAAAACTTACATTTCCTATAAAAGATTTGACCACAGAAGTGAAATATGGGTAGAAAAATAATAAGGAGACTTAAAAACAAGATTATAATAACTATAATAATAGAAAACTAGACTTTATATTAGGAAGTCATTGAATATTCTTCTTTCCCCTACCTGGGGAAGGTTGGGAGCTAAGTAAGTCATATTTAATTGCTTCTTTCCATGCTCGGCATGGGCCCACCCCTGTCTTAAACCACTTACCAGTACCCCAAAGTTGTAGAATCATAGCCTTCGATTCCTCACGTTGCAAGATTAGTCTAGGAAAGCTTCTGGCGCAATGTTCTACTGCCTTGGAAAGTTTTTCTGTATTAGGGCAGGACAGTTGAGACCGACTTCTAAGAGTGGGTCCGCCAACTTACGGAATGGAATAATATTGTTCCAGACGTGGCAAGAGGTCTGTGTGTTGTGGCAGCAGAAAACTTTTCCAATCCATTTCAAAACATTTCACTTCTTTATATACACCTGCCACCTGCTCATTTTCTGGTCTTGTGTTCTCCTGCTGGTTTCTCTAATGTTATGAGACTGACTTACAGGCAGTCCTATATCATGGGAGGCTCTGCCTAAGGCATCACTGCCAAATCTTTACCCCACAAAAATTTCATACGACGCGTTATTCCTGTCCATCAGCTATTTCTTGTTCAATAGGCACGCTTAGGTTGGAACAGCTTATTCGTCCCGTAACATTATTGAAAATAGATGGTATTAGCTTAAATAACTTTCACTCAAAGCCACTGTGCACAGACACCAGGCCACGTTCGGAAAATTAGCTCCGTTCCGATTGTCGATGGGTCCACTCTAGAAGTAGGCGCCAACTATACACTCGTACTAGGGCCTCACCGAAGAAGGGTTGTGCTTACCTATATACCAAGGAGCATTACACGTTGACGACAAGCAAAATGAGATTGGTCCGAGGCAGCTGCAGCCATGCAATCTAAGGACTAGCCCAGGCGCCAATCGAGATTCCAGACGGTCTAAGATACAAAGTATGTTTCTGCTTGGAGTGGCATCCCCAATGACCATGGACAGCAACGTTGATTCCTCACACAGTGGCCTGCTTATCTGACTGAAGCTTACCAGTTTGCTCTGTACAATGCATATCATCTTCCTGCGTCGGGAGAGTATTGACCCATGGAATTCCGCCCGATAGAATAAATGCCAAAGCGGTACCAGCTATTGGAAGATACTAGTAGAATCAGCATCGTGTTTAACACGGTGATGACAATATCAGGAGATTAACTCACAAAGATAGTTGTGAGGGCGTTATTGTATGCAACAATAATATCGTCTAAACGGTCCGGAGATGCCTGTACTGCAACTTCCCGCACCCTTAGCGTTCCAGCATTAAGAAGCATCTCGATCTGCTTATAATCCAACGATGCTTGATCTTGTAGCTGCCTTTTCAGCTCGTTCTGAAAGATAGCGCCTCCTATGCTTTGCATCACCGCACTTCCAAAGTATTGCGTGAAAAGAACGGTCGCTATCCCGACTGGAACGCAGCGAGGTCTGTCCTTCAATACAAGCTGAACTGTAAGTAGAGGAATCTGGGCTGCAAATCCACAACCCAGACCCTGGAAGATCTGATAACCAATCCACGATGCGGACGTTGAGGATACAGTGAAAGTTGTGTAAAGCCCGTTCGCAATGCAGAGAAAGGCGGAACCAATGAAGAGCCACAGATTATAATATCTGAGGTGCTTGGCTATAGTAATACAGCGTCAGTATGAATTTTCGTGAAATGGTGCGAACATATCCTGTCTTTACCTAGTATTCCAGAGACAAGGGATCCAAAAACCTGAGTGCAAACCGAAGGCAGAAGCATGACTCCACTGCGAATGGGGCTTGCAGACTTAACGATTTGAAACCATTCCGGTAGATAGTAGACCGGAATGACGAATGACCCCAAAAACAAAAAGGCAAATGCAATACTAAGCATTGTCGATCTGCCCCGCAGGGGCACGATTGGGACCATAGCTTGATCCCCCATGTAACATTCCCAGAAGATAAAGATTGCCATTGTCACTGCAAAGCCGACGAAGAGTCCGATCACGGTCGCCGAGTCCCAGGGATATTCACTACCTCCCCACTGCAAGGCCAACATCATCATAATGATGGAGGGTATAAAGAGAGCGCATCCGATCAAATCGAGCTGTTTTAGGAAGGACACACGATGGGCCCCTGTGTTGCGAGGCGGATGGAAAAATAAAAGCAACGTCACCACAGTCACTGCTCCCGCTGGAAGGTTGATTAGAAAGCACCACCTCCAAGTATGTTCAGCCAAAGCGCCTCCGATAATTGGGGCGACAACAGTTCCCAGTGCATAAAGAGAGGTTATCAGCCCAGTGAACAGTGGAAGCTGCTGAGGGGTTGTTATCAGTGCAATAACTGAGAGCCCACCCGACACTACCCCAGAGCCTCCAGCACCAGCCACTGCTCTTCCGATTATGAACATTTTGGAACTGTATGCCACACCGCAAATCAGGGACCCTAGAAGGAATATGCCGTAGAACCCGAGGTATGTCCATCGCAGCGACAGCAATGAAGAGAGCTTGCCACTGATAGGTTGAAGAGCGCACATCGTGAGCGGATAGGTAGCTCCATACCAGCCGATATCTGTCGTAGCATGGAAGTGGGTCGATATCGAAGGAATGGCCTTTGAGAGGTAGCTTTTAGTTCCACAGAGAATCAAGCAACAGAACCGAGAGTCTTTCAATGAACTTACAGTAGCAATAATAGAGACGTCCAATGATATCAGGAAAGTGGCTATCATAATTCCGGCCAAGATGCTATAGAGCTTCACAGAACTGACTGGCTGTGCTCTGGACATCGCGTCAGGAGGACTTGAAGACATCATCAACAAGGTTGACCAAGATTTCGAACGATTGTATTGGTAGTCTACTGCAATGAGGGTATTCGAAATGTTACTGCAGCTTTTATGCTGTCCCTGATCTCCTAACAGTTACTAAATTGGGTAGTCTGTTGCATAGTAGGCCGGGGCATGGACCGGCCCCGTGACCGGCTCCGAGGCCGACTCCGACCCCGCGCTGCGTTAGCCTCTGCCTCCGGCTTCTACCTCAGTGTCACTCATCACCGTGGAACCAGAGCTATCTCTCAATACAAAGAGCAATGCAACCTAAAGCCCCCTCAAGGCGGCATGCCTGTGTACGATGCATTCAGTTGAAGGTGAAATGCGTTCCAGTCGAGAATGGACGGTGTCAACGATGTGCGAGACTCGACCGACACTGTGCTTTTCCAGACGGCTCGCGTAGGAATACAAGCATCAGGTTAGCCTAATGACTATATACACCTGTGTTGGGGTCGGCTGTCGGGTAACCTTCTCTCCCTCTCTCCAGAAATAGCCGCATCGATATCATCCAGCACCAGGTCGACACACTTGCTGCTCAATTACATACTGATAAGGTATCCTATTTCGAACGGATGCTACACCCCTTCCCTGCCAGAAGAAGATTATCTAACTGTTTTGACTAGGACCCGAGGATGGAGTTGTCACCTATAACAGAAACGCCATCCCCTTCTGCGATCAGTAATACTTCGTTACAGCCAAGTCCTGTGCCTGAACCGCTCAACGACTTTATTACCCGGGGACTTCTCAATATCACTGAAGGCGAAGAACTTCTCTCCAAGTTCCGCACTGACTTGATGCCCCTGTTTCCATTCGTCATTATACCCGAAGTGAGCTTTGTTGAATTGCGCAAGCAGTCTCCATTCCTCCTCTTGTGCATAATGACAGCTTGTCTCGAGCACAAGCCCACTCTACAGCAGAAATTGGAATTCGAAGCGCGAACTGTGGTCTCTACCCGCATAGTAATGAACATGGAGAGGGACATGGATTTACTTCGGGGGTTACTGGTTCATATCGCATGGTATCACTATCATTGGCGCATCTATCATACCCAGGTGTACATGCTTCTCCAGATGGCTATGGCCATCGTTGTTGATTTGGGACTTGACAGATACGACAACTTCAAAATGCAACGCATCTCTCATGATGGAAAAGGGACAGAGGAGTCACACAAAGGACAAGCGCTCTATCTGACTCCTGACGGACAGCGTGCCTTCTTAGGGTGCTATTATCTATGTTCCAAGTGAGGGCTTCTAAAATGCGGTAGAGTGTTATTGACTAACAGAGTAAGGGCCTCGATATTCCGGCGACAGCTGACCATGAAACATACGGACTGGGTCGAGTATTGTGCTGATAGCTTAGGTCAAAGGGCGGAGTATCCCACTGACCAGTCTCTAAAAGCACTAATTGAGATCCAATCGCTTGCGCGGCAATCGGAGCTAGAGGTCGAAGACCCTATCCATGCGATGAGCAAGGACGAACTGTTCCAGTCTATGGACGTACTTGAGAATCGAATTGAGCACCTTCTCGTACAGGAAACACAGTGTAATACCTGTATGTCCATCTGAGACTGATTAGTTTCGCCATTTACTGATTTGACTAGGGTCCCTGCGTTTGGAGCTCAACGCAATTCCTGCCATTGTTCTCGGGCATGCTCTTCGGCGACAAAGACATGTCCATCGCCAGTATGAGAAACGGCGACTGCTTACCATTGCGCGTTCCGCGTTCAACATTGTGACGGTATTCCTCGCATCGCCGGCTTCGGTCACACCTAATCTCCCTATGTTCAGTTACACATCCATCTGGTACGGCCTTCTTGTTTTATCGAAGCTGAGCTTGCTTTCGGATGCCGCGACAAAAGGCAAGGCAGTCGAAGTCTATAACAAAGATATCCACAACCTCGGCCTTGCTGCTATGCAGAAAATGGAGGCAATGTCACGAAGAAACGATGTTTGGGATAATTGCCGTGCAGTGATTGGATCTATGCTCTCATGGTTAGAGAGCAGTCGGACACAGCCCCAATCAATACAAGTTCGAGGAGATACATCAAACACCCAGGACGCTGAAAGCGCTCATATGTTACCACAACCAATACCCGAAGATCCCACTCGAGCTACAGAGTCTGTAGCGATGGCCGAAGATTGGGATGCTACCGTATGGCAACATATGTTGCAAGATTTGACCTGGATAGGATTACCGGTGGAGCAGCAGTTCGCTGTAGATCTAGCCTACATGCCTTGAAAGCAATGTGACCTTCATACCCCTGTCCACCGGATTACGCAGGCTGAATTTTGTTTGGTTTAACCTCATTGAACTGTGGTATACACTAATTAGGTTCACAATCTATCGCCGCGCCTGCGAAACGGAACCTTTCCTGCCTCACTTCCCCATGCTGACCGAGTGTACATTCAGTGGCCTGCATCGATGCGATAACGCCATCAATTCTCTTGTCCTGGGGCACTAGCTTGACATGTGAACCTTGTGCCAGGTGATACAACTTCAAAGCTCTGCGCTGCCATAATTTATGGATGAAATGAAACTTCAGTTTACCGTGCTGCTCCGTCAACACTGAACTTATATGTCGAAAATGTAGTATAAAGGCCGTCTATTCCCCAGACTGTTTTTGACTCGTTGCCACTAGGGGTTATTGATTTCATCAGTCCAGTCCGGCATTTCCAGCGAGATTGCTCCATACTCCGGCACTATACCAGCACCTTGCTTTCGTTTCGGTGGTACTTGATCTGGGTATCTATGGAGATAAATCAGTTACTACTACCAATCTCCAGGAGATTTGTGGGGGACCAATAGAGAAACACACCTGGTTTATTATTCCAGGTGTGGACATGCAAGGCTTCCTGGTCCGTATAAAGGCCGACCTCTATCCCCGAATGTGCTGACGAAAGTGACGCTACGGGATGATCTTCCTTTTCCCTCGGCTGGAATCAAGAGATGAGGAAGGTATCATCGTAACCACGACTACCGGGCTTCCCCATACCATGATGCTCCACCGTCTTCGGCGCCGACGAAAAGTCATACGGCGAACCTTTGTGGCTCTAAGGAGCAAAGTGACGACCGCGGCGGCCGACTTCCAGGTTGGGGACTGTATGCACTCCTTGACCTCTACGGTGGGCGCCTTCGCGCAATATGTGGGCACCGGTGATGTCGTGACCCTCAAAATACCCCTGACATGTCCTTCGAAGCTGGCACCTCGATGAGCAATGCCATCGGGACCATCGGGCTGGCCCTCTTCAAGTCGCTCGCCCTTCCCGGCAGTCCACTGCATCCGGCCCAGACTCTCATGACCGTGTTGGTGTATGGTGGGAGTACACCACGGGAACGATGGCCATCTAAATCTTGAAACTGTGAGACCAAAACCCGTTCCCTACCTATACTTCTACGCTCATGGGTTATTGTTTACTACTAGGTCCGGGTATTGGCCCTTCGCGACGCGCTCGTCGCGGAACTTCAATCTGGTCCGGTGGTACGGGGCCGACGCGGTATTTGATTACCACGCGCCTCACTGTGTCACAGATATCTGGGCGTCGACTAAGAACGGGCTCAAGTATGTCTTGGACTGCATCTCCGAGCCCAAGACGATGGCGTTCTGCTACCAGTGCCTGGGCCGGTTGAGCGGCAAGTATACTGTGCTGGAACCCTACCCGGCATTTCTCCATACACGTCACACGGTCCAGCCGGATTGGGTGCTGGAGCCGACGCTGCTGGGGAAGCCTATTGGGTGGGCAGCGCCCTTCGCCCGGAAGGGATGTCCGGAAACGCGAAGGCTCGCCCTGGAATGGTTTACGATTGCCCAGAAGCTCTTGGATGAGGGTCTCTTGAAGACGCATTCCATTCAGTGCATGGAAGGGGGCTTCGACGGAGTTTTGGCGGAACTGGAGCTCCTGCGTTCAAAGACGGTCTCTGGTAGGAAGCTGGTTTATTCCGTTTACTTTGAGTAGGGGGGATCTGTGGTTCGGTGGCAGATGAAGATGAAAGTGGCGTACATATATACTTACTAGGTGTAGCTAGACTTCGCCGATAAGCTAAACAAATGAATTTATGGTCTGTGTATAAATTATTGAAACAAGCAATGCTCGATCTGCTACTTATTCGCAAAGTCGCTGACAGGTCATGTCATTTGATGAACTGAGACATGGCTACAGCCCCTTCATAAGTTTTTGAACTATCCCCCACGCCACTGGTGCTGCTCCTCTTGCCTATGATAGCGTTTGGGCCACTAGGCTCTTGAAGGCATGCAGCCATGATGGTTTTGCTCTGCCATGCGCGAGCTAATCGACGACGATTTGAATTTCTAGTTAGATTTTTCAATCTTAAATTTTCCAATCTCCAACATACACCTTCTTTTTCCTTGGTCCTTCTACTCTCCTTCTCTGGTCTCTTACATTTGCTCTCGTGGTCACTTCATCTACGGAGTTCTGAGGTTTTGTATGGGAATAACAGCCCCTGGTGACACAGGTTCCTAACATGTGAGGGTTAGATCTGTAATAACCGGACACCCATTGGCGCAGGACACTGGGTTCATTCTGTAGGCAACATCCTTTTACGAAGATAGACACGTCAGCAGGCTCTAGTGAAATTTGAGGATAGGAGGAATTTGCCTTGCCGCCTCTTCCGAAGAGAAACGCGGAATGATGGAGTCAATGCACTGTGAACGAGTACAAGGAGTCTAGTACAACCTGCAAAAGTGGCGGCATCACAATTTTATTTTCTCGTAACCTACATACACTCTCCCCTTCGGTTTCCATTCCCTATACACCTTTCCCCTCCAGCTCCCAAATCGCCTGGCCTCCAAAATATTCCATTTCCTATAATATGTTGCTTACACATCACATGGACAACTTCAAACCGTGGACGCCCCCTCACTCAAAATCATTCTCACGGCACAGTTCTCTCAATTCACGCTTGTGCCAAGTAATTTCTTACCTTAGATTCGGTCTTTGTTCTTTATATCAGGAGAAGAGGACAATGTACTGAGTTTTAAGATGCTCCTGGAGATAACATTTCATTTCGCCATCTGGGGAGCAATCAGGCGTAGCAACTAACAGATAGACACTACCATTTCATTTCTCTAGAAAATAATGGTTCACTATCTGCTCCTATTGGTCCCTGGGAAACTACGAAGGAAAAGAGAGCTATATGTCCTGGGAGACAGGCTCATGGTAAATCAGTGGCTAGTGAATGACCAAACAGAGCCCTCGGAATGTATATCGAAAGAGCTTGGAGGCTTCGCCCTTGCCCTGAAGCATCCCCTTTCGCACATGCTAGTATGTGGAACACATAGGCAGATAGGCTTTACGCAGTCCGACGTACATCCATAACTTGTATTTTCGGGAAGACGGGTTCCTGGTGAATTGTCGAAAGAGGAATTTCTCGAGAGTCTGAGTTTCATATAACCTTGACCGTCAATGATCAAATATTACTCAGGGCTATGTCTCCGGGATGCATCTCGCGGGGCAGTTCATTGCAGAGCCGTGATGACAGTCGCCCTGATACAGCCTGGTAGGGCGTCTGTACAGTATGTTCCAACAATGAAAGAGGGATGATCGACAGATACTTAAACTAGTGAATAAACTACAGATGATAGCTGTAAAAGAACCTGATTGTTATTATTCGCTTCTGTAACCCTGAGAGTTCTTATACAAGATGAACGTCAGATTGATTCCCAATTTATCTGATTATATACGGAATTAGTCCGGACCTGAAGCTCTATAGTTAACCTGGGTGAGCCTCAATTCACGGCAGTAGATAATAAAGCCCACACCGTCCCCCTTTTTCAGGTCTCCCAGCACTTTTCCTTAGAGAGAGCAGGCTGGAATCAAACTGGAATTGACAGGCTAGAACTTCCAAGGCTCAAATGCCAGTGTGTACAGTGGTAGATGAGATGGAAATACAGAATACTACTTAATTGTCCGCAGATGTGGTATGTAACTCCGCAGTTATAAGCCCAACTCTATCAACCATCAGGATGTCAATGCCAGCTGCTGCTTGTACCTAAAAAGCAAAGCCGTTAGTCAGTTTAATGCCCTCGTGTTTCTACGAAGCATTGGCATTACGGTGAGCGTTCTGAAAGCTTACTTTGGCGTTCTGTGGGATGTTGTTCTGGGTTCCATAGGACCCGCAAACCAGCCCTGAGCTTTTCACATATCTGATGAGCCTTGGGCACGCTATCAGCGTCTCAGATGCGAAGACAATGCCGGCCAAGTCCCATCGCTTCGCGAAACGAATAGCAGCCTGCATACTGCTGGCCCTTATTTCCATGTCCGTCATCGGTGGCTTGCCAGCATTAGTTACAAACATGACAGGATACATCCGTTGCTTGATGGCTAAAAGAATGCAGACTTCTGGCGTAAAAGAAGAGAGAATGATAGCCCGTTTATTTCTGCCGTGGGAGATGAGTATCTCAAGTACTGTGTCGATGAATGTATTGATCTCAATGGCGACAGGTGCCACTCCTGCATCGACCGCCTCGTGAAGTCGAGGATATTCTTTGTTCCGTCATTAACAGGCAGGAAACGACAAAGTAGATACCAAAACATACTTATCTCGATATTGAAATTGATCGACTCAGGCAGTTCCACAAGCAGCTCTTCTAGCGTTGCAAAGGCGTCCTGTATAAAGTCACCTCTGGTATTTGGCTTGAAACCTTTATTTATAAAATCAACGGTGTACTTCATTCTGTCGCGGAACTCGTGGACCCCTCGTTCATGATCCTGTGTCAACGACTGTGAGCGAAGTTTGACTCGGTTCGTTCCGTCCGGCATATTCCGTGTGTCCACTTTTCGAAGTACGGATATTGGTTCGCCTCGCGGCAATTGGACTTTGCTAAAGTACATAAACTTTTTAAGGTTAGAATGGACCACGCCTGAAAAAAAAAAAAAAAAAAAAATTTATACTGACCTGTTCAAAACTCAGGTCATGGATAGGAATGTCTGTCCCGGATTCGCTGAGCGAGAAATCGTGGTATATAATAGGTAGAAGGTCTCTTGTTAACTGCACATCTGGGTATACTTTAGCACGGACAGAACACATTCGGCGCGTGGATTGGTTTATTACCAAACTAATAAACTGTCAGCAAATCTCGTGCAATATCAGAAGCATCACTTACTTCGACAAATGTAGCTCCATGCCTTGCAGCTGAAAGGAATGACTACACTTCATGTTAGTCAGGCTAGAGTTTACTCGAAGACTACTGTACCTCGACGGTGTTCTCTCCCAACTGGAGATAGTTGCGACTGGCAGTGTTTTGGCCAAATCCTTATTTACATTAGTACGTATTCTGAGCACAGAGTGGACAGATAGACACTCACCTCTGTGTCCGACAAGCTGTAAACCTTTTCCTCTGACGGAATGGGCTGGCATGAAGGGAGAAGCTGGGTGAGCCATTGGTTTGGCGACGACAAAGGTGAAAGTCACGGTACCCATAACACTCAATGTCTCTTTTTCAAGGATGGCTATGGAGCGGGCTCTGACAAGGCTCTCGCGATGCGCCCCAAAACAATTGTTGAGAGTTTTTAATGAAGCTGCACCACTGCCCAAAAGGCTGGGGCCTGTTGTGTGCAAATACCCTTTGCGGAACAACTTAAAAGATATCCAGGCTTTATCAGGATCTGAGACCGGGAAGACAAATGGATCATTGACCGTATCCCTCAAAGTGGGTAGCTCCACAAGAAGACTTGTACTGCTCTGCCCCCCGATTGATACTTCCATCGAAAGGTCGTTGTTTGTATACACGGCGTTTTCTGCACTGGAATCCATCAGATCCACAGCCTTAACCTGCTTGCCATTTCGTAGGTCACCGAGATTGACAATAACATAACTTTGGTCAGTTCGAAAGCTGGGCTTGACTCCAGATACGGGCTTCGTGGGCATGCTAGCAGGGCCACCGGAAGATATATCAATATTCCATGCATTCAGGGTTTCCGCTAGTGCTAGATGGCCCCTCAGTGCGGCGTGCTCTTTCGCAGTCCATCCCAGATGGTCTTGTAAGTCTTGCTTCGCTCCTGCCTTGAGAAGAAGATTGGCCACGGCTTGATGACCTTCCACGCATGCAATGAATAACGGGGTCCAGCCGTGGACAGACTCAGGTATATTGATTTCAATATCTCTGCCATTATTTAGGAGTGTATCCACATAATCCTCACGCCCACTTCGCGAAGCAACATAAAGGGCTGTCTCTCCATGGCTCGATAGTTGAAAACCAAACTGACATTTCCCAAGCAAGTCAACTATGTCGCTGTACTGATATTTAACAGCGATAGAAAGTAGATCGTTCAGGACTGTTCCCAAATCCTGGTCAATAGTCCTATCACCTGTTCTCCCAGCTAAGCGGAGTGTGTCCAACAAAACGGTTGTACTAATGGCATGGTTGTTAATCACCGAGTAGTGTAAAGCAGTATAACCGTGGGAGTCCAAGGACAAGATCAGACTTGCGAGGTAGCTCTCGCCACAAGCATCAAGGGGACCTAAAATGGATTGGCAAATGATTGGAAAACCATAGAATGCACCGTAATGGAGCGGAGTACGCCCAAAAATGTCCTTTGATGAGAGAATATCCTTCCTATTAGGGCCAAGCTGTTCAATTGCGCAAACAAACAAGCTGTTCCCTAGTTCATCACGAGATCCGGCTGAATCACACAATGGGCAAGTTCTTAACCTTGCATGCTCTTTCAAAATATCCCCTCGACCAGAGATGGTGATTATGTGGTTCAAGATCTTGTGGTCTATCGCAACACCATACTTAGGGAAAGCTTTCGATAGGAGAAAGGAGGCGGAAAATCTAGCCCCAGAGGCAATCGAAAGATTTGCTAAATCATAAAGGAGCCCTTGGAAATAAGAGTCCTGTGTCCTATTTCTCAAGTACATCTCTTCCAGTTGGTTGGCCAGATTAGATGGCTCGTCATTTGCAATAAAAGAAAGCAGAGAGGTGTCGTAGGCAGACGCACGGAGGTGTTGACCACTGGTGCGTTGGAGACATAAAGATCTAGTCGTCGCATGAAGATTTGCATCGGCGCGGACCCGAGTAATGTCTGCTATCAACGCGTTTAATCTTTCGTTGAACTTCGAGCACAGGGTATCACGATCGCTTTTCGATTTGGTCCACGTCGATTTGTGGCCTTGATGAAAGTGTTCCGCCAGGTTTCCGTGCCTCTCGAGCTTGGCGTATATCCGATGGATGGCTTCTTCATTCACTCGAGAGTACCATTGCAACTTTTCCAAATCTTTGCGAAGCTCTACAAGAGCTCTGAGGAAGTTTCCAACTTCGTAGCAGTTGGCATCATATGTTTTCGGCAAGGTATTCGCTTCCGGCGCCACACCATATATTCTACAAAGCTCTGCTCCCCGTTCATGCAGTAACTGATACTTTTCATAATGAAAACCGGAGAAAGAATCGATACTACGATCGAGTGATGTGTAAACCCCTGAATTTATGTGAGAAATGACCTTCACATAAAGAAAACCGAAACTGACCACTAAAATCCGGTTGTGTTCTCATCGAGTCCGCCTCCGCTCTGACAGCCTTATTAAACAGGCGCTTCAGTGAAGCGTAAGGGATATATAGTGGTGCCCATTCTGGAACCTGGTACTGGTGGAATTTCTGACCGAAAAGCATGACTGATCTGTCTAGGCAAATGGTGAATGAGGAGTGAGAGAAAGAGGTGGGATTGCTGCTGTGGTCCACGTAGACATCATCTAAAGAAGCCCTGTTATCAAAACTGACGTGCATGTGACTACCACCTTGTGCTCACAGAATCGCTGGTGAGGGAGGGGTAATTGAAGGTCGGTGGACTCGTACTTTATCTGCTGCCGTAATACCCAGCGGCACCATCCTTTTTAGGGCAAAGTTTGGCTCTCAGTGCATCCAAACCGAATCCACTAGATGATTTGTTCGCCCCGTCGTATTGCGCTTGCGAACCAACGAACCCATTATAGTGGGGAAGACAGCATTAGCGGCAATTAAATTACGCGACTAAACCAAGTAGTCCTGTAACCCCTAGCCCGTCCTACGCTTACGTAGCAGAGAGTAGAATGGAATAGCGACGACAAGTATATTCAAAACCAAAGGACAAATTTCTAGCTTTGGGATTTAAAAGAAAGTCCCCTCTAAGCGATCCGTTACCGGCGATTGCCTTTCGAGCGCGTCCTGGAAGCTACCATCGGAACTGCAACCACTATTGGGCTCTTTACTCAGACCTCCCATATCCGGATTGACCCTTAGAGGAAAGCAGGAATAAAAACCTGATTCTAGGTGGTCCTGCGACGTCTCCCTCTCGCTTGGAAGCTGATTGATAATACTCAATAGGTCATCAAAAGCGAGGGCCAAGTCGTCATTTAAATCAGGGCGCTGCCGTAAGCGGTTCCTAAAATCCCCGAGTGTATATTGCTTGTCGTATTTCATTCGGAAATGGTCGGTTGCAGCCAAAATACGAAGCGTCTCGCAGTCAGCGTATAGCGCAGCTATCTGAAGCAGGTGTGGCCCCTTCAGTCGCGGGCATACACAGTATTCGTGCCACCGATCAAGGATGAGCTGTAAGACGTTGTGGCTGTTATACGTGATCGCAGTAGTAAGGGGAGTCGAACCATCGACGGATATGGCATTAATATCCGCACCATATTCCAGTAGTAACATAGCAAAGCTGGCATTATCAGTTCGGGATGCGTGTATGAGCGCTGTTTTCCCATCTGTACCACTTGCGTCAACGTCCGCACCAAAGTCGAGAAGGCTTTTCAAAAGCAGAACATCTGTGGAATTCCGGGCGGCACAGTTGAGGGGGGTGCCTTTTCGCTCACCACTGGGGTTAGGGACATCGGTGTGCGCCCCAGCTTCTAGCAGCAGGCGAACGGCAACAGTGCGACCTTGGGCTGCCGCATTTGATAAGGGCCCAGAGAGTTGGATGTCCATTATATTTGGATCAGCACCATGGCCCAACAACGTGACAATCGCACGCGTGTCTCCTCGTGCGGCTGCCCAAGCCAACGGTGTGCGACCCATCGCATCTACACTGTTGATATCATCTGGGTTCTGAGCGATTTCATCTTCAAGGCTCAGCAACGACAGACCTAGGACGATCTTATGCGTTCTTGTGAATCCTGCTTCTTCTATGAAGTCCTCTAAATAGCCAACTTTCGCAATGCTACGTAGAGCAGCTACTGCCGTATCAGACAGACCCCCCTCGAGAAGGAAATGACATGCTTTGTTCCTCGGACTGTTATCACTTGCAGCAATCGGCCGATAGTCGGCATCCGCACCTGCGTCTATCAGAAACCTACAGGTTTCGTACTGTTTTCCGTAAAGGGCCCACCGAAGAACGGAGTAACCTCGAGTGGTGCTGACATCGCGAGGAGAAGCTAGGCCTTTCTCAAAGAGATATTTCAGACCTTCGGTGTCTCCATTTAGTGCGAAACTGACGCATTGTGCTGTGTCTGGCACCCTTCTTAGTGTATCCAGCTGCAACAAACTTCCAAGATTGGGCTGGTAGCCCACTTGCAATCGCACGATGGTGGATGATAGGAATCCTGAAGGAAACCAGTATTCCAGGCTCACTTGGCTTGCCCGTGACCTTTTGCATGCCGAAGAATTGCATTTCGGACTGAAAAGCGGCAGCCCAGCATACCCGACGAAGAGCCGGCCTAGGACGCGGTTTAAGAGCGCAGGGCTGCTCGATTTCTGCTGTAGATGGCAAGCACACGGGCACCCGGACCGACATGTAACTATGAATGGCGTGACGCGGACTCCCATTCCCTCTGATCTTGTCGTCGTCGTATATAGCTCTTTCTTCGATGGTGCTCGTATTTTTCGAGTAGTAGACATGTCATACGATGAGCCGACTTGCTTGAACTGACTGGCTTGAACCTGATCTGCCTGTTCGCGTAGCATCTCCTCAACCCTGGCGATACGCTCGTCGACGGCGGCAAGCCCGCTCAGAAAATTGTCTTGAAGCGCTACTTGTTGTTGCGAGGATTGTAGGGTGACTGTAGATATCGCTTCTATATCTAGGCGAATTTTCATCATGTCCTGTCTATTCTCCAGTCAGCGAATGTAGACTAGTTTAGCTTGGCCTTGCACTCTAGACTTAAAAGAATAGTGCTGCAGCACATACGAGTTGGAAGCGCCAAGGATTATGTTCAAATTAGCCTTGACAGTTCTGATATCTTCTTGGAGTGTCTGCAATCTGCTTTGTTCTTTTCGCCACGCATGCGCTCGGAAAATGGGAGCCCGTGAAACGCGACAAGCGGAGGCCAGCTGGCTGACAATGTCCTTGACCTCGACTAACTTCCTGTCTGCTTGTTTTAAAAGGTGCGGGATAGGTGAAAGTTTACTTTCAGGTAAGCCAGATCGATCGCTCACGAGTACTGATATCTGGAAGAGAACGAAATTAAGGTCGGCAACCTCATTGTTCACAGCGTGGAGCCGGCCTGGCAAGGTATCGCAAAGCGACCGCAGGTCCGAGAGAGCGGAGCAGGTTTGCGTAGCGAGCGTTGCAATTGCTATGATACTTGCGCTTACGGAGAGCGGATCCATTATAGTATCGGGTGTGCTCGATTCTATACCAGTAAAATGGGAGTCTACCCAAATCGTAGCTTAGCTTTGGGGTCTTCTCGGTGCTTGAACGCTCTTACATATTCGACAGATTGGCGGCCTGACCAACGCCTCCTGTTTTGGAGACCCCTCACTCTCATTTAGCGCTTTCAGACCTGAGAATCGTGCGGGACACTTGTCTCCCGCATTTCATTGGTTTGCCGACTGACGCGGGGCAGGGGTCGTCAGCCCATCACTGCCTAGGCGGCGCTTCTAAGCAAAGGAGCGAGTAAAATTGTGTCAGAGTGAAGGCTTGTAATGAGCGCTCATGAGCTAGACTCTTTCTCTGCACCTTGTAAGTAAACACTTAGACTTGGCAACTAGTTCATTGACAAAAAGAACTTGCAAGCAGGAAACGCAGTTCATGCAGAGACCCATACATAAGCTACGCACCGGTGCAGATAGCACGCTTTGTCCTCTCATGTTAGGTAGTGGTAGGTCAATTAAGTCTACTAACTTGGGGGCGCAAATACGGAAGATGCGTCGCTTACAGATAGAGAACACTATTCTTAGAAGCGGGAAGGTACCACTATTATTATTATTCTTTATTCCTCCGGCTGTGCGCAGCCTAATGCTGCGCGTAGCCTCTTTGCTGAGCTTGCTGGGTTATCTAATTACCTTCTCTTCCCCTTGCTATTTCTCGTGTTCCAAGCGCCCTGTGGCTATAACGAACTGTATCACTATCTTAGCCACTTCCATGTTTGGTTTCCAACCTTTTTCATGCTCGATGTCTGGCCCTACAGATCCTTTTTGTGTCGATCGGCCTACTAGGGCATAAGATAGTTCCCCGTATCGATTGCCCATCGCTCTTCTTAGGTCCCTCCGGTGTGATTCCCATAATCTTAACTCCAGTTGGCTGAGCCCCTGGAGAACACACACGATAGATTCTCTGGGTAATCTACCACGCGTCGGTAGGTGGGCTCGGAGACAAGCCACATGCAAACGTCGTCTCGGTAGTACACAGAAGTACGCCAGCGAATTCCGCTACATCTTCAATGTACAACGTCGCCTTCGGCCGACGTCCAAGGGGAAGTCCCTTATGGACAGAGAAGCACAGAGAAGAACAAGTAAAAACAGTCGAGCGATAACAAACTGTTACGATCTCTCGTGATTAGAAAGATCAAGCAGTGCCACTCGATGAGTGTGGGTAGTTGAGTAAATCGCCGGGGGAGCGAGAGAAAAAGAAGCAATGAGATGCCATGGTGGTTACGGCTCCTATAGAATCGCAGCGAACACTGCGGTCGCTTGGGGAGCCGATGTTAGCTGCCCTCGAAGACATGAAGTGTGGTTGAGCGACAGAGGAGCCCTGCGGCGGCACCATCATGGGTAACGATCAAAGAAATGAAGGAACGGGCGGAGACCAACGCGAGATGGGTGTGGAGGTAGAGACAGTTGGCCGTGGGACTAAGCGGACGTCGCGCCAAGGGTTTAGTGAGACTCGCAAATCGGCGTCAAGTGCTGCCCTTTTCGGCCGACTGCTAACCGTGTCTTCGGTAAATGGTTTATGGAGATAATATCGATATAAGCTATAGTCTCTACTACTATAGGAGACTATCGGAGACTATAGGAGACTATAATACTAGCTAGTTATACAGAGCGACTTACTGTTCAGATAATAGAAAACTGACTGGGAAAAATCAGTATAGATTAAAATGTATAGAGAGAGAAGAGATATCTCCAGCTCTAGCCGGTAAAACGGATTAGAGTAGTAACAGAATTCTACTCCCTTTTCTGGCAGCTCTACATCTGAATAAAAAATGAAGCAAGAAAGGCAGATAAAGAGGGTAAGTATTTTTAGTTAATAATAAAAAATAACGGTTTTAGACGCCGGATCGATAAGGCTAAGATATAGTATAACATTCCTAATTAAGCTGGCAAAGACTACTCACTCGCCTGTCTATTTAGGAATTTCGTGCCACACCATCCGCTGCGAGACGTTAACTTCACCTCCTCTAGTCCACACAAAAATCGTAAAATTAATCCGAAACCAGAATGCGGTGCTCAGACACTGGCTCTATCGATCGGTGTAGGAAGGAAACGGCCAGAGGTCCAGTTACCGTATAGTTCGTGTCGTGAAATTGCTCGGTAGACTTAACTCTTTGTACGTTGTTGATTACACCAGACGAACCCAACCGTCGCCACCTGTATCTTCCAGAGATTGCATATACCTTTGGATTAGTGATGATATGCAATGTCATACAGCGTAGTGGTGGCTTGTCTCTCTTGGTCTTCGCGTCTGATATCCTTATCCTCCCTCGAAACAGTCCCGATTAGAGCTCTTATGATATTGGGACAACTCCCACTTAAAAGCATCCTGCGACCTACATAGTTATCTTCACTACGGAACTCGTCATCTTGACTTCGTGTACTAGAGGAACAGGGATTTCGTAGAAGTGACGATATGCTTAGCATTCCCCTGCCAAATATATGTCCACTTCCATCAAAGTATGGTCTCAGAATCAGTAGACTTCACTGCAGGACCATAACTCCCCTGCCAACCTCGGAAAACAGTAAACGTATCGTTAGGTTAACATGTCCACCATGTCTTCACGGCCACATTCGATCGCCCAGTCCAGTGCAGTCCGCCCGTAGACGTCTGTTATCCTCAAATCCGCATGCTGTTCGATCAACTGATACGCAATGGTTTTCTCCCCGTACCTAACCGCCCAGTGCAACGCTGTCTGCCCATCGTTGTTCCTCGTGTTAATGTCTGATGGACACTGCAAAAGATGGGCAACGGCCTCTTCTTGAATTTTGAGGTTTCTTCCCTGCGATGACCACCCACCTCCATGCACTCTGACCACGGAACCTGCAACTGCCCAATGCAATGGGATGCAGCCTTGCTTGTCCCGAATGTTTGCGTCTGCGCCATATTCTAGTAATAGTGGCACCAGATCCAATTTTCTAGAGGCAGCTGAGTGCAGTGGTGTCCAGCCGTAAGCATCAATGCAATCAGGATTTGCGCTGTTATCCAAAAGCACCCGGGTTATAGCTTGACTACCGCAGTGCACTGCGGCATGTAAAGCACTCCAGGGGCCTCGCAGCTCAGAATGCAAATCCAAGTTCCGTTCTAACTCGGATATGGTGACAAACTGCCCCGGCATTGTGGGAATGCGATGAGGCTGGACAAATTCATTCGTGGAGTTCGCATCGAAGCCCATGTCCAGTAGAAGCTTGACGAATATATCCTGGCAGCACCCGGCTGCTGCCACCAAGGCTGACTCGCCATCAGGTCTTGGCATAGGAAAATGTTCCTGCGAGAGCAACTCTCGGACAACGTTCTCATGCCCTTGTCTTATGGCGCACTCCAATGGGGTAAATCCAAAAACGTGTCCTGTCCAGGGGTCGACGCCATGCTCGAGTAAAACGCGAACAGTCCGCTCATTGCCTGAACAAGCCGCGCCGTGCAGTGGTGACTCTTGAAGCTCATTTTGGGCGTGAGCATCCGCGCCATGAGCGATGAGTGCAGCTGTAACATCAATATGGCCTTTCTTAGCCGAAAAATGTAGAGCTGAGTTTCCAGTTGCATCGACGGCCGCAATGTCAGCTCCGTGGTGCAGCAACGCATGCACAACTGGCAAATTTCCCGCCTCAGCAGCCAAGTGCAACGGCGTCAGGTGATCAAACTGGGCCCGCTGATTCACGTCTATTCCATGCTCCAGCAGGACACGTACTGACTCTTCGTGGCCATTCTGAGCTGCCAGATGCAACGCTGTCATGCCGTCCGACCCAAATTTATCGAAGTCGGCGCTGCGGTGCAACAATAACCTCACTGCAATGCCATGTCCCTGTGCGGAGGCATGATGCAATGCAGTGTAGGCAACCCCGGGCTGGTCGTCCATGGAGTTGACATCCGCCCCACTATCAAGTAGCATCTGAATAGCACCTATATCGCCGACTGACGCGGCCTGGCAAAGGGTTAGGAGGTCAGGCATGGCAATTTCCGACACAGTACAGATCTCGTTTGGAGTTCTGTCTATATCGTAATCAGCACTTATCAACCGGCGCCACTCAATAATTAACTCACACGTAAGTAACTAAATCCGCCTGAGACTTCGGAAGGTAAACTCCCTTTACTTTCACGAGATAGCTTACTCAGTATATGCACGAGGTGGAAGTTGGATATGCTCTCTGCGTTCAGATGTGCAGTAGCCAATCTTCCCAGAACAAATCTGAAACTGTAATAGTCTTAGTGGACTTCATAACCGCTCGCCAATGAATTCATACAATTACCAAGTCTTTCAAGTTAGTCAGGAAAATCCCTATTTATGCCCTAGACACTGGTTAAAGAGCAAGTCCCCTCAGTTACACCGAGAAGGGGTTTTTTTTTTTTTTTTTGGACATGACTCCGACTAGCGATCCATTGGGTCGCGTCTCCAACGTCCGAGTTTTGAGCTAATATTGGGAATGGTTACCCACTTGTTCCACTCTTCAGGCCAGTCGACGGATCGGCCTTTGTGCCTTATTCCGAAATGTTCGGTTTTCACTACCCCGGAGGTCTACTATGAAAACGATGTGGAAAGTCGCTACTTCAGGAAAACATTCTTCTAATGCTTCTTCCTCACACATTCTTGCAAGTTCGGTCTACCGGGCTTCGAGGTCTGAAATTGGATGTCAAGGCGATTATGCTCGCCAAGTCTAATGCATATTTTTCTGGAATCGTGACACTGTGCGGATTTGACTTGTGGGGTTGCATCCAGAGCGCGTCTCTGAAACAAAAGTGAAGCACATCCACAGCACGAGCTAGTAGTATTTAAAATATAAGACATTATATTAAAAAGGCGTAAGGTAGCGAACTCAGCCTAGTTAAGTAACTAACTGACTGGAGGTAAGTTAGGCTAAGATTGCATAACCTCAGAAATATTGGCGCTGGTGGTTCAAAGCCTGGACGTTGAAGGGGGTCTGGCGGCGGAGGTGGTATTTTGACCGCGTGCGCCTTGGTCAAGAAGCAATTAAAATGGTTGATATAGGTCAGTGGTATTAAGGGAAACTTGTACAGAGAACGCGCCAAAAACACCTCATCACTAGGTATAAATTAGGTAAACTTAATTTACCAGATCGGACGAGCGTTTTAAACCCACCTAAACATATCGATATATAGGTCGATTAGCTATCTTTAGCCATCCTTTGTTGCTATTTTTTTGGTGCCTGACCAGGAGCCTTCATACTCACAGACCTTCCATAGTAAAGGTCCATTATGGCCGTCTCTGTGCTCCCCTCTCAAGGCGATTATCATAGGTGTAGGTCCCTCTGGTCTTTGTGCAGCCACAGCCTTGAAGTTGCAAGGCCACAAGGTCACAGTTCTCGAGAGACAGCGAGATACGCGGCCCCATGGTCACGCGCTGGTAACCCAGCCTGCGGCGGTCAGAGCACTCGAGCACCTCAAAGAAGCGCACAAGGCCTTTAGCAGCATTGGTGTCGATGTTGGCGCTCTGCATTGGTGGTCATATAAGGGTATCATGCCCATAGCGGTCCAGCTACCAACCGGAAAGTCCTCTCGGGCGGAACGGAGATTCCAAACCGACCGGTCATCAGTACATAAAGTACTACATAGGTTGGCGGTTGCCAACGGCGCCTAGCTTCTGTTCGGGAAAAACGTGCAAGGGGTCGAGGATGGCCCGAGGAACTCATGGCTTTGGACAGGCGATGGAGAGGAATACAGCACGGACTTAGTCATAGCGGCGGATGGTGTGCTACAGACCCATCGCAAATGAAAATAGACCAGTGCGCTAATATCCAACCCTCGTGATTTTCGCCAGGCATCAAATCTACTATCCGCAAGAGAGCCTCTTCCCGAGACAGGATGCAGACCGGATTCCTAGAGAGTCCATCTTTCTTACACGTGCACCAGTCTCTCAACTCGCCCAGGACGCTCGACTAGCTCCTTGGCTCGAACCAGGAACCAAACACGGCGTACTGGGACCTGATCGGTTTGTTTTCAGCGGATTCGTGAACAGTGGTATCCTGGGTGTGTGCAGTTTATTGATGTTGATCATGCGGGTTCCGGTCCTGTTGATGGCAACTGGAACACTCCAGTGGATGTCGACGCACTCCGCACAAGTTTCTCTGATTTCAAGGTAACGACAAGGGTGTTCTTAGATCATGTCCAGCATGCTGAAAAATGGCAAATGGCCACGGGCCTGGAGCTTGATACGTGGTGGAGCGCAAGCGGACGTGTCGTGCTACTTGGGGATGCGGCGCATGCTATGTTGCCGCACGCAGCTCGGGGACTAAGCGAAGGGATTGAAGACGCCATCAGTCTCTCTCATATGTTACGCTGGGCAACAAAATCGGGGGTTGATCGTGTTGATACCCCTGCCGTTACGGATGCATGGGTAAACCTGCCCAAGCCCCGAGTTGACATTTTCATGAAGTAGTCCACACGCAATGCCAAGACATGGAGTCTCCAGACGGGCCAAAACAGGAGGCAAGGGACCAAAAAATCGGGAGAATAAGTAGCTGTCCATCACCCGATCGGGAGAGAGTGGAAATGGACATGGGGGCGGATCGTGAGTCCCCGCAGTTTCTTAAGTGGGTGAGGGATTATGATGTAGTACGAGAGGTATGTGACAAGGGATAACATGATCTATTTTGGATGGGCTGTTTAATCACTAGTTGTCAGACTAACTATCATTTAGGGGGGTGAAAAACCGATGGAAAGGGTCGCGTCTAGACAGCAAGGGTAACTAGAACGGAACCTACGAATGGCGGAGTCGTCTGCCTATGGCAGACTTTGTATTATGTTTCTCCCTGATTTTGGGTCCTGAACTTATTAACTCTTGAAGCATAAAGAAATTACTTCGTAAGGCTTCGCTGACATAAGAAGGCATGCAGACGGAAAGCGGCTAGTGGTCGGAGTTTGTGGATTATAGGGCGAACTTGAACTGCCGTTCTCTTGTTTGATTTTTATCACCACCAGCGACTTCAGTAGTCATGCGTTACATATTATGCTTTCAGTCATGCAGATGGGTCCACAAGCTGCGTGGTTCATAGTTGGCAACTAACGTATATACTCTCATTTTTGAAAGCTCTCGGTCGTGCTATTCTTAGGGCTACAAAGGTTATACTTGATGGAACTGAAAATAACTCTGTTCATTTCGAATATATGAACATGGTAACTAACAGGATGTGTGCAAAGCACTGTTGTCCGTCCAGGAAAGAAGTTTGCAAAAAGATCATTCAAAGCCACAAGAAAATCGACAACAATGTTCAGCTTCCTCTCATCCTACCACGAGGCGTAGGACCAACTTTCACCACTCAGAGATTCTCAATGTCATCCAGATTATCCAGATCCACCCCATCATCCTCGAGAACATCAGGAATCACCTGGCCCTCAATATCAGGGTCGACTTCGGAGCCGTCAAAGCCATCAAACTCATCGGGCACAACGTCAGCAACGTCGTCGCGCTTCTCGAGCTCCACCTCAACCTCAGGGTCAAACTCCAACTCCTCGTCACGCTTTCCGAACTTGCGGACGGCGGCGTAGTAGATATCCGCAAGACGGCGGCACTCAACTCCCTTCCATGAACTCCACCCCGAGAACTGGCTGCAGTACTTGTAGAGATCCTTCTTGAAGTTGTCGTCAATGCGCTTCTTCATGGCCTTGGTGAAGCGCTTCTGCTTCTTCGTGTTGCGGTAACCGAAGTCGTGTCGCTGGCAACTGGGGATGAAGTTGTATCCGTCCGGCTTATCGGGTGACTTGGAGCAGTTGTCCGACGACCAGTTACATTTGGATGGGTTCTTGGCCTTGCGCGCCTTCTGGAAGGTCTTCATCGAGACCTTGAAGATGAGGTTATCCGTGGCCTTCGCAGAGCATGTCGTGGCACGCGCCTGCAAGGCGGAGATAGGGTTGTCATTGACGGGGGTGGTATAAGGCAAGGCAGATGAAACTGCGGCAAAGAGGCCCAAGGTGGCAACGAAGATGTTCTTCATCTTGAAGGAGAGTCAGGGAGATCTGTTAAAGACTGTTCAAGAGAGGCTTCTGTTTCAATTTGTAGAGGAGTCTTAGTGATGAGAAAGGGATTCCCTAGGAGGATATAGCTCGCCCTTTATACCTGCGGATGGTCACTATAGCCATCAATGGGAAATGCCTCAAGAAGCTCATCTCCTCCTCGGCTATCATGACCATGCTCAGCCCCCAAGGAATTGCATCCTTCAGGTCATTCTTTCAGTCTACCTGTAGAGCTGCAGCATTGTATCCCCTCCCGCCAAGCCATTCATAACCTGCTTTACGAGGTCTCAACACGAGTGCTATCCAGAAACCCGATCTATTATTGGCGGAATTGGATATAGATTCTCCAGGATACGACCCACGTTTGGGGGCCACATGCGACGTGAACATGTTATCTTGACCCATTGGGAGAAATATCCTTTTGAATAAGCTTTAGTTGCTCGCGAACCGTGCAGTGTTCCTGACTGAAGGGATTCTTATGTCCAATAATAGTCATTTCGAAGGGCTAGTGTGCCTAGTTACGAGCACGGGAAATAGGGCCAAGACCGAGTTCAGGATTTTGGGTTACCTTCAAGGCTCGTAAAGCCCCATTCCCGCCGGGAAGGTTATTATTGACGCCAAGCCACGCCGGGCACTCCCTTGTAGTGATCATCTAGGATCATCCCTTTCTGGAGGCCCTTGATGCTAAAAATAGCCCGCGGAATCCGATCATTCGAGGATTGAAGGAAGAATGGGTTCTGCTGCACGGGTGTTTGTGTGACCTGTTCGAACCGGTCTTTTGCCGCTCTTCAAGAACCATATAAGTAGTTACGAGGAATAAATTGTGCCCCCAATATAGTTAGATAATATTCTTGGAAATTATTCAGCCGGATCGCCGAGAGAATCAATATTGCCGCAATACGAGATGAAGATCTGCCAAGACCAAATATCCGAGGTCACAGTTCGTAAAACCATCGATTTCAGTATGAACTCGGTGCTACTTCTTTGTAAGGTCAAGTTCACTTTGGTGGAATCACGAAGGCAGTTAATCACTCTAACCAGACCCGCCTGGAAGTGTGGGTTTCTGTGTCTTTTCCTGCACGGTTGCATTCGATTTTCTTGATTCAATACGCTTTGTCTGTCGGGAAAGTCTTGTCGATCGCACATTTCTATATCGTCAATCACTCGGTAGACTTGTGCGGCTGATGGGGGTTGCAATAGTGGAATCCAGTGCTATTATTAGACTTGAGGTCAAGGAAATTTGGCAGATGATCATCACGCTTTCCTCTGTCGTCATTGTAAGTAAAAAGCACTTTTTTGACAGGCCTGGACGTAGATACATTGAAATCAATTCATCCTAAGTACTTGTCCAACGGAAAATCATGGTACATCCGGTGATCCAAATCATTACTCTACTTCAAAATGAAGCACATGACGAGAGCAATGGCCGCCACCGTCGGACTGAGAGGAGCACTTGGCTGGGGAGAGGAGTCTCCAGAAACTTGTCTCACCAAGCTCCGCTACCGTGCCATCCCATAGCGTAAGGGCTATATCAGTTACCATCCTAACTATGCCCCCTGAGTTCCCTCTGTCCGCCAAGACTGCACTTTCAGCCATGTCTGCCATCTGGTTTCGGACAAACCCAGGGTTCCGCCATCGGGCATCAAGAAGTTTAGTTGACTCTAGGACCGCACACCCAAGAGCGTCTGCCAGTGCACCCCAATAGATATCCATCCTATCTTTTGCAACCGCAACATGTATGTCGCGAAGGCCTCGGTGGACTGACCAAGAAAGGGAGGACCACGGGAGACAGTCCAAGGCAGTATTGAGTGATCGACTCTCTCACAAACATGTACAATGTCACACCATGAATATCGCCTAATACACTAGGTGATCAATCCCCGGTCGTATTGGATTCAAGTACAGAAGGTCCACGTCGCTGACATCCCCACCTATCATATGGTAACAGTGTCTTCCGCTATGCGCACCACCAAATCCTTTTAAACTATATTTCAAGATCCATGAGCTGGATGCCTTATGCCCTGGAAAGACACATTTAATCCCCGACGGTGTTTGCGTATAAATTACTCCGGCCAGCATTTGTAAGCATTTATCGACTCTTCTCTCAGTGAATGGTGGGTATACATCGTTGGAAAGAGTGCGAGAGTCATGCGTGGTGAAATAAACGCGTGCCAGGTCCCAGATGGGCCATTCTGTACTCCATTGTCCGCAATGGGATGCATACGCAGCCCGAGGACCCGAGGCACTGCTGCATCGGAAAATCGGTCGAGCGTTGGTCACGCAGAATAACCCCATCAGGGTTGTGCGAGAGATGACCGTACAAGTAATCAGGCCTTGCTTCACAAGAGGCTGGGGAGGGTGGTCGATCCTTGTATCTTTCGAATGGCTCCACTCTACCGCACATTGCTTTATCATCGAAGACCCCGACTTTGCAGCAATGGTATCGGCAGGTCCGTCCGAGTCGTCCCCTGGTTAGCCTTTTCCCAATTGAGCAGTCGAGTGAATGACTGCTAGCAATACTGTCCATGCGGTCTGTTTAGTGGGTTGTATAAAAGGCAAGCGACGGAGAGATACGATATTATGACCACACAGTCCATTTCGCAGCGCTTCTTCGATGACCGGCCCAACAGGAGGTAGCCTGAGAACGCGCCTCCGTAGGCTGCGGAACTGCTACTGACACCATTCACCGAAGTGTTGAATGCCCCTTGACGAAAGAAAGGGATGGAAAAGGGTGGAAAGAGTTGCTAAACAGAAGCTTGTCATGCTCGCAGATGATGACCGGCACTGGACACGAGCTGATGGATTGTCCATTCGAAGACCAAGTCTGGTGAGCCAGTTTTGTAAGCAAATAGAGACCGCTGTCGCAGTCGAACCGTAGAATTCGTGACAGCGCTTCATGATAGAACAAGATATCTCGTGTCCTTCAAACCTTTCTCGCTATCATGGGCACTTTGAGGCTGGCTAGGTTTATCGTATCATTTGGCAAATGAGGACAACACCTCCCTTAAAGCCAGTGTATGGCTACCTCAGTGTAACCGTAGCCATCACGCTCTTTCATGTAGGACCGTCAAAGAAGGCGAAGCTGCAGCCAATACAGTTTTGACATTTTAGATCCCTGTGGGAATATTGGTTCTTTAATTATTGATCTGGGTGTCATTGTGGCTAGATGTGTCTTTACTCGCGCTGGGAAGAGATGTTGTGTGATAATGAAGTGACGCGTCCATCTCCTACTTTGAAGGAAGAGATATCTCCATTGGTTCACAGGCTTGCCGTCCCTTCAACTATCGGACAGGAACCTAGACGCAACATTCTCTTTCTTGTTTTTGTCTGTTTTACCGGTAGACTTGATCAATATCTTCGAGCTATTCTTGGGATAGTGGCAGTACTTTCGGCTTGACATTTTCCCACCATTAGTGAATTGCCGGGCCTCGGTACGCCTAATTCCGATGGAGGGAGAATCTGAGTTTCTGATCGGTGTACTCCGAGATATCGAAATGATCTGTTGTTTAATATCTCTGGTTTTTATCTGCGGGGAAGCACTGAATTGCGGACAAGGCTAATAGATTGCATCGATGTCTTCTCCGACACGTTGCCTGGGAGGGCAGACACTAAACCCCCGTTCTCCACCGACAGCATCCAATCCAAGTCCATCGGACGTGATAAGATAGCGGACGGCCGACGGGACAGGGTCAAGACAACTGTTATGGAGCATTGTGGAGCCCGCAACGTGAGGTATCCATTGGCTAATACTTGATTGCAGAGTTACATCAAACCCAATCCCAAGAAACAAGTCTTGCAGATCGCTAGATGGAAGACTGATTTATAACTGGCAGCATGAGCCTGAGGAAATTATTTTCGTTCGCTATCCAGAATTAGAGCATTGTTTAATCATGCCACGCTTACTCTCCCTCTCAGCGGCCACATTGGGCCTGGCCCAGTTTAGCAACGCCTGGGGCAATTTAGGTCACGAAACTGTGGCCTATATCGCTCAGAATTTTGTGGCCTCATCGACTAAAACATACTGCCAGAAGATTCTAGGAGATGACTCCACCTCGTACTTGGCCAAAGTTGCGACATGGGCTGACTCGTACAAGCACACCGACGCGGGGAAGTTCTCGGAGACATACCACTATATTGATGCGCAAGATAATCCTCCAACAAGTTGCGGGGTAAATTACGAACGTGACTGTGGGAGCTCCGGGTGTAGTATAAGCGCTATTCAGAATTATGTCAGCTTCTTACACCCGATGCGAGGATACAATGGCTCACCTCGCTCTAGACCAATATCCTACTCGGTTCTTCCAGCAGTTCGGAGGCATTGGATGCCTTGAAATTCGTGGTCCACGTCAGTCCTCACGCTTTGCCATTCGGGTTGGAAGCGCTCTAATGAACCACAGATTATCGGCGACATGCACCAGCCCCTACACGACGAGAACCTCGAGGTCGGTGGAAACGGCATCGATGTCACCTACGACGGAGAAACAACCAACCTTCACCATGTTTGGGACAGCAACATGCCTGAGGAGGCCGCTGGAGGCTACAGCCTCTCGGTCGCAAAGTCCTATGCGTCACTTCTGACAACTCGCATCAAGACCGGGGAATATTCCTCTAAGAAGAAATCTTGGACCACCGGGATCGACATCAAGGACTCGGTAGCGACATCAATGATTTGGGCGAGAGATGCCAATAGCTTCGTTTGCAGTAGGGTTTTGGAGGACGGGCTAGCATACATCAACTCAACTGACCTGTCTGGGGAGTACTATGAAAAGTCTCAACCTGTCTTCGAGGAACTCATTGCGAAAGCTGGTTATCGGTTAGCGGCATGGCTGGATTTGATTGCGAGTCATTCATCAAAATAGACCTTGCACGGGGTGCTTGAGGCATGATTCCTACTATGGGATGATGTGATATTGGTACCTATTCAATGCTACAACTGGCAAAAAGGTGCGAAGTGCTTCCCTAGAAGACTACTGGTTGTGTAGATGGAAGGTCTGAATGTGGGAGATATAGTGGTAGCTTTTCCTGTCAAGAACATCAAGAACGCCACTTACCACAAGCCTTAAAATATTCGCTCAACTCTATATAAGAGGACATGTAAAATCCAAAATATTGGCATCGCACAGGGTCCACTTTCCAACTTGATAAGGCGCACGGCAGGGTTGGAGGTCATCCTCCCTTGAATCTAACCACTTTAAAATGTTGAGTTCACAGTCCAGACCTACAATAAGGCGTGTCGGCTTAATTAGACAACTTCTACAGGGTCCAATCAGTGGGTTTGCATATTTTGCGGGCTCGGATAGTACATGTTGAAATAATGAAAAATAGTACAACATAACCCACCTCATATTCATCCAGTCAAGCCAGATACTGTTTGTCGGCCCTTAAATAGCCCGGTCCGCGTTTGCGGGTCGCTGGCTTCTTCATAAAATCACGCCTTTAGAGCCAAGCTCGCAAATCCCGAAGTCGTTTGTACGGGGTATGTAGATACGCAATACTAGGGCCTAGTTCTGGCGCTTCTGGTTGATATTCACGCTCCTGCTAAAGGCCAGTCAAATGAGTCTCCACTTTCCCGTTCCAGAGAGGACGCTCTTGTTAACAATGTTCCTAGCTATGAGTCACGCTTATTAAGGTGCTCCCAGGGATGTAGATAGAATTCCGCCGGTCTGTAGGTTTCAGCTACTACTGGTCGTGTCACACTCTCAAAGCGGCACCCCAAAGTGCCTCAGATATTTGGAAGCCTGCCCAAGAACAAATACCCACTCATTTGGAGATATCTTGCGTCCTGTTCTCCGCATAGTACACAGTCACGAAACTCCAAAACTGTGAAGGACTGCCTTCGTCTTGGCCCTTTTTATAAAGGGGTTGCGATATTTCCAAAGCCAAGACACTTCCCCCAGCCCAGATAGTCTCTTTGAGAAGCAAGAGATTTCTAGCTCTTCATCGCTATCAATTTCGCTGCATCTATGGCGGATTCAGCCACACTTCTTGTTGGAGCCTCCCTCTCGTGCCATTACCCATGAACTCGTCCATCAGTTGAGTCATTGCCACAGAAAACCAACTCAGTCCACTTCTCCGTATAATAGCATCAGTTCTTCTTCCTGGAACCAAAACGATACGGATTCCGTCAATGCCGCGGCAGCCAGTGATCCCAAGCTTGACACCCTAATCATCAACAGTGCTATTGGCGATGACGAGAGCGTCTCATCACAACGACTGTCGGCAGGATGAACGAATATCTAAACCCAAACGACCTCAATCCGCTACGCATTACCCAGGCATTCCTCCCGGCTCTTCGAGCAGGCAACGCCCAGAAGATAATCTTTGTATCTTCCTACTGTGGCTCGTTCGATATTCAAATCAAAAGGCTGTCCGGTGGGGCGGTCCATATGCTGTTTCCAAGGCCGCTGGAATCATAAATGCAGTTCAGTTGAATAACGAACTTCACGCCGATAGTTTCACGGTTATTCCCCTGCATCCTGGTTTGGTGGCCACCGATATGGGGAACATTGGTGGTTGTGGCGGAATGCCTGTTGATGGAGCTGTGAGGAAGATTCTGAACGTGATTCAGAACGTCAATTAAGAGGATTCGGCTAGAATTTTCCGTTAGGATAGGTCATTCCTCCTGTGGTGAGGTAGATTTCCTATAGACTGATCGATACTCCCAGACTCGCGCGGTAGTATATACTTAGCGGAGTGATATTTCGCAATTCTACAGGCGCTAAGGGATTCACCTACTGTATAAAATAAAATTACATATCACTAGAATGGGGATTGCGAACCTAGCACCTATCGTCCCCTAACATCACTATAGTTAATGTAGAATATGGTACAATGAATTACTTAAAAGTATGTAGTAAGTAATTAAACCTTGGATAAGAGAGAGGTTGCCAAGGCAATGGAAAAAAATTGACCAGACTGGGGCTCGATCCCAGGACCTTATGCGTGTTAAGCATACGTGATAACCAACTACACCATCCGGCCAAGTGTTAAAGAAAATTCTTAAACTTTGTCTATAGAAGCCAATTTGTACAGCTTAAAACAACAGTTGAGAGCCTATACACTATTCAGGATACAGTAAATTGTTCTTGATGAGCTCGTGCACAAAAAAGTGATCAAGCAGTAGCCAATAGTGAGCATGAATGGGATAGTTCTATCCATTCACGCGCTTCTCTGTTCCAATCTCTCTCATAAATGTTAGCCATGTGAAAGTCTGCATTCCAGCTGTTCTTATGCACCACGATAACGGCAACGCGGGCTCGATTGTAATCGGTTGGTGCAGGACCGGGATACCAATTACGAAAGATGCCGTGTGATATGCCGGAGATGGAAAGGCGGTTTGTTTTAAGATTATCGAGGACTCCATAAACATATATGGCTCAGAATCTAGGAAGTATGGGAGATAGGCAAAGTACTCATTTCGTCCGGTAAAAGACAAACGTTCCGGGAAGCTGTGTGTCTTCCTGTTCCAGTTCCGCAACGGGAACATTCACAGTTCTCTTGCGTCTTCCTCTGTTCAACGCCTCTCAGCCTGGTCATTCGTCGAAAAGCTCGTGTTGGCCGTGGATTGGGATTGCAGACCCGCATACTACGCAGCAAAGGCCCAAAGGGTTGGGTCTCGCTTAGACGGAAAACTCGAATTGCGTCTGTTTATGGGCATTTTGGGGTGAGTGTGTTCTGGACAGTGGAATACATTGACAGTGTTACCCTTCTGTCGGATACTACTACTTCCTCGGGTGATGTCACTCGCATAGGATATTGTTATAGAATTTTCCTTGTTCAGAAACCCTTCACTCACGCTTAGATGTCTCATTCTCAGCCCTATCTTGATATCCATATCATACATCTTCTGAATACCGACTATACTCCACCTCTTGGTAGATAGAATAAAATATGCTAGGGTTACCTCGCATGTCTTAGCTCGAAAAAGGAACTCGGTGGGGAAGCTGGATTTTTTGCTGCACGAAAATGGTTCTTGTCTTTTACCCGCAATATCTCCAATCCTTTTACAATCTGGGTTGAATCAGCATCCTACCCTAGTTTTGTGAAATTGCCAGCCATGACGGTATGAGAGGTCGTCGAGGGTGAAGCTGCGTGGTCACCGATCGGGGAGTCGTGGAAAACCGACATCAAGTTCACACCGCAATCACGGACGCCACCAGCCGAGTTTTATATACGGTTGGCAATCCCTCGCGAATAACACAGGCCCGATCGGCAACAAAACCAGCCCAGGCGCTCGTGATTCTCGAGACTGGGAGTTGTGTGGAACCTTTTTGCTGTGGCTTACTGCATTGGTTTTTTGCTCGATTAGCATTTACTAGGCATGACAGCCACTCCACGCTGGCTAGGCTTGACACGAAAAGCGAGCCTAACAGCGACGATGAGGATGATATTGCAGAAACACGTAGTACATTAAGATTATATATAACCTCAAGGCCTGTCTTGTTGAACTCCTCCGAGACACCGCTACGATCATTTCTTCCTAAACAATATTCTGGTCGATGGCACTGCAGCTATCACGAGAATAGTGGATTGAAAGTGTGTCTCCGCGCTAACACTATGGAAGGCATGCGATTTCCCGATCTTAACTGAGGGGCGAACCCTAGAACAGCAGCCAGGTCCTAACGAATATACGCACAGTGGTGACAGAGAACCGCATGTTCTATACTGGGGGCATCGATCTAAGTATGAGTTGACAAGGCTAGGGTAAACATTCACCGGCAAGATGGATAGACTGGAACCAAAGTGGGTTTAATCGCTCGATAACAGCCTGAAAAGCCAGACTTCGACATAGTTGTACATAAATTGTGAGAATGGCTTCCTGGCAAGATACATCAACGATTGGCTAGACAATATCGGGTTGGGGAAGCCCAATCTCTCGCAGTCTGTGGGTCAGACTCTATGGCTGATAGGTACTAGGTAATAAATAGCTAGCGGAGAAGTATTTGCTCACTTTACTCTACCGTTCGATCTGGTGGGTTTAGCGATGAAATGTGCCGTCATGGAAAAGGATATCTCATTTGCGGATGATGCGACTGCTGTAGTTAGTTGTTAGATTATCCGCGTTTAGTCTTCCATCAAACTTTAGGTGAAAAATAAATGACTCAAGGGGATTCCATTCTGGTAGCATCGTATGGAATGAAGGAATGTTCGACACCCAGGTCACATTAGCTCACTTCCAATAACCTCTGAGGAGACCCTTAGATCAAACCCTATACTCAACCTGAAAGAAAAAGAAATTAATAATAAAAAAAAGGCAAAGGCTTCTCGACCTGATTGGGCATTCCTTAATCTTGTTCGTCTCGCGTAGAACTGCATCCAAGCGCTGTGGTGGACGATGCGGCCAATATGCCAACGTGTAAGATTGGCATCGACCGAAGGTTACTCATACGCACTAGCAGAACCACAGTAGCAACCTTCTCTAGTCCCGCCGCCTGACGCTCAGATCTGACAGACATTTCAGGTCAAGCCCTTAAGTGCTGCTCAAGATGCCTACAGTGGCTAACTCAAGCTGTTCCTGCACCGATATTGTCCTATGGCCTTAAAACAAGCAACATGGGTCTTCCATGCATCCATAGTCTTCAAAGTGAAATGAATCGGATAGAACACACCGCCCAAATTGCTTCTTATGCTTAGGGTGGGTACCGACATCAATAAACAAGGGCACCACGATAGTGCGGTTCATTTCGAGTAAGGTAGCCTCGCTCGTAGGTCAAGGTCTGCCGAGGGTGTGGCTGCTTCTCAATAAACTATCCCGTGCGATTTTAAATTCCGGTTATGAAGGGCGCAGGTGTAAGATTAAGATGTTCTATCTTGAGCCTACGCATGTCACTGCAGCCCAGCCACAAGCAAGCGGCATTGCAGCCAGCGGCTAAAATGGTAGGACCACAGAAAGATAGTACCATTGATTCCCTTAAGGGGGCACGGTACGATAAGAATATCCTTGTCGTAGCCAATGTGAGATACGATCAGTGAAACATGTTCCTCATCAGCTGCGCAGGTCTCAATCCCGATGTCAGCTCAATCACCCCTATCGAGTATTCGATTCGCAGTGACTTCATTAATTGACTATGCCCGATCGCAGAAGAAGCTAACAGAACAAGGTCACTTGGAACTATCCCTGCACTTGTGGATCTGAATGGCGCTTCCTAGTTAAATTGCCTGCAGGGATTCCCGGATTCTTCAGGCTTGGCTGTTCAAGAGTCGCTGTAATATTTTACTGGGACTAAAGACCGTCCCAAGATTATGAGTGTTAGTCACCAGTATATATTGCCGATCCTATACCCCAACCAGGTGACCCCATCTACTGTTCATCGTCGAGGTGTTTGCGCAGCAGCGCTAGACAATTACGCCGGCTATCTGCAGGTCGAGACGCGATGCCCGAGGAGATGTATATCCTTGAAGCGCTTTCGTGCTATAGACCAGGGTACTATATGACCGTTCCCTGTTTTCAATGCATATCTTAGGCGTCTGTAATTAAGTCTTTAGTCAACAAGGCGCAATTCTAGCCGACTGTGGGACACCACGGTTTCTTCGACCATGATTCCCTTCGTATTCATGCACGCTCCAGGTAAGACTCAATCCGAGTCACGAGACCTGACTAGCCCTGCTACCTCCAGCGATACTCTTATCAGCGACCAAGTCAAAGTGAGGTTCAAACTGAACTGTTTCTACCTCGGTATTCGTTAGAGGGTTGATAGTCAGTTACGTGCAGGTAGCCCCTGAGTTTACTTACAACTGTTGGGGTTGACCCCAGACGGCAGACGCATTGCCTGAAACTAGTCAAGGTGAGGGCAAAGATGAATCCCCGGGTGGACGGGTAGGAATCGGTGTCAAACATGCATCGGACCAATCGCGACAGCGTGATCTGATATTTAGCTCATGCAGGTCCTGGGTAGAAGTAAAATATTCCTCCGGAGCTTCACGCAATCTGCCAACCAGAGTCCTTGGGTGTGCCGATCCACAAGGATCTAGGCCTCGCTGGATGGCATGTTTCCCTGCAACAGTCTAACCACCTATCGTACTTTTGCGACCAGCAGAAGAAACTTGGATCTGGCCGGCTAGAATAGCAACAAGGCCGGTCCAGTAGACCAAACGCATCTAGTCAGACTCGACGCAAATTCAACTCCAGGGAGTAGATAGCTCGCTCAGGAACAGCTATAAATACTGCCTACGATCCGCTGCAATCTGCTCTTTCCTCCATCAAGCATATCCCTCTCTCCGAACAGAAGCAAAGACTACTACACTCCACCACTTCAAACTCGAAGTCTTCATCCATCAAGATGCAATTCCGCTCCGTTATCACCCTTCTCGCTGCTGCTACTGCTGTCACTGCCACCCCCGGTGGAGGTGAGTCCCAGTGCAGCCCTGAGCAGGCCAACAAGTGCTGCTCCGGCCTCACCAACGGCATCCTGAACCTCAACGTCCTGCCAGCCCTTTGCCTTCGTAAGTCTCTCTCTCTCGTTGAGGTCTATGTACGTTGCTAACCATATGGCAGCTCTTCTCGCAGACTGCAACAACCAGGTCGCCTGCTGTGAGAGCAATGGAATTGTACGTGATTCATCTCCTGACTGTTTCTCCATGATTTTGATTCTAACCTTTCCGTCTTTCCATTGCCAGGGCCTCCTCAACTGCCTCACCATTCAGCTTTAAGCTCCTTGAGGTTCGTCACCGAATGGTACGCCACATACAGGATATCCAGAGGGGGGGATGATCCACAACTCGATAGATGTCGGCATGGGTTGGTAGAAATGGATGGGCCGCTCAGGCGGATGGAGTTTTGCTCTAGGGATTAGATGTACACGTATTATCCTATGTCGCAAAAGTCTGTGGTCGGGTTGAATAGGTAGAAAACCTCAATTTATTTTGGGCTATATGTTGGAAAACTTGTATCGCTTGGAGCGCTCATAGAGTAGACATGCCGCCGGCAGACGTCCTATTCGTGACTCCTTATTATAATAGCAGTAGGGCGTATTCTAGGAAGGCATTCAAACACAGATATAATCAATTACAAGTATGTACTATAACCTTTCTTTTGTCCTTTTTTTTTTTTTTCATTTCTGGTTGTGTGTACCCTTAGGTACTATATATTTAGAGAAGGCCGAAGGTAACGGGTCGTAAAATTGAGCAAATAAGGGAAAGGTGCTCAAATGCAGGCCTGGACAGCGTTGTAAGTTACTGTGAACCATTAGTCTATAGATATAATTTCACTAGAAAGCAAATCCTGAGTTAACAATAGTGATAAAGTGACAAAATAAGTATTAACAACTAAAATTTTAATAATAATTAAGTATGAAGTCCATCAGCAAAATCCGTTGTAGTGTAACGGCTATCATACCTGTCTTTCACACAGGAGATCGGGGTTCGATTCCCCGCAACGGAAACTTTTTTTTTGTTTTTAACTCTTTACTTCCCTTGCACCGTCTTTTTATCTTTGTTTCTATGTATTACAGCGGCACGAGTTTTATCTACAGTCACAAAAATATTCGTGATTATCGAATATGATCCTTCCTCCCTATTTATCCTGCACCCTGACGCGCACACTCTTTCTTAACCAAACACTTCAGCTCAGAACCCAGGATGTCCAACTTCCCTCAGTGCCTCTCTCACCACCTGATCCAGACCTCTCCGGCAGACCAAGTCCCTCATTCCGAATTTGACGCCCCGGCTCGAAATGTCCGCTATAATCATCTTTGGTAAACCTGATGTTGATCAACCCATACCCGGCGTACGCATCGCCCTTCTCCCACGCGGCCTTCAGAGCGGGTATAGCCTCCTCGGTGTTGATGGACTTTCGCTGCCATATCTCACCCGTGAGACGTCCGATGGTCTCCACGAGTTCCTTTTGGCTGGTCGCAAAGTCATTAGTAAAGACGATTGTTGGCTGTCGTGTCGGGGTGGAGTAGCACCTAGTTCAGCGCCAACGCCGTGTTGGCCAAGGTGGTGGTAGAGAAGTAACCGGTGCCATCGTCAGTAAATGTGACGATCCAGTTGGGATAGTCAAGACCAAGGAAATTGTTACGAAGGGACCTGATCAATGTTTTGTCAAGTACAGATAAGATAGAGAAACGGCGATGACACTGTACTCACCACCCAGTCCACATGCCACAGGCGATCGCTGTCCAGGTTAATCCACTGGATTCCTTCTCTCGCAGGTAGGTCTGCACTAGACCCTTCTCCTTGAAGACTGGCGCCAGCTCCTGAGCCTCCGGCGTATTGTTGTCCAGACCGTACTCGGACGGCACGAACCGTTTGACTCCGGCCGTGATGGCGGCGTCGATAAAGCGGAGCTGCTCGGCGACAGAGAAGCTAGTGATAGCGTTTACAATGGCATCCTGACCACGTAAAGCCTTGACAAGATCTCCTTGGGGTAGGAGTCGGCGCGGCGCGGATGGAATACTGCCATGTGCCTTGGATGACTCTCGCATGAGAACGGTGACCTTGATCCTGGGCTCGGAGAGTAGAGAGTTCAAAAGAACACCTCCCAAGGACCCGCCATCCTATTGATCGACAGTTAATTTCAAGATAGTTAAAACGAAATTTGAAGATAGCCCACCCCGACAAGAGAATGGAATGGTATCCTGCTGCCGGCATTGCGCCTCGGTGGAATTTTTGCGTTCGGTTGGTGTTATCGTTGCTAGTAATCTTCTTTGCTTGTTGATATGTATTGGACGAAATCCTGAACTATCTAACAAGAGTAGGAAAGCATCGATTTATATCTCGTGGGTCCATCTTGTGTCCCTCTGCCACTCGCTGCACTGAATTACGACGATGATGCCATATCATATGGGCTCTGGTCCAAACCCTATAAACCCCGTCGCATCCGGTAATCCTCAATTCAATCTTCAGCATTTTGCATTTTGTTTCCTGCCCAAGGCTACAACGCTGGGATAGCGTTGTGGATATAAAGAGTGAAGGTCTATTTTCTGACGGTCGACAGGCGGGCGAATCATGGAGCGCAAAGTATGACAAAAGTATTAGGATCATTAATCAACCAACAAGCCACATTGCCGCAGCTATGCGCGCTACGGCTTAAAATCCCTCGAATGACGATTGCAGGAGCTTGAGAGCCGTGCCATGCGGCGACTAAATGTCAAGTAGCAAGTTTAGTTTATTTCCGATGCTTTCTTCCCGCTGGCAATCTTATCAAGATGGGTGCTTACCAATCCAGATCAGTAAACTTGTGGAGGAATGCTCAACATGCCGACCAGGTGGTGTGACCTAACGAAAGAGTCCCTATATGCTTAAAAAATACCTTATAAGTCTATTTTCATGGAGCCTAGTCAGCCATGATATTCGGTTAGAAATTCTCGCCGCTATTTTAAAAAGTCTAGTGCCTCTTCGGGTTCTATCTATTCATGCATCCGCTCACTCATTAGACGCTTCATGCGAATTTTCATCCATAGTGAGCCATGTAAGGCTCTCGATACTCATACTCCATTTCCTGCTATTTGTTCTCCACGGATTCATCCCCGGAACTGTCAGGATCCCGGCCCTCTGTTCCCGGGAGGCGTCCGTGTTTCGCAGACTGAAAACAACCCGTGGAAGCCTTTCGCTCCAGCTATGCGTTTTACTATCCACTTGGCTATCTGATACAGAGTTTACGTGTCGCGAAATCACATTGAGCAAGATATCCTCCGAAATGTGTATATCATTCAACCCGGATTGCAAGTTGGACAAAACACGGTATGGCGACGGCATACAGGAGGTAATGATGCCTCGTGTACATGGAGATCCTATGTCGAAGTCATTTAACGTTGTGATCCTCAATATTGTGGATAAAACTCTCTTACTCGCTGCAGATCTCGACATTGAGCGCTGTCCCTATGATAATTCCGTCAATCTAACATCTCGCATTTCTTTCTCCTGTTAACCTGCATTGGCAACCGAAAGATAACGTAGGATAACACACAAGTTGGATCAAAAGACTGCAGGTATGTCGGTAAATAGGTGAGCTCAATAATGTGAACAAATCACCACCCTTAGAGGCTGTCAATGTACGAAAACATATGACCGCCAAATGGGCACATTACAAAGCCGTGAAGCAAAAGCCGCAAATATCTGCAGTCGCCCCTGTACGGACATCTGCACATTCAAAATCATCACAAAAGAGATCAACACAAGTGCTAGGTCAGCGACCATACTGACAATTATGCGGGTATGCAATTGCGCCCTAGAAGTTTATCAGCTAGTTAAGACATCTCCAACCCAGAGAATTGACACTGTAAGGCTATCGCAAGAAGCGCAGATACTGTCCATGCAGAAACAGCGGTGGTCATAGCATTGCTGGCTTGCCTAACCTGCCGCCGCGGCGCCAGATGGTATAGTCGAGCGACGGACACCTGCGACAGAGCAATTACTAGAACATGGAGAAGCCGAGCTGTGTGTGTAAACTGTCCAACTTTGGTCAGTGAGGGTAGCTGGCAATTCGAACAGAGAAATCAACTTGATCATATCGATCAATGTCAACAGGGGCACGCGATGCAACAAGCTCACCAAGCCCATAGTTCACGGCCAACTGGATGAGAATGCTCCGAGCCACTGCAATGATCTATCAGAGCAAAAGTATTAGACTGAGTCCACATGTGGCTAGTATGGACTGAAAGGCTTCTCCATATCAATGCAATCTACACTAGAATATCAGCACTTAGAAGCACTGCCTTTGTATATACGCAAACCACCATTTTTGCCAGGACAATTATAAGGGTACAAAACAAGAAGATAAATGCAACGATGGTCAGGATTGGGTCCAGATTGTCCACTGTGATCACTGCCAAAAGTGGTAGAAGCTCATCTTGCTTCATAGCGACAACGAAAACTGGTAAAATCCTGATGCATCGTTCCTATTGACATGAGGGCTGAAAGGGGAGAGCCAGCAGAGATTATCTTCGTTTATTTCCCAGGCTGACTTTACGGGCAGGGTGCTAAGGGGCACTTTGGTACCCCATTTCTCAAAGGGCTTTGCAAGGGCATTGATACCATTGTCCTCTTCTGTGGTGACAACCCTCATTTTCAAATTTGGCAGGCTTCCTTCCACCTTCCGGTTTGTTGAGGCGCAGGTGAGCAATAACCCAAATTGGACTCGGACAAGGGATAAATCTTACCCTGGTAGATAACGAGTCAAGATGTAGGAAATAAGCTAGACGGTTGGTCTTAGCTCCACAACGGTGCAAGAGAAACCGTACTCTAGTTCGCCCACGGACCAAATCCCTGATATACTATCTATCTAAGCAAATCGCAGCCCCGGTTTATTGGGCTAAATTTCGATGGCCAAGAAAGTCTGCCTCATTGCACATGTCGAGTTCTTAATTCATCCCTCCGTTAACGTGGCGAGTTACGTTCCCTGGACCCAAGGCAATTTGCGCTCATCTCCCCTTCAATTTCCCACGTTTTCTTATTTTCTTCATCGAACACGCGGAGAGACATCATCTCCCTGAATTGCTGAAGAGAACGGTGTAAAGTCGCGTATTCAACATGAGTGACTCGCAACGAGAGATGGCCGGAGGCCTGGAGAAAGGCTTCGGTGCGTCAAATGTCCAGGAGCACAAAGCCCTCCGTTTGAAAACAGCATACCAACAAAAACCACGCCTAGAGGTACGCAGGGTGTACCAATAGAAACAGGTCATCCTGTAGATACTAATACATGACAGGGATACTTGGATAGCCTGCCCATGCTAGCATTTGCCGCAACCTCCCAGGCCTCCTGGGGAAATGGGAAATTCCGATCAACACGTTTTCCATCATCTACGGCACCTGTATCGCTATATTCTTGCCCTTCCCTAGCACCCAGCCGGTTACTGCAGAGAACATGAACTATGGGGCTTCCGTTTTTGAAGCCGCGCTGCTTTTTGCTGTGGTCGATTGGTTTGTGCGTGGGCACAAGAAATCGAAAGGGCCTACGATACGGATGGCACACAAGTAGTCGTTCGAGAATGCATGATGTCTTGATTATTAATTATAGAAACAATTTCCTTGAGCACTCTAACATACTTCGGTTAATAATTATCCCTCTTTTACATACGGCCTTAACGGAGCGGTCTAACCCTATCTGCAGAGTAAGGGTCAGTATATAGGTCCCAAACTCATCTCTATGTAGCCTGCGCAAGCTACCAGTCTACCGACTACTATGCATCATTCACAGCAAATTATGGCTTTCCAAAACTATCCCTCAGATAACGAAAAAATGATATCTAGAGGCTCCTACTAGATGTTGAAACTATCTCTGTCTACGACAGATTTCACCCATCGCCCCCGGCATCAATACCCATTCGCGTCGAAAGGTGACTTATAATCAATTAGCAGCTTCTCGCTGGATTACGTGCCTTTTAGCCCTTACGGAGAAAGTCCAATCTACTTAAGGCCCTCCGTGTATATCCATGCAGGTGCCGTGCCTTGGTCGCAAAAGAGCCATTCGCAGCATTCGGGCTGGTGTCATAGTCCACATGAGTTATACTTCGCTCTACACTGTGTTTTCGAATCATCTTTGTTAGTTTCTTGATGCATGATACCGATTGGTAGATAGTGGGACGCGCACCCACTCCGGGTCAAAGACTCCTGCCGGCTCAGATTTGTTGGTGGAGAGCGTAGAGCCTAGCATAGCTACGAAGAGCAAGTAAAAGGACTTCATTCTGATTTTTCTGCGAGCAGTATTTGCTTCTGTCTTGAAATTGTGTAGGCATGTTCTCTGGTGGAGAGAGAAGACAAAATGGTTCTATACCCCTTAAGCCACCTTAGTAAACCCTATCAGCACTCCATAACTACGAACACTTCTCTACTAGCCCTTCCTTTCATTGTCTAACGTTCGTCCCAACGTGACATGAGAAAGGTAGTGTTCGGCATTGGTTTCAGAGGGCATTCGCTCAGGTTGTCGTTTTGTCCCTAGTTTGAAGTTGATAAATCCTTGTCTTAGATTGCAAGACCAATGGCAGTTTTTGACACAAAGATCCAAAGGTCAGACTCTTAGACATTCACCGGCAGGAGGCGCTTTCGTTTCTGCGGTTCACCTTACTAGGGCCATATGGGCCTAGCAAACGCTTACTGGCCCACACCCGAAGTCTCATCAGGTAAGTATGGAGTTCTACCAGTGTGGTGAGGACGGTTTATATCACTGAATTGACCTCAAGTCGGCAGATAATCGGGTGATATGAGGGAATGATGCCGCGTAACAATGAGATCGTGGCATCATTTGACGCCAGGGAATGTCTCGGATCTCTCGGTACATAGTATAGTGACTAGTGCGCTTTATCCAGCCTTACCCCAGTAATTTCGCGGGGGCGAACTTGTTAGCCCGGGACGATCCCAATACTAAGATTGACAGTAAGCAACGGCAGTGGCTTGATGGGCCTTCCAGGCAGGGCGCGTTATTGGACATAACCGTTATGGGTCTCTAGACTGTTTCCACACGGGTTACTTGGCTCATTTGATGGAAAGATTTCCACCGAAGACGTCCTGAATGTGACTGTGATGTGGTAGCGGGTCCAAATGAACCTGTTCAATCCATATGGAGTGCCTTTCCATTGCCCAGAGACTAGTGGATCTCGGCATCCACCAAGAGCCTTTGAAAGAGGTCCCGTTGGCGCTATTGCACATTGTGTGGGGATCCGGCCAAGACCTCATGTAACGTTGGTTGTGCTACCATGATCGCCCATAGGCATCCACCAAATGGAGATCATCGCGGTAGTGCTTACACTGCGGGGTAACCGGAGGAAGTCAGACAACGTTCCAATTCTTTCCCGGTTTCAGATGCTTGGATGTGCTGGAAGGACGGGGCATGTCTCTATGTACGGAGTATACAACTAGTCTCCGTAAGTGTAGCACTGAGCATTGTGTTGGTGAATTGGTGCATTTCTTTGAGGTAGTATGCGACCGATGGAGAATGGTTGAGGGAATATAGAAGAAAAGGAAATAAATCGTTCGTCAACATCGTCCTCTGCATCACCTCTGTCACTCAGCCACCAGCCAAGGTATCAATTTTTCTGTCGATCGTACTCTCCTACGATCCCAACCGGGAACCCTAGATTTGTTTGATATCGGATAAAGTAGCAAACTGGCCTGACTGGTTACACTTGGGGGAGGGGAGGGCTGGACAACTGTGGTACACTGTGAATATTCTGCTGGTTGAGCATTGACAGGTCAAAGGTCTAGCACATATCCTCATGTTATGGACACTGTACTGTACATCGGATGATACCTAGAGAGAAGGGGCAAAGCACCAGACTTTACTGGCTTTCCAAGATAGAAAGCAAATCCCTGATGCTGGGATCTCAATCCTCCCAGCCGTTGTATGCATGTTCGTGAACTGGGGTCAAGGGGTTGTGTCAGGTAATGTGACCTTGTGAACCCTTTTTTTATCGCCCTTTTACTTTTAACTCATTCTTGCCGACTGAGTATTCTCTACTTCTAGTCATTCCTTCCTCACTTATTCATTTGTTTGTTGATGGCCACTCGTTACCTTGTTGGCTTCAGTGGCCTAAGTTTGATTCTTCTCTTCTGGTCATTCACTTCATCTCACTTCTCTTGTTGCATTAATAGTGTAGCTTGTTCTGGTGCTTTCTGTAACGCAGCCATCGGCTCAAGTTATCTTGTTTAGCTTTTTTACATTCTCCACAACAGTACTGTTTTATCGTCATGAAGCTCTCGGCCGTCCTTCTGGGCACTGTGGTTGGAACAGCCCTAGCTGAAGTGCCAAATATTGTCGCAAAGGTACGCCCACAGTGAACAATGAAGACACAGTAGCTCACGGTCACTCTCACCAGGGATCAAAATTCTTCTATAGCAACAATGGCACCCAATTGTGAGGATATCTTTCCACCCGAAATGTTCTGTCTCTAAGTAATCGGTTGTGATTTAGTTTCATCCGCGGTATTGCTTATCAGCGTACGATTTATCGCCCTTGGAGTCTTACTATCCAAACGGCTAGCTAAAATTTACCTGTAGAGGAATATTCGGGCAAAGGCGACACGCCATATACCGACCCTCTCGCCGATCCATCGATCTGTGGGCGCGACATTGCATATCTAACCCAGCTGCGGACCAATGTGATTCGAACATATGCCCTCGACCCGTCACAGAACCACGACGAGTGTATGAAGAAGCTCGCCGAGGCAGGCATTTACCTCATCTCAGACCTCTCTTCGCCGAGAGAATCTATCGAGCAGAACGATCCGAAATGGGATTTGGATCTCTACAAACGGTACACACAGGTGATTGATGCCTTTGCCAAGTATGACAACGTCATCGGTTTCTTCACGGGGAATGAGGTCTCCAACGGGAAGAACAATTCTGGGTCCATCGCGTTTGTACGCGCTGCGGTGCGGGATATGAAGGCCTACATCAAGCAAAAGAAGTACCGGGAGTCGTTGGCGATCGGATATTCCACTGATGACGATAAGTCGATCCGGGATGATCTCAGGGATTATCTAGTCTGTGGAGACCAGGATAGCCAGATCGATATGTTCGGCTATAATATCTACGAGTGGTGTGGAAAGTCCTCATTCAAGGAGTCTGGGTACGAGGAACGGACCAAGGAATTCGCCAACTACCCCGTGCCCGCTTTCTTCTCGGAGTACGGATGTAATGACCCGCGGCCTCGTCACTTCGATGACGTTCCAGTGCTGTACAGCGATAAGATGAACGACGTTTGGAGTGGCGGCATCGTGTACATGTACTTTCAGGAAACAAACGACTATGGCCTGGTCACGCTGGACGGCTCGAAAATCAGCACGATGTCCGACTTCAACAGTTTGTCCTCCCAGATTCAAAAGGCGACCGCGACCGGTGTAAAAAGCGCGGATTACACACCCACCGCCAGTGCGCGGACTTGCCCCAAGGTTGGCGACGACTGGCAAGCCGACGCCAAAGATCTTCCACCAACTCCCAATGCGGATCTCTGCTCATGTATGGAGGAAGGCCTCACCTGTGTGGTCAAGGACTCTGTATCGGAGAAGGACTTTGGCAAACTGTTTGGCACGGTGTGCGGGAATGAGGGTGTCTGTGACGGGCTGGCTCATAATCCGAAAAAAGGTAAATTTGGAGCCTATAGCATGTGCAGCCCACGGCAGCAACTCTCGTTTGTTATGGATCAATATTATCAGAAACAGAGCAAGGAGAATCAAGCTTCGGCGTGCGACTACAAGGGAGCCGCCTCCACCAAGAAGTCCAGCAAGCCCACCGGGACTTGCTCGTCCCTCCTGGAGCAGGCTGGTTCAGCCGGTACCGGTTCGGTCTCGTCCAAGCCGACAGGCAGTGGTGGTGGTAGTAGTAGTAGCAGCTCTTCGACTTCCGATTCCGCCGCTGGCCTGATGCTGTCGCCACGGTCGGTCCACGTTGGTGTTTGGCAGATCGGTGCATATGTGGTAACAGCGATAGCTACTGCGGCTGGGATGATCCTGCTGTGAGAGGTAACGAGCATTATCTGCGGTGACTTGGTTTTTATGGTTGATTCATTCGTTTTCATGGCCACCCGGCCTTCATCGCTGAGGCTTCTAGGACATCAACTTGGGTTGACCCTTTAACTCTGTACCATATTGCCATTCGTGATAGCAATTATATGTCCCTTCAGTTTTCCTCTATCAATACTCCGAGTAAGACGTAGGGACCTTGTAAGTAGATTTGACAATCGTCTCTGCGACCACTCCTTCAGATCCCTCGATAAGTATGGTATACACAAGAGTATTCTCGACCAATTGCGGTCAAAAAATTGTCGACAAAAGTAAGATATGGCTATTGAGAGTGAACAGTTGAATAGTATTGTCGGTCAAGAGGGAGTATCTCTGATTCTATTCCGCGGGCATGGAGACGATAAGCTGACAGGTATGCTATTCAATATAAGAATTTCTGAATACATCGATAATTATACCGGCCTTGCATGTCGTTAAGCCTTATTATTAATTTATTTTTTTTTTTTAATTCTCCCCTCTCAGGATGATCGGCTAAGTGAAGCTCTACAGGCACGGTAGACATTGCAAAGCCGAGATATATATTCTTGGCAACGCCGGTTGAATGCATCTAGTCACAAGATACTTAGTGCAGTATCTCAGAAGCTAACATCTTAAACCTGTAGACCTATACAGAGAGAAACAAGATAGTGCATCATCATATTCATGTATCTGTATGCTGCAATGGCGGCCCAAGTGCAGTTGAACCCTAGTTTGAAGTGGTTGCAGTATGAGTAAGTAAATGTATTTCTCTGACTTCCTTGATCACGTGTACTCAGGTCAGGCCACCTCCCGAAGTGAGTTGATATGTAGTGTTGACCAAAGCACGTGACTACCATGCAATTAATAAGCAGAATGGACCAAATCAGTATATACATGCTTTAGTGTATGTGAATTCTAATTTCCTTTGTATTTTTGTTCTATTCTAAAAACAACTAGATACTTTATGATTTTGAACTACTTATAACAACATAGTTTAATAATTTATATACTTCTGATTTAGATAACCAGCTCAATAAAAATACAGGGGTAAGAATTTAACATAGCCAGGGAAGCCATGGAACCCGTGGTAGTGGTGATGGTAGGTAAAAACATTGAAAAAGGTCGCCTGTTTTGAAACTTTTCGTGTTGTGGGTCACACTTCATCTGTGTTGCACGTGATCAATCTGATTAAGCAGCACATTTGTGACACACCACCTAAAAAAGGACCCCAGCTCACCTGCAACCACCTGATGGCTAATTAGAAGTAGGTGCCATGACTTGTGTACGTACACCGAGTTGAACCCCAAGAGCATGACTGATGCGTTAGTCAGGAAACATCACCCAGCAAACACAGCAAACAATTGGATTAGGTGACATGTCAACAACGACAAAGTCTGTGTTTCACCTGGTCTGGAACATCTTGTCTTGGCTGGTGCTCATGGACGTTTGTTGCACTGCCCTGACTCGCGTCACAGGGCTGAGTTTAAAGCATGCGCAACGACACTTGAAGGATTACTCGGTAGAGCCAATCATGATGGAGAAGGACATTAAGCCACAGAATCAGCCGCCAATCAGATTGCGCCATCGGCGAGCGCTGGATTGCACCAAAAGTGGCTAGCGTGCACCAAGCCCTCCCGCCCAATGAGAAGGCCCTGCTGTAGATATAAGATGGAGATGCCATCAGTTGAGGCCTCCCCATTCATTCAAGCTCTACCATTCTCTCTATACACTATCCTTTTATTTCCTCAATACTCTACTATTCTACCAAAGTCTCATCTATTGCACATTTCACATTATGTCGGTCTGGCCAATGGACGAGAAAACTAAAGGTGGCCCTTTCCCGGTATGTGAGACCCAATGCTACTTATATAGTAGTACAATCCTATGTCAAAGCTGACCATTTGAAGCTGCAACAGTTCTACCCCAAACCAAACGCCCCGGTACCATCTCCATATCCTAGTCAATTCCAGCCCATGCCAGGAAATCTGCCATACCCTCCCCAGCCATATCCTGTGTATCAGCAGCCTGTATTAGGGCACCCGCAATATCCGCCCCAGCCCTATCACGCCCAGGGTCCAGCACGCTCCCTACAGGTCGAGTTCACCAGCTGGACATCAAGGCACTTGGCAATCAATGAAGTGGGACAAGGCTCGTTGGTATATGCGGCAGACCTCCACAATCGAAATCCTCAGATGGAATTCAAGATGGGCGCAACAAACACTCCCTTCGCGACAGTGCACATGCGATCGCTGAAGCCGGAAATGGACATCCGTCTCCATGGGTGTGAAATCAATCTGCGGGTCAAGTCTTGTATGAAGCACCAAACAACGTATATGTCAATCGCCTTCCCAAACACGTATTTGACCTGGAAGTGCACGAGTGCCTTCAAGTACCTCGACTTCGAATGTGTGGACCAAAACTCGGTCGTTGTGGCTAGATTCAAACCGCATTCATCGCTGTCAATGCGAAAATTGGGCCGTTTGGACATCCTCATCCCGCCGGCGACCAGCGGTGTCGCTATGGATGAGCTGATGATCACCGGTGTCGCGTTTATGTATTACGCATACTTGACGCATACGCGGAACACGGTTGTTGCCGTTGCTTAAGGCATGATGGTTGAAAAACGGGGTAAACTCTGGGTTTTTGGGCTCTAGTGATTAGAATTTTCTTCCCTTTTGCCTTATTATCTTTTTGGTTCTTTTTCTACAGATGTATATAACTATTTCCTTTCCTTTTGCATTGTCCCCTTCTGTTGTTGGTCTCTTTGCGACGCTTAGCGTGTACCTCTGTATGGTGTGTTGTGAATGATTCCTGGAATAGAGTACCCTAACGAAGACCGATAATCACAACCTCATGTTTACAAGCATTTGACTGAAGATAGAGACGCCAATCACATTGCGACACCTACAAATTACAAAATCCCTCAGCCGTTCTAGCTTATTCCTCACAGCCTCAATCTCAGCCTTGCCAAGACACGGCATTAGGCTTGGCGATCTTATATATTTATCTTATCAGCCCGATCATCAGCCCCACGACGCTGACATCGAACATCATGCCCGGAGTACCTTCAGGACGGGCGTGTGACGGCTGTCGCCGACAAAAGAAGAAGGTATGTAAGATATTGATGGACACTGACCTCATTCGTGACTGATACGTCGGTACGCAGTGCGATGAGAAGCAGCCCTCCTGTTCACGATGTCTCCGTCTAAACATACCGTGTGTTGGATCCGGGCAGCGTAGATACAAGTTCCAGCAGGAATATACTCTCCCGGTGCTGTCAGGAAAGGCCAAGGTCAGAGGGTGGTCCTCAAAGGATCCGATAAACTCTAGTAGTAGTGAAGAGGAGCGCACCGACGTGTGCAGACTGTCCCCACACCCAAGTAATGCCCTAACGGTTCTGAGCCAAGCTTTTGTCCGCGCAATACACCCCTCGATGGACATTAGATGGAACCTCGCCTGGGTGTATGGGGGATTCCTCAGAGATGTCCCTGCTCGATTGGGGACCAACGAGGCCCTTGACGCTGCCGCCGATGCAGTAGTATCGATGCATTCGTCCTTTTGCGCGACTCGGAAGATGTCGGTGCAGGCTCTCGGAAAGTACAGTCGGGCTTTAACAACGCTCCATGTCTGTTTAGACGACCCCGTCAAAGCCTGCAGCACCGACACACTTTGCGCCGTCACAATACTGTTGCTCTGTCAGGTCAGCTACCTCTGAAATTGGGCCCACGAAGGTATCACTGACGATTGCAAGGGCTTCCTCCCCGCCAAAGGGTGTATGGCCACTGGGCACGCAGAGGGGGCCGCGCAGATTCTGAAGGTGCGGAAGAACTTCCGTCCCCGGGATGACTTTGAGGCGATGTTACTCCTGACATTACGCGGCCCTGTGGTATGATTTGCCATGACTAGAGAACCAGATCCCGTTACTGAACTCATTCATAGCTCTTCGAAGGCTTGTTCACCGATCGCATCAGCTTGACTGGGATGGAGTACGAAGCGCTGGTGGAGAGCGACATCGATGCGAACACACCCGACGGGCAAATGATGCGGTGTCTTGCCCGCGTTCCAGGTATCAGGGAACGTACAGCAACGACGATGCCCGGCGATGCCGAATTTGAGTCGCTCAGAGGCGAGGCAAGATTTCTGTATGAGACCTACCAAGGTGTCCTCACGTCCTTACAAGCCCGAACGACATCGATTGAGACGCCGTTGGCGACGGGATCTATGTATCGGTTGTGCACACTGATGTATGCGCAGTATCAACGCATGTATGGTCTGGGTCTCGCGGTTGCTATTATCCTGAACTGCCTGGTTAGGACACTTAACCCGGCGGACCCGGTGCTTCCCTTGGAGGCAACTTATTTCGCACAGGAGATTGTGCGCTTGTCGGATAGTGCGGTGGCCTTCCGTCCCCTGGGATCCTACTACATGCTGATCTGCCTGTTGACCGCATGGGTTGGCACCACGGATCCCATTGTTCGGACTACCGCAGAGAAGGCGTTGGATGACTACCAGTACGATTTCGACCGGGGAAAGGCTGCCGAAACTATCGCCAAGTTTGAACTGAAGTTGCGCCGTACATCCGATTTCACCAAAATCTACGAAAAGGTGATTGAACAAGAGACTGGGAAAACCTTACTAGAGCCTGCTTGGTGATTCCGGTTGTGTTACTTGGGTTTTGGAAAGTCTTGAACGGCGCGTGGATAATTCTTGTTCTTAACCTTGTCTACCTTGCATAGCTGAACCGCTGTGCGGTGCTCCCAACGCATTTATTAGATTCCACAGTATTTATGATGACTTATGCCAACTATCCACGTGTATATAATAATAAACGAGCATGAACACATGAAACTGACTAAAAGAATGATTTAATCAGTAACTTTACAGCCTCGGGATTCCTCATACGATCCCACAATATGCTTGCTCTTATGGCTAGAACTAGCCACGTATTTCGCCCCGAGCGACTTCAAGCTCGGTGATCAGCGTAAATAACGTCCTGCTCTTTTTGGCAAACTACGAGACGAGTGTCCGATAGAGAAGACATGACAATCCAAGATAGCTACGAGGCTGAGGCTGAGCGTAGTTGGGCTTTCATCTCGCCGAAAGATAAAGTGGCAGATTGGTACAATGGCACCATATTTGGTTGGGAGTTAGTCATAGAGCGAGATTTAGTACGTAAATTAGCCTGTTTATGGTATCCTAATTACTCCAAAGCTTATACAGGCCGGATTGGTGACTGATGGTGGAGATTATATATATATATATATATATATAATATAGAACAGAAGAGGTTTATCGCGAAACTGGGACTCTCAATTCTCTACCAGTGTCGGTACTAAGCGACAACAATTGATTTGATTTGGATGATCACTCATTTACTCGTCCTTCTTGGACGTCCCTCCGATTGTCCATTTGTTCAATACACCCACACCGATATTGAGGTATGCCGCAAATCCCAACCACGCCGCGTACGGAACCATGAGCCAGAAGGCCGTGCGATCCGACTTCCACCACGTGTGTATCAGAGCCGCCACATTCGCTCCGAGGAGTGTTATATTCGCCAACGCTAATTTCGGGCGACGGAGGCCGAAAAAGAGGGGCATCCACAAAAAATTGAGAGCTAACTGAGATGTATACAGAGACTCCCAGTTCGTACCCAAGCTTTGCGCGGCTGTGGAGGAGGCAATGGCGCTATGTCCGGCCACCGTGGCATGATGGGCGGCGTATCCCATGGTTCCATAGAGCATCATCCACATCGGTCCGAATAGCCATGGAGGAGGATAGAAGGGCGGTTGTCGTAGCGATTGATAGGTTCGTTTTGTTTTGCCTTTCCCTACGTAGAGTTACGATGCGGTTGACACCCTGATTCACCCCTCCGGTTGGGTCTCACGGTTGACTAGATAGCCGATCAACAACCCGGCAGTGGTCGGGGTGGCAACAGAGAGAATGGGCGAAGCGAAGATCTCTCGGGGAAGTGCAATGGACCAGGCCATAGTTATTTAAGACTAATAGGAGCGGAAGTGAGTTTGACTGAGACGTTGCGGTGGGTTATCCCTTGAAACGCGGTGATGTCCTTTATGCGGAAAGGCCACGATTGACGTCATCGCGGTTAATTTGGCGGATAAAATATATCAAATACCCGTAATGGGCATCGGGACAACTCGTTGGAGTCGATTTCTGCACTCCTGAATGGTTGATCGGACATGGAGAGGGTATGACTCGTTCATGCTTACAGAATTTTCAATTGAAGTGCTTATGTTGGCCTTTTGTTCTGATTGATTGCGAATCAGCAGAAGTGCAAACTAAACAAAACCCCGTTTATCTTATCGCCATGTGAGGTCACGGGGATGCAACTGCCGAGTTTCCCGATCGGGCGTGGATCCGCGTTTCTCCTTTTTGGATACTCTATAGGGTTTTATGATGGTTGTTCTTATGGTCGACGGGTGCAACCGATACCCTTTGAGACGGATCAATCGGACTTGAATGAATGTATAAATGATTGGTTCAACGAATGAATGAATGAATGCCATGAATCGCCGCAGTCCCGAGGTGCAGCGCCAAGAGATCGACCGCGTGCTGCAACTCAAAAGGAAGCAGCGCGAGGCTAAGGCTTGCTATCCTTGTCGCCAGCGCAAGGTGAAGTGCGATAGTGGTCAGCCCTGCAGGACTTGTCAGAAGCGTGGCCATCCGCAGATCTGTGTCTACGATGTCACCAAAGACTCCTCGCGACACTCGTTTCCCCGGTCGGGGAGGGTGGATCCCGCTCAAGCAACGCCGTCTCATCCCCAGCCTGAGGGGGCTTCCCCCATAACTCCATCGACTGCATCCCCTAATGGAGCTATTGGCTCCTTACAAAGCGATCACTCACAATTGTTAGATGTGGTTCCACCCTCGCGATTACACCAGCGATCCCGATCGTCTAGTCGTGATCGCTCGGATGATTATGTCTTCTCCGGACAGAACTCGGTGGTCTCCATTCTCCGGCTGCAAGATCCCGATGGGTCCATGGCCCGAGATGCAGGGTCCGTGTTAGGCCTTCAGAACACATATGATAGCTATCCCTTCATTGACTTGAAGACGCCGACCGACCGCTGGTGCGCTCTGTTAGACATTCTCCCTCAGAGAAGCGAGATTCTAAAGTAGGTCCGATGCCATCTTGGCGGGGACCGAGATTAATTGAAGCTAGGTTTTTTCACCATCATCGTCTTTCAGCACATCCTTTCAACCCTATTCTGGTTGATATTGACGGGTTCGAATCCGCCGTGTGCACATTTCTGGGCTCTGTTGCTTCCGGGGAGCTGAGCGACCCAAACAAAATCTCGCAGCGTTGGTCTTCCGATAGATCCATTGGCCACATCAGTCTTCTCCTGGCTACATTAGCTTCCGGAGCCCACTTCTCAGACCTTGAATACCCCCAACGCTCGGAGGTATGCCAGGATCTCGGTATGATGCATCGGCCCTTTTCGGTCTGAGCCAATTACTGATGCTCGACAGCACGTCGATCGTTCCAGGCCCTGAGGTTGGCGAATTTCCTCTTTCGGCCATCGCTGGACATTGTTCAAGCCATGCTTATTTTGGGAAACATGTTGCAGAACAACGGCCAGTCCGACGCAGCCTGGGCTCTTCTCGGAACTACTGTTCGCTTAGCCCAAGCTCTCGGATTACATACCCAGAGAGGCACTTCACATTTACCAGAAATTGTCCGATCAAGGGCGAAGAAGCTATGGTAGGCTAGGAATTCGCAAAGCCGAGTTTCGTTCCGCTAACATGGACAGGTCGATGACTGTGTGGCAGGATTGTTTGTTGAGCCTCTGTTATGACCGCCCACCAGTGGTATCGATTTCGGGCTGGCAGCAGAATGTGGGCCTCACATCGGCATTCGCCCTTTCATTCACGGATGTGATGCACTTTCTGTGTCAGCTAGGCCTCGATATCGCTAAAGTTCAGGAGCCCGAGCAGTGGGATTTGACTCGCGCAACGGAGTTGTTGACCGCACTGGACAACGTGTATAGCCGTGCGCAACCCCATCTTCTGGCCCGAGATCACTGTCATTGCCTGCAGCACCACCAAGAGCACCTGGCCCTCCGCATGCATTTTTCATTTTGCGTTTCGGTCCTGTGTCGACCGACCATCCGAAGCTCCCCGAGCCGGTTGGATGATCCTCGTTACACCCGCCTACGTATCAGAGCCAAGGAGAGTCTTATGGACGCGTCGCAAGCATTCCTGGATTTTCAAACCTTGAGCATCGTGCCCCTGCGGACGTGGTCCATGGTGCACACTGTTTTGAGCTCGGCATTACTTCTATGCGTCTGGCAGGAAACTCGGAACGATAGTGAATGTCGAGACTTGCAGCAGAGAGTGATAACTGTATTCTCCAACGCTGAACCGCCCAGGAAGGACACCATCGGCTTGTCGGACCATGGACAATGGCTTTCTGCACGACATATTCGCGCCCTCGTAGCGTTGAGAAATGCTGTGCGCAACGTACCGTTTGAGGCAACAGGCCAAGACAGTGACGGATTCCATGACCAAGGTCAAACTAACCATTCTTCTCTAAACCTCAATCCTAATGGACTTGCAGCCCAAGGCCCGATGTTTATGCCTGGCTTTGATCTGGGCGGCGGTGTGCCGGGGGGGTTTGGAAATTAGTGAGTCGAACCCAGCTCGGTTCCGAGGGGCAAGCAGTTAACAACAAAGCAGCTTTCCGGAAGGTGTATTAATAAATAATACGGCGGATCTGTCCCCGGTGACCTACCTTGACTCGATTATGAATGGTGAGTGTGTTCACATAACTCAATTGTTCGATGCTAACCTCAAGCGAAGTTCCATTGTTCAATATATCCGAAGACAATTCATTCTTGTAGTAGGTTTTACTCACAAAGGCCAGTTGCAGTTCCGATGATGAGAACTGTATAGAAGTGATGCATCCGGTTGCGCTTCTAGTCTGAATGGATTGATCGGTCTTTAGTTGTACTAGGGAACTCTCTTTGGACATCGAGGCACCTGATCCTCTCGTCTACAACAGGGTGCGCATTCTTGCATTCTGCGTTTTCATGACGTGTGGCGTGTAGGTTCCCAAGTTCCTCATAACCGGGCTCCTAAGACCCGAGTGGGTTTTACGTCCAGGCTTCCCTATTAGCCTCCAAGCCTAGCATGTGCGCTACATCATAGATTTCGTTCTACATTACCAAATGTCCAAAGTGCTTAACCATCTGATAACAAAATGAGATTGTTCTTGATTCAGTACATAGCTGGTCAAATATGCTTTCTACCTACATGACACGATAGGTAAATGGTTTACTCTCGTTTTCTAAATCCAAATCCCTCCCAGTTAGCCCGAACCTTAGCCTTCAGATCCTCCGGATAGGAGTGCTCAAAGTCAGCAGCTTCCCAATCCGCACCAGTGGTATACTCGGTCGGCATCAGGGCATCAGAAACCACCTTGCCACCCTTGGTGGGTGGACCCGTACCGTGACTCATGTAGGGGATCAACGGGAAACCGCGCACGTCTTCAAAGAAGGTTTCGTCCGCGCTGGGGCGACACCGCGTGGCGAAGGCCCACATGACATCTCTCCCATCGTAGGGATCAATATCGTCGCCCACGAGGACTAGGCGGTGGATGGTGTAACCGGCCTTGTGGTTAAACACAATATCGCCGACCCACTTCTGGAACTCCTTGGCCGTCAGCTTCATCTGCCGAAGCTTGGCGGTGTCGACTTTGAGGGAGACCCAAGTAACCTGGGACTCGAAAGGAGCAAAGGCGTCGGTAATTGGAAGACCAGCCAGCTGGCAGATCTTGCGAATCTCCGCTGCGGCCAAGGCACCGATCATGGTATGGGTCTCGTCTGTCAGACGGCCACAGGCAGACATGGGAAGAATGGCATCGGTCCGGTAGGTGAGCTTGTTGACCTTATAAACGGGACACTTGTGGCTGTCGCCGGGGAATACATAACCGTGCATTTCACCGAAAGGACCCTCATCCGCGGTCTCGGTGATGGACAGAGTCCCCTCAAGCACAATCTCCGCATTGGCAGGCACGTACAGATGGTTGGTGTCGCACTTGACGAGCTCTAAGGCGCGACCAGTCATAGCACCGACGTATCCAGCTTCAGTCACCCCGTCAGGAATGGGCATCGAGGAAGCCATGATAGCCGCTGGGGGAACTCCGAAGGCTAATGCCCATGGAACATCCCTGCCTTCCTTCTTCCACATCTGGTGGATCTGCCACAGGTGCTGGGGCTCGATTACCAAGCCGGTTAAGTGGTTCTTGTCCTTCACCATGGCGCGGGCAATTGACCAGTTTGTCCAGGTTCCATCGGGAGACTGGACGATATGCATGCCATAGGTTTGCAAGTATTTGCCGCCGTCGGACTTGTGAACCATTGGCACCGGGAGTGTGGTGAGATCGATCTCGTCGCCTTCGAGGGAGTTTTCCTTAACAGGACCGGTGTCGACAATCTTCGGGTTAATTGGAGGTAGTTGTGAAGCGGAGAGCATCTTATCGAGGATCTCCTTAATGGTAGCAGTAGGTGGGAGGGCAAGGTGCCGGGCGAGCCGGCCATAGCGGTCCCGTTTGGATCTTCTCAGGGAACCGGGAGCACCCAGGATACGGAACAAGCCGTTCTCACCCATACCCTTGAGGTTATTGAAAAGGGGCGCCTTGTCATCGGTTTCGCAGACTAGACGGGTGATGGCAGCGGCTTCCAGGTTATGATCGACCTCGGTATTGATCTCGACCAGGTCATCGTCCGCCTTGAGGGCCTCGACGAAAGCGCGGAAGGAGTGGTCGGCCTGATTAGTAGCAGTCATTTCTATACTGATTGTTGATTGGAACGGAAGTATGTCAAATGAAGTATATGTGGAATATTTGCGATATGTTTGTCTGCTGTATCCGGCCCATTCCCACCCTGCTTGGGCATCCTTATATATTCTTACATTTATCTCGACACGGATCATCGGCATTGACCAAAATAGTGTTTCCCTGGTATGCCGTCTAGCGTCATGCGTGGAAGTTTCCAAAAATGCTTATTTTTAGCCCTTGCTCGGGACTTCGGAGCACTGACAAAGGGTTCTTGACGCCCAGCGGAGGCTCGGAGGCTCGGGTTCTTTGTCAAAAGGGCCCTGGGCCCACTAAATGATATCAAGACTCGGTCTCGAGCCTCAAGACTCAGTCTCGAGCCTCAAGACAAAGAAGCAGATCTACCTGAACTCTACCTACCCGCTCGGGACTCGGTGGCTCGGCATTTTGTAGGGGATGCTAGAAGGGGGTGCAATTTCAATTGATGTCATTTACCTCGGCAGCACAAGATACCCGTTATTTGATATAAATTCATGGGTAGTTGCTGGGGATAACAGAATTTCACTTACTACAGCCCAAAGTCAAGGCACAGATGACTCAAGCATCAGCGATATAAACAAAATCTTTCTACAAATCTCCAAACTTGGTATCATTCATTCCATTCGGATTGCCTTTTCCACGTCATAATGCTTTCCTCGCTGCTCCCCTCCGGCACCAGTACGCCGAACTTGGGCCGTCATAGCCCTAGCCCTACCAACGCATCCGAACCTCAATCAACAGCACAGCCTGGACCTGTTGAACACACCCCCCCGACGCCCCACCGTCGCAAGCGAATTGTGGTTGCTATGACCGGAGCCACCGGCTCTATCCTCGGAATCAAGGTCCTCACTGCCCTCCGCCGACTCAACATTGAAACCCACCTCGTCATCAGCAAATGGGCCGAAGCAACCATCAAATATGAAACAGACTACCACCCCCGGAACGTCCGCGCGCTGTCGGATTACGTCCACGGCATAAATGATATGGCGGCGCCTGTGTCTAGCGGCTCGTTTAAGGCGGATGGCATGATCGTTGTCCCATGCTCCATGAAGACCCTCGCTGCTATAAACTCTGGGTTCTGCGAGGACCTGATCTCCCGCACTGCAGATGTCATGTTGAAGGAACGGAGAAAGTTAGTTCTCGTGGTGCGGGAGACGCCGCTTAGTGATATCCATCTGCGCAACATGCTCTCCGTATCCCAGGCGGGCGCTATTATCTTCCCCCCTGTTCCGGCATTCTATATCAAGGCCTCGTCTGTCGATGAACTCGTCGATCAGAGCGTTGGACGTATGCTGGATCTGTTCGACCTCGATACCGCGGACTTTGCCAGGTGGGAAGGCTGGAAGAAGGAAACCTGAGCTATGGCTTAGCATACTTACCATTCATAACACATGCATAGAGGCGTTTTTGGATGAAGCTACAGCTCGAATTTACGCAAGACCATAGGGAAAGTGGTCGGTTATTGTATATGTTTAGCATGGCGTACTTGCGTTAGATTATTGCCTCTTTTTGCTTCGAAGAAGTTATTAAGGTTTTAGTTTCACAGCATGATATTATATATTTCTAAGAATGTACCTCAAACCTATATCTCATTTACTTCTATACCTCGTTTAATCCATCAATTCGATTAAATTGACTTTAGTCCGAACATCACTGGTGTAAGATTTCAGGACATTGACTGACCAGTTTATATACTAGATATCTTCGAAAAACTTGCTCTACACTCACACATCCCTGAAGCTGGAAATACAAGGGAATTATTATTATACCAATTTTCATCCTGAGCTCCACGTATTGAGTACATATTAAATATCTCAGCTTAGGTATAAATAGCTTCTTGAGTTTATCCCGTACATCTCGTCTATCGCTTGAATTACCTGCTCCGAAAGAGCGCCCTTGACTCACAGAATAACTGAGGAAGCGATACTGTATCGCTATTTACACTTCCGAAGGACACCACATACGTTGGAGGGGGGGGGGGGGAAGCTGTCATTGTGTGGAAGGCTATTGACACCGCATATCACAACGTACATGAATGTATTTTGCTGGCTACAGTTGGAAAGCATTACCTGTTTTGAATTATCTAACAGGTTTTGAGTAGTAGAAACTAGGAATGATGGTGTCGAAAATGCGATTTTTATTAGGTTCTCGAGCATATATATCCCTCTACATATATCCCATTTCCATGTAAACCATATGCCTTCAATGCATACAGTTAATCCTTTTATCCTACCCGACCGTTCCAATTAACGTTACCCTCCAATTGAATATTTTAGCTTTGTGAAAAGATCAAGGTCTTGACTTAGATCAGAGTCGACTCAATGGGAGCGAGAGTGCCATTCTCAATAGCACCGGCGTGGTGGCGGGCAACCAGACCATAGGCGAATTGGTACCTGAAGAAGAATCTACGTTAATACTCTGCAGCAGGACACGAGAGAGGTGTAATATCTTACTTGTCAAGCATGGGGAGCAGCTCAGGGAGTCCCGGGGTGTGTCTCCAGTCGCGCATGAGGTCGGTAACGATGCCGAAGAGACCCATGAGGGTGACGCCGGCCTTCTCCATGCGGCGGTTGGCATCCTCAGCGAGACGGTGGTCAAAGGTTCCGCTGGCCTCGGTGTTGGCGAAGACCTCATAGCCCTCGTCGATGAGGGAGAGGGCCAGGAAGGCAGTGCCTGTTTCTTATGAGCTGATAGCCTCGTAGGGATAAGGTTAGGTAAGGAAGAGTAACTTACAAACTTCAGTCACGATACCACCAATGATCAGCTGCTTCTTGCCGGTAGCCCGGACGGCAGCACGGAACTCCTCGTTATCCCAGGCATTGACCTCACCCTGGCGCTGGACGAGGGTGGCGTTGGGGTGCATATCGCGGATTTCCTTGAGGAGGAGACCGTTGGGACCGGTGTCGGAGGAGGTGGTCAGAACGGTGGGGAGGTTGAAGGCCTTTCCGACAGCGGCGTGACCCAGCATGTTGTTGCGGAAGTCATTGGTGCTGTAGTCGCGGACCAGCTGGGCGAGACCAACCTGGTGATCGATGACCAGAAGGGCCTGTCATGTGGAGTCAGGTCAGAATGCCACAAAGTGAGAAGTGAGACATTGGCATGCAAGAATACATACAGCGTTGTCCTTGTCAAGCCTGTTCCATGCCAAAGCAGGCATAGAAGCTCCAAGGAGCGCGATAGTCTGGAAGATCTTGCTGAGCTGCATTTTGCTGAAGTTGTCTGGTCTTGAGAGAAGCTTGAAAATGATTGTTGCTCAGTCACTCTGTTGCTGTCTGGTAAAAAGAAAGCTCCATGTTGAGGAAGAAATGGTGTCTTTATATGGTCAAATCGATGTCTAATCCTAGGATGGAATTACTACGAAAAGGTATACTCCTACTCGATTTGGCACTCCAGAAGCCATTTCCTCCATTATCAAATCTTGTATAATTCTTCGTCAGCGGGTCGGTCTTGGCAAAAGACCTGTTAGAACGCGCTAAAAGTGAGACCGCATCGCTTACCACTGATTATACAATTCTGACGAGCGTCCTAGAATGTCTCCATCCCGGATGAAAAAGCTCTGTCAACCAATGGGGTTCACCCTTGGCAATGGTAATTTGTGAGGAAATGACCGTTAACAGTCTGGGTTACTATAACTATGGGAGAAATCGACGATATGACCCGAGATTTTGCCCCGCTGGTGGAGATTTACCGGCTTGCCTCATCCTTACCAATTATCCGACAAACAGCCCAACTGTCAGGGACCGGGGCTTGAGATTTACATTCTGCACTGTCTGGAGGCCACAATATGGTAAACAAATAAGCACTAATCGGCCTAATCCAATCTGGATGGTTCCTGGTTTTCCATGTTCGATCAAATCCCGACGTTCCTTCTAGAGAAGAGATGAAATTAGTCCACGTGGAGAGGGCATCGGAACCTTGTTCTCTGGCGTTTTTAATTTCGACACTAAAGATTCTGCACAAGGAGAGGACCAGTAAACGTACGGGACTGGAGTGTTAGCTATACAGAGACCTCGAGGCAAGTCTTTCCCGAGGATCGATTATTCTGCCCGTGCTTGGCACATCAACTGGTACTATTGACTGCAGCTGAATACTGAGTAATGCTGTAGTAGGAGCTTTACAACACTGTTGGTAAATCAGGAAGAAGCCGAGTGTGCTACCCTACGCGCGGAAAACGGTATAGAGAGAGCTATCTATATGGCTAGATCGAAGGCTAGGCTGGTCACTAGTACAAACCTCTCTAGTTGAGAAGATAAATCACCACATGCAGTAATTGAAATTGTCAGGTAACACCCCAATAGTCACACCTGTCAGATTTATATCGACTAAAGTAAATCCTGACGGAGACGGAATTCCGTGGTCGAGAAAAACGGAGTCCGCTTCCGACTCGCTCCGACTGCTTCATTGCCTCACCGCGTAAGCAATAATCAGCAGCCCCTCTTGGATGTAAACATACCTGGACCCAGCTTGCGCCATATGGATAATAGAATAAGGGTCCGTACGCCAAAAGCGTGCAGAGCATGCGCCCGAGCGAAGGTGAAATGTGACTCGGAAGGAAATGGTCCCTGCCAGCGGTTCGTATATTTTAGCGATGTTGTGAGAAACCCTGCTGAGCGGACCACACCGACAGATGTCACCGACTGAACAGAGAATGTGTGATTCAAGTCCCTGGTGCACACCGGCGCCAGAGAAGGGAGATGAACCATTCGTAGGTTGCAAATAATCATTAAGTGTCTTGGGGTCACTGTCTGATCTGTGTACATGTAGGCATGCGGAAGTTGCCAGACTAGAGCAAAAGCTGGACCATATGGTTGCGCTGCTGGCGGCGTCCGACCAAGCTACTAGCACCAAACGACCGCGTATGAGGGCACCCGAGGCACGGCTTGGCTCTGAATCGCTCGAAAGGATAGATGGCGATGGCCATGATGACGGCGCAACCCCTAGTATAAGGGACGCACTCATATCGTTGGAATTATACAGGACCAAGATGTTTGGCCTCTTTCCATTCGTGGCTATGGCACCTCATATGACAGCAGACCAGCTGAAAGAGGAGAAGCCGTTTCTTTCAATGGCCATTACAATGGTTGTTTGCCAAACCGCACCGCGTCGTGAGATTGCCAAGGCAATCGGTGAACACATAGCCAACGATGTTATTCTCAAAGGGGGGCAGAGTCTGGATATACTCCAGGGACTACTAATCTATGTAAACTGGTTTGTTACCATTTCCTCCCTTGATACAAGTTCTCCTGCAAAAGGATGCTAACAGGCGACCTGACATCGATCAGGCATTACGCTCATGTGCAAAGCAGCGCACAATTGGTAAACCTGATACATTTAACTATAGCTCAAGTAATCAACCTGGGACTAGATAGAGCTGCGAGAGCATTCCCAAGTTATCTAAAAGAACTGGACATTGAGGGCACACGGCCTGCTCCCCCGACACTAGAAGAGAGACGGGCGTATCTAGGATGTTATTATCTTACCTCACTGTACGTATGCCCACTGTGGAGGCTCATTCACATACAATAGACTTTACACCATAGATACTCATTAACAGAGAAACACTAACCCTTTGAGAAGGCTTTCGGCATGCACCAGAGATATGGAGCCCATGCGTTATACGTACTTCACCCAGGAATGTTGCAACATTATTAGAGACGGCGCAGAGTATGATAGCGACAAATACCTGGTACAATTGGTTGGAGTCGCACAGCTTGCCGAAAAGATTCACCGCGGCTTTTCGTGGGAAGGGCTGGATCCTGTCTCCTCGGTTCCAGTGGGACTCGCCGTGAAATGGCAAGAAGCAGAACTACAGCAGCTTAAAGCGAGTCTGTCATCTGATACTGGACATCGAGGTGCGTATCAGTTGTTATAGCTCTCTTATACTGTACTATATTAATCCACAAGCCATAGATATTCTTCTCTTACATTATCACACTCTGGAGATTATTCTGTACAAGATCGCACTCGCCGATGGACAGTCGGATATCCAGTTTGGCGATCACCCGATGACTCAGTTGGACCTTTTAGTTCGTTGTTTGGAATCTACAAGGTCCTTCTTCAGCTGTATCTTCAGCCTAGAATCAAGACTCTTCCCTATATTTCCCTATACCTTCTGGTGTCAAGTCGGCCACGCCATCATCGTTCTATCCAGACTGTCCCTGTATGACAGCGAGAAAGGACACTGGGATCGAGACTACGTTCGGAACACAATAGACTACAATGATACGGTAGACCAGCTGGCAGGGAAGTTGGATGAAGCGCGATTACTGATCGAAGAACAAGCAACACCCTCAGACCGAGTTCAACTACCCGAAATCTTTACCTTGATACCCATACGAGTGCGAATGCTCAAGGAAGCGTATCAGAGAAGACAGGAGGCGCTGGCTAACCCCAGACGACAATCTGCTCCGGCAGCTGTGGATCAGGGCGAGCTTCTACCCTTCGTTTGGGGTGACCTGCTTCTTTTCAGTGACATGCCGGATCTGTTCGGAGGGTTTGGATAGCCTATATACATAGAGTGTGTGTTGCGTTATACCCAATTCCTGTTCCCTGCTGGGGCCCTTCCTAGGTCGCTAAAGTCTGTTTGGTTAGCCATTGGGATTAACTCAGGAGTATATAGATTATTCTATAGAAAAACTAAATATTTTATATATTTTGATATTCTTTCTATGCTGCCAATTATCAGCTTGCAATTATCAGTGTACATAACGCCGTGAAGTTGATTTAAGGTTCGTTATTGCAGACAACTTTAAATGAAGCTTGCAACACATAAGTCTAGAAGGGCTTAAGCTCGGAAAGTTTATTTAGCGTCGCCGCTATGTCATTTAACCTGTATTTGATACCATCAGGGCAACGGAATAGTAGACTGTCGACGAGGAAATCCTGGGAGTAAAAGGAAGTGATAGTTCAGCAACCCACACCATAAAGTGCTACGGTATGAACATTATACTGCTTGTGCTTAAGAGATATGCCACACATGATGTTATAGAGTTACAAGTGTCGCTAGTAGTGGAGGTAGAGTACTTCCACAGGAAGGGCCAGTATAGAAAAGATTTTCTGCTATTGCTGACATTGTTTAGCTACCTACCTGGGAACCCATCCCCAAAGATGACCAGAAGACTGTTGGTGGTCAGTTTGTTTATAAAGTATCCGCCTTCTGCTCAATTGCAAAAAACTTACATAGGTCGAGGGAAAGTTCCCCTAAAAAGCACATTCCAGGTATCTTCGAGTTCTAGTTATAAGTCTCAAAATACTCCAGCAGCAACCGAAAGGAAGAGCCTAGGAGGAATTGCGCACCTCTATTTTGGCCCAGGTTCGAATATGCAGAGAAACAAATCAATATCTATGGTATCATCAAGGCTACTTCTAGGAATCCCTGTGAAACATACTTGAGCCCCTTCATTCTAAATCCATTCCTGGAATAATCCAGCCAAATGCGAAGCGATCAGCCTCGTCAGTAGATGGGATAAAATTCGTTCACTTTGCAAACCCTTTACAAACTGTGATGTTACAGAGGGTCGAGTCCTGAAAACCATGATCCCAGGGAAACTATCGACTGGGGGAACCCTAATTCATCACCAAGACCTACAACACGTATAATCACAAATTTTGATCTTCAAACAGTGGGGAATGGTCGTTATAGCAGTTCGCTGATCCTTGGAGCAGGGATATGTGAAGCGGGCTATGCGATTGTATTTCTTCTGATAGCATGGTCATATATGACACAGGTTCTCCGTTGCTATCTATTTCCCCTTGCTATTTTTGCATTCATGGATGACTATTACAACACCGATAGAATGCTCTATAATCATATCCAAACAAGATCCTCGGTCGGTACTCTTACGGAAGCTAGGTTCCAAACATACTGATAGGAGATGGAATTCCAGAGCTCGCTATCAAGATTTAAAAAGATGTGGACATGTGAGAATGACAGGTTAGTGAGATCCATATGCCATTAGCGGAAAAGGTCAAAGTTTTCATTTGTGTCCTCTCTTTCGCTCCCGCAAGGGATGGTTGCGTTCCTAACGCCGCGGCCAAGATCAGAGAGGATGGATAGATAGATAGCCGGATCAGGATAAATAGAACGCAACACGACCCGAACCGGATATACGCTCCTCTCATCATTCGCCACCATCATCAATAACCGGTAGGCCCACTATAGAACCGCCCATAGCGGTTAATGTGGTGTAGTTTGCCAAAGCGACACATTTGACCGAGCTAGAATCCATGGCACTCAGTGCATCATAATAAACCTTCTTCATCGTATGCTCACAGATAACTTATGCTCTGTTGCTGAATCAGCTTTGCCAGCCCTCTCGCATTCGTGTGTATCCGCTAGCAGTGCATTTTACTTAAAACCCTGGTAGTAGTATGGTTACTGTGTTATAATACCTGGTTGTGTCGGGTTATTTTTATCCCATGCTGCATCGTGACATCCCCCTATGTAGAACATGCTTGGCCACGGTTTGTGCAATTTGGTAATGTATTATAAGTTTAAGACTATACGGACAGAACACCTTGCCGAGTAGGGTGATCACAAAGTGTATGAATATGCCAACCCTAGAGATTCTTAAAACAAGAAGGCGTCAGGGCTGAATAGCTTGCTAATAGGTCCAAAAGTATTGGAATTCCCTTATTCGTACCGGGGCCCATCTCGCCATGAACTCGAATCGTCATGATTTCACGAGAAAGAGCGCCCTCAAGAGATGATTCAAAATGCCAAGTAGACAATCTACAACGCTGAGATACAACCGTAGTATTTTAAGAGATTTAATTTGTTAATGTATCCTTCAAATATTCCGGATCCGTCACATTTTGGAATAATATACCACATCTTTTGGCGTATTGCTCTAGTGATGATGGTAGAAGAGAGCCAGTACGTTAATATACCTTTTTGAGCTCTTCCGCTAACAACCACTGGGGAAACCAGATGAATATAAATATTGCTCCAACTATCCGTTTTCTGCCGTAACTTCATTCCCCTTGCATTTTTCTATTTGAATCTGAGAAGACTTTCCTTTCCTCTAATACAGCCCTGTTCAGAGTCAGCCTGAAACTTACAACAATATGGTTGCTGCGGATACCGTTGAGTTCTATGCGAAGCCGAATTATGAGGAACTTAAAAAAACCGCACGTCTCAGTGGACTCGAGCACACAGTTTTAGGGACTAGCTACCGTTCCTGCCGCCTTGGCGACGGGACTAAGCTATTTGTATGGAATCATACTCAGCCCTCTACGGACGCCGAATGGGTTAAGGATCAGCCTGATATCCCAGCGTCCGGTCCGATGCAGTGCTATCAAGTCCTTAAAGGCGACACATCTGTCGCTCGCGTTAAGTTTGAGGATGACACAGGGGGAAATCCAGGAGACTTTACCCTTATCTTAAAACTCGCCAATATTGGCGATGTTAACATTCCTTCCAAGGATGGTAAATATGCGCCTGCCGGTGTTGTGCCTCGCGATGATTCACTCGTGACGACCGCTGTTTATGTCCGGAAACGCAGCGGTGAATATCCTGTTACTGGATCTCTGTATTTCCAATGGAATAAGTCTACGCAGAGAGTCGAAATTCTTGAGAAGGACAACTGGCCCAAGGACAAGCTCAAACATCAAGCTGATAGTGCGAATAATTTTACTATTACTTTGATTTCGACTTAACAATGATTTACGACATTGGCTGCTTGGAGATTAGGAGATGATAACAGTCATGGGAACACAGCAATATTGACAAGTCAGGAGAGAATGTTTGTTCTCTCGTCATCGAATATGGTTTTTTGTTTCTGCCTTGGTATAGGTTTTGTCCTACTATTAGGTTTTTCCTATACTGTGATGCAAATGCAGAGGCGGCACTTGGAAGAGGCGGCACTTGGAAGATAATTCTGTTCATTCATTTCCCTTGTCTTATTAACTTTTAAACTAGAGTAAACAAATTATAAGAAGGGTAAAATTAATATAAAGGCTTCTTCCTTATCCACATCTAGTATAGTGTTAACTAGCACCCCAGGGTACGCTATTCCATAAGGCTAAAAAGGCCACACATGCTTGGTTGAAAGCAACCAGACACACCTAGGCCGATATATATAGTATCACTGTCAGGGCCCGTGGCCCTAATAGCATGAATGCTACTACTACTTCAACTGGCATAGGAGGCTATTGAATAGAGGAGCCAATATTGGAATTTATTAGACGAGGATCAAGAGGAGAATGATGGTCATGGTTCGTCGCTTGAGGTCAGATGTAGCGGCTGTTGCAAAGTCCAAGGACGTATCCTTAGCTCGCCAAGTGTCCACGCCAAAAGATACCAGCCGACATGGATATCAATTCTAATCATGGAGAAAAGTGCCGCTACGCTCCCTTCAGGTATGGTTTACAAGTCCACCGCAGGAACCTGGCCTAAACGGGCTGACTATTATCAGGAGACGGTGTCGGGTTCGTACCAAGTGCCTTTCGTGAACTAGGTAAATGGCCTGTCACCCAGGTATAATATATCTTTTAGTAATTCTTCTTAATTTTGTATAGCCAGAATGAAACTTATGAAGAGTAGATAGTTAGTAAATGTAGCTATAGTAAAGCTTATCACCAATAAGGTGGGTTTGATCAACATTAAGGATAATGTTTATAATAAGAACCAGTTCTGGGAGGGATTCGTAGTGCTATTTCGTGCGTGCACATTGAGTGCGAGAGTAATATCTCGACGCCAGATATTAAAATGCATACCTAAAGGAGCGTCGGACATAATAAGTCCAGCTTACGAGGCCTCATGTACCTTAACGATGTTCTAAAAGTGTCTTTAAGTGGCAGTGCCGATATGGTTCGACCATTGAAAGTATTTAGGGAGATGATTGTTGCAGAGTTAGCTCTGTAGATAATTATATTTGGGAAAAAAAAGGTCAGTTGATCAGGCGGTTGGTCATATAGCTTTAAAAAACGTGGCTGCGTGATCTGTTTGCACTTTATTCCGGCTCAATCTCCAATTGTTTAAGATCAGTCATGGATTTGGACTCACGCAGGGGTACTGTTGTAGTGGCGACGCGCAACGGCCTCCAACTCATCAGGACAGAATTTGAAAGATGCACATCTATGTGCGATTCTAAAAATGGAAACTGATTGCTTTGAAACCTCGGTAGGTACTGTCTCAATCATGGAGGGTTAAATAGAGAAATGGCGTTGGAACCAGTTAAAGGTCTATCCTACTGCTAGGGCGGTAATACTGCAAATGTCGAGCGTAAGGATGACACTGAGAACAATAAAGCAATGCTGGTTTTTTCCTGGATGGCTGTACCTTAAATAGAATCGGCTCATACATACCGAGCTAACTAACTATATATCAGTCGGAGTGAGTGGGATCTCGCGGGAGATATTAGTAGCCCGCGTCTAGAAGTAGAAAGCCACTGTGACATGGATTATTTCAGACCCACTCCCAGTATTGACCCATATTTCAGCTATTGTAACCCCGTAGATCTCATCTAGGGGTTCTGCCGTCATTTAATTTACAGGTACTAGGGAAAGGTCAGCATAGGATCACGTTTGGGAATGACGTATGTTCTACATCGCATGGAAACATCTGCAAAGGCTTGGTTCGGCGTATGGAAGACCAGAAGATTCGGATCTCTAGACGGACTATATGGAACAGGATTGAGAACGCTCAAGCGCTAGAACGAATCCAAATGAATTGGAGAAGATACTCGTTGGTGTTGGTTAGGGCTATAGATAGTTTCTACCATATACTGTGATTGTTTTTCACCCCTGGCTCGCATTTCTCAGGGCCATGTATTTTGAATCCTAAGCACAATTTGAGAGCAGCGCCACGAAGTGGGTACTGCGAAGGCGACCCGGTAAACAACTTGGTGATATGTGGCACGGCTGAAGGTGCTAGTCATGAATAGGATGGATCGAAACAAAATTTCCTATGTACACTAAGACCACAAGGGGGGGGCTATTGAGTCTGATTGATTGGCTAGAAAATGCGAAAAGTCAAAAACTCCAGGGTAAAACTTGTAGATTGTAGCATGTCTCACCACGCTTTATCAAACACAGGCCTCGGGACAAAATACATACATGTGGATTCTCGGGCCCCCAATAACATCACGTTGCTTTTATTTTCCTGGAGCATTGTCGTAGTCGCATTCCAGATAATATCTGTTATCAATACTGCGAGATGCGAGGATATGGACCCATGGATAGATAGCATATATGTCTAGTGAGGTATTACATATACACCATCGGGACAAGTTTTCTGATTTTTGCAGATGGTCCCATAGTCATTATTAGTTCTGCACAGGTGATATATCATATAAATCTAAAGCTGGAATTATTGTGACGCGCCTTAGTTCCACAAGTGCCACATCACCTAGATAGTGGTGGACTCTTGATGCCTCATCCTTCTCTTGGGACATCATATCCTCTAGTGTATATGGCTGATCGTATCGTGACCTGAAACTAATGAACTTTTTTATGATGTCTATACCATACCGGCAAGGTGTATTGGGGAGAGACATGTAAATGCGTATGTTTACCCACCGATATTTCGGGACCATGGTCCTAGCGGTAGTCTTCTTATATGGACAGAGCTACAGTTTACGGTTCTATGGCCTCTCAACTATACAAGAGTCTCAACATAGAATAGTACTGATACGGAAGCTGTTGTGTGTTCAGTTGGCCTCGCTAACACGGAATCATCGAGATTTACATCAATCTATACAATGGCGAGACATTTCAACTTGAGATCTACTCATATACCCTTACCCATCATATGGATCGCCGGTTGCGGTAGTATTTGCCTGTCGCCCAGTGCTTGTACGCGCATGGTTGGTAAAGGGCTTGCTCACGTTCCCACTGACGCTAGTAGTGAGGTACCTCGTGTCTACCATAATATACCGGCCTACTTCTCATTGCTCCAACGTATTGCTATGCCAAATGTCAGTGTATTAGATCAGATAGTTGTCAGGCCTGTTAAACTGATGATACCCAGAGATCATGGCTTTGTGGGAACGTACCTGCCCTAAACCCCCAATCGGAAAAGTCGTCGAGAGAGTGAACCTTGAATTTCTGGATGATGAACTAGCACGCTTCTACATTTTCAACCATGGAGTCATCATTGCGAGGGGAGCAGGCGCTCTTGAAGAGGCCCTTTTCCAGAAAAGCCCAAAGTTTCATGTATCCCAAGGTGGTTGGCAAAGCGTTCGGATTTTTGCTGGAGTGGGTGACTTGTTCGTTGAAGGAGGAGAAACACAAGTATTACTACCTAGCTCCTCGAAAAAGCCTAGCAGAGTGACATACTAGCTATATACATAGTTACATCGGAAATCGTTCTCCAAGTGGTTCGCTCCACAGCAGTCGAGGCAACACTGGTCAGACGTCCTAGCATCGGCCACGGAAATGGTCCTCACAATGAAGTCCGCGCTGGAGGTACAACCAAAGACCAAAAAGATTCTTACGATTCGCGACAGGGCCACGACCGCGATCGTAGATCTTATGGGGATAACTCTCCTGGACACAAACCTTGGAGAAATGCAAGGCAATCGTACATTCTACTCGAGCCTGGTCGAATGTACGGGACAATCAACCAACTTCTTCCTTTTTGTACTCCTTAAGGTTGACTTGACATGCTTATCTAGACTCCCAATTGAAGCGGGCAAGAGGATCCGGAACAACTGACTGAACCTGTAAGGTGACAGCGCGCCGTATAGCAAGAAGAACGCGAATCCTAGGGCTTCAAAACAAGGAAATCAGTGAAACTAGTGCCACTATCGCTCGTTATACGATAGAAAGAATCCTCTTCACGGTTGACAAGGTGATTGAGCGCATTGTGACATTTATAAGTGCTGCGTCTAAACCGATTGCTGGTTCATTCCAATGGGCAACCTTCCAACTCTGTCAGCAGCTCGATGTACAAAACCTTGGCTGGAAAGGCCCTTCCTCGAAGTGCAGTGGATGCCTCTCGGCCTTAGGATGGATTGGCTGCAATCGTGTATGTATAGCAAACAACCAGTCCGATTAAAATGTAGCATATACCCTCTAGTTGATTGCTTGATGCCCCTTACTCTCACAAAAAAACTGATGGTCTCTACATAAATATTAGTGGGCTACAATACTTATCACCCGTAGTAGCATGTTTCACGGTTTGGTGTCCCCGTGAAACCAGGAAAAAGTGATCTGTCTCATGCTGATGCCACACAAGCGAAGCCAGTTGGACTGCTAGGATCCTGGATTTGGAGACACGATCCGGAGCGATATGCGACCGAGAAGTATCACAAGGCCCTGGACCACTTGGTTAAAGACACTCTATTTCAGAATACTAACATCCCGCCTGGTCATGTGTACAAACATTGGACTATAGAGGAGCTACTGAACACCAAGGACGTTGTGCTGGAGGGAAACTGGGAGTGAGTAGAAGGAGTGATTTAGTAGCTGCCGTGGGGGGACTTGGGTTACATTATACCAACCAAATATTATGGCATTATAGACCCCCAGACTAGCAATAATAAAAAGGTACAAAACATGAGTGTGCGGAGTCAAAACAACTTGTTCATTGTCTTGCCCTGTGCGGCTTTGGGACCTGATCGTTCTTATGCATGTCGGCTCGGGACATTCATGGGGACTGGGAGAGATGTGCTGAGTGTCAACGTGCCGCTTCAACTCGGCCTTGCGGGAGAATATACCTGCATAGGTGCAGGACTTCTACTCGCATTTAATAGCGCGAGTGTGACGGACTCTACAGCCGCTAGTGAGTACATCTGAACCGGCCGCCCAGAGCCGCCCCCCACCTGCCAGCATAGCATAGCATTAGAGGCTAAGACAGGCGTTGTGGCGTAGGGTGGCATTTGGGAAATTATTCAGAGATAGTTTCAAGTTAGTGGAGGGTTGTTGCAGGACGACATATGAGGGAATAGGCGGGAACCATACCCATTGTGATATGGGAGGGGGAGTAAAGCGGTATAACCAGCATCTAGGATCCTTCAAAAGCAACCTAGTGGTATAAGATAGGATTGATGCCGACCGTGTTAGTATCCAACTACTTGATTTGACAGGAAAGAGATCAACGAAACAATCACTGCCTAGACTACTATTCCACAGAATATGAATCAATAGCAATTATCAGTCGGATCTAAACCTCCCGACCTTGCTTGGCTGTTATCATATTGTCCTATACTGAGCAATTAAGCAACTTATTGGACATGTAGGTATCCACATATAATAGCTTCCATTGCCGAAAAGAGCTCCCACTAAACGGCCTTAACAATAATGCTAGAACAGAAAACAAGCTGAATGTACCATATCATGCCATCCCAACCGAACTTGAGCAAGGAACTATGGCAATATAACTCGGCTAAGACCTCGAATATTAATAGCTTGTTAAATAAAAGTGCTCCTTCCCGCCAGCACGCCTTGGCAAATGGACGCTATTGCAGGCTTCCTTGGAGGTATTTTTGAGCTCAACTTCCATTTACTTTTTGGTCGCTTTACCACTATCCCTAACATTATCGACAGCCTACTCGCGCCATTATGCCTAGTGTACATACAATTGATTGTGGCTGTTGCCGTTGTCCGGATGCTTTGTTTGATGCTCGACCAACCGTTCCAGCTCCGTGAGAACAGAGACACTGATCTTTTTGTATGGCCTCTTCCTAACACCGATTTTGGTTGTATGGGTGGACCGGATTATTTTCTTAGCAATATGTTTCAGGCCTTGGTGCTAGGAAAGATTTCACATAGGCATGTGTATATACCTAACGTGTTGTTACTCTACTAAGTCATCTATGAAATAGAAAATATACCCTCACTTGGCGGCGGCATTCTCACTATATTACTTTTCGGTTATTCATATATCCCTGTGAGGGGAAAGGGACTTAATAACCGGAAGATACCATACATGCCTTGAATAGGGTAGTGTTAATATTGCCCTCGTGACCGAGCGAAACCTGTCCAATAATGACATTTAACATCTATTATTGTCTCACCCACGGGCATAATGCTATTGTTTAGTCTAGTAATCCAGATCTGCAGGTGTTCAAGAGGACCGGAGTACATGCGTGGTTAGAGCAGATGTTGGACAGTCAGCATGGCTCGCATGATGCACGCTTTCCATTTCGTTGATGCATCTGACCGATACATATACGTACTCATTGCCGCGTGGATAGAAGGAGGTGTTAGTGTCTAAAAAGGGAAGACTTAATATAAGCGTAGCAAAGGCAGCCTGTTTTGCTATTAAAATGAATTCCTTTCCTACGTACTAGTAGGTGACCGTTGGGAGAGAATATCAAACGCAGACGTTGGACAGACAGGGGTCAAATTATTAACTAAGTCATGGAAAATAATACACAATCAAACGCTTGAGACAAAGAAGCAATACAAGACATTAGTTGCACATCATAGTCATAAGCCTTTACATCAATGTGCGTGAATCATATCGGTCAATCGTATCCAGTCCCCCGACAGAACCTCATAAGACATTATTACACAACGCTCATATGAAAACACAAAGAAATACAAGGTCATATGCCGAGCTTAGCACTGGACAAGGTAGCTGCCGTACTCCTTGTCACCAGATAGACAAGTGTTAATCTTGACATCGTGGCGATTAAGGTGGCAGGTAATGTCATTGTAAATGGCCACTAGGAGTGTATTAGTATATTGCGGCAGCAGATAGAGATTGCGAACAACAAAAACGGATATTTAAAAAAATATAGCAACGCGGGAGCCGCTTACCGGTACAGTTGTCACGCAGCGCATACTCGAAGCGCACGGACTTCACAGTGGTGTCGCCGAAGGTCTGGCACTTGTTGAGTTTGTCGCCATAGATTCCCATCTCGCCTTGGTTCTGTTCGAAACAACCGGATTCGCCGTAGATACGCAGCTGGACGTAACGGGGGTCGTCCCGAGGGGCGGGAGCCGCGGAAACACCCATGGTGAGAGCCATGGTGGAGGCAATGATGGTGCTGAAGAGCATTTTGATGGTTGTTATGTGGTAGTTGGGAGTTACGGTAAGGTGTGGTTGGCTTTGGCTATGAAGTTTGTGGGGTTGCGGTGTTGCGGTTGTTGATGAAGATCAATATCCCTGGGGACAAAGCCTTCTTTAAATACTTTTGAATCGACGCGCAAAACCGCTTGATAGCGTAGGTGATCGTCAACTCTAGAACTGCAGTTCATGTTCTCTATCATCTGACGCCGGCATATACGAAGCTGTTTCAGTTACTCCGCCTCACCCCGTGAGCCGTCTCCCTATGCCACAATGACGGTGAGTCGATCGATATAGGCATCTGGGGTGTGATTTGGCGGGGGCTGGGAAGCAATATTCTCATGCACGTTCGGATATAGCGATCCACAGCTGATCCGGATCTTCCACTAGCGCAGCTAGGGAACTTGCTTTTGTACTGCAGCCCATTGTCTATTCTTGGCGCTGGCATAAACAGAGTCAATTTTCTATAATTATACAGAACGAGCGAATCAGGCCAAGTCAGGCGGTGGGCTATTCCAACCCCACAGCTTATACGTGGCACGCCTTACGTTTGATCAAACGGGGACGGGTCGCAATGCACGCCTGAAAGAAGCAAAGACTAACAATGTGGAGTGGGAAGACGGCCGTTTCTGGTGTTTTCACTGTCGATCTCCCATTCTATATGTCAAAGGTGGCAACGGCGGCTGACGACTCGAACAACGAAATGCCTTTTATTAATAGAGAAAACTGGGTACATGTGTGTATATGACAAATGATATAAGTAAGGAATAATCAAAAGCAAAAGATTCCCGCACTTCGTTTCAAAGGATGAAGATATTTTCGTCAAAATTACGATCGCACGCTGACATAGTTGGTTTAGAGAAGAGCATCAAACCGATGCCCGTCCACGGAACTCATTGATTATGGCAAGGATCTCCGGTGACGTTTCACAGGATTCTGTATCTTTATTCTTGTTATGCTCCGATGAGTATTTGTTCTTCCTCGCCATCGAATTGGGGACGGGTATCTGAGTGTTACGCCGCGAGACGTAACCTCGCGGCTTCTTAGAACGAGGAGGCACTGGCGGCTTAGACGTCGTGGAGACAGAATCCGTCCTCTCCAGTGGTATCTCCGGTCTCTGCCAAGGTTCTCTCTCAAGCGGATCACAGCTTGAACCAAGGGGTGATGATGGACTTCCACCATCATAACGTGGGATATCAATCGAAATATTCCTGGCAGCTTCCTTATTCATCAGGCTTCTTACCTCCTGAAGAAGTACAGCGGTACTATCTAGCACTTTTTCCTTCGCAGCCGTGTCCCACTGTACCGTCGAAAACTCTGTTGGGCATTGATCTTGAGAGTCTGTCCAGTCAATTTCGCTCTGCCGTCGTGCACTAGACATTGGTTGATGAGCGACATGGATATTGATGTGGATGGGCGAGCCTCTGAATTGTGGCTTAGAGCTGTCCCCAGGTTTGGTCTCATTCGCCGACACCTTCCACTCTGGTGCCTGAATGCTTGTTGCCGTCGATAAAACCCAGATGCAGGTGGACCATATCAGCTGACCGAAAATAGCCAGCAAGACACAGACTCCAACCAGGGCACTTTGCATGGCCATCGCAAGTCCAGATGGGGTTGTTTGAAGCATTCGGATGAAATCGGGGACAACCAGTCGACGTTGATCGGCCTGACCCACACATTCTGTCCCTACCGTATCACCTGGCGGGATGGTGAGTAGCAGCTCTTTGGCACAAGCTGCCGCCGACGCCGCGGCATAGCCATGCCATTGATCATTCTTGTGTGAGTCAGAGTAGTCACAAATACCTCGGATTGCAATCCATCTGAAGCTGTCGCTGAGGCCAGCCGCTTCCATCTCAAAGCAGATGGCATCCAACTCGCGAGCGATTTCGTCCCGCGTTGTCGCATCTTTCATGACCTGATCGGCCGATGCGATCACTCCGTCGTGGACACGAATCTGACCCTTCTCGCGAATTGGCCGTTTTACCACATCATTTGGGCGTTGAGCGCAGCTGTTGGTGCAGTCGCACTCGTCTGTATGAACGTATTCGGGAGTATATAAACGGTCTGTGTGCCAGTCGGGCCGACCGAATGTCGCCTTGATGGGCGGGGATTTGGTGAAGGCTTCATCCATGCGTGATCCAAGATCAAGCCCATCAAATAGGCGAGTTTTGAGTCCGGTCACTGCGTGAAGAAGGATAGGTGGCGGCGTGAATGTGTGGCCGGTGACCAGAAATCCGGTCGATGTTTTCTTCCCGAGCCCATATTGAACCACCTTTGTCCCAATCACCACATCTCCGAGGCGCACATCGTTCTTTGCGCTCGGCACGCCACCGCCGATTCCGACAATGACGCCTAGCTTAATACCGGGAAATCTGCTCCTCATGTCTTCTGCCACTCCAGAAGTGGACACTAGCCCATACCGGCCAGCGGGAAGACACCCAACCACCACATTATGTCCTCCGATGCGACCACGAGTATAATAACTGTTCCCATCGCTTGTTAAAGACGTATCGCGGGTCCTATCGTAGGCTTCATCCAGCACTTCCACAGCAGCAATGTATTCTTTGAATAGAGCGCAAACCCAGCCGACAGTAAACTCGCTGTCATTGGGTCGCCCCGCGGTTCCCACCATTTTTGTGGTACTCCAGGCGCTGAATGAAGAAAAAGCCGAAGAGGTCCTAGAGGAGCGGTATTCTAGTGAGTTGAGCGCAGGTTGACTCGGCAGGTGTTTCGGATATAGGGCTTCAGACCCAATGCGCCGGTATCCTCGTCTTATATAAAGCCGTGCGCTAAGAAAAGCGTGCAGATTTTTTCTCCGAAGTATAACTAAGAATAATACCGCGGTTGCTTAGCTTGAGCATTGTGAAGCGCCGGGTCGGAGTAATAATGAAATGATAAATAGTGGGTGTGGCATTTCCTCGCGATACAACGGATATGCCATGTATCGCGCTGTGATTAGCGAGAGGAAGGCGAGCGTACGACATCTCATAGGCTGCGCCTTTCCTGGGCGCTTAAAACACCACGCCAACGTGTCAGAATTGCAAAATCTTTTCATGAAAATGAACAGGTGACATGAAAGGTATACCGCCGTATGATCTCTCTACTATTTGATGCTAGATATTCTAAACCAGGTGGACGAGTATGGTAGGTACATGAAACATTCTAGAAAGGTCGACTAGAAGCAATCAGCTTCAGACAAAAATACCCGAGCTGGCTTAGGATTGTACACGACTTGTGAATTATTTCGGTCGAAGAAGACAGCGCATAAATGTGATGTGTTTATTCGAGCAACACACGTTATGTGTGCATCCAGCGAACAAGAGTCGTCAATACCACACAGTTCCAAAGATCTTCATCACGTCATATTCCACATAATAAGGCGGGATAAATATTTCCACCAGGCGATCCCAATATGTCCTCCAAGGGCGATTAGACATGCCACGATAGGACTTGCAGTATTCCGGCCAAAAGCCGGGTAATCCCCAATCCAGAAGCACAACGGACGAGCATATTCCCTGGTAGAGATCGCCGTGTGTAAAGTCAAGATCATGTCCCTTGAGCCCCTGTACGGTCTGGTACAGGATATACTTGCTAGCCCAGAAACTGGATTCGAGATCATTTTCGCTCTCGAGTAGCTTTGGGGGGAGGCGGTCCCGCAAAAATTGGACCATTGCCTTCATTGCAGCTTTCTTCCGATTCGTAAGGACCATAGCTATACTTCATATATCACCGTAGCCCCCTTCGAGGACCCAATCTCAACAAGGCTACCGACCTAACCAACCGATGAAACCCTCTTGATCTGGCGTATCTGCTGTACATAATCCGACAATTATTTCAGGATTCTCTGTTGTTCTGCCGGTGAAGCGCTGTCTCAACACTTGCTAAAGGGGGTTCCTTGTCCATGCGACATGATGGCGTACGCAGTTCCATCGAGAATATATGCACTCAATAATTAAGGCAGAGCAATGCCTGTCCGCGTAGAGATTTAAGTGCATAGCCTCAGCCTTGGCGAGAAGAACCCCATGGCAAAGTTTCATGATCATATCGCTATCAGCCCAGACGAGTCGAGGACCATGACTTGTCTGATACGAGGTCCTCAGCATCTTTCAATCATCTAGGTCTAAGGTAATCGTAGGTAGGCCGAATTCTTCCCAATAAATCAGGCGTAGTTCGGGCTGGTCGGCGGCGGCGACAGTGCCCGGCTGATTATCAACGGAACCGCCAACCCCTGACGTTTGATCATGTTCCGCGTCCTCATTTGTCCCATTATCGCCTACGCCTTCTACCTCCGGGTCGTTCCCCCCATTGCCCAGGTCTTCCAACCGAAGTTGCATCTCTTCAAGACAGTTCAACTCGGCTAGGGGTCTGCCACAACCTCCGTAGTCATGTGGGATATCCGAGCCAAGGTACAGGGCGAGGTCTTCCGGTTTCTGCAGTAGTATCGTATTCCGTAAAGGGTTCTCGGGAACATCAAGGCGAGCGAGATATTCAGGGGATGGGTAGACAACATACGGTTTCCGAAGTAAACACGGGTAGTATAAATGGATCAACGAGACTAGATCATCAAGTGCCTTCTCAAGTGCCTTCCGGACATATGATCGAACCGACACATATCCTTGGCGCCCTCCCGGTTTGTGGTGCAGCTTGAATTCCAGAACACAATTGGCTACCGTGTCAAGCCCTCGGCCGTTACCAGCTGCATGGGACAGGGGCGGGCTAGCGAAACACTCCACTGCGGCGATCCGTATTTTCTGCATCCCAGCCGATGTCGAGAGAATTTCCTGCAACAATGCGAACCTCTTCATGACCATCTCCCAACTGAGACCCATATGACATAGCTCCCGCGAATGCTGGTGACATACAACAGACCTAGCTCCGGCAATATCGATTTCACCTCGGCCATGAGGGCTCATGGCGTGGACCTGCGTCGCCATTCCAGGTTCTTGAAGACTTTCCGGAGCTGCAAAGAGGCAATGGCAGAGTGGTATCTCAGAAACCGTCTGTGGGTTAACACTAAGCTCCATAACCAAGGAAGGAGGCTTTGATTAGCACACCTTGCGTATAATGGTTTCGACCTCTTCCCTTTCGCTAGTGGCCATATCAGTTCCCCAGATTTCACTATGCCATGTCTCGGCTATAAGTGCCCCGAGTGCCTCCAATACACTCTGTGTGTCAGTGAGTCGCGGTGCTTTAGTGTGAATGGACATCGTAGAACTGGTTTGGCAAACGGCACAGTATGAATTTAGCCCCACCAATCGCGGGGAGTAGGCAGTTCCTACGTTTAGTGAGACGCCTTAGTCGGTCGCCACTTTGTTTACTAACCGTTATGCCATACCTATTTGATCGCCTAATTCCCACGACACCGATGCAGGATGAAAGGCTGAATGCTCTTACAGGCTCACAGGACTCGAAGTCACCAGTAGAAGGCTTTCGGCCTTCCTTACACACACTCTCTCTCTAGGTCTAGTCTGCAACAGGTCACCAAAGCTTCCTGAGATGTCAGTTTCCACACTTGCATATTGACATGTTTCCAATGACATTCGGTGACATAGAACAGATTCAACTAAGTCAAGGTCGATTTCGCTTTGCTTATGAGCTCCTTTCAGGTATACCCCTTTTATGATAGCCTTCGCTCGCCAGTCTTCACCCACTCTAGAGTGCCTTCGGCCCGCACGGGCTCGACCATCTCCGAAGTCCTTGAATAGGAGATTCCTCGTGAAATAGACACGGCGGAACGATCTTAGATAATATCTTGTTTGGTTACAGCCGTTTTATCTGATTGCGTGTTTACAACGATGGGGATGGGCTCCCAACGATGTTACATTGGCTTCCATGCATCTAGATAATGGAAGGGGGTGTTTATGACACAACAGTGCCAACAATAAAGTATGAGAAAGACGCCAAAAAGAAAGATTGAATCCCAGGACTAGGGCTCAAACCTAGATCACCCAGCTCCCACCAGGGGAGAACGGACCAACCGTACTCTCCGGAAGGGGATCTGATGCTATGCTAAACAAATGCACCACCCAGGGTTGTTTTAGAAAAGAGCCTCTGCGACTTATAACTACCGTCGCCCAGATGAAGAGCGAATCATCTTCGCAATTCGCTTACTACGGCGCCGGTACTCGATATGACGCCGACAAGCAACACACTGTCCATCGTCGTCAAAGTAATGTTCGTCCCTATAGGGAAGTACATGGTTAGCGCGTTCGTTGTCTCAGGCGAAGACCATCTAAAATACTCACATATCTACCTCACAGGGACCCTGGTCACAGAACTCGCATACGGGCGAGGTATAGGTGCAATCCCACAAGACCGTAGTCAAATTCGCCCACTCATCATACAGTTTCCTCTCAAACTTGGGCATCTCGGATTCTGTTTGGCCATGCGCGCAATGTACACCAAATGGTGCGTTATTGAATTCGCAATTCCCTTCACAAACTGACACTCGTTTAATCGATATTGGAGGTCCATATTTCGCCTTGTCCACCCATACCCACGGCTCGCGGTCCTCAATCAATGCATACTCCTCCGGATCGTCATCATGCACATCCGTCTCCATATCGGGCGCAGCATCTTGGTCAAACTTGACCATCCACAGTCCCCGACGCAGAATATCGTCCCACGACGTGCACTCTTCAGGAATAACCAGTATAAAGCTCCGATACCGATCGTCCCAGTAGTCTCTCTCCCTCCAAAACCGCGGTGGGCGGCACCATGTCGGCACAATATGCGGCAACGGTTCCTTCCCTCGCAGTTTCAACACCGCTTCCTGCGCTTGCTCCTCATCCTCCGCAACCTCTACGGCCTCGCAATGCATCTTCTCCAGCGCTTCGCGCCGATAAATCTTCTCCCGTCGATGATGCTCGATACACTCCTCAATACTCCCCAACGGCGCATACACATCCACCCGAGGCCAGCGGTTTCGCGCATTGCCCCAAGAGCTAAAGGCGCTTTCGCTGAGTAACCTCGTCGCCACTTCTTCGCGGCTCGGTGTCAATGGACGTAGGGAGTATAAGTGGACACTTAATTTCACGATGGACTTCGGGTTAGAGCAATTCGGTGTTCCACGGACCACTTTGTATGTCTCTCCGCTGTGATCCGGGAATTCGTGGATTATGTTGCGATTCAGTCGCGGCCATGGCTTTCTCCAGGTTGTCTGTTTTGAGCGCGCCATTGCTATGTCTAGAAAATTGATGCTATGGAATTTCTGAACTATTCTTTGGGGGGGTTGTGTTGCCCTCGTCTCGTCTCTTCGCCGATCAATGAAAAGGTAATTGAGTGCCGCTGAAATTAGGCAGCAACTTATATAAGCTGGATGGTCGCCTGGAAGTCTTCACTCGACGTCGTAGAGCTTCGTGCCTTAGGTGGCTACCCCCGACAGGTCCTGAGCAATAGCATTTCCACCTCGATCATTTCATTGCTTCTACATATACGATTAATTTTACTATATTCTAGCACTTTTGAGCGCAAGGCGGCTCCTCCTGATGTCCCGGAACGGGGTGAAGGAGTGAACGAATCGAAGCGCCGCCGAGCTGTAAGCCCTCAATATCCACATACTGCTTTTGTTTCTATCAACGTATTCAAAATCTAGACGTATCGAGCATGTTCTCTTGTTGTAATAGTAGAGAGGGACTGATTGAGAAGTGAATTTGTTAGCTTCTTGTCGAACGGTGCATTTTTGTTGTCTCAAACCCCACCATATATATATATATATATACATCTGAATTGATGCGAAATAAACGTCTATCAGTTATCTAACATGTAATATGTTATATTTGGCTCGAGTATTTCGACAAGCTTTCCGTTTTCTATTCACACAAAGTTACACACACAAGCAAAGGAAGCGACGCGAGCAAAGATATTGTAGGCGGATCTAGGTAGGTACCAAAATATCAACAAGAGAGGAGGTGAGGAAGATAAATGTTATCTATCAAAAGCAAAACAACAACGAGGTCTTTCATATAAACAACCGTGTACTAAGGATATATAGGTTCTACGAAGCCTAACAGAGCTTCTTGTTAAGGAAAATCTTGTGTGTTATCATGCAACCTGCGTTGGTAGGAACGTCCATACTATCTCCCTCCTAAAGCCAGGACGCGATCATAGAGGTGACCGCGTCAGGGTCTACCCTGTGAGATTAGGATTTCAGATTGTGGAAGTATTATTGGCATCGTTTTGCGCCTTAAGCAAGCATGGTATATTCTACACTACTAAGCTCGACCAGCTCCTTTTGATGTTTTGGGCCAGATGGCAAGGCATGATGACTACGATACTAAATGTACCAACAACCATACACTTTAGCCCAAACTTGCGCATATTCTATCTGCTCCATAATGTATTAAATAAGGACTAAGCTATCCCCGATTGGTCCAACCGTGGCTCTAAATACAATATTTTTATCAAGCAAAAGTACGCTCCACTCATAGTCTACAAATAGGGTATTCGCAGGTCAATCACTATTAAACTTTTCTCTCCATACAGAGTCTAGACTAACCGTGCTGTGATTTGGGAATGAGCATGCGGTGGGCAGGAAGAGCAACAGGAAAAGTAGCAAAAGGAGGCAAACACTATGGTGAAGCCATAAAATCTCGGACTGGCCCAAGCCATAGACCTACTCTTACATTGTGGCTACGCTACCTGCACCTGTAAGGGCGTAGGAGTACGAAACAGTAATCCTATGCGGCCTCGCAGCCTCCCCGAACGATATCAATGAAACAAAGTCTATTTCTCAAATTTTGTAGATCTCCATAACCCATACGGACCAATCGTAGTATGCAACCTATTCAGGAAACCGGAGTGACTATCATGAAATGTAGGTTTATGCTCCTATAGAGCAGGAGGCTGTTTGGGCGTGTTCTCTGGCCCTCGCCAATCGGGGTTAATGTTACGAGCCCTAATTCACTGTTCCTTAAATAGTGTCGCAGATCTTCAAGGAATAAAGAAGCGCAGAAAGTTAAACATATCTCATCGATTGGTTAATAGGGTCTTTGACAGTTCGGAAATAGTAGTGACCCGACAATCTTTAATGGTGATGTGCGATCTGCTCGGCATCTGCTCGTGTACCTCGTATGACCATGGCTATCATCTAATGGCCATCGTATATTCACATCGTATCGTGGAGTACAGGAGGTTTCTATTCTAGAAAATAGATGGAGGCTAAGTGCCGATCCTTTCCAGCCTCATCGGCCGTGGGGGCGGGAGTGGCTTCAGTGGACCCCAGACTAAATGAACAATACGAGAATTAGAAAAGACTAGTGTATGCTTGGGCAAACAAACGACGATGTATACATCTTCATTTAGTGTCCATGGTATGGATCATCATCACCGAATGCCACCAAGGTCTCTTTCTCATTACTCAACCGCCTCGTATTCAGTGAAGATCGCTACCGTTGAACAATGTCCCTGGCGTCGTGGCACGCCGGTTGGGACATAGGGTTATCCCTTCGGAGGCTGAACACGAGCAAGAACACGAGATGAATCGGCTGGGAGTCGATGGCTTCGAAAGGATTTGGGTATAAATAGGGATCAAAAGTCTGCCTAATTGAGTCTCATCAGCAACTCCTGTACAAGAGAACAAACAAAAGATCCAAACCCATCAACTCAACCCTTTACCAAATATCTAAAGGTAAAGAAGAACAGGCCTTCAATCAACATTCCCCTATAGCGCGAAGCAGTCAGTTGACTTGTATTGACCAACAGATATTCCTCAAAAATGCGTTTCTTCGGCGGCATCATCGGCTCCTTCATCGTCTGCTCCTCCGTGGCATCAGCCTTCTGCCATAGCTCTATCTCCTGCGCCGTCGGCGGCGACAAGGTCTGCAACAACGTTTGTGTTCGCCAGGGTAACCCCAATGGTGGCCGCTGTCTCCCTCGCGATGGCTGCCCCGGCGATGACATCTGCGCCTGCTACCCCCAAAGCAAGCGCAGCGACGAGGTGATCGACGGCGACGATGCCCTCCGCAAGGTCCTGGACGACTATCAGGTTCTTGGAGACTTCGAGAACATCAAAGCTCGGGACGACGTCGAGAAGCGCAGCATCTGCTGCAACTTCCCCCAGCCCTTCGGTGGCCTTTGCTGTGAGGACCACTGCTCCTACATTGGAAAGCCCGGTGGCCAGTGCTCTAGCGAGGGTGTCTGCAAGTGCAACTAGTGGGCTTCCATTAACTACATGCATTTGACAAAGTTTGGATTGGTGGAGAGAGAAGATTGACACACATTGCCTTTTAGTCGTATTCTACTTCTTCCTGGGTTGTTCTGTAATTAGTTGGATAACATTCGTTCAATTTAGTGATATTTATTTCTTCTGTGGAGAACGTGTCTCAGTAAAGCAAAGCTAGGGAAAACGAGCAAACTAAAAATCTAAGGCGACAAAAAGGTGAATATATACACGAGCCTCGATTCTTGACGGCTCTACCGCACTGAACACCTAGGACCACAAAACGTTGTCAGGAGTTAGGCCTGATTAAAGCATTTTTGCGCCGCGAGAAATCAATATCATCTGACCCTCACTTCAGGCTAAATTAGACTCAAAGATTTGGCAAGCAGTGGGTAGAATTTCCTACTTCAGCCATGGAGACGGGATTGCATGGAACAACTTCAACCAGTCAGGAAGCGGCCCACCGATAAATAGTTATGAATGGAGTTGGGTATGACGGCAACGAACCGAGATATGTACTTGTATGCCGACTTCGGTCGGCCAACTTCCTATCCTGAATGACGAGTCCAACTTGGATGGGGTATAAAGAGAAACCTATGCTGCGGTGACCATTTCGATATGTAGATATTCCCCTGCTCCGTTGGTAGATTCCGCCTATTTGTTGCACGCATGATGGCGGACTCTTAGGTTGACGGTGCTTTGGACTCTGGCGGTTCAGGTCCTCTGCAAGACAGTCAATACGTGTCGTCCCTCTTGACCGATCCACACAAGCCCGGTGTGTTCATCTTATCAGACATCTCGAACGAAAGTGACGATCAAGAATCGCTGACACGATACTTCCTCTACTCCAACCAATTCCAAACCGAAGGCCTTGTCGCTTCAACATCAAGCACACCCACCCGGACGCCCAATACCCCCCGGGAGACTACTTCCGGAGTATCCTCCGCACAGGCCCAGCCGTAAGTGAACCATTCCCCACACCTCCTCGCCCCATAACTTTAACAAGTGTCAGGCATACGGCATGCAAGCGGTAGGAGAAAACATGACGCTCAGCTCCGGCGCAAAAGCTCCTCCTCAACCGTCTCCAAACACCATCCACCCAACCCCTCTGGGTCCTCACCCAAGCCCTATACAAAATCCACCAAACCCTCTCCCCCTCAGAAGCCACCGCCATCCGCTCCCGTCTCCGCGTATACGCCATCTCAGACCAGGATGACACAGGCGCCTGGATCCGCCGCAACTGTCCAGACATCTTCTACATCTCTACGCACGGCTGGAACCAATACGGACTCGCGGCGTGGATCGCCATCTCAGGTGAAACATACTATGGTGTCGACGAGGGGTGGTCCAAACAGCACAACAGTTACGCACGAGTGGCTGCTCGAGAACATCCAAATCGGACCGTACGGTAGTGTCGCGTACCCGGTATTCAAGTATATTATGGAAGATGATGGGCCTACTTTCCTGTACCTGATTTAGAATGGTCTGGGTGACACCGAGAACTCCAGGTATATGTCTTAGGGTGGGAAGGTACAGCAAGGTTGATCCGTCGACGGGCGTGGGGTATAATTATCACAGTGATGCGCCGGATCGGGGGTTTCGGTCGAATTATGCTACGATTTGGAGATGGAGGGATGCGTTCTAGAATGACTTCACGGCTAGTAGGCAGTGGTCTCTGCTCGGGAATGTTAGCAGGGCGAATCGTCATCCTGTTGTTGTTGTTCTCAATGGGAGTGTGGAGTTGGCTCCATTTAGGGTGACTGTGAAGGCGGGAGTGAGTGTTAGCTTTGATACTGGTGGGACTTATGATCCTGATGGTGATGAGTTGTCGTTTAATTGATTTCAGTATAAGGAGCCTGGGTCTGATGATTTGAATGTGGCGAAGCAGGTTCCGGCTTTGAATTTGACTACTGTGAACAGTGGTCGGCAGGTAAAGGTGGATATACCTCCCTCGGAGGAGAGTCGTAATGAGAAGGGGGATAATCCGTCGGGCTGTTGGTTGGTACATTTGATTCTGAAGGTCAAGGATAACGGGGTTCATCCGTTGACTACATATCGTCGGTTGTTGATTCAGACTACAAACGAGACGATCTCTACGTGATATAGTTGTATGTATATATGAAAGGACCACGATGCAATAGACAGATGTATAAATCGGCCTTTGATTGTATTTATCGTGCTATTTGATATCTGGATAGTTGAAAGGATATAAATATACAAATTGACCACTGTAAAGCAACTAAAGCTTTGATTCCAAAAATTACCAGAGCTCAATTGGGCCGCCTGCAGCTAGACTAGTACCTATACTATCTAGGTTTATATGTCCCGAAAGCTGAATGGATTGAGTGCCATTGAGTATATTCCCGATAAATCAGCATCATATCATGCAAAACCGGAGTAACTAAGATGATCACAAGATTGAATGTCTTACACCAAGCGAAGTAAGCTGTAACATGATTGATTGTGACAAAGAGGTTACCCTGGAACTCTCTCCCAGTTCTACGGCTCCCCATAACATGATTGTAGGCTTCTCCAAGAGCCCTAGTTTTAGTATGATCCAGCTACCTAACAGGAGTTTTAATCGGAGACTAGAGGTTCACATCATACGATAGATACATACCAGATAGAAGCTTGTAGTATTCTCGATCCAATGCAAGCGTCTTGTTATCCGTGTTGGTGTAGCCAGTGGATTGCCTGGTGGACTTAGGGCCTCGACGTCGGCTGCATTTGACGGCTAGGGCTTGAATTGCCACAAGGCCATCGCCAGGGCCATGTAGCTATCCTGGTGATTATTGAAACTTGTATCTAAGGTGTGTGAGCGGTACTGCGAAGTTTAGATATTGTCTTGGGGTTCTTATGCTATCTTGCGGGAGAGATAAACTTGTCTCACTGTGTAGATGCATGTATGCCTAATATTCTACCATCTAAATGTTAGGCCCGCGGCTTTGTGGGATGGACTATCTAATACTATAGGACACCAAATAACTCTATGGCTGGGTGAGTGAAATGTCACGCCTATCCTGCATAAGGTATCTATCGAAAGCACCTAGCCGCAGGTACGGGGAGATCCAAGCGTCGTGGGCTGTAACATGGAAATTCAACTGGTAGCTTCGTCAGATATGCAGATACCCATGCTCTATATTATATTACATGAAATAGCTGACCTTATTGGTACGTGCATTTGACGGAATTTCCAATGGTATATCCCCCTCGAAGAGAGTCTTAGCGACATGGCCTAGTTTTCTACTCCTGGTCAGCACCAGTCATTTGCATTATCTAAACCACTAGCAACGATTCACAGCACACCCACATAAAGGTTAAGATGGGGATTTTATTTCAGTCACCATCAAGCACACCAAGAGCTCAGGTTGTCCGTCTGACTAAGGCCACAGAGCCAACCTCCATGACACCTCAGCCAGCCTTCAGGACAGTAAGGATATATAACAGCAGCGCATGCCCAGGGATAGACATATCAAGCGCCATCTCTAATATGCTTTTCCAACTCCACCAACATTTCTTCCTGGTAAGTCCAGATTCTCTCCCGATTCCATAACCCCCTCAATTCATTCCAATGGCGCTTAATATCCCGATAGAGCATGTACCAATTCGTCCGTCCGAGGGGCGGTTTAGGTATCGTCCACTTGGACAAATGCTCCTGCACATTGATGGTATGTGACACGATTATAGGACGCGGCATCCCGGGTGTGTGGATCTCATGTTTATTTCTTTCGATGTCATCCGCTGTCACTGTGGCCCAGAAATACGGCGGCTCATCCGTCCAGATTTCCCACAGCCATGGCATTTCCTCGCGGAGGAGTCGGTGCCATAGAAAGACTGGTAATTGGTAGAAAGCTCGGGATGCGAGTCGTAGGGCGGCAATATCGTGTGAGTAAAGGTGGTTCACGATCATATCTCTGATCTCCTGCGGAAGTCGAGCGAAGATGTCTGACGCGACCGGTTGGCCGGCTACAGTGTGGGCGGAGTTAGTGAATGCATTAAAGACCCCCGTCTGGAGATCGAAAGATGGATCGGTGTTCATAGCCTTATGCACAAGGTCCCGGAGCTTTGGGACGTAGTATGGATTCACGGCGAGCCATTCGGCCCCGGGGTGATACCACCACTGGGATCTGCGGGCGCGAGTGACGGCCGGGTCTGGACAGTCATAGAAGGTGCGAGAGTAGTGATTAATGTTTTGGAAAAAAGTTGGTAATCGATCCAATTCTACATGACCGAGGCGAAGTCGTGAGAGCTTCATATAGATGCCGAAGCACCAAGGATGGAAAGGAAATGCCGAGTTCGAGACTTCATAAGACTAATGGAATGACATTAGCGGCAGTTGTATTCCATCCTTCTCTTTCCCATCTATCTGTTACTAGAAGGGGGGAAACGAGAACATACGTCGACGAATGGATCGCTAATCGCTCGGATCAGCACTCCGTGTCGTTCGGGCACTCCCCAGGTAGAGACGCCGGAGGGATGGGGATCGGGCATGCCATCAGTAACTCCAGATAAAATAAAATTGCTTTGAACTTCGATATCGAGGTCATCGGGATCCTGCACGTAGCTATTGGGCTTCGGAAGCAAACTTTGGAAAGTCTGACACCCTCGCATCTCTGCCGCCGATATGCGATGACCTAGGTACCCTCCATATGATTGACAGCGCGGGCCAGCAACATGCTCCAAGTCGGATTTCTCTATTGCGATTCGACCAGGCCCTTTCCTGCTATAATAGTTAATAGGGAGCCGTTGCCCCACCGTAGGGATCTCTCCTTCAAAGTCGAAAAAAAGGTAATCGCCTTGGATACCAGTATCGGCGTCGCGAGTCCTAAGAACCGGACTGTACTGCCGGAGGATGTAAGAACATCCAGTTTTTTCCGTCGAACATTGCCCTTGACCGTCGCGCCACGCATCGACCCAAGAGTCAGACATGAAACTACCCCAGGCAGATTCCGGGGGTTCGTTAGCCGTTCTGATACGCGCGATGTTAAAGCTAACGCCACAGAGGGCGCAGTGAAACTGCGAAAGCACTACTGTGAGTAGAAGCTAGCCTGGCAAGGATGATTACCGAGGGATATAAGCACACCTCGGAATATTCTACGAATGAAGAGTTAGCCGTACAGAAACTCCAAGGCGCAGAAACGGAAGGTTGACAAGCTTAGTACCCATTGCGTCGTTTGTTATTTTATTCTCGTTGAGAATACCTAGTTAGTCTGTACCGGCATCTAGCCGGAAGTATGTAGAGGTTATTGAATAAAAGTTCCCAGGAGCAATCGGGCATATTTGGTGCATCAGTCAACATTACCGAATGTAATATGTTGAACTCTCATTGGTCTCAGCCACAGCCTCAACCTGCTGCCCGACAGGTGGATTGTGCCTGAGGCTGTGTCCGAGGCGCAGCCACACGTCCCAAGGAGGTAGGCGGTAGGGGCTGCCTACTCTGATCGTGGCATCTAACATGAGTCCGAATGACATGATTGGTTCTAGGGCGTATTCGGACCAGCTATAGAGTCAACTCAAACAAAGAAAACCACACGCCCCAGTTTACAGACCTGTCAGTTAGTCTAGAGACATATATTCATTCTGAGAGGGCTGAAATTGGTAGCTATACTCTCCTTCAACCTAGAAGTATGACCAGGCGTCGTGTCACCTTGTCGTGCTCGTCTTTTCGAACCCATTATGCTCCACCCAAACATAATTCTCTCGAACATAAGACAGGATATTGGATAAAACAGTCAGTGACTATCCTGGTCGTACAGTGTTGTTAGTATCGAGCTAAAGCTTCGAAAATTTGACAGTGTACCTCTACCTCTCCTTTGGACCCGAAAGGCGGGCAAGAATGTACATATAAATAACAGCCTGCACCCCAATGTTAACCGTTGTTCCTATTATACCCATGTATCGTCAATATCTACGTGATTATTCCACTTCAGCCCAAGATTTAAGATGGCTTCTTCTGATCGCGCCATCGTTCTTATCGGCGGAGGGTGGCACCCTACGGCCTCCTACGAGAAGTTCCAGAGCGCGCTCGAAGCACAGGATTATAGAGTCCATATCCCAGCATTGCCTACCATGAACGGCGCTAGACCCCTACAGCTGACCTCTACACCGATAGCGAGTTTATCCGTTCCTATGTGGAGGGCCTCGTTGAGGCTGGGCGACATGTGGTCGTCCTGATGCACTCTTACGGCGGGCAAGTCGGCACCAATTGTTTAGTGGGACTTGGAGCAGAAACGAGAAAACAACGAGGACTGACCGGCGGAGTGACGCGGTTGGTTTATATCGCTGCATTCGCCGTCACCGAGGGAAGTTCGATGGTCGACGTGGTGAAAGCCTTCGGTCACGAGGCACTGATGCCAAAATTGCGTTCGACTTTGCCGACGATGATACGTGTGAGAGTCGGGACCCGAAGAATTTACCGGTGGGACCAAGCCATCCCGAAGAGGAGCTTGAAGCCTACGTGGCCGGGCTGGCGCGGTGGAATGGCAAAGCAATGTACCAGGGGACTCGACAGTGTGCGTGGAGAGAGATCCCCGTGTCCTTTGTTTATGCGACGGCGGATATGACGGTTCCATTCGATTATCAAAAGTTGTTTGTGGAGAAGATGCAGGGGCAGGGCAGGGAGGTGGAGACGTTTTCGTTGGATACGGGGCCTTGCCCTACTTTTACCAAGGCCAGTGAGTTGGTGGAGATTGTACATGGCGTTGTTACACGGGCTTGAAGCTGAATGTCATTTCATGGTTCAGAAATCATAATACTGCATGCAATTATTTCGGCGTATCCTCTACGCCATCATTATATTATTCACCGCAAGATATTACACCGTGATGCATGAATAAAAGAGAAACGTATGCTGACCAGAAAATGCCTGCACCAACTTACACTAGGCATTCCAACTGCCTCAGAAGGCCATTAGGCTCCGCGACACCAGCAGCCGCAATGGCGTCGGCACGTTCCTGCGTATCAGCAACGGCGTAGATGCGAAGTTCATCGGCATTTCCGGATGGTCGGAAATGTGCCACATCACCATTAACGAAGATGATTCGGACTCCGTCGGTGTAGTTCAGCCGGGCGATGGAGGAAAATCCAGAGTTTGCGGAGAAGACGGTCTCCAGCTCTCGGCGGACCTGGTCCAAGTGCTGAGCATGAGGCTCCGTCACCGTAACCTGGGCATGACTGGCATCATACGCGAGAACCTGGGCACCGTACGACACCTCCTGGATGCTAGGCTCCGGTGGGGAAAAGCGTGCGATGATTTTCATGCTTGTTGGGCGAGGGAAGTTGCGAATCAATGCAGCGCGGCTAGAACGCTTAGGGAGTGTAGCAAAAAGTTCCGGTAACGTGATACCGCGGTTGCGCGCCGCGAACAGAGCGCAGAGCAGAGGTAGCACGGCATCGCGAGTGGGAAGCGCAGTGAGGACATTGCTGTTGCGCTTAATATCGGAACCGGTGAGAAAGCCACCGTTGGCCTCCCAGCCACAGACGCGCTGACGGCCCTTGGAGAGCGCATGCTGCATACCAGCGATCACATAGGGGCTACCGATCTTCGTCTTAGGCTCGGTGACACTGGCCAGAGATCCACGATCAATGGCATCATTGGTACTGATTGGGACCACGACGGAGTCGGCGCCTAGGAACTCACCGACCGTCATGCCGAGAAGATCGCCACCGAAGAAGCGGAGCTTGCCATCCTCGGGAGCTAGAATAAGCGGGCGATCGCTATCGCCATCTGTAGACACGACAGCGTCGAATGTCTGCCCTGTACTGTCGTAAAGATTCTGTACCGTGTCCAACTGTGCTTGATCGATGGCTTCAGTATCAATTGGGACGAATGTATCACTCCGGCCGGCAGAGACGACTTCCGCCCCAAGCGTTTGGAGAATTTCCACGAGAACGTCACGGCCAACGGCGGAGTGCTGGTAGACAAGGAGCCTCTTGCCCTCAAGGGTTTCGCCCTTGAAGAAGTCAGCGTACCGTTGAATGTACGCAGCTCTACCTTCTGGCGCAACTGGAGACAGGTCGGAACGAGCGCTGCGCAGCATGCCGTGCTGGTTGAAGAGCGACTCAGCATAGGGCTGTGATAGCAGCTCCTCGCGGGCGACCTTGACATTATCGTTAATGGGCTGCTCGTCCTTCTTCAGCAGTTCGCCTTTAGAGGTGTTGAGTTTATAACCATTGCGATCGAAGGGAATGTGGCTGCCCGTCACCATAATGCTGCCTTTGCCATGCTTGAGGGCAAAGTAGGTCAGCGCGGGCGTGGGAATTGCGCCGAGATTGATCGGGTGCATGCCAGTATCCTTCAAGGCCTGCTCTACGGCTTGGCAAAGTCCTCCGCGGTTCCCTTCGACATAGGCGGTGGAGCTGGGTCGCAGATCGTATGCGACGTAAAAGTCATCGCCAGCCTTAATTCCACCTTCATTCAGCTCGAGGGATTGGAGATAGCGAATCTCCGCGAGGACATTCGTGTAGATCTCCAGCTGAGTCAAATCGACCACTAAGCCTCGACGACCACTGGTACCGAATTTAAGGGGCACGGGCTGGTAGCTGAGGTGGCTGCGAAGAGCGGAAGAAGTGGCTGCCATTCTCTTGCTTTTTTGTTTTCACCTCCGTTGCGTCTCTCTTGTTGGGTACAGATCGTATGGCTTTGATTTCTTTCGTCGGATGAAAAATCGCGGGGTCCCATTGAATGAAATAAAAAGAAATGAAGCCGTCGAACTGGCCATACGTGTCACGTGCGGCCCCTCCACGCTAAGACCTGATGGTGACCAATAGGGATGCGCCTCGTACACACGAAAACGGAACCACGCCGTTAGGAAAAGATCACGGATTGGGCGTGAAGGAGACGCTAGTGACGCTAGTGCCATCAAGATATTCATAGCTCTTCATCTAAGTCTATAATAGTACAGTTAGCACCTCGTGTCGTTCTAACTAAACTTATACCCCTTTTTTAACCATCTAGGCACCCATAGTGTGGGGGCATATATGGGTCTTGTTAATTTCCATCTGTTTTTGAATTAATTTATGGCCATGTTAGGGAATAGTGGGGGCCTGGTGTTAACAGGATTTATCGAATGAACAGCGTCTGATCTAGAGCTAGGCTACTAGTATCTTATGGGAAGGCTTGAAAGACTGCACATTTACATGCAAATGAGGCACCCTGTGGGGTCAAATTCTGATCTAAGTGAGTACTGTTGATAGATATCAGTCATTTTTTAGCGACGCAAAATGGAGTGATGTCCATTCCTGGACTAGACCCCTATAATCCTTGAGCTGATAAGGCTCAAATATTTCTCCCATGAAACTTTTCTTCCTCTGGGTCTCTAACCCAAGGTCAGACAAAAGCGTGTCAATGAAAGGTAAACTGTCGAAGACAAGGTCGGGGTACTTGCCACCAGATCCTCCACTTGTTCCTGGCCGGCGAAGCTGACCATAGGTACTGTAAAAGGCTGCTTCATGCCTGACTGCCTCCAGGTCAATGTTTTCTGGATTGAGATGTGCCACACATCCATGGAAGAATGCTGTGACCCACAAGCACTGAGCCTGGGCGACCATAGTTGTGTGTATAGAGGCGTGGGCACCGATGAACGCCAAGTTTTTAAGCTTCATGAACGTAGGTTGCCAGGGAACGGATAGCTTATACAGGTCGAAGCTTGTACGGTCTTTTTTGTGCTCTAGATGCTGCGATTCAACCGGAGGTGCATTCGGCTCTCTCCTGGGAAACATCTGCAGAGACGGATGCTGGAAATATATCGACTCAGTAAAGTCCATTCCAGTTGTACAATCTGTTCTTGTTGATCCACCCCTAAAGCATAAGTCTACAGCCACATCGGCAGGCTCAAACCTGACTGAAGGCTGTGCGTTCCATCCAGTACAACACACTATAGTATCTGCATCCAGGATTGTCCCATTGGAGAGATGCACTCTAGACTTAGAGAGGGAGGTCACGTCTGCAATATGAACGTGGACTTTCCCGTCACGAACAAGGTTAAACCAGTTAGACTCGTAGTTATGTATGCTGAGGGAGTTCCCCAACCAAAACGGTGTAATCCATGGTTCGAGCTTCTTCAACTCGGGATGATCATTATAACCATTCAACCTTCTGATAAGGTTATTAAGTTCTGTCCAAAAATAAGATAGCAAGGTTTGACCGATGGGCGTGTGATGTAGAAAGCGCTGTAATGAAGAGAGAGGGCCTACAGCCCCAAGGGGGCTGGGGTCAAAGCAGGTACAGAATCGGGTGGCAGTCAAACGGGAGAGTGATGTTTGAAGGCCAAGAAAGTTGAACGAAACGGGCCAAACAAAACTAGGGCCACCCCCGGACGGTCGGATGATCATGTCGACGTGGGCTCCGGAGTGTGCAGCTTGGTAACAGGCGTCCCAAGCTGACTTGTTTCCTCCAATTACAGCCGTCCTTGTTGAATTCTCGAGCGCCTGTGTTTGTGCTTTGAGCTGTTTAGCATGCAGGATCGTTCCTAGAAATTCGCTTTGGCCCGAAAAGCTCGGCAAGTACGGCTCAGAAGTGAGACCTGTCGCCAGGACGACTTTGTGTGCAAAACATATCTTTGTCAACCGATGGGAGGCACCCAACTCTGCGTCTGTGTCGATGGCGATCTTCCAACGCCCATCATTTTGAAGCTCCATGGAGTCAACCGTGGTTCCAAAGGCAATTCGACGATAAAGGTCGAACCGCTCGGCGAAGCCATGGAAGTATTGGTGAACCACACGTCCGGGTATGTGGTCACCCGGCTTCAGACCATATCTTTCAGGTATCATGGGGAAGTCACTAAACTCGTATGAACCGACAACGTTATTTGTTTTCAGACCGGGATACAGTCGCTCTGCTGCCCATGAACCCCCAACTGACTGAGCGCGGTCGATTATGAGAAGGGTTGCATGCGGGGAGACTTCCAGATACGTCTTGGCCATCAAAAGGCCGTGCAGCCCTAATTAGATGGAGTTAGACCAGACCAGCTTCCTCTGGTTGCTCAATGTACTTTACCTGCTCCGACAATGAGTAATTCAATTTCATTCATATTGCTTTGGATTCAAGATAAAGATAAGAGTGGGGGCAAATTTCGGATTATGAGGCCTTAAATATGATTCTTATGATATTTATACCCAATCTCTATATGTCTTCTATTCGTGGATCATATGCCACTGTGATTCGCTGAATGCCCATACCCGGTACGTACCCGGTACGTATCTTGTGACCTTCGGATAGATTTCAAGGTGTTTCTTCCAACCTCAACATCGCATCGGATAAAAGACATCTTTACGACCGTCTTTCTTTCACGTTTGGTCATTCCATCGTTATGCCTCGACCAAAGGTAGATGAGAGATTTCGGAAGCGCATCGCCAAAGCCTGTACGTATTGTCAAAAAAGTAAGCAAAAATGTGACGGCCTCAAACCGTGCGCCCTATGCGTCAGACGAGACCAATCCGCCAGCTGTGCTTATTCACCACACGTACGGTCTTACGGTCGTAATCGAAGCCGTCAAAATGCTTCTCAGCGTCATCTTCCACCACAAGGGCCAAGGAGAACTATATCAGATGCACATCATCAAACTGATGAGCCCGCAGAGCCAGAGGTTTTAGTCCCTGGTTTATCTCCCATCCTCTCGAATAATCGAGGAGAGGCTGGTACGAGCCTTTTTTTTTTCGCTTTCTCACATTTTGGCCCGAGAGTAGGATACTGACGGGTCACTTACCACCAGTCTACCTTGGGAATTGTGCAGCTTTAGCTTTCCTCCAGAACATCCAGCAGCTGATAGAAGCCGAGGCCGGTCCAACTTCGGATCTTCCTCGTCTTTCCATTTTCGAGGAGGGCCCTCCCACCCAGGAATCTAGCTGCATACCACTTCCCAGCTGCACGGAAAACGAATTGAGTGACCTCGTTGCCACCTTCTTTGTTGCTGTGGGTGATTGATCCATCATCCGTTACTCACACTGACTGGAGCAATGCAGACCTGCGGCGTAATGGATTTGTTTGAGCAGGACCAAATTATGTCCTTCTTAAGCAACTGGGTGAACGATCGAGCCCGGATAGATAATCGCTCACGAGCTGTTCTATGTCTTGTCATCGCCTGCGCAGCCCAAATGCGAAGCACCACCGCAGCTGAGAGGAATATGGCGCAATCTTTCTACCAGCACGGCCGACAGATCGGGTTACTTGAGCTTACGAATGATCCGACCATCGAGACGATTCAGGTATTCGCCTTGATCAGTCTGTATATGCTTGGCTGTTGCTGGCGAAACGGCGCTTCTTTGAACTTAGGAATTGCTATTAGTGCGGCCAAATCGCTCGGATATCATCAGGAGCATGCAGGCTCCGTACTCAATGAGCGGGAACGCCAAAGAAGGTATGCGGAGTTGGATTTAACGGGCGGGTCTAGATATGCTTCTTCAAGCTAACCAGTTGAGACCTCAGGGCCCAGGTGTGGAACACACTTCATTACCATGATTTATTTTTCTCGGCGATGATGGGCCGAAGCTGCTCTACATCAAGTACAGCTGCCAATGCTGACGAAGAGGATCGATTGATCTCCCGAGGGAATGAGGATATACTCAGCCAGACTTTGTCCATGACTGAGTCGCTGCGTGCATTTTTGACTATAGAATCTACGATCAATAAGGTCTACAGCAAGCAAACGATATCCCTGGGTGTATTACAGGGTCTGGCTACTGAGCTACGAGAGAGGAGCCTCGCTTTGCCGAAGTCATTCTGCACTCCTGCTAGTTCTTCGAGAAACGCCAGCTTACAAGATCGACAGTGGAATCTTCGTAATGCTCACGTTACCTGCTCCTACTATTTTGCAATGATGCTACTGACTCGGCCATTTCTTATAACATACTTGAGGGCGAAATTCTCCCTGAGGCCTTCTGAGGCAACTACATGGATTCCGAAGGGTGTTTCCTCTGAAATCTCCGATGGTGCCGCGGCGTGCGTTGATTCTGCAACGTATACCATTCAGCTGCTGCACGAGCTATTAGAAGCAAATGTCTTGTACAAAAACATGCCACTCATAGTGTATGCGACGTGGTTTCCTATCTTATCTCTCCTTTCTGCCTTTCTGCCTTTCTACCCTCTCTCCTCATTCCGAACACCAATGGAGTTTAGAATTGACCATATTTAGGGCGTGGGCGTTCGTCTCGGCGCTTGTTCTAAACGCTGCTCACCTTGGCTGGCTTGATCCCAAGAAACCATTCTTAAAAGTGCTAGATCAAGTAGATGAACTATTTCACCATTTCTTTGAGTGCAGTGCCCAGGCCCGCCGATACCATTTAATTCTGAAGAAGCTTTCCAAAGCTGCGGAAGATCACCGCAAACAGGCGGAGGAGCGAGCGTCCCAGCTTCGCACGGCTTACATTCCACAGCTATTCAGTTTAGGATCGCATGCTACTAATAAAGGTCCCCGTAGCGCTCAGCAGCACTACGGCGGAGCAAGTTCGAGACACCCTGTCGAGATTGACCATTCTGCCCAGAGAGGTCATCACGAGATCAATTCATCTCAAAGCTTCATGGACTTGAGAGGCGATGATAACTCCAGTGCACTTGCATCAAATACACAGCTTCCAAACGAAGCATTGGATCTGATTAGCGATCTGTACCCGGCTTTTTGTGACCCATGCGACCTTTGGCCACAGTTAGATGACTGCTCTAGTATTTGGGACTTGTCCTGGACAGGATCGCTATGAGGGAAGGCTACTTGAAATTGAGTTAATAGATGATGCCGATGTAATTAATCTAGGCATTCTTAAATCTTACGCTATCCCAAGCTCGTTTCGATGGCATTAAAGGTGACACGCGTCAATAAGGAACTATCGGGTACCGGACCGAGCACTGCACGTATCCGTGGTCGCCTTTTATATGTATGTCGCGCCCCGCTTTGACATTCTCGTATTTGTTAAGTAAAGCTGAAGACCCCCATACTTCAGGATTCTACGCTTCCTCGTTCAAAAGTCGGTTCCGCTGCCTATCCTAAGTCATGCCTATGTCCGCTGGAGAAGCTTCTTCTCATCCTAATAAGCTCAAGCTCCTAGAAACTGCCCGTGTATTTCTTGCCGAGGTTGAAAACCTGTAGGCGTCCCTTGACCTATACATAACCTCACATTAACGATATTCTTCCCCAGAACCCCAGGCAAAGATCTGGAAAGATACCTAAATAAAAACTACAGCCCAGGGACCAAGCTCTACGATGAATTCTCTTCCCTAATCCGCCAGGGAATTCAGAACAACGAAGGCTGGGCCGCAGTCGACGAGCTCGACGGCCCCAAATACCGTCGTAGCAAACTCGTATCGCCTAACGCCGACTTCCGCTACTTCAGCATCACAACCGTCTACATGGACAGCGATGTAGAATACTCCGGACAATATCATCAGCACCCATATGGAGAGATCAACTGTGTTATTCCGCTGACACCTGGGGCGGAGTTGAAGGGGATGTCAGGGTGGCAGGGTGCAGGGTGGACGTCGCCGGGGCCAGGGACTCACCATTACCCGCAGGTTAGGGGTGGTGCTGTTGTGGCGCTTTTCTTTTTGCCTGCGGGGAGGATCTCGTATATGGCTACGCCGGATATGCCTCAGCCTGTTTCTATCTGAAGAAGGGAAATATCCCGTCTTTTCGCAGAGACGCAGTACAGTGGTTTCAGAATAAAAGCCCCCGGGCATCAAACTCGGCGGAGCAAGTAACGGCGCAAACTGCAAGGCGTGAGTTTTAAACGTCCTTGATCGTATAGAAGTAGTGGTATCTGTGCTTCCTGTAGACTCCTACTGTATAGCCTAATGAATAGGTAACAAACCGTCACTAGGGACTATACTACTGTCATTCTACCCGTGGTACTATAATTCACAACGCCTTGATTACTGTTGACCACGATCATGCCTAGTGAATAGGGGCTTTGTTAATTCAAGCGAAGCGTTGAATTTTCTTGTCTAGAGGCCCCACATGAAAGCGCCCATGATTCTCACGTACACAGGCACTCTTGATAGTTCTTTAGAACCCTCAATCCCAATCGTTTCCTGATCGTATCTTACAATGTGTACCATATCTTCTACAGTCATGAACCAACGTCCCTAAAACTGTCACAAGTAGGGCCAGGAGAGTGTCAAACCTGCAATCCATGCACTGCGTGCATGACTTGCTCATTGTTCATTCCAGGTCTGAAATTACTAAACAGAATTCCTACCTTTGCGTGTATCATGGTCACAGCGGGGTGAAAAGCAGGATATCTTCAAAGCTCTCAATATTGATCGAACCAAGTTCGACGCTGCGGAAACCTTGCACTTCGATATATTCAACAGACATTGTTAAGGTAGACCTGACCTAGCGCTGAGAGTCTTAGATCTCCTATTCTTTGTGCATGCTTACCTCTGTGGACTTTATAAGTTAGCTGTTATTCTGGGATTGAACTATGGACTGTCTAAAGCGCCCCCATTTCGGTATAGTGACTTATATTGACAAAGATGACAAAAGAGGTAAGTATAGAATACGCAGAAGAGCCGCACCTAGAGAAATAAGCAAGCACGGGAATTGAGATTGAGCCATCGATCTATGCCAACTACTAAGGCAAAGCCTTCGGAGCGAGGTCGGCACCATAACTTGTGGAAGATGTCGTAAACCAATAGTGCGGTACGATTAGAAAACGATCAGATTGTTGATCTCGAGAACTCTCAACCAGTCCTATATAGGTGGAAATAATAGGCGATTATTTGTTGGATATGTTGGTAATTTTCAAGCTTTTTTTGCGTTTTACATCGTTGCTCAGAGAGAAGGAGCCTGGAGGCTCATAATCGCTTCGTCAATATAGATAGAGACCCCCTGCAAGAGCCGCAGAGGGATTTTCTATTCACATATTGGCTAGATCCTCATCCACGATCGGACGAAGTGTGGAGGCCCCGCTGATATCTCTGACTTCGATCAAGACCCTGTAATAGTCTGCCAAGCCCGCTTACTATACACTTGGGGTATTTATGGGTTTATTTCTGCCAACTGTGATACCTTGGTTGCATTGGTATGCCTGGTATAGTGGGTTTGTTTATGCAGAATGTCTCCAACTAGTGTTGGCTTTGTAAATAACCTGATTACGGCGCGAAATTATGTCTTTGTTGCGGTTTCACCCTAGGCGAGGGCTACCATAACTTTCATCATGCTTTCTCGAGTGACTATCGGAATAGCCCGAATTGGTATGATCTCGGCCTGACTAAATGGGTCATATTTAGTGGAGCGGAGATTCAAGAGGTGTGATGGGTGCAACAACTCCGGCGAGCAAGGTACCGGTCATTCAGTGAGACGGGTTCGTGGAGAAGTGCAAGGCAGGGTCGTCTTGGATTGTGATTAATGGTGTAGTATAAGATGTTTCGACGTCCCCTATTCACTGTCACCCTGGAGGAGAGGCTCTCATCTCGGCTGCCTTTGGAAAGGATGCGTCGAATACGTTTAATGGGGAGGAAGGTAAGGTCACTCTCAGATAGCCTCTAATATCCTTTCCTCCATGAAAGTCGCCACAATTCATGGTGGTAGAGAAGAACACTCTCCCCGTTGAGAGCGAGGAGTTGCAATACGAAACGGATATATATTTTTATATAGTCCACTGGATAGAGTGATAGTAGTGATGGATGGAATCACAGAACCCGTCATCAAGCCGTCGTCATCCCGGCGTCCCCGCACCTTCTCTCATCAATCTTCAAAGTCTCTTCCATTTCATCCTTGCAGTTTCGAGAGACTTAACATCATGGACCTACCCGTAAGCCCAGCTTACATGTAAATACATAATCGACCAACACAGTAGGCTTAGATTGAATGCATTCCGAAGGATTACACAACTGATCCTAGAACGGCGCACGGCACCCTTCCAGAGGGGGGGCGCGCGAGCTGCAACTACAAAAGTTGACCTCAGCTCATCTGCAACCACGATATCGGCCGTCGTCAACCTCCAGGGACAATATCAGGAAGGCACGTTACATTGCACCGTGATTTTACCTTGCTCCTCATAACTATCTCTCGGCCATCCTCGATTTCGCATCTTCCTCTCGTTTTCTGGCTTTTTCAGCTCTCTCTGCTTTCCTTGCCTTTGCGTCTTCCTCTAGTTTCCTGGCCTTTCGGCTCTCTCGGCCTTTCTTACTTTTTCGTCTTCCTCTTGCTTCCTAGCCTTTTCAGCTCTTTCGGCCTTCCTTAACCTGGCCTTTGCCTTCTCTTGTTGATCTTGATGCCGACGCATACACTCTGCCTTTTTTGAAGCCTCGTAGTCCTCAGCCATCTGTACTATATTATTAGATCTTTTTTGTGCAGCTCGCTTCTGATCTTCAATAGCTCGTTTCAAGTTCATTTCTTTTTGTTCCCTTCTCGAAGGATTTTCCGTGTCCTTCTGCATTGATTGAGTTATTGAAATATCGCGAAATACCATATTGGCCCATATATTGTTGTCGGTCTCCCAAATTGTTTCAATAAGGCAGTTCAACTTCACTCAGATTCGTTATTTTGGTCCCTTGATCCCAGCAGGGTCAGAAGACTCTCTACTCACAGGATCATTGAACAAATTGCGGAACTCTTGGCCTCCTAATCTTTGTAGAAGCCTCAACACGTCAAGAGTTATTTTTGCATATCTTCTGAGCGTGCTGGTGTTCAGTGCTACCCGGTGTACGGCAAAATTTCGAATCTGACGGATTTCCTGTAATTTGGTACAGAATGACTCTCGCTCCTCCTCAGAGATACCATGGCTTTTAAAGGTACGTTTATGGTGAAAGCAAAAATGTTCTGTAATCTTCTCAGTGAGCCTGGTAAGCTCTGCAGCCTCAGGACAAGTCCAATGACATTCACTTAGAAGTTGTGGCGCATTAGCTCTGCAAAAATGGTAAAGAAAATATTCCAACCGATTTTGCCACCTGCATAAAGTCGGTAACTAACAAGGAATCTACAATATTAGCGGCATATTTTATATGTATTCTCTGCTGACTTGGATATTTTACCTGCTCTCTTCGTTGCCAAGAACTGCAACATCGCCAGTTGCAGTAAGAATCGGCTCCATAGTATAGGATTTCAAATTATCGCAGAGCTCACCTCCAAAAATTGTCATTGCAAAAGTGTGTGGTAATATATTCTCAAAGCTATTAAACTTCATTTTTGTCAATATGATGTATGCTTGGCGGAACCTTGGAACCAATTTCACATAACCTTGGCCTTGTAGTACCCATTAGATGTGAGCGAAAGTTACGGAGTGGTGGGTGTAGTTGGTTAGTGCATATTGGGCATTTTCATGGGCATGTGGACCAATTTATATAAGAGATCAACTCCTATTACGGGAAGCTGTGCTCACGAAGCAATGTGAAAAAGTGAATAAGGTATAGCCTTTGACAAAAATAGGTGCCATTTTCGACAACGTACAAATACCAATATATTGCTATCTATATAAGAAGAATCCATGTGTGGGAGAGATACTGCGCTTGATAGTAAGCATGAATTTAATGAATGGAGATAAAGGTTTCCTTAACCTATCTTGTTTAATAGGTCTTGACATATTATGCACAGGTTAGGGTTTCAGTTAAATATAGCTACATAATACTTAGTAAGTATATTTCAGTTAACTTCACTACTGGTGGTTATATTTCCGCAATATATCTGCTTCTGGGCTTCTAGGGCTATGGGGCTATCGCGAAAAGCAATATGGCAAGATCACTCTGTATCCCCGCCCATATCCGCCTATTCATGCCTATTTTAGCTCATATCTGCTGAAGGTTATATATTTCGGTTCACTTTATGATTTTCTATTATTCCATATTCTTGCCTATACTTGCTTGATCATGCCCACTTTAGCACATTTTAATCTATCTAATAGTATTTGTTATGCCGAGAGGCTTAATTGGATTAATATATATGACTTTCTAGATAGTTGTATAACTGTATATCCATGAAGATATAAGGCTAAGATAAATTTAGATTTACTATATATTCCTTCAAACCACAGATCTAATTCTTTAACAGTATTGGAGCTTTTTACTTTCTTATAATAATATTGCTTTCTGGAGCAAGATTTCCTTGTATTTAATAATTCTACTATAGTTAAGGTATCTCCGCCCCAGTCGATACTGCTCAGAAGGCTTGACAGGCTGGGATAATTATGGACATGATATGAATAATCATTCTGGTGCTGCTAGTGTCAATCAAGTCAAGCCGCAGAGTGGGGAGTATCAGACCCTAACGCTATTGTTCTATAGAAAGGACCAGCCAAATCTACTGGTGTTGGCAGAGAGACAAAAGTATAATTTATTACCTAAAGTATCTAGCTATTTATCAGCTCCTATAACTTGGCCTATTAAGCCAGCTTTGGCTATAGATTTAACAGAAGACGGCACTATTTATCATCTCTGAGTATCTACATATATCTTCACCTGGCCATCTCATAATCCCTGTTTGGAAACCGATTGCCGCGATAGAACAAACAACCTCTTTTAATCTCGTGTCCTTCTACTCTAGCGTCCTTCAAGATAGTAAACCCGGATATTGGGAGGGTCCCGGGGATCGTGTTGATAGGAGCGATAAGACATTGAAAGATGCTCTTGGGCGAGAAGATTTCGAAGAAACGGGACTGCAACTGTCAAGGATTGTCCATTTTCCCCCTATCCAAAAATGAAGAACTGTCCGAAGCAACAAGATACACGAATGGATTGGCTTTTCATGTATTATTGCGGTATCTCAGTCGGAAGTAGAATGGGAGAAAATGATAAAACTGAACCCTGAGGAGCATCAGTCATCTGAATGGGTAACAGAGGATGAGATGAAAGGTGAAAAGTACAAGCTGTACGGCGAATATCAGAGGCAGATCCTCAAGGCCTTTTCTGTGATATGAGAGAGGTGAAGGATGTGCTTTCTAGCCAGTGAAGCAAGACGTAGTGAATCTGCAATATTGCTCTCAGTGTTGCTTTATTTCTCAGTGTTACTATTCTAGTGGCCTTATATAGTCTTTCTTGTCTTTCTTGATCTTTCTCTTCTCCATCAATACCTTGCTCATCTACCATTGACATTTTATCTTGTTGCTTGCTGCTGTGCAGTTCCTCTGGTGAGTATTTTTACTAGCTACCTGGTGTGTCTTCACGCGTCTTGATCTGTGCAAGGTATCCTGGGTATTCTATTTACTGATTCGGGTGATTCTTCAGTGCTCATAATGGCCGATGATACTCCACGTGTTTCTGCCTCCAGCTGTCTTGTCAGCAGTAAGTACAGCCAGTTGTTTGTTGCCTTGGTTTATTTTAACTCTGTGCGTGTCTTTCTAGTCGATGTCGGAAACCTTATCAACAGTATTGGTCACCACCTTGATCTGGCCTACGGGAAACTTCAAGCCGTAAAGAATAACCTGTACCTTGAGGGCCCCCTTCGGGACGATCCTGGCGCCCGCCTCCCTCCTGCCGAGAAGTACTCAGCCCTTGATACTGGCTACAATAATCTCGATGGTCTCGTTTACTCCCTTGAAGACGATCTCGAGAACATCAAGGCCGCCATGAATCTTATGAGAAACGGTTGAGCGTTGTGCTGGGCTTCCAGGGAAAAGAGCCGAGGAGAAGCCTGCCCTTGGGACTCCCAGGCCTGCTTTACCTCCGGGTTAAACAGGGAGCGTTTTCGTCTCCTCGAAATACCGTCGCCGGACCTGGTTCGTATCTTGCTTTTAGTTAGTTAAAAGGTATCGTTTCAAGGCATCCGCGTGCGACAACGCGCCTCACCAGTATACATTTGTGCAAAGAATTGGTCATTATTTCTGTGCAATTATTGCGGTGGGCTCTTTTTATTTCATTGGTTGTTCCTCGAACTCCGAAAATAACCTAGCTCTATGCTTTTCCTACCCAATCTTATCCTTCAGTGTTGTGCTCAATGTCTCTGAAGTATTCCTATATTGCATACAATATGATTTCAATTCCATCTGATACGATATCACTCGAGAGCCAAATGTTTACAATCAACAATACGGGAAGAGGTACGGCTTACTTAGTGGATGATAGGAGATCATTCAATGAACATGGAGGCAAAGCTTAGCCTACAAACGACACTAATGTATGTTCTGTGGCTGAGCCGAACACTACTGAAAGGTAGCCTTCCCATTTTCCGACATCAGCTGACCGTAGCAAGGCTCCCCATGCGCCTAATAGAATCAAGGTGAAGACTAGAGGAAAGAAGCACTCCGAAAAGATATACCACCACCACATACCTGCACGACATATCACGGCCAAGATTTGAACCACTCTGAATTGCCCATCCGTTATTTCTACCAAATACGTCCTAGAACTATTTTTTAAGCAACCACAATATTCGCAGAGCCTATCTAATACTACACTGCTAGCATGCTATGCACAACCTGTCACCAAATATTTTCCGGGGCATGTAGCTACAGGACTTCTGTGCACCACCCCTATCTCCATGAATTAATGCATGCAGCTTTTGAAAATTGCTATATATGTCGGGTCTTGTGGAAGGCGGTTTCTGATAAACCCACTCGGCGGTCTGAAGGCTTGGGAAAACTATCTTCCAAGCCAGTTTCACGCTATTACATTCGCCGCCAATCTGCCGGTGGGGAATCCTGCATTATGGAGCTAAGTTTTACCGTTAACGAGACCGGCATTGATAATTGGGGTCATGTGGTTTCTTTCTGCCTACAGAGCATGAATGGTAAGCTAACTACATGAGCCATTACTAGTAACAATGTATTGACATATTATTAGATGCTAGAAAACACATCGATACCAATGGGTCTCACAGTCCCAATACTTGGGCAGCTAGCATGCTGACCGCATCGAAATGGTTGTCCAGATGCTTAGATAGCCATGATAAGTGCCGGTCATCTCCACTGTCAGGCTACACTCCCACACGTCTTATCCAGATAGGGCGACCGAGTGTCGACAAAATTCGATTATTGCCTCATCCCAATATAGAAGGAACTGTGCTTCAGTATGCGACGCTCAGTCATTGTTGGGGAACTTCAAAGCCCTCCAACTTCTCGATGTTAACATCAAGTTCACTGGAGGATTTGCTGGAGGGTATCGGTATCTCAGAGCTGGATCAGGTATTTCAAGATGCCGTGTTTACAGCTCGATCGCTTGGTCTCCATTATCTCTGGATAGATTCATTGTGCATATTCCAAGACTCCACAGTCGACTGGGAACGAGAAGCACCTCTCATGAGCCATGTATACGGGGGAGCAGCTCTGAATATAGCAGCGAGTATAGCAGCAGCACGTGACATCACCTGCTTTCCCAAAAGAGATCCATCATTGATCGAGCCATGCATTATAAAGTCCGCCTGGAGTGGCTGTGAGAATAACGTGTATAATCTATACTATAATGGCTTCTGCGATGCCACTTTTAAGGATCTGTCTTTGATGAAACGGGCGTGGGTAATCCAGGAACTTCTACTGGCGCCAAGGGTACTTCATTTAACGGGAAGACAGCTGTTCTGGGAATGCTATGAATTGAGCGCCTGTGAAACGTATCCAGGTGGTTCACCGCCAAACATTCACCAGCAGTCTATGACGAGGGATGCCTTATGGAGCGTTTTGGATAGTGCCAGGAGCAGTCCGGACATCATGGGAATAGCCACAACAGCTCAAACAGTTGATACCATGAGAAAGCTGTGGAAAGAAATTGTGAAAGTCTACACAACAGCCCGGTTGACATATACAACAGACAAACTCATAGCTCTCTCTGGGATTTCAAAGATTATGGAACGGGCCCTTCGCGACAAGTATTGTGCTGGCTTATGGAGGACATCTCTTATCACTGACTTATTCTGGTTTGGTCCAGCAAACAGACGAGAACTATATCCGCGTCCCAGCCCCTACCGCGCACCGTCATGGTCATGGGCCGGCTTAGATGGTCGAGTGTCTTTATCACTTGTGACCGATGAACAGACCCAAAATGTGAAGCCATTGATAGACATACTTATCTGTAAAGTCCACACCGCTACAGATGACCCCTTTGGAGCTGTTACAGGTGGTGTTTTACGACTCTCTGGACGGCTGGCAACGATCCAGCTTGACCCAGACTCTAATAATGGGTGGCTTGTTTTCTTCGATGGTACCTGGTGGAGTGATAGAGTAGGCCTTTTCATCCGCCTCGATTGTGCTCTTTCGACACATCAACTTCATTGTCTACCGCTTTTTCTTGATAATCACCAGTTGCCAATATGGAATGTGTCGTGTCTTTTACTTGAGCCTACTGGTGACCTTAAAGGCCAGTTTAGGCGGGTTGGTGCTCTTAATGCCTTCTCTGGAGCACTGGGTATGCAGTCCTGGACAAATTTTGAGGATAAGAAGAACGAAGACTGGCTTGAATATGAGGCTAGGGACGATGATGGTAGATATGTGGTCTCTATCTTGTGAATGTTATATACAAAACCAACTTCAATGAAGCCCTAGCTTATCGTTTCTTCCTTTTCATCGTTTCAGGGCCTACAGGGCCCGCAGCGCGCGCCTTTTCAGTTTAATAATAGATGCTTTACAGTATTACTGATACTGTTGTGATTGGTTCAGCTGGACCTCCCCTGCTTCTCCAAAATTAGTTTAGCATTTTAATTCGCACACCGAGAAATCTCGTGACCCTCCGACAACCGATGACTGGATTGTTCAATTGCTGAAGAGGACCTCTTGAATATTAGAGTTTTGGACCCCGATGATTTTCTCCCGCTTCTAGATGTGAGAATCAATGGCAGTGCCCCTCTGTTATGTTCACAACCTCATATTTGAGGAAGCCTTTGACAAGTCCAATGGTTCTGCTTAGTCTGTATGGGTGAAAGCACTAGCCGAATCCACGGTCGCAAGACGAAGCCGTTCTCTTGACGAATCTATATTCATATATGTACAGCATAGGGTCCACTTTATCGCTTTCTAATCCTTCTGATAGCTTGCAACTGTGTATATAGTATCGATCTAGAGAACAACCGGACACCCACCCCGACACTACCGACGAATGATAGCATAAGGGACTACAGTATCGGCAAGTAAAGACTTACCCAGTACGGAGACCGGGAAAGCCAGAAACCGAGCAGGAATGTCTGTGTCTTTTGAAAACATAGTGGGTCACCATTAAGTTGTGAACACACATACTCGCAGAACTTACTAGGTAGTGTGGGGGTCAGGCCGCTTCGGCGTCAAAAGCCAATAGGAATGTCCTTCACTTCTGCGGCAACGCGATACTGGAACTACTTGCCCGTTTGATATCTGCTTAGTTGGAGGTCTGTCGGGCTCAATTTTGATCGCATTTAGCCCTTCTTAGTGAGTGAGGTTGAGATAGTGATATAGAGAGCTAGACGCGTGCTTTATTTCCAGGTGTATCTGGTGACAATTCTGCATCGTGACAAGAGGTACCGTGTTTAAAGACGGGCCTTCTGACAGACATACCGTAGAGAGATCAGGATACGAGCACAGGGTCGCTCACTAGGAAGGTCAGCGACCGTGGTTCACTTCGCTCTTCAATACGATTCTTAGGTCCCAACAATTTGCCCTAAGATCTGTTCAAAAATGCCTTCCGAATGGAGGTACTCTACTGGGTCCTGGCTATTGGTAAAGATAGATTGTATATGGAACGTTACTTTTGTATATATCAGTTCGTGAAGGCATTTGACTGAGGACGATTAGTCCCGATTTCTGCACTCACAATTGAATACATCGCTCAGGCCGCATTGCCCAAAGTATGAGCATTATACGTACAAAGAGCGTCGCTTATTCAAATAGATGTTCTAAATCCTTGAAGCGACTTGCATCCAATGAGCTTCGGTACCAATGTTGTTGAGGTCACGGTAGTGATCCCCTTTCAGGAAACCTCCTTGCCACTCAAACCGTACCCGTGGATATCACCATGTCAAGTCTACCTACCGATCGATTAGAATGCCACCTCAACCACGGTACTGGAATGACAGCTTCACTAGAGGCTTTGACTGGCGATAACCAGAACTCATAGATCAGACTTGGAAATGATGTCAGCGTGGCTCGACACTCCAAACTCTCTTATAAAGACCACCTGCCCCCAGGAATACGTTTCCATCGCTGAATAAAACATTTAACCCGAACGAATACTTGCTGATCGGTCGCTAAAAAACTACCCAACATGTACCAACAAATCATTGGACGATCGAGTCAACGGATGGGCAACGCGGCCAAAAGAATTGGATCAGTGCGTGATACCGCACCGTTTTTGGACAATCTCTAACTAACCGAATTTGCAGCCTACCCAGTCCGATGACTCTTCAAACCGCACACAGATCAACTCGTCTTTATTGCGTCGACAGGGACCCGCTTGGCTTGTCGCCGGGGGTGGAATGGGTGCGACTTTGGAAGGGGTCTATTTGATGCTACGTTCGTTCCGGCGGCTGAGATATATCTGAACTCGTTCGTCGATGTTGCGATACCCTCACCACGTCTCTTTACGAGGCACTAATTCCACATAAAATCGCCCTGGCAATTACGGGTATTGATATGGTTCCACTTCATTTCATCTGCGTGATTCAGCTTGCAAGACTATAGCTATAGTACACATTTTCGCGTCCTTCCAGGCTTGTTGTGCCCACGAGCGAAAAATTGGAAAATGTCGTGAATAAGTGGAGCTCTCATGTCGTCTTACAATATGGCTGTTAATACGGTTTCTAAACGAAGATATTACATTGATACTCGTAATGATCCCACTCACTCGAGTATCGACCTCCTTTAGCTGCTGTATCAATAAAGTCAAATAACTGAACTTCTATCCGCGTGACCATATCCTAGACTAGAAAGTGACAGGCACCCTTCACTGTTCTGAGTCTCTCTACAGGGAAGGCAGAACATTAAGACATACATAGTATGTATATAACACCAAGTGGACCTTAGTCCACTTGGTGAATGTACCATATTGCCATTCACCACCTGAGCAGGTCAGGGACTCGGGACCAAATCTAAGGTCCGTTAAAGGGGGACATGGCCGGTGTTCAAAGCACAGCTGGGAATTCCAGTACGGAGATGCCTCCTTTACCATTGAAGGGCATTTCCAATCCACTATTTTTTTGCTTTTGCATTTCTCAGTGTCGATCACTCCACTAGTCTGGTCCCAGCAGACCCCGAAGAACAAACAAGGTGTCAGACAATATCCGAAGGCACGATTACAGCATCTACCTGTGGGTGGAGCGACAACCGCTGCTCTTCCTCCCCATGGAGCTTCGGCTGCCGCATAGGATGTCATCATGAGACATGGCCAACCGGCCTGGCAAATTCTGTATCCTGCTACGTCGGCCATGGCCTAGCCGCTGAGTAGCAGGGCAATTGGCAGTAATACCCACTTGCTGTTCACGGGTAAATGGGTAGACTTCTGTTGCAGATCTCCTCTACTAGCCCTGTACATTATCAACCTCGGTAACTCCCGGCAATGGAATAAAGCCCGACGCCTTGGTAGGCTATAGTGGATAATTTGAATTAACCAGAATACACCATCGGTCTCAAATTGGAGAATTTGGCTGCTTAAATGGGTTGTTTCAGCAGCCCAGATGTTTCAAGGCCCTCACGATCATGTAACTCCGCCGTGCACTTTTAAATAACCCTTGCTACTTGACAGGGTCTAGAACGCGAAGGGTATTCCCGTGCCGTGGCAGGGAGATGCAAAAAAAAGCCCCGTCTTATCTTGGCCTAATCTCATCGTCTTGGCGTGGTGAGATTCGGCCTTGATGGTAATGCTTAAGTCAACTTTCGGATTACTTCATTTCGCCTCAGCCAATCCAGATATTTTTTTTTTTTTTTCCCTTGGATGGTTTGATAGAAGGACCCCCCGATCAGATTAGGCAAGTGAACTTAAACACATCTATGATCCGTCAGTTTCGTATTCCTTTGATTGCAGGAGTAATAGCCGCTTAACAGACAGGGTATCCCGATGCAGCAGGTCTGACATGAAGTACTGGCGGTTTGGTCCATGTGTTAGTCAAATGTCGTCCTACTACCATGAGCTTAGCAGGAGCTCTGACGAAAAGTAGACCTGAAACAAGAGCCGGAAGAATTCAGCATATGGCAGTGTGGACCGATGGATAGTACCCACATAGTAACTAGCTTAGACCCGCATCGGGCCAACAGGGGACAAAACACGTCCACTACGAGTCAAGAATCTGCTTCCAGTACTGCTGTCTCCGGGTAAATGTGGGTTGTAATCAATGACATGAAACGAAAATCCATACCGTATTTTGAAGGAATTATTCCAAAAGCCCTAGACTATAGCCACAAGCCTTGATTGCTGAAACAATAAACTCCAATTTAGCCATTTAGCTGTTTCGGATAGACATTCAGAACCTCATTGGGATAGTTATAAAGGGGATTCCGTTTCCTGCCATTACCACCAGATAACAACGATCATCAACCGCACGTTTTCAATCCCCGCAAAACAACCAGGACAACACCGCCACCATGGTCAGCTTCTCGTCTCTCCTTCTTGCAGTTTCCGCTGTTTCTGGCGCTTTGGCTGCCCCCGGCGATAGCACTATGGTCGAGATGGCCAAGCGTGCTATCACCTCCTCTCAGACTGGTACCAACAACGGCTACTACTACTCCTTCTGGACCAACGGCGGTGGTGATGTACAATACACCAACGGCAACGGCGGCCAGTACAGCGTCAAGTGGAACAACTGCGACAACTTCGTTGCCGGAAAGGGATGGAACCCCGGCAGTGCCCGGTATGGATCACGCAGCTTCTGAACGGGGTCCAAAATGGCTAACATTAATGAGCATGTAGTACCGTCACCTACAGCGGCAACTGGGAGAGCAACAGTAACAGCTACGTCTCCCTCTACGGCTGGACCAAGAACCCTCTGGTTGAATACTACATTGTCGAGAAGTTCGGCGACTACGATCCCTCCACCGGTGCTACCGAGCTCGGCACCGTCGAGAGTGACGGGGCAACCTACAAGATTTACAAAACTACCCGCACGAATGCTCCTTCTATCGAGGGCACCTCGACCTTCGACCAGTACTGGTCCGTCCGCCAGGGCGGCCGCGTTGGTGGTACTATCAATACTCAAAACCACTTCAACGCCTGGGCCAAGGCGGGTCTTAAGCTGGGTGAGCACAACTACCAGATCCTGGCCACGGAGGGCTACAAGAGCAGCGGATCTGCCACCATCACTGTTCAGTAAAGGGTTTCGTTCCAATGCTTGGGACAAGGTTTTCCTTTACCGTGACCTTGCGGACCTTTGGTCCCTCATTGGGGTTTAGCAGTTCTATTTTCTTCATTGATAGCCCAAGTCCTGTCTTGGGGGTTCTTACAGCTACGCTTGAGTACATAGTCACATTCGCCGCCGGGGCATTATTAGTGAAAACATTCCGCGGCCAGACTTGCCACTAATTTTCTCATATCCCAAGCATGTAGGACTAAATCGTCAGGTAGTTGAACCGCAATTTCCTACCTCTAAATGATAAGTAAAGTCTGAGCTGTTCCAAAGCACCCCAACATGCTGGAAACCATGCACGATGCTCAGTTTGGGTTAGATGGGCTACCAAGGGTACACCCATGCAACAGTCCGCATTCGCGGTAAAGAGGTTGACAAGTCGATTTGGACACAGCAAGGCGATAGCAGATCAACCCAGTGCGTGCACATACAGAGTTTGCGCCGGGGTTGATTGTCGCATATCCCGAAGCCAAAGTTATGTTGACGCATCGTGTCGTAGCTTCTGCGCTGTACATCGCTCGCTATCCCCTAGAATATGCAATCGGTTGTTGTTTGGGCTCGTTGTCCGTCTATATTGGCATGCAGAATAGCATCAGGGTGTCTGTTATCCTTCTTCGGCTGCCCTTGAGTACATACATAGCGGTATATCAATATACGAGCAACCTAGGGCAACAGTTAGAGGGCTAACCCAATTGTATCAGCCGCTAGTATGCACTGTAGAGCATTCTGGGAGCCTCTCCGTCAATGAATCTCTTTTCCTAGGTTTCTTTGAAGTGCGACCGTAGGCTCTTTGACCTATATTCCTGCAGGAGGTTGTTCCGCCCAATGAGTTTTGTCCCCGGAAAGGCAGCCTTCACAAACCTGTTGATGCTGAGGTTATCATCTGACAATCCATTTCACATTAATGCACGACCTTGCTGTCACTGTGGCTTGCGTTACGCGTTATATCACTCGTGTGACGTACGGGCAGCGGTCCCGATATACACTATATCGTTCAACGTTTATAGCCGAGCAAAAGACTACCAGGTGGCAGGTGAGGCTCTAAGAAAGTGTGAAATCATTGTTAATGTTCTTTTTGAATTTTATATATTTCTTTTATGTTTTCTTCTCAGTCAGGCGGCGACGACTCCAACAAGGCTCCATAACGACACCATCACTTTCGCGACCCTAGAAAATACAATTGATCTGAATGGCCCTAGACTATACCTGTTAGGTAGATCATAGCAGATACACGATCTTCCATGTTTATCAGCATCTACTGTTGCTGGGAGCAGGAACATGATTGAACGTGGCTTGACATTCTTCCAGCTAGAACTAGGGGAGACCCCCACAAGACCCTTTGCTTTTTCTCCTTCTTGAGAAGGCTGCTCGCTCTCTTATCGAGATCTGACTCCCAAGAAAGAAATACAACGACAAGGATGGGTCCGATGCATGAAACTAGTATCTTATTTGCCGAATTATATTACCAACTCGAGAGGGTAAGGGTGGGGCATGACATGAATCTGTTCCTTCTCACCGATATTTTGAGAATGACTTAATGAAAATATCACGATTTCCACTGTTATAAAATGCACATTATCTTTCTCACGAAGTTCAAACCGGGCTAATCCATTCGCACTTATCCACGGAGTACTACTAGTAGTATAGCTAGCTTACCGATAGACAAATCGGAATGCTGACTCCAACTCACTAGAATACATAACCCCGATCAACCACAATCCTTCCACTACCAAGCTCCCAACATCACACCAAATCTCACGCCTATCTTACCCAAACCACCCCAGATATTAATCACAGGAGAGAACATGGGGTAATTGGCACTCATGGGTCCACGCGTTACCGGTCAGCTCAATCCGGGGTATCCGCAATAGTATGGGGAACTTCTCCGCATTCTCGGTGCGATGATCCCCCGAGCTCACCTACACAAAGTCTGGGGAGTCGCCAAGAGTGAACCCAACGGTCGAATGAGATCAATAATGGAACACATGCTATGTGGGGACCCCGGAATTGCCCTCGGGGTGAAAGACCACGGATACCAGCTATGGAGATCTGGGCCGCGGGGAGGCGTATAGGCGTTTTGGGAGGGTATTAGAGCTTCGGAGTCCCGTTGAGGTTGAGCCGGTTTGTTCGTTGAGTTAATTATATCCTATTATTATTCTAGACTATCGCGATACACAGACGCTGACACGATGAGGCTCTGGAAACATGATTTTAGAGGCAAGGCCCTGATTACTGCCATTACGATGGCGTCTTGTCAGGCGTTCTTGCTCTTGGGGTTTGATCAAGGTAAGAACGTAACTGCCGCGAAAGCAATTGAATGTACGACTAACAACTGTAGGCGTCATGGCAGGACTCGTAGGTGCGGATAACCGGTTCGGTAGGGACTTCAACCATCCCGATGCCGATATGCAGGGCAACATCACGGCTCTATACGATATCGGGTGTGTCGTTGGATCAATTGTCTGCTACTTTATCGGAGAGCGAATGGGTCGTCGGACTATGCTTATGCTTGGCGGCTTTATCATGGTGATCGGAGCCATTATCCTCGCCACTTCAGAGACTGTCGCCCAGTTGATCGCCGGCCGCATCATCACGGGAATCGGCAACGGCATGAACTCTTCAACTGCGCCGGTATATCAGAGTGAATGCTCGCCCGCGGCATACCGCGGTGCATTGTTAACCCTGCAGGGCACGGTAACCATTCTAGGCGTTGTCATCGCCTATTGGTATGTCTCTGTTCCTTTCAGCACTCCAAACAACCTACACCTAATACTGACCCTTCCAAAAAATAGGATGGACTACGGCACTAGCTTCACAGAATCCTCCTTCCAATGGCGCTTCCCCCTCGCCTTCCAAGCCCTCTTCGCCATCCTCCTCATCCTCCAAATAATCGGGCTCCCGGAAACCCCCCGCTGGCTCGTCCAACACGACCGCCACGAAGAAGCCCGCGCGGTCGTCTCCGCAATTGAAGACCGCCCCCTCTCCGACCCCCTCGTTACAAAAACCATCCTTGACATCCAAGTCGGGCTCGAAGAAGAACACAAAGACGGCCCATTCCACTTCCGCGAACTCTTCACTTGGGGCGAAGTGCAAAACCTCCGTCGAATGCTAATAACCATTACCATTGAACTAGGGCAACAATTCACCGGCTCAAACATGATAAACTACTACGGACCCGTGATGTTCCAAGAAACGATGGGGATGAGCCGTAATCTGGCCATGATATTGGGCGGATGTATCCAGTGCACGTATCTGGTTGGCTCGGCGATCCCGGTGTTTCTGATGGATCGGTTCGGGCGAAGGTCGCTGTTGATTGTTTGTTCGATAGGACTGTGCTTGTGTTTTGTTATGGTATCGATTTTGCTTTCGCTGGGGCGCACAGACTGTGCATATGGGGCTACGGCATTCATCTTTATATTTCAGATATTTTATGGTGTGGGCTGGCTTCCTGTGCCGTGGTTTTATCCGGCTGAGATTAATACTACCCGGGTGCGGACGAGGATGGCGGCTATTGCGTCCGGTTGGAATTGGATGGCCGTTTTTGCTGTAGTTAAGATTACGCCGATTGCTTTTCGTAAGTGATGATTCTTTCTACTGTGATGAGCGTGGCTAACTGATGAAGAAAATATCGGGTGGAAGACGTTTGTGATCTTCGCTGTGCTGAACGCGGCCTTTATTCCTATGGTGTATTTCTTCTATCCAGAGACGAAAGGATTGGAACTCGAGGATATTCCATTGCTGTTTGCCAAGGGAGGCATTACTGGCGGCGTGTTTAGTTCGAAAGGTGGGAGGACGGTTATGCCAGGGCAGCATGCTCAGGAGAGACGGGTTGATGAGAAAGTCGAAAGGATGGTGGAACAAGTGGAGGATGTGAGGTGAAAACTATCTAGTCAACAACTTGGGCATGGGATAGAGGCTGTGCATCTAAAATGATCTTACGCTTCCACGACTGCACTTCTACCTAGAATAGTCCTGCGATGGACAATAATCTTTTATACCCATCCACAGATCCACTAAACTTCAATAGATATTATTAGAGGACTACATTAATTTTATACCTAAAATACCACAACCAACCAACCTATAAAGAACAATTTATACACAACACCAACCTCCCGTACACAAAACATTCTGACCCAACATCGCTAACATCAATTCGAACACCGACCCCCTCAAGACTATCACATCTCATCAATCTTTGGATCCATATTCTCCGGCTGCAACATCTTCTCCAACTCCTCGCGCGAAGTAAACTGTTGCATCTGGATCTCACCGCGGTCAGCCTTGACCTATTCCATTAATCAGCCTCTCATCTTATATGACGCCAAGTAAAAGATCGTAAGAAACCCACAGAAGCTTCACTCAATGTAGCATGCATCTCATCCCAGGAGGAAGTAGGCACGCCACGCTTCTCTGTGAGAGTGGGAGACTCGAAGTCATCTGGGAAGGAGGCGGCGATGAAGACTGGTCCTGGATTTTAGTTCCTTCTCTTTTATTCCTACTCACGGGATGGAGGTTGGGGTAGAGGATGTAGGGAACGTACATTCTTGGTTCTTCGAACTGTACGCCTCGGGATGGGCCTGGATCTGATATGTTCTTGTTAAGGTTGTAGTCCTCAGCAGGGGACGGGAGCGCATGAGGGTATTTCGAAGCATATTTAGAGATATTGTGGTTTTGTATGATTGGGAGAGACTTTTAGACTATGGATTATCAAAGAATACGAAGAATAAAGGCGTTGTGGTGCTTATAAAGAGGGGAAGCTTGCGTAATGATGTCAGTGGCCAGAGGATTACCGGATTGGGTAATGCCCTCGTCTAACCCGCGTTGAAGGATGTCATACATGCAAGGTTGAGGAGTTTCCGACGAACCATGGTCGGCAGATTATTTTAGGTGCAGTGACTGGTTTCATAAGCAAAGTCTGGACTGTGTTCGATGAAGGGGGTCACGCCACGCGGGATCTAGGTTCGAGGGTATCATGCTAATTACTCCAACAATGTTTACGATAGTTGGGGGAGCGGTAGATAGGTTTAGTAACTGTACATTTCGTATAACAGGTGAGCTATTCCCATATCTCATGATCTATACATTAATCGTACACGGTTGTGGTAACATCGTAAATCAGACGGCTTTTGTCAAGGATTAAGACAGCAGACTCAGTTCAATCCCATGCAGCTGGCATAATAGGTAACTGTCGCAGGCCAATCCGAGAAGATACCGCGGACGCCAACCTTCTGTGCCAAGGCGTCGACAATGCGATACATGTCACCGTCTCCCTTGATGGTCGACGCAAATGACTTGACGAAGTAATTGTCTTCGGCGGCAGCTTGCGCCAAGGGAGGGAACCGCTCCAGGGACCAGGTGATGATGTCGAGCCCGGCCTTCTTGGCAGTGACGGCATACTCGGAGGGCACGATCTCGCCGCCTTCAGTGGCATTCAGGAGTGCGGAGATCGGAGGAGCCATGATCTTCACACCCTTCTTGGCGAGCTCGGGAAGGCTGGCGACTGCCGCTTCGTATCCCACGTCGGTGTCCATACGCTCGTCGAGGTAGATGGCTTGCTTGCCGAAGGCAGGCTCATGCTGGAGCCAATAGAAAATATCCTTATCGAGGAAGGACTGGGGCCACACGCGAGAGGGGTTGATGTGAGCACGCTTGTAGTCGTCGATGAGCTGCTGGGCGTACATCTCCTGGGTGTAGTTACCCTGGAAGGGCATGGGCACCTCAGGGGTCTTGAGCTCGGGTGAGAACTGCAGGCCCAGGGACTCGATCAGGTCGATGTACTCGTGGTGTGCCATGGGAGTGGCACAGGTGTCATAGAGCTCCGTGCGCCAGGCCGGTCCTCCATACTGGTACTCCTCTGGGGTCGTCGCCGACGAGTTACTGGAATCCATCTTGGCGCAGAGAGACTTGAAATCAGCCAGTGTGATGTCCGCGGTGCAGCACTTGGCCTTGGCTGGGGTAGTGTCCGTCGCGGGCTGGAAGGGGACAGTGCACTTGGCCGCCAGCTCCGGGATGGTCAGGATGTTGGTGGTTGTGTGCAAATCGCACTGGGAGTGACGGCACACCAGCTGTCGGTCACTGGTGAAGGCGACATCGCATTCGACGATGCCAGCACCCATACGAGCAGCGGCCATCATACCTTGACGGCTGTGCTCGGGGATTTGCAACGGGCCTCCACGGTGGGAGATCGAAAATTGAGGAGCATGACGGATGGGCTTCTCCGCACAGGATTCCAGTTTGCTCTTCAAGGGACCGTCTTCCATTGCATCGACGAGGAAGTACGGACGAGGACCGACCTGGATGTTGGTGACATTGGGCTTATGGGAGGGAGCGCCGCGACGATTAAACGAGGGTGCCGCAGCCACCACGCCAGCCGTGACAATGAGAGAGGTAAGATGCATGGTGTAGATCTGGCTATAGCAATTGAGTAGTTTAGACCAACTATCCAGGCAGAGAAAAGCACACACACACACACAACGACGATCTTTCTGCTTAGGGGGATGAAGGCCCTATTTATCCTCCAACCGAGGGGTTGTATCGGCCCGGTTCCTGGACCTTGGAGCATATCAATCAATTGTATGGAGCATCCCCTTGTTTCCGGCTTAGATACACGCCCCACTCGGTGTCTCCGCGTGCCGCCAGGCCGATCTCTCACTGCTCCGAACATTCTACACATTCCCTTGGCAACTTGGCAACGTCTTGGCTACAGGAACAGGAGGAAACGTGGTTGGCCGTTATCCTGCACATGTTGTCAGCGAGCTACCTGATTTGAAGCGTTTTCCGCTGGTTCCTATCAGTGCATATTCAGATGTTGTACGATATTTCTCGTGGTATCCCGGGGGAGCCTTAAATGATTTCAGCAAGTTACACGACGCACTCCATCGAAGGATATCAGTCCCTAGCCCCACCCAATACTTTCTCTATGAGATTTTTTTTCATGTAAAATTAAGTCATAAAACAAAGAACGGGCCAAAAAAATCCCGCATGCGTGGGATCTCGGGCAGCGATACGGAGCATTGTGTTCGGGGTGGAGACCCCAGATATTTGCTAACGGAAATTGCGGGGAACCTAGCAGGGCGCAGTGAGACGAAAGGATCATAGGAAATCATTGTACAAAAAGCTGCAGGATAATCACAAGCCGCAATGGGGGAAGGTAATGAGGGAAGGGGAAGCGAGACCCAGTTAATCTATGCCTGTAGTTGGTCTGGCAATCGCTGCACATCTATCGACCTAAGCTTTGATAGTCTCAACTTACAATGCTTGAGATGTCGCTGCTTGGGCCTTTACTCCCTGTGGCAGTCCAATCCTCTAGAGTATAAAGTAGATCAGGAATTTTGCATGATCGAGCTCCTCTCTCAGCAGTGCTGTGTGATCCGTTTCGGTCAATGTCCGTCGATACATGGATAAAGCAACCCGTCCAAACGGCCGATAGCCACATCGTCATATTGGGGTGTTCAGACGCGGGGATACTTATCGCATTGTCCAATTTCCTGTTTAGTCAGGTCGGAGGAGGGTCCAGTGGGCCTTGGAATAAATATTCGAAGTGAATAAGCGCCCGTGTCGTGGTGGCGTCGCATGTCCTCTTACTGGATCCGAGAACCTTGGGCCGATAGGGCTTTTCTTCATTGTGCCTGAACCACCGAGAACGGTTGGTGAGGATCAGCTGAGATTACCCGACCGTCAAATCTGATCATCTACGCATGTGTTATACTTTCTCTCTGAGATATGAAGGCGCCCGATATGATGGAAGAGCTATCATGATTGAGGCGCATGTTAGTGACTCGTGAAGCAGGAATGGGCCAAGAGAAATGTTCAGTCTTGGCTTTGCAGCCTATCTTGCATTTGTGGAGCTCAAACGCGGTCCGAGGGAAAATATTGCCGATCATTAACTGCTCTAGAAAGACATTTTCTAGAAGTGGGGATCAAACTCGCTGCTCGATGTAACCCCAAGGAAGAAGGAAGCCGAGGTGATAAGTTTTATCTAATACCGGCCCACAATCAACCCGATTCTCTTCTTGCCTGCCTGGTAGGAAGAAGAATTCCGAACCAGACCGTTTGACCCCGAGGGGATTATCCCACCTACAGCTAGCAAGTAGAGACGGTCGGAATTGTACTCTACACTGCCATCTAGTCTTCGTCAAGGTTCCAGCTGCATTGAATGGGTTCGACAGCCTCATCCGCCGTAGATTGGGGCTAGGTAAAACTTAATATCTACCGTGGGGTCAGCCTGTTCACAGTTGTTGGGGGTGAGAAGGTGTTTATATTTTTCTATGTACCAGACCCGACGGTGGGACTACGTTTCGCTTTAGCTTCCTTCGCTTCCTGTGCTGTTTTCCTAACATCGTCATTGCAGTTCTCGGAAAGTCATGATGTCTCCTCTGTCGCTCTTTGAAGCGAATTGCTGTAGACAACCGACAGATTAGTACTTAATGAGAGCTTCCGCTATAGCTCATGATCTATGGTGTACCATTTGACGTCTTTCTGGTGTCCTAGATTTTTAACCGCTATAGAACTATTAGATTATAGCAAGGGCTGGTTGGCGAAACACAACCTTATAACAACGTGGCGATCCAACGCGGTAGACAAGAGTGTAGGAAATCAGGCCGAATATATTACCCCAATATTCATGCAATGGGTATCCTAACCTCGCGACCAATACGTTCAAACCCAACAAACACCCCGTCACTATTAAATCGCTTTCTCCAGAGCGCGATGTTGACCCTCCTATACTCATGCTCCATCGTCGTCACCGTCGCTGAGCTCACCCTCCGCCACACGGGTATCAGCCTAGACAAATCGCCCGCTTCAACTCTGCCAGTAGGACCTTGCTCTTCAATAACCACATCCACTTCTTCCAGCATAATAGTTTCCTCGCCAAGACAATAGAGGGCCTTAGGGTCCTAAAAGCCCTCTCGACTAGCACCCGCCAATAGTGAGAGCGCCTTCCCGCGGATCCCAGGGCTGCGACACTTCATGACGGTCCACCAGAGCGGCTGTACGATGCCAAATCCAAGTGAGTACCGGAGTCTAGTACCGCGGTTATCTGAAAGGAACGCATCGGCGTAGTAGACTAGGCTGCGGAAAGTCTCGACTCGGATGTCAAAATCCGTCTCTTCTGCCTCGCAGTGGGATAATGATATGAACAAGCTTTGCCATGAATGGTGAATTAGAATTAACAGCCTTAGTTGCTGTGTATGCGTGAGAGTAGGGGGTTGGTCTGAATGAACAAGGTGGCTGCACGCTTGTCTCCAGTAGCCCAGGATGGAGAAGAGATATTGACGCCCAGCGTCACGGAGATGTTTGTTGGCTGTGTATTAGTGTGGACTCGGATCATTGTTAGATAATATCAAGCATTCATTTGTCAGGATGATAAGATGCTGGGTTGCTTCATGGATCGACCGAAAGGCTTGGGGTATGATGAAAGAGGGGGGCTCGGGCTGGAGTGGCGTGTGCAAAGGGTCAATCCTCAACGATGCAGTATTAGCAACCAGCCTGAGCACTGGCTGGGTGGAACCAAAGCAGGTAGCCTGAATATCCAAATGAGTGAACAGTGTTACCAGGTCATCATCGGTCGATAGCTGCTCGGAGGTGACATGAAAATCTATAGTTTGGTTAGGATCAAATGACTCCTGCAGCATCTTCCTGCCCTGATTAAGGTGGACAGTGGCCTTGTCAATATGACCGCAGAATAGTTCGATAGACAGAAACAATATACAAGCGATAAGCACCACTTTCCGAGAGGCCATACTACTGTAATTGGTTATGTGGGTGTTCAAAAAGTGAATAGCTTTGTTGTACCCTTTGACAACTGGAATCCTGCGACTACTAAAATCACGTATTCCGAATGGGTTCTTGATGCTTTGTGAATAGCCTTGCATGGCGCATGATAAGGCAATAGTCCCATGGAGGATCGAGGGTTCAGAGTGGCAGGCCGGCAGCACAATCCTGTGCCAGAAGCCCGTTGAACAGACGCCGCCGAAGCTTACAAGCGCTGAAGTCCGGAATGATTCCTATATTACAGACTCCAGTGGGCCCAGGAAAGGAAGGGCTTTGGGATTGGTGTGCTGGGGTTTCGGTCGAAGATTGGTGACTTTCCCCATATTGGTACGTGCACTTTCTAGGCATTGTTCTGGTATAGGAACGAGAATACCGTAGCCTTCACACAGTTGACCAGTAGAGATGCATCGCCGACAACATAGCTTGGCTTCATCGCACTTGACCCGACGACGTCTGCCCGGGGCCGCCTACCGTTTAGCATGCTAATCAGGTCGTTCCCATCTCACCTAGGCCTATTTACTTGCAAGTGAGACATCCCGTTCGACTTCGGGAATAGAAAGATTTCGACATCTTCAAACATTGGCTGGGAGAGGGTTTCTATGATAGCTGTACATCGAGCTGCGGTATTGAAGATCGCTCGCTTTTCTGTCCTAAATTTCGAGTAGACACCTTGGCAAGCGACCCCTTGCGGACGGTCCAATCACACCCCCGGTTTTGGCGAGCTAATCGACAGGCCATTCCGGCTGTAGCCAATCGTATAGGCCTTGTCCAATGTCGTCGACCATCTAGATGGGTATGAAGACTTGCCCAGCGGAGCGATGTAGCTATCTAGATCCTGAACGTCAGGCTTCTGTTGTTCATAACGCCATGATCTGCATTTTATAGCAATCATACTCGCCTCAGATTGATCTGAAATGCCCTGAAACGAAACGTAGTGAGAGAAAGGGAAAAAGTAAACGGGCCTGCGAGAGCGTACACAAAAGACTATGGCATTTTGCTGTAGAGAGCTTCCTTCCACGCGCGCTTTTGGTTCGTTCCTGGCTTACCTCCTTCTCACTGGTCCTGTCTTGGCCTTAGGGTTCTAGGGCTTTTTCTGCAGCTTCGCCCTTCATGATTGCGCTGTTTGGTACACTAATTGTTGCTCTGCAGCTCTTATCTGCTGCTACATAATAGCTGATGTTTCCATAACTGCTGCTGCAGGAATTGCTCCAGTGTAAAGTATGAGGCATTTTTTTGAGTAATATACTATACTTTCCCACTAACTATCTACTTTGAGAATGGCTAGCACTATATTAACCTTCCCTCACTATCTATTAATATCTAGATTTCTATGATCGGAAGCATCTTCAGCGTAGCAAAAGAAAACTAATGACTGGTAATAATAACATGGACGCTACTTCAGCCTTTATCTACAGTTCACTATTATTATAACTATCTTAGTAACCAGTCACAAGTTAATCTAGAACAAAAGAAGGTATGGAACTAGATAATGACACTGAAACCTAACTTATATAAATAGGATAAAGGTTAAATCATTACCCCAAATCAGCTTCTATACGCCCGAGCGATGTTCTTAGAGAATATGAAAAGCGCTTTATTGCGCGGGTAAAGTCCTGTAAACTGCGCTTAGATTAGATTAATATTATATATAAGAGCACGGTGCCGGCTATAAAATATGGCTGAATAGACCAGAAGAGGAGAGAAATGCTATGTCCGCGGGATTATTGATTCAATAAATTGGAGTTCGCAACTATCTCATGAATATCTCTTTTGAGCTCCTCGTGCATCTGGAACGATGGTCAATTGACATCTTTGAAGGACAATTAAAAAATTGACATACCCGAATAGCCAGGTCGACGGTACCGTCACAGGCTGCAAGCTGAAGTTGATTCAGAGCTTCCATTTTTTTGTTGATATCCGCTTCAGAGCTGGCTTCATACAGGCGCAGGTCGCGAAATTTACGAATTGTGGGCGTGATAAAGTTTGAAGAGACTTCAACGTAGATATTAGTTGCCCTGAGAAGAAAGTTGAAGCTGGCTTTCATTTTGAAAGCATTCTCGCGTAAGTCCTTTAGATTTGTTAGCTTGCATATATCCATATGACAGAAGAAAGAAAAAGACAAGTACTTGGTTTATGGCTGCGTTCGCCAGACGTTCACTTTTAGCTGCTGTTTTGATTGTAAGTCTACTATCTCTAACAGCTCTGTTTATCAATCTGGACAGCTGTAGCAATCCGTCCATAAAGTCTTGTACGCGGTACTGAAGCTCTCTCAAGTGATATACGGACTTTTTGAGGATCTCGGTGATCTCCGCCTGCGTAGGTTAGCAGTGCCATGTTTATATGAGAACTCATGCCCGGATGAACAGACAATGGATACAGTCTCTGAAGACAGATCTTTAAGAGTAGCCTGAAATACAGAAATTTTCTCTGTGACCTCGTTGATATAGGCCTGTCGCTTTGCTTGAACTTCTTCCATTGTGAGAACTTCCCACTTCAGATATGAGTAGTAGCAGTATCCAATAGCCCCCGAAATCGCTGCCTGGGGCAGGAAAGGAAGTAGGTCAACGAGGGTGAAGGATGTTGCGGATCCCACTCCTGCTGCAGCAGTAGAGCCTGCAGAACCTGCAAGGCCTGCATACAACCCAGAAATATTTGAAAACCCAGGAATACTCGAAACTGTAGTATTCTTGTGAGCACTGTCACCATAAAAGGATTAATAAGGGAAAAGTACTCAAGACAGGAACCAGATTTTCGAAAAATTGCTTCTGTTCACGACTTTTCTCCAGGGATTCCTTTCGAGATTCGAACATTTGCCTTTCGGAAGCCAACTTTTCCTCTTGCAGTTTCTTGCTTGCTTCATTTTCCCTAATATCCCTCTTCACATCTTTAGCTTCTTGCGCCTTTTTGCCTATCAACTATGAGTAACATTGTTTTTTGGTGGTTGGTCATACCTCATACCTTGTGATTCTTCTAAAGCCTTGGACAAATAAAGCGTTGTTTTAGACCAGCTCTCGAATTTCTGCTGGACATTTCTCATTCCAGACATACAATCATCTATATTCTGCTGAGCTTGCTCAAGATATAGATCCGCATGGCTCTTCTCGTCTTGGTCTGCATCTGGCCTACAAAATCGTAGTATACGCTCGATCTTGAGTCGGAAGTATAAGCATACGTTCAATATGAAAGAGAAACTGGAAAACATACTATACCACCTGGTGAAGCGAGACCGTCTGCTATGTAGGCAATCTCAATCATCTCTTTTTCAGCTTCTTTGAATGCAGCTAGTCCCAACTGCACACAAGAATAGATATTGCCATGAAGTGTGTCATATCTCGGGGGTCATTAGTTGGAGTTCAAGGATAGTTTGACAAGTCTGAGAACTCACTCAAGCCCAGGCCCGCTCAGGCTAATGCTCATCAGATGCGATCGGGTAGAAATAAGCTGACATTGACCAAGTACACCAAGTGCTTCAGGGCCGGCGCGGAGACTAAGATGCCAATCTTGGCGTTTATATTCTTGTGAGAGACTGTTTTGCATGCGAGCAGTAGAATCCATGGTTGTTTCTGAAGAATTCTCTTAAAGGAGTCGGAAGTTCTCAGTAGAAATCTGCTTGGAAACAATCAACCAACTGAGAGCCATCAAACTTCCCAGAATAAAGAGTCCTTATATGCCCAAGGTTCTCCAAAGATCAGGCAAAGCGCATATGACAAGGAATTGCTGTCGTGACACGATGTGATTGGATCTCTGCTAAATTTCCATGCTGAGAAGGATTCCTTCGAGTGTATCATTTGATTGGAGCCCGCTCAAGCCTCAATAAATGATGTGCTTATCATCAAAAAGAAGATCTCTTTACTTTTAGAGTCGTGGCTTTGATTTAAACGGATTGCTTCAAATCCCAGGTCTTTGATCTATTCATACTGTAACTTTTATCAAGTGGCCAGAAAGACCCTTATCGTTCGGTACAGATATCTCCATATCTCGACCTGATATTTGCTGGCTATGAATCTGACGTTGGGCGTCCCTCCATCCCTGCCCGTCTTCATATCTCTTTGGTTTTAATACGTGGAATGCGGAAAAGAGGGAGGGGGAACAGGGATTATGGAGTAACATGCCACGTCACCACAGCTGTTTGGGGCCAGGGCCCTGGGGCTCTTTGTTGAGTGTATGAAAAGAACCCGGAAATCGTGACATAGCTGTGATTCTCAACTATCTGTAACATTGAATATCGTCCAACATTAGTGGCTGCCGATTCGAACCTGGTTATAATGCTGCCAAAGAATCTCTCTTATCCGTGTCACGGAAAGTATTGGCTACTTTCAAACCATTACACCCAGTCAAGATTACAATATGGGACTTTCATCTACCTCTTCAGATCTTCAAGTATCTTCGAGACGGGCGTACTGTGTAAACCAATGGGAAACAGCAAGGACGATAATCTACCGGCTATACATTAAAGAATCAAGGACGCTGCAGGACGTCATGATCGTCATGGCACTGGTATACAACTTCAGGCGTACGTGCGACTTTTGCTGATAAGGAGGAACTAACAGAGTGCCGATAAAAGGTTAAAGTGTATACTTCGCGTCTTTCAAACTGGCCTGAATGTCGGAAGAATACCCGCGCAACAACGCAGCTGAGCAAGCAGAAATCCAGCACAAGGCGTGTCGCAAAAGAATGAGAAGGAAGCGAAAAGAATTTATCGGCCTTGAAGCTGCATTTTTCAGAGGACTGGCTATAATGCCATCGGTGGATGCGCCTCTCAAAAGTAGCGACTGGTGTTTTCATCACGAAACCGTGCTTGACTGCGTCCATAGTTTCAACTATGGCGTTTTCGAAAGATACCGTTGGCAAGCAGACCAATTGGAGTTCATACCCCATCCAAGAGCCCCAACATGAGTCACTTATGGTAACGACTTAGTGACCAGGCCTTTGAGGCATGGGAGCTCATCCGTGGATCTAACATGAAAGAGGCTGGAAGGGCATTGAATCATATTTTCAACTTCAGTCAGCAGCATCTTTATTTGACCCATCCGTTATGGTAAAATTTCGACGCATCTCGAGATATCTCCTACGAATATGTTAGACAGACCCACTGGGAACCAACAAATATTGACAATATTATTCCGTGACTGATTAATGCTGTTGATATATCATAGCCCCATATATCCGCTTGTACGCCTGCTTCATACGCTGGAGAAGACTTCACGCGAGATACAGCCAACAACACTAAAGATTGGCTATTTGAAATCCCTTCATTCACTAGCAACTTTTGGCGATATAAGCAAGTTCGCCGAAGCAAAAATTCAAATAGCCTACGAAAAGCTTTTCGCAGATTCTGAATCTATACATGAAGGAGTTTCCCCAAGAGCATTCTTCATTCTCCATTCCTTTACCTATGCCGCTTATTACAATATCAGGGATGATGTGAAGGCTTTTCAACTAGCAAGTGATTTGCTAGACAGAGCTCAAAATATCGTGTCACGAGACAGACCATACCAGTGGGATCCATTCATGTTAGCATTTGCATTCGCTTCAAAAGTCCTTGCCGAAATGTATCACCGAAATGGGGATATCTTAATGTCCAGAATGTGCTATTAATCTGCCATCGACGTTCTATGAAATGGTGACGGAGATGTCGCATTCACACGAAAATTCTGATGAAGGAGATCCAGTGAGTTTCGAAGGTGCCAGGCAGTGGAGCCAAATTCGTTGCGATCTTGTGGCTTAGTTCTCAGTCGTTGTTTTGAATGGCCTTCACAGACGAAGTCCTAGACACGACAACCTCCCAGAAAGTTGAAATTGTCGCTAGCATCCAGGATTCGTCTTAGGTGAAGGTACCATTTCTTGGGGAAGACCAAACTCTTTCGAAAGATCATGGAAGCGAGCTTCTGGTATGAGTGGAGTTATTGTGCGTCCCCAACCGCTACGACTTCGAAAGGTATACGTATTTCCTAAGAGCCACAAACTGCTGCAAAATTTACTTCATCGGTTCTTCTTTATATCACATATGGATGAGCAAGAGCGGGCACTTGAGAGGATTGGGCATGAGGTTTTATGACGCCCTGAATATCCCTGAAGCGCTGACGTGACTCCTTGGCTAGACCTTCCGGTTCTCACTGTACAGATATTGTTGTGATCTCAGGGGAAAGATGGGCAGGATGAGGCTGTATCAGCTACACGTACGTAGCCTACTGAGGACCGGATGCCTTTCTGATAGGTGCTCAATTCTATGGACGACTATATCAACTATCTTGACTGCTTCTTCTTCTCTTCCTCAACTACTAATGAGTAAAGCCCTCAGGGGCTGAAGGAGTGGGTGATCCGGCCAAGCCGCTAGGCGATCACGTGTCTCCTATAGATTCATATCAGATATGCTCGCCCAACCTCGAAGTATGTCAACCAAAAATGACTATTACACCACCAAAAAATCATCTTGGCTCTTGATGGTAATGTAACCTATAGCATTTGACAAAATAACCAGCCCAAGTCCGTTTTCTGTCATCACGCGCAATGTTCCTTTTTATGTATGTTTTTAGCCTTAGTCCACCGTGCCCTTTCTAGTTGGTCTCAAACTATTATAGCGTCCTATAGTCCCCTTATTATCCTTGTCGTTTCAGGGTCGCAGCGTGCGAAGCGCGCGTCTTCCAGTACCAATGAGCAAATTACTGGAGAAATATTCCCATTCCCGGACACCTGCATGAGCTGGTATGTGAGATCGGACTTAAGCCTCCTATCTCCGCCTCACATCAGCACATCCCAGCTTCATCAATCATTCCTTTTTTATATCCTTTCCCTCGCCTAGCTTTCCCTCATCTTACGCCCCATTGTTCCAGACAGCTATACCCACCATGCCGGAGAATCGAACTGTCAAAACCGCCCTCTCCCACATCGACCAAGACCCCTCCAAGGTTCTTGGCCTGACAGTAGGCCCTCACACCAATATAAAACCAGGCCAATACATCCCCAAAGCCGGTATAACCCCCACCCGCAAGCGCTAGACCCATGGGCCACGGATTAAATAAACTAACAACCAATACCCAAAGACGCCCAATCACCCCCAAGCCTAACCTTCAACGCCCCCTCCCCATCAACAACCTACATGGTCATCGGACTGGACATCGACGCCCCCTTCCCCTCCTTCGGCGTCCTAGGACCGATCCTCCACTGGATCCAACCAGGACTGAAAGCCAACAACAGCGAACTAGAAATAACCAAACCCTTCGTGGCGAACTATATCGGACCCGCGCCGCCGCCTGGTAGCTCGTCGCATCGGTATGTGTTCTTGCTCTATGAGCAGCCCGAGGGGTTCGATGGGGCGAAGTATGCGCCGGCGAACGGGCAGAATCTGAGTAATTGGCATCGCATGAGGTATGATCTTGATGCTTGGGCGAAGGAGATTGGGCTTGGAGAAGTGGTGGCGGGGAATTATTTTAGGAGTAATTGAGGAGAATGAGGGTGTTATTGTGGGCTGTGTTATGTGTATGTTAGGGAGGTATATGATATACTGGTAGTATTGATTTTTGAAGGGCGTTGGTATTGGAGCAATGTGTTGAGTTCTGTCGTGGATCGGTGAGGATACATGGTGAGGGAAGATGTACCTTTCCTTATGCATGAGGTGAATGAAGATCTGGCGAGTTATGTGCTACTAGGCGTTCTTAATACATGGACAACAGCAGTATTCTTGTAATCCTCATTGGGTGTGACTCAGTGAACTGTTGGGAGGGTTAGGAAGTGCGCACCAACTGACAGAAGATAAGATACATGTCGATGGTTCGCAAGCGTTCGCCGGAATATCCTGCGAAAGTAAATCGTGTTCAATGTCCGCTCTCCATCATGATAATGAAAAACAGAATGAACCTGGCGAATCATGCTTTTGTACCCAGTTGATCGCTAAGGTCGTTTCGCAGAGTATGTTTCCAGTCCACGATAGCCGGAATCCTTTCAATAAAAGTAAATCTACCAGTGTTTTCCCCTTCCCACCTAGCTGCGAGCGATTCTCATTTTTTTTCAGCTGGGTTTTAGTTTGATCAGCTTCAGGCTCCCGAACCCTATGACACGTCCATTTCGGCTCCAAAGAAAGACTGGTTCCCATCGGATACATCATCCAGCCACCCGAGATCGAACAGGTCGCGCAGAATGCCCAGTTCATCGATTAAGAAGCTTTTGCCATCCACAGGCGGTATAGAAGATTCTCCTTGATCCGGATACGTCCCATCTACACTTGACCTTTGCGCGGATATCGTTGGATCATTGCGAATGGAGGTATTACTATCGGGTTGGTGCCCAGAAGTCGAAACGCTGGCCGGCACAGCATCATGTGCCTCTTTTGTAGAGTTGATCAGCTTCGCTAATTTCTGACCAGCCTCCTGTGCGACTGTCCACGTTTGCCCGAGAAAGGAGAGCAATTGAAGTGCTACCTCCGCTCGCTTTATACAGACATCCATCGGTGTCGTGCCTCGTACTGCAGGGGTTGTCCACACGCAGTAAAGTACCGTAATAGAGGCAACAAAGATCGAGTGCGCCGATAGCCATGAGCATTCCATATTGGAGAACCGATGGAGGTCGGCGTGAATGGCGATGGTCTTCATGGCACTGGTGAAGCACGCTTGAATCGCGTTCAGACTCGGCCGCAGTATTTGCGGACTCGGACGGTAGAGAAGCATGATACATTGGTGGTATTTCAGCTCCAGTCGCTGAACTGTAACTCCGGAAAGAGGACCAGAGCCCCTTGGTAGACGGCCCGGCTGCTGGTCTTGTACTTCTTTCAGGAGAACGATACAGGCTCTCTGGGCCTCCTGTTGCCACGCACTAACGTCCGTCGGCCAGGGGAAGCGACTCGGGGACCGGGAGACACGGTACAGCATCAGCTTGATCTCTGCGATGATTCGGTCGAAGCGAAGTGAGTAAACGCAGGCGGCGTAGGAGGTCAACGGGGCCGGGCCTATCGGTGCTGCATTTTCATAGTGACCCTTCCGACCCCAGTGGATAGCCGCCTCTTCGACTTCAGCGTTGTCATCGAACCCCGGAAATTCCCGGTCGAGGGCTTCGTCTCGCAACGTGAGCGGGCGACCGAGTATTGTTGTTAGGGTTCGGTCCATGGAATATGCGGACCAGAAGATCGCACTTCGCAGATGCCGTATGTTTCGCTGATTTAGGGACTCTTTCTCTTTGTTATCTAAAACATAACTTCGGTCAGTCTTGATCGCTACGCCTTGAATATCTGCCACACTCCAACTAATAAATACAACCCGATGAATAAAGGAGCAACTCACTATTGTCACGCCGTTGCAGCCCAAGGTCCAGGCAGCTGGCGATGATAGTATGCAGCAGATACCAAGCGTTCAGCCCCTCCGGACTATAGAAACTATGCTGTACCAACAGTAAAAGAATCTGTACTCCTTCAATACTATCATGGAGCTGGATTTGCGTCCCGTACCCCATACCTGCCGTAAACAGTTTGCGAGAGCCAAAGTCGCCGGCAAGTTTGGTCTCAAGAAACCTTGCACCGAGCGAAAGCACCAAGAACACCTGTGCTAGCGCCAACTTCACCGGCAGTCGACTTTCCCACGTTGATGTCTTGTTGAGGCGAAATACCTCCCCTAAAAGAGTATAGAACACATCCTGCGATATGAAGGGGTAAAAGGTCGACGCAGCAAAGTATGTCTCAGCATACTGCTGGCACTCTGCCATAGAAGGCAGGTCGACCTGCACGACTTCGGAGGGGACGGGGCTTCGAGCTGGGACATTCAAGCCTTGCTCGTGTTGATTCTGCCGTGCATACGCCAATGGTAACCCTTGCGACTGAGGCACGCTCTCATAGATCAGGCGGGCAAAGGTGATCCCGGACGAAGGGCCCAGATACTTCGGATCGCTTGCATTAGTCAATGAGAGCAAGCCCACTTCGTGCGCCAACGGTTGGTCTCGTGTGATTCGGCTGGACGCTGAGACCGCAGGCGAGGCACCGCTCGTGATATGCGTCTGTGTAGTGCGACCCAGAGGGGATTGAGGATCATTTACATTAATAGAGTGGTGGTGGTGACGGAAACCATGGTGGGCCAACTGCGTTGGAGGAGAGTTGGTATGTTGTTGCTGCGGTCGGGGACTTGCCGTTGGCTCAATCTGTTCCAGTTCCCGAACGCGATTCTCCAAGTACTGCAGTCGGCTAGGAATAATAAGTACACTTGAAGCAAGTAGCGTTATTAGGTGCCGGAAGTCTCACCTTCTAGCAACCGCCGATCCAGGAGTCCCCTCGAAACACTCCACCCCAGCTCTGGCGCAGTTCGAGCAGGCCGGCGTCCCTCCGTCGCACCGCACTTTCCGGCATCGCACGCATGCCAGCGGACGGCGTCGGGCGGGCGAATGTACAGTTGCCGGCATTTTGAGCGGACTCAATGCATATAGTAGCCCAAGGGCTAAGATACATCCAAGACCGGGCTCAAAAAAGGCCTCAAGGAGGCAAGTGAGTTTGTTGGATGCAATTTAGATAGTGTCGGAATTCTGTCACGCGGTTCGGTCAAATTCCGTGTCTGTACATACGTTCTACTACAACAATATGACGGTGTTGGTACCATTTATGAGTATCTACAAGTTCTAACGTCTTAAGATACTGACATGTCCCGATTGAAAATCTTGCACAAACGGACGTTTATTTATTTGATTTTTTTAAATTTTTTATTTCTGGTTTAATCTTCATCGGAAATGTTTGTCTTGTAGATTCACAGGCATATATATCCAAAGTGATACACAATTACCGATGGTGAGGAGTCTCTAAGTTTAGTTAATACAGCCTTAGCTATGGCTGCAACGTATGAGTGTCAGATATCTGCGTCCATACATCTATCTAGCAGTGACTTGACTGAGAACTCGGAGATGGGCAATTCCCGAGATGGCGACGGATTGCCAACATCGCTTGACGGTTACGTATTTCTCCGTCGGACATTAGCCGACGACCCGCTCTATTAATACCCTCATGTAGTCATTTGATCCAATCTTTTCACGCTCACGAACATTCGAACACTAGATAGTTATCAGCTGCCAATTGCAAATGGTCATGGGGTGTGCCACACCTTTGCGATCATGGCGCTCGCAGCGCCTCGGCCGGATCATTAGCCAACGTCTATACAGCGGCAAAGGCCCGACGGTGGCCGTGTTATTCCAAGATATCGACCCGCCAGTCATCAATGGGGTTCGCAAGCCCCGTAAACCAGGGGGTGAGTGGAATTAGATTACCTGAGATGATATTTACGCTCAGCTGTGCTACATTTCCGTTACCAGTATTCATTTCATTTCCCCCTTCAATCTTCAAAATCGCCATCCATCTTTCAACAGTTATATGATAAAGTAACACACCACCTACAGGCTACCAGGATTCAGGTGCAGACATCGCCTACACACTCCAGTCAAAGGGAATCAACATCACCACCCCAGACCCATCGCCGCAGGTCTCCAAACACTCAGGCTGGTGCTTCCCCGACACAGAAGAAGGCATGATCGCCGCCGTGGAAAACGGCGCAACACATCTCTGGGCCAACACAATCCTCTTCGACTCACACCCACTTCAGCAATCCGAAAAGCTATCCCCCTACGCATCGGATCTATACGTCGTGGGCCAACCGCCCGGTCTCGTAGAAAACTGCGACGACAAGGCGTTCTTAAACGACAAACTCCGCTCATTGGGCAATTACACCCTACCACGCTCCTGGCTGGTATCTGATTCTACTAATGTTGACGAGTTTATCGGCTCAATAGGCCGCTTCCCGGTCGTTGGCAAGCCGGTTCGTGGCCGCGGAAGCCATGGTGTCAAGTTATGCCATGGCCCCGCTGAACTAAAACAGCATATCGAGGCCCTGCTGGGGGAGTCGCCGCTCATTATGGTGGAGGAGTATCTAGCCGGAGAGGAAGCGACCATCACTGTTATGCCGCCATCCCCTGAACATCCTGAGCACTGGAGTATGGTGCCTGTGACGCGGTTCAACCACGCGGACGGTATTGCTCCGTATAACGGGGTGGTCGCGGTTACGGCTAACTCCCGGGTCGTGACAGACGATGAGATGAAAGATCCAGCTTATGGGAAGGTGATGGAAGAATGTCAGGCTGTTGCCAAACTGATCGGCGCAACGGCGCCAATCCGCATTGATGTGCGGCGTTTCCGGGAGGGCTCGGAGTTTGCGCTTTTTGACATTAATATGAAGCCGGTAAGCGAATTTCGGTCTGCGAGGGATTCTTGATGATATAAAAGTGACAGGCCGGCTAACTGGAACATGTAAAATACAGAATATGACCGGCCCAGGCCGTCCAGGTCGCGAAGATCAGGCCAGCTTGACTGCGGTGGCGGCCGCTGCTATTGGTTGGGATTACGGAACTCTCCTGCAGAAAATTCTAGCCAGCGCTCAACATCTAAGTGCCTTTCGGGATTATCGCAGTCCGTTTTAGATTGGGTGCAGAAGGTCTTGTCTTGCTTGGTGTCGCGTAGACGACACACATACCTCTTGTCCTTCATGTTCAATTCGCTCTTACAAAACAGGTGGAGTCCGTCTTCGTCTCAGGTATCTGCCGAACTCGCCGTGAAGTATCTTTTTATAAGGGGTAAAAGTGATGAGGATAAAGTCAAGGATAACTCATATGTTGTACACAACCTGTTCTCCATAGCACTTTGTGACAATGTTACACTTAAAACAGACTGAAGAACTTCAAAGACATGCTCAGTATTGCGGCTTGTCCAATCCTTTCAAGGAAAATCAAATAGAGCCGAAGGTCCCGCATATGTCCTCACGCAGTAACGCGTTGGCAGTGCTTTTGATCCATTCTTTGCCTACGGGTGGTTCAGTTGAAGTACAGGCAGGTGAAAGTTTGCGAGGCTAGGTTATGGATCTCCATGTCGGTATTAAATCAATATCAGATCACCATCCACCCGAACCTTTTGAACCGAGCATTTCGAACTGGAGTCACATAAAGAGGCGACCTGCCCGCCTATCGCATCCTGACTTGTCTACGTAGGCCAGGTGATATGAACAAAACCCTGATAGATCTTGGGGATACCAATCTCGAAGGTCTGTGTTCCTTTCCGTTGCTACCTGTCGAGTTGCCTTCTGTGACCATCCGGACGATCGAAGCGCCGGGCTGATTGTGAATGTTGATACACGGACATCAGACTCTTCCCGTGTAATGTCTACCATCTCGTCCAATTATAGGTCTGGTATCTCTCTCAAGTAATCCCGGAGAGCATCCAATATAGTTGGGGTAATCAGTCGCGGTCAACCGCCACCATTTGCAGGTGCGCGAGCGTTTCCGAAAAGTTGGTTGGTTGCGGGTGTTGATTATCGAGCGCTTGCTGCAACCAGCAGCCTCAGCCATCTGAGATGTAGTTATTAATCTAGTGATGATCATATAACGAATGAATTCAAGCTGAGAGGCGGCAAGTCGCGGCGCCATGAGGTGTCACTGCTGCGAGGGAGCGGACAAGGACTTGTCAAGGCCAGTGGGGCAATAAAAGTACAGGTATTGGTTTTGCTGGCTTGGGCCGAAATTCAGGAGAGGATTGATCCTGTGGCTCCCTAGAAGAAAGGTGCCTAACTTTCGTACTACATTTTGCTTTGGATCAAGATAATAAACAGCGGACCTAATGTCATGGTCTTCCCAGAAGCGTTGTTTACCCCGGATATTTGTATTTTACGTCGTATGAAATGGTTGGCCTCTCGGAGCACCAATAAAGGAGCATCCCACACAGCCTCACTCTTTCAGTGCCCGTTCGGGATTGTGAGAATATTGCAGGGCTTTCAGGAAGTGACAAGTCCGATCATACCTAATAAAGAGGGGTTACACAGCTAAGTCCCAGAGCGAAGTATGCTCCTCAGACTTACATCCAAGCATATATCCAAATTGTACTTTCAAACCACCATAAACACAGAATTGAGAAATTCTTAGACAGATTATTATATACAATGGTCCAGTACGAATATTCTTTACATCTAACAGGGCCCAGTATTATTCGGTGCTTCGCCTATTGCTAAATGAGGACAGTATTGTTACACGTTCTATTCTGAGTATGTGTAGCCCTGTTAAGATGAGCGGGTACACCTTTTCTTCAGGCTTGAATGGATTGGACCTTTCTTACAAGGCTGATCCAGGTTTAGAAAGTCTGACTCGCTCAATAATCTATCTGTTGAGGGGAGCGATCTTCCGACCTGGATATATAAGACAGTGATATGGAATGCTGTCTCTAGGTGAACTGATTGATATGTACGACACCCGTGAGGCTACCAAGAGACACAGCAAGGAGATATATTACTTGGCCCTGGCATGAGCTCTAATGACCCTGACAAAGCTGATCTGCTACCTAACTATGAGCTTCCATGGAATACACTATTCCATCTGGTTATTGAATCTGTTCTCCCAGAAATCCATTCTCTGGAGACTTGGCCTGATATGGAGATAGCTGTGATCAAGGGCAGGGGATATATATTGAGCTGAATATACTCGGTGAAAAGTGGCAGTTCTCAATATAATAGATAACGTGTGCAGGTCTCCTTTAATACTGCGCCGAGGTCAATGAGCTATGAGAGTGATTGGGGTACTCAATGGACACTCTAAGCTTCAGCAAAGTCTATTCAAGAAGGAGATATTGTCAGTCTTATTCAGGGAGGTGCAAAGCCACGTACCATTAGAATATGTGAAGATTATTTTATCGTTGAAATGATCAGTACAACTCCTCAGCAGAACAGGCAAGGAGGAAGTGGGGATAAAACGTCTCAAAAGACTCCATATGTAAAAGAGAGCCTACTGCGGGATGTACTCTTTATTTGGAGCTGGGAAATATTCTGGGCTAATTCAGAAAAGTATGATAAGTCAGAAATCCCAGTAAAATCCAAGGACGCAGCGGCACCAGATCCGTAGATAGATTTTGAATATAAAAGATTAAGTGACCTGGCGCTCATTATCGAAGATATTGTTATGATAGCCGTAAGATTAGGGAGCCATGGCGGCCAAATGTGAATTGTCCACTTGATCAATGTGGACCAAAGCTGTTAGTTAGCGAAACTGTGGTCAAAATGGTAGCCGGTAATGTTGAATGGGGAGGTGAGATCATGGAGCGGCAGCTCAATCAGAGACGCTTTAGTACTTCTGAATAAAGAATCCAGAGTCGGGCTCTTCGAAGATAAGTTCCAGATCCAGGTGGTTCTCCAGAATGACTTCGCTACGACCAAATCTTCTTCGGTCACTTTACCCACCGTCTTGCGGTTGAGTACAAGCTTCCATGCGATACTGTAGCAGACGTATTTAGGTGGTCGTTCATCGTAGTCGACACTCTCTTCCCACAGACTAAATGGGAGGAATCCTAGTTGATCGGGCTGCAGGCCAGGCTCTAGGGCGGGGCTAGGAGAATACAAGGTCGCAGGTGTACAACCAAAGTAACCAGGAGTGGGTGCATGTTGGGAGTGTCGCCGTCCCATGGTTCGATCATCCGAGATTGATAAGCATGATCATAGTTGGGAGATCTATTGGTCATTGTCCGGTTGTTTGATAGAAACCTAAGCAGACAAGCTGCAAGGGGTTAGCCCATGACTGAATGTGTCCAATAAGACGCCTAGGAACACGAAGCCGCAGCATAATGATGAGCAAAGGTTGGAAATGTAGAAAAATCACCTGGATTATCGATCTTTGCCCATCAACTTGGCTTTAGATGACCTGGGGGAACAAGGCCACTGCAGTGCAACAGCCACTAGATGCACAGAATGGAAAGAAAGAAAGGGTTTTGGACAAGTTGCCAGTTCGAAAGCTGTTCTCGCTTAGTGGGCTAGCATCGAACCTTCCAGTCTTCCCAGACACTGATTCTAGGCCTTTGTATCTAAGATACTATTATCTTACAAAGCTATATGCCCTGAAACGAACGAAGTGAGAGAAAGGGAAAAAGTAAACGAGCCTGCGAGAGCGTACGCAAAAGACTATGACGTTTTGCTGTAGAGAGCTTCCTTCCACGCGCTCTTCTGATTTGCTCCTTGTCTTACCTCTTTCTCTCTGGTTCTGTCTTGGTCTTAGGGTTTTAGGGCTTTTCTTGCAGCTTCGTCCTTCGTGATTGCCCTCCTCCATACGCTAGTCGCAGCTCTGCGGCTACGCAATATCTGATAATTCCACGCCGCCTCTCGCGGACAGCACTTGCTCGTGTGACCTGTTATTTGGGTTCCGATATCTCCCTTGTCAATTTCGCCCTGATTCCCGCTCTTGGGGAGTGGGGGCGTTACTAGGATGATTGTGACTTACTGGGAGAGGAGTGTGTACTATGTATATGTGTAAGCCAAACCAACCCTAACAACCGGTACTGTGGAGATATAACATGGGAACAGACTAAAAAATTATAACTGAGACATTCAGACCATATAATTCGGTAGGTACTCCGGCCACAGATAATCCGTAATTTTGCACATCAGCGCCGCACCTCCAGACTCCTCCAAACAATACCTGTATCTATACAATAGTCCACAATGTCCCGAAGAAAATAGAGACAGGCCACAGTGTATGTATAAAGGAAAAAGAATTAGACTTTCAATGTCATCACGCAGAGACGTCCTGAAAGATCATCTCCTGTCCCACCTTCGTAAACAACTCACGAAACTTCTCCATAAGTGCGTTACTATCATGTTGAAGCTGCTTCATAGCTCTCTCACTGAGGGATTTCTGGTACCCTACTTCTTGGATGAAGGATAGGTCCACGCCACATCCCTTCAGAACCTCGTATGCTTCGCTTTCGTTTAGTTGCTCGAAGGGGATTCCTAGGACGTTCTGATAAAACGACACCCAGGTTCGGATGTAAAGTGTGTGGAGGCTTTTATTGAGCGATTTGAAGAGGTCTCGCACTGTTCATAACATATCTGATGTTAGAGCGAGCGTGCAACTGACTGTGGCCATGGACGGGGATATGGCCGTCATGTAGATGATAGGGATAAGGGCAGAAATAGTGAGAGTAACAGGGACAGGGGTCGAAACAGGAAGGACTAACACTCTTGGATGAGCTCCCTGTGGGGAATGTTTGGGTTGAAGTACCCATAGCAGGCGCATACAGCACTTACAACACCGACACCTCCTGCGCACCATGCGGTTATCGTCCATGCGGCACAGGCGGCTGCACCGCAGACAGCAAACCCGACTACACAGGCAGTAGCTCCTGCTTTTAAACAGAAGCTGGATTCAGCTATACGTTCACAGTATGGCTCGATGTCAGCAGTCAAGTGGGCTAGAGTGGCGGTTTCGAATGCGCTGAACGCGATTAGCAGGTTGCGGCAGGCTTCTAGCCGTTTGATTCCAATGTCCGGGTTTCGGGCTAGATTTGGTATATATAGAATTAGATATGCTGGAGAATAATGGTGAATAGAGAAGGAAGAATCTCTGTGGAGGTATGTGTGTATGTATGTACCTTCTTGAGCTTGTGACATGTAGTCCTTCCAGGTTGCGTATTTGCTGCGATAGTGCCCCAGTGTCTGGGCCACGTTCTTCCCGGGTTCATCTGAACGCAGAAGAGGCGGCGACAATCGGTCGTTGATATATTCTATTACGGAGGAGGTCTGTGTATAATGCGTTAGGTAGTGCTTTGAACTAGGTCTATGCTAGGTTTCGTCGGCATACGGCATAGATTGTCAATGTGGCTGGTATAGAATATGACCACGGTATCCAGCCACTCAAGGAGCTTGTAAAGAGGCATAGGGAAAGCATGTTTCTCCTGATTAAGCATCAGTATAAAGTTCTGGGCCGGATTGGGTGGACAGGGACATATAGATACTGACCCACGGGCGAGCCAGCCAGATTGTGATCGTGGTCGTCGCCGACGAGTCGGGACGATGGTCTCTCGCAGCTTGAGGGGGCCCTTAGTATCAACTACCACATAGAGAGGTTGTCCTTGCAGTAAGAGGTTTGAAGACATCATGCTAACGACTATAGGTTCCCCACCGATGTCCCTGAAGAACTGTGGTGTCAGGTCTAGGATCACTTTCCAGAGCTTGTTCCATTCGTGTAGGGCGCGTGGATCGTTGAGGGTGATGCTTGTGTGGATGAACTCGGTCTATGCATTGTGGTGGAGAAATTTGTTAACAAGTGACCTCGTTTTTGGTACGGTTATCAATGCATGCAAGGTCGTCAGGGCATACCTCAATGGCGACAAATGTTTGACCAGCGCGATAGGGAGTATCTGGGCTCTCCACTCGACGTACCTCCCAGTCCGGAAGCCTACGTTGTGCAGCTTGCGAGGCGAGTTTGTTGTTAAGCTCGAGAAAATACTCCTCATCCTCCTCGCACCAGTGCCATAGTTGCACTCTGCCCTTCAGCCTTGGGATGGAAATTAGAGGGATGGACAGACCAGTAGCCCTCTCATCCATGGCTGGGAGCATATGCTGGCGTTAGTTGTTGGCAGAGCGTGAAATAATACAAGTAGCCTGGCGCTTAGAGGTGTTCGAAAGGGAATCTTTATTCCTTATACCTTTTCTCCGAGTCGACATCTCCGTACCGGAGGTCTTGCCAACCGAGAAGCCGTGTTCCGATCTAAACGGTAATTACTGGCCACGTCACTGAAAAATATCCCTCACCTCATTTCCAATCGATTAGGGTGATGGTGGTCTTGGAAGCAGAGATGCATGAGACAGCCTTGCCGCCCGGGCGAACTGATCGTTGGAATCAGTCAATCAAGAGCCAGACTTGCCGTTGGTTTCCAACTTTTGCTTCTTTTCTTTTCTTTTTTTTTTTTATATAAATTTTTTCACCATGTTTTTACACATTTATCCTTCCGGCGCATCCGTCGCAGTCACCACAGGGTAGTTTCTCAACCCCCCGGTAACCACAGCCTGTCTATTTTCCTCTCCCCTTTCAACCTCCCACCCCCCAAGAAAAAACACGAAGAGAGATCTCGTCCTTTTCCAACCATGGCAGGTGCTAATACACCTGGAATGCAATCTACAGTTTCACTAGTCACAGAACAAAGTGACAGCATGTTTGTATTTGCTTCCAGCCCCTCCCACGCTGAATGGGAGCTGGTCGAACACGCTCACACGCCAGTTTCAGAGCTCTTGTCGTGGTGGAGACATCACAAACGATCCGCCGATTTCCACCTCAAGGAGTTTCTCCGTTTTCAAGAGCTTTGGAAAGAGGAGTCAAGAATTACAGAGAGCCAATCACCCAATACAATAAGAGGTATGCCCGCTCCCCAAGAGGGTCACAGTGGATGGATACCTTATTAATACCCCAATTCATCTGATCAGATCTCATCCCCAGAGACTACTCATCAAGCGCCCATAGTGAGAATTACTGGAACATGAAAGTCGAGAAGGATAGTCTTATTGCGGACCTGACCGCGATGGACAATATCCTGGACGCACTCAAAGAAACCACCAGCGAGAAAGCACATTGGTATTTGAAACCTTTGCTAGCGTAAGTTCTCTCAGTCTATTGTACACCAGTCCCAGCTATCGTGAAATACTAAGATGAGATGCTGCTCGACCAGATCCTCGATGCTTGGCTTAATGAGCTTGCTAATGATGGGAGGGGTTGCTTCTGCCATCACTTTCATACCAGCTGGCATGCTGTCTGTCTATGGCCCGATAATATATTGGGCCAACCTAGGCGTTATTTACCATTGCAGGTCCCAGACCTTGTCGATTAAGGAATCGGTAGAAGCGGGACGATTAGAGAACCAGAATACGAAGGGTGTGCGTATGCCGCTGTCCAACCTACTGAGTTGGATCAGTTGAATGGCCGTTTATAAAGGTGCCGCTCACTTGAATGGTTATTCTGCTTTTCTATCTAGCATAATATACTGTACATGTCTTGGGGCATGGTGATAGGGAGACAAAGAGAGTGATTTGCTCCCCGTCTACTCCAATGGATAATAGTATTTATTTATGTGTTCGCTGCATGATGTAATGCTGATATTTATCATCTTGAAAAGTTTGAGGTGACGTTAAATATGTGGCTGCTATATACAATTGATGAGAGGTATTGGCTAGGACCATGAGACTTGAGCAACAAGAAGAGTTGTATTTTAGGTGTTGTCGAGGATTAATGGAAGATGTGAATTGGAGCTGTGAAAAGCTTGATCTGGATCCGCTTAGGTACGCCCAAGATGTTCTAGATGTACGGAGCTAGACAATCATATATATATCTAAATAGCAAGAAATGAGACAGCCAACGAAGAGGAAGAATCATCAGTTTTAATTACTCTCCTTACACCCGAGCGACGCTCAAAGATCCTATGCTGATATGTCCAATTCAATGTCTACGTAAGGCTTGAGTGCTCTATTATTACCAACTTGTCTTCTCCGCACTTAGGACCCCGTGGGCCATGTTCAAGCTCGCATAACCTCACATAGTTATCCTCTTCCCCTGGTCGTTTCAGGGCCGCAGCGTGCGCAGCGCGCGCCTTCCAGTATTATTACCGGTACAGAACAAAACTGTTATTTACCAGCGTTCCCTTTACAGACTAATGCATCACCTGATCAGGGTTCGAAAAGCACTCCTTGTATATACAATATGGAGACCGGTTTCGGACTTCTCTGTACCTCTGTCGTGGGGTGTGGTACCTAATGCGCAAGCATGCTCTATATGTCATGAAGTTTTATAAAAACGACAAACAGAAGGTAGAAGTAGAGGGCCACAACAAGGGCAGACCTATTGCTCCGGATGAAGCATCTGACGGCTGCTTCTTTCTGCCGCGGCATTAGTGTGACTGTGAAGGGGTAAGATTTCCAGAAGAGGCACTCGGTGAAGCTGGACTGGTCCAGTAGCCTGAAACGGATGCACCAGCGAAATGCTCCGTGGGCCGGGATGCAGAAACAAACCCAGACGGCACACCACACCTCGCTTAGGCATTTGTAGTAAATCTCAATGGACGAATCAGTCAGAGTCGCTCCAGCTACGGTATCAAAGACCAATAAAAATTAACATCACTGCCAGTGACAGGTACGAGATATGAGGGACACGGTAAAGCTTTTCTAGTGTGTTGCGGACGAGGGAGAACAGCGCATAAACACAACCGTCAAGGTCATAGAATGACTAACCATACGCTTACCGAATTGAACAATGGACTCTTCCAGCCCTCGCGCAATGGCCGTGTCTATTTTCCCAGTACATTTGAATTTTATGTGTCCATCATCATGATGAGCACTTGACGCCGGCCTCCACCACGAGCAAATACTGTAGCCATGCCACATCTATCGGTCCCACACCACGTTATTGGCGATTTGCTGGACTGGAGAAACTAAATTGTTGATAATCGGCAATAGTTGCGATGCGCGCCAGCCCGTTTCTTGCAAATGCACCACTTCGCTTCCGTGGGATCCCAGACAGTCTGGCAAGCAACCACCTGGAAGGTTCCGAATGCTTCTTGATCCATGTTGACAACCCTCTGTCCAAGGACAAAAGCATATTTCTCAACCCTAAGGTGCGCATTGGATACAACGGTCCAGCGTACTCTGCTGTCCATCCCACCGCGCAATGGTTATCGTCCAGTCGAATCATTTGGTTGCTATGGGAGAGCCGCTTTCGGCTGTTGTTCACAACGCCCATAATAAAGGAGTGGGTAATCCACAGAGAGATTTCCGCGTGAGGGCAGCTTGACGGGCGTAATCGGGAATCCGCAAAATTCTGTCTAGTTAATGAGATGCAAGTATTGACGGGGAATGGATGAGCTCATGTATGAGATCCTCATGCTCTATAACTCCTCTGCAGCTTGGGCGCTTATGCTCCAGAATGCAAGCAGTGATTCTCCAACAAAGGAGCCTTTCGAGGTCAAAATTCGGTCGAGGTCATCGTTGCATGAAGTATTCGATAGATAGAATAGTAACACTACAGCGAGAAGGAAGAGAGAAAGAGGGCGACGACTTAAACCATTTTCGTATGTGGATAACACGTGTGTATTGAGACAGCTTCCCCATGTCTATCAGTCTACTAGATCGCGGGGAGTCTATTCCAGAATATATTTCTCTATTTCAAATTGCGGCGGAATCTAAACGCAAGCCACAAAATTGAGGATGACAAGAGCACCGATGATTCCGCTTTGCACGCAGCCATGGGAAGAGTACAACTGGCCCAAACAAGTAGATACCAAATGGACTACTGTAATTTGTAGGCTTTTGGCAACTGGGAGTTTTCTTGCCCGACATTGCGTGATTTGAGGCTGATCAGCTCGTCCGCCATTTTTTTGCCCAGAAGGGCTAGCCTAGTCATTTCTGTCAACATGGGAATTAAATCCTTGACTCTGGAGTTCATATCAGCAGTATACTCGCAATCATCTATGAAAATGGCTTACACAGTAGCAGTTCTGTAGAGTTCATTAAATTCTGTCGCAATGTCAAACAGCTCCATGTTGCCGGTATCGCTAGGTGAAAGCAGCCTCGGGGCTAGCGATGTGCTTCGACGCCTGGGTGACGACATAGTCTATTGAACATCAGTGCTAGCCGAATAGATTAGTTTGTTCTTAAATACCTGCTCGTTATTTTTGGATCCAGTCGAGACAACATCGTCTCGAGCCTCCTCTTCAGAATCTGTTCTGCGCCTCTTGGTTTCACTTGCTGGGGAACTGGGACTGTGCGCTCGCTTTCGAGTGACTCTCTGCGGAATAATTAGTTAATGATGACTTGAGACTGGATTACCGGCACGCATACCAATTTGCAGATCTGGGACGGGGTTTGGGAGAGGGGTGCGCTGGCTGTGCAGTCAACGTAGAAAGTGTTACGGAGGTTGGAGTGACTGTGGGAGACCACATCCTTTTATAAGGCCGGGGAACCAGCGCCACAGGCCAAAGAGACTATCACTAATCCCTGTTCCGTCACCTTCGGCATTCCACCTGAACCATGCATGCTCGTCCGAGGCATAGTCGTTGTCGTGTCCGTGGAAGGCAGACCTTCGGACTTACCACTGTTCATCGGTGACGGTTGTGAACGCTGTGGAACCGGTTCGGCTTCAGACGATGTTTGGGACCCTAATGCTGCCCCAGGCCTGGACTTTAGCTTTTCCATCCTCAGTGAATTGTCGAAAAGTACATGCGCTGACGGCCATGTTTCAATTTCCTGGGAAATTGTGGATGAGACATTATATAGTTTTGACACGAAAGGTCTAGGTGTCGCGCAAGGTCCATCGACAGGAGGACACAGTGTTTGTAGCACCAGCCCATCTGCATCAGAGATACCATCTTCACGAACTGTCTCAGCGACAGCTCCTGGAAAAACATCCTGTTCGACCGGAGCATGGCGTTGTGATGCTGATCTTATCGAGCAATGCCTGGATGGAACATGGACCCCGAGAGGTAAATGCTCACCCGGGACAGCATGTGAGGGCCTCGAGAATCCTTTCTGCGGAACGATTTGAGGAAAATCCTGGCATGTTGTTGATTGAGTGAGGTTACTCATCGCGGTGAGCTTTACAGGAGTGATGAATGTATCTAAGACACCGGAAGGTCTTACGATCTTACGGATGGAGAACACGAGCGGTGGCACTCTTGTTTAACGTTACGTATATCGACGTAGACCAAGAAAATGCAGAAGCAAGACAACAATACCACCGGTACTACCTTATGCCCTGAACTTCGGACTGCAGTCTGCATGCGCGGGGTGGCCGCGGCCCGAGTCAGTCAGCCGAAATAGTAAGCATAGTTGTTAGTTAGTCCGCGAATGTTGAATGGCTCATCTCCTATGCCATTTCCAAACGTTTAGGAGGTCAGTTCAACAGATGGTCACCGACTCCATAGATGATCATGGTGCTGGTGAACGTTGAGGGGTTTCTTTGTAGCGAACGATAGTACGTCATGTTCTCTGGAAGTCGCAGCTTCAGCTCCTCTATAAACTCATGAATCCGCCCTGTTCTGGTACACAGGTAGATCGAACTTGACCCTGGTTGATCCGCAAACTTGATAGCAGTGGTGGTCCTGGACAAACTCTCGGATCTCGACTTCCCAAGGCTTCCACCACAGCCGCTGATCCAGGACCCCAAGAGAAAGTGGGATGAAGTGGGTATAACCTCTGTTCCTTCTGTAAAGGCTCCAGTGTAGTCAAGGTTGATCAGAATTCTTTTAAGAAGCGAGTTACACCTAGACTCCAGCCCTCGAGCTCCTGCCCTCATCCCGCCCATTTCAACCCGAATCTGATCGACATATGGACCCGCGCAACCCATAGTACAGTAACCTTGTTACCAATGTAGGGGAGTCAAGCTATACGGGCCCACTGGGTCGATGTAGGGATGTGAATTAGTTGCTTCCTCGCGCAAAAGCTTTTATTTCGAATTTACTCTCTCCTTACGCCTTTAACTTTGGGTGCGAGGGCAATGTGCATAAATCTCCTAATTAGGATGGATAAAATGATGATTCATCCGACGTTTTCACCGTTATTAAACAGTGTTTTGGTTTCTACATCAATATCTCTTTCATTTCAGCTACAATCCTTACGAAATTTAATGAAATCTACTCGTATATAGATTATCGCGCATTGGAAAACTCTAGGCTCCCCTCCTTTTTGAAATATTTTGGCCCTTTAGTGGTTACTCTTGGAGGATACGGCGGTAGTTAAAGTGTAACAGCGTATAGAGCAAGAGATATATATAATTATATGAGTAAATAATCTTCGCCTATCTACAAGATATACTAATAAGGGTAGAACTATTATAAGGATTTTAATCTGTCTGCCTTTCTACATAATATAAAGCGGTTTATTTTAAAAAATCGATAGATAGCCGATGAAGCGCCTCTCTAAATTTATTATATAAAGGTAGTATTTGCCCCTCGAATAATAATAATTCGCGAGTAGTTCGAATTAAAGCTTTTTAATAGATCTACCTCTTCCTATAAATCTATAAAAACTAGAGTACAGAACTATAGACGCTCAAAAACTATATAGATTAGATTCGGTCCGTAGCCTTCTTACCCGATAGCCGGCTACTGGCGTCCGGCTCGGAAGATATAATAATACGGCTCTAGGATCCGGCCACGGGCTCTCTCCGACAGACGTTCGAGGAGTCTGTGGCCTTCTCACCCGATGGCCGGCTGCTTTACCATCACCAACCTCGTGGTGGACAAGCAACTCGGGCCCCAATTTGATGACGGCGCTGTTGCCAGCTTCCGCCTGTCGCCGCAAGACTACCACCGCTACCCTAGCATCGTCTCTGGCACGATCAAACTCTTTCGGAGTATGCCCGGTGACTACTACGAGGTGGATCCGTTTTCAAGAATAAACAGCCGATTATCTTCAGAGCCCACGGTGACGTGAAGCCTTCTTTCAGACTTGATAAATTGCCTAGCATGGTTTTTGATAGATATAAAGAAAGCGAAAGAAGAAGTAGGTAGCCTAGAATAGTGGTAGTGGTAGTGGTAGTGGTCATTCGATTTCCATGCGTGGATAGGGGGGAGAAAGAAGGCAGGCGGAGCATTGAACTGATGAGAGGGGTGAACGATAGGTATTGATGCCAATCCTATCTTACGCACACGTAAGCTATCTATCTATAGATAAGTCTGCATACATTTATTCGAAACGAAATGATAAGTCCATCACTGTTACCTGCTACTCCCTCGACTCTGCCGTAGTCCCTCCTCCTATAGAGGCACGCTAGCTAAGACGGGGACTGCTCCGTAGTGATACGGTGACGCTGTTCGGGAAAGAGAGTAAGAGAAGACGTGGTATCATATGTTTGCTTTTACTACCTCTGTCTCTTGGTTTGCCTCTTCCATTCGTGGGTCCTGCCCAGCTCCACAGGCACCGCATTTATCAGAGCAAGCTAGAACCGGTATGACTGAGGTACTGGTAACGAGTAAGTACCTCTAGGTACCTAAGGTAGGTATTTCCTGGTATGTAAAATACAGACCCGGAGTAACCAGGTAGGGTACTTAGGTACCTCTGCATTGTATGCGGGGTAATTTTCACAACCAAATATTACTAGGGCCAACATGGAAGGCATAGATCAATGTTGGCCCTCTAAACTGGACAACAATAGCAAGAAGTTGGACAAAAACACCGAACCTTGTCCTTTGGGCCGAACAATGCATATGAATAGTCACCGTCGGGGAAGCTGGGCACTATATTCGTTCTAACACCGTGAGTCAGACGCTTCAATCCCCGTGGTGGACTACTTCGTGGTTTTCGGAGTACTTTTTCTTAGAGATATGGTAGAAACAGAGAAAGCAATCTTCGTTGCTTTCGCCACCTTCCACCCCAGAGCCGCATGATTCCATTGTTTCGAACTTCATTGTATATCTGAAGGCTATGATGTTTCTAGCCACAACCCTTTCCAATTCTGTTCCCATGACGAGCGCTATCGGATGGGATAGCCTCGACTAAGTTACTACACTACATTATAACATGTCCATCGTATTCTTCATCACTGAATCATTTGTCTCACTCTTAGAGGCTATCAAGCAAGGAAAGAAAGTGTGATATAGGTAGCAAAAGCGAGTCCTGGTTCTCCGGAAAGACGCAACGACTTCCTCGGGCTAGCATTGAGGATGTCGCCTATCGCTCGGTCAGACGAGATTCTCACAGTTTCACCTTTTCGGAGGGCGCCTGGACACGCAGAACTCCCTGGGCACAAACTGGTCAGTATTCTAAACGTGACCAACACAAGCAAACATCGGCAGTTGGGGAGGGGAAGAGAAGGTGGAAGTCATAAGTACCTCTTGAACACACGTGGCCACCAAGATCCCTTCAGGGGACCAAATCCGCTGAATCACCAGCGCGCGATCGTTGCCGGCCCACGGGCTCTCTCTTTCGGAACACATCCACTCATCCGCCCGCACCGCGTCAGGGTGGTGGAAGTAAATCGTATGATTCAAACTAGCTGCCATGGCCATTTTGGTCCCGAACGTCTGACCGGGCACGTCATATACCTGTACTGCAGCACCAATGAAGTATGCGTCGGACATGTATGACAGCGCTGCAAGTTGGACCTGAGGACCCGTCTGTTGCATGGGTGTTTTAGCTCGCATCCAGTATCGGATCCGAGTGTTGACCAGGTCGTCGGACCTTTCTGTTCATCCACCTTAGATCTAAACAAGTCCAAAGAGCGAGCAAGCCCCAAGCACGGCTAGAGCCAGGGAAAGACCTACGGTTCAGGACTTCCCCCCAGCGCGTCTCAAATGGCCCATCTATCCCCTTCCCATCCATCTCGGCTTGATCGGGTAATGTCAAACCCTCGGGCCTTTTTGGCTCGTGTTCGAGCCTTCCTGCCTTGTCAGTGTCGCTGCTCTTACTATATGTTCCCGCCCGCACAAAGTTGACGATTGCCGCTGAGATCACCTTGGCCTTCTGGGTGGCGTGGACGGTCCTCGTGAGGAAGCTTTTCCCATCGCGTGTTCGTTCAACACGATACTCAATCGGATGCTTTGGATTGGCGGGGGCCACGAAGCTGCAGTGGAGAGAGTGGGCGACACAGTCGCTTGGGATGGTCTTTTGGGCGGCCACAAGACAGTGGGCGACAGTCGATCCGCCGTAGACTCCATAACCGCCCACAAAGCTCCACAGTAGTTGAGCGTTGGTGAAGGTGTCCTGAGGACGAAAATCAGTACTTTGGATAGGGAATGACCGAGTACCAGAGCAAGGGAAAACAACTGGAGAGAAGAGGCGTACCGGTTGCGAAGGCACGGGCGTCAGGTCAACAGCCTTTTCTATGGGAATGGTGTAGTTTTCCATGGGTGATGATTCGACGAATGTGCGAATCGGATGGTGCCGAGTGGTTTGGCGGTGATCACGGGCTGGGGGGGGATGAACGGGCAGTCTTTTATACCCTGGAACACCGTCAGCGAGCCAGGGTGGATGATCGTGCTTACGCTTCCAGGGAGTCCCGTGATTGGTGGTCGATGGCCCCTCCTCTGGCAAGATATTGGGCTCGATCGAATTATTAACTATTTAGGTGCCTATCAAAGTGGTGGTTGCAATGCACGTCAATATGTCAAATACAATAATACATCCCCGAAAAGTAGGTAGGTAGGCAGGTAGTCAAATAGCGCACTCCCCGACTCAGTCTCCCTGGATCCCTCCCTCCTTTGGCCATTATCGGTTCATCTCTAAAAGATTCACAAACGTCCTGACAAAATGCGATTCTTCCAACCCCCTGTGACGCCGATCCCATTGCATTTCACACTCACCGGCCAGACCGTTATCGTCACCGGACCAACAGCGGGGCTCGGCCTCGAAACATGCCGCCATCTCATGGGTCTTGGATTCCATGCCATTATTCTCGCCTGCCGTGATGTCGCCAAGGGCTTTCGAACCCGGTCAAGCCTCCTCTTGGAGTATGCGACCCGGGCAGCCACTTCCCTCAAGAGCAGTACTGGCCCAAGCAGTACGACTACTCACGGAAACGTCGCGTATACTTTGTGCAGATGGCCATCCGGCAGTTCTCGCAACGGTACCCTGAACTTCTGACCAGCGAGCCCGTCAATCTGGAAAATAAGCATTTTATGACCTGGGTACACTGGCTGCTGCGGGAGACTGAGCGGGATCATCCAGAGATGTACCATATGACTCCTGAAGAGCGCGAGATTGAGATTGAAAAGGAACGGCCTTTGGCCCCGCCAGGCACCGAGTGGACGTGGGCTCTATACGACAACCTGCACCGCATTATCCGAGGCGAGATCTCGGTGCTCGACATTGCGACGGACAACGAGCTATTGGGCAAATTCTATGCCACGCAACTCATCTACGACAAGTTCACACGCGTCGTGGAGATCCTTGGTTACAAGCAACCCAACATGCGCATCCTGGAGATCGGGGCGGGCACTGGCTCAGCCACCGAGTTCATTCTTAGCGCCCTGACAGCCGGGGGAACAAAGCGGTACAGACAGTTCGTCTATACAGACATCTCCACATCGTTTTTCATCCATGCCAGCGAGCGGTTTGCCCAGTTCCAGGACATTGAATATCGCGTTTACGACATGGATCGGGACCCGGAGGAACAAGGGTATGAAGCTGGGTCGTTTGACCTCGTCATAGCGTCCTGTACGGTGCACGTCACGGCAAACATCACGCACGCGTTGCAGTCCATTCGAAAGTTGCTCAAGGTGGGTGGAAAGCTGCTGCTCTCCGAGATCACCGCCGAGTGGCATGACCAGACCTTTAACATGGTAAGTTCTTTTCTTTCAATGATTAATGCTTCCTAGGCTAACCTCTTCTCTCCCTTTCCAGGGAATGCTGCCGGGTTTTTACAAGGGTTATGACGAAGGCCGAACCCGTCATCCGTTCTGGAGTCCCGAACAGTGGACCGAAGCTTTCCCCAAGGCGCACTTCCAGACCGAGCTCTCAGTAAATGACATCCCACAAGATCACGGTTTCACTGTGCTCTGTGCCTCTGCGGTTCCCATAACATCTCCAGAGAGCCCTGTGCCGCGGGCACCACAGCGGGAGTCGGGCATTACCCTCGTCCATCTGGGGAATCCAGGAGCGATCGCACAGCACCTAACAAATCTCGCTTGGGCCGAGGGGCTAGCAGTGCACCAACGAGCTCTGGTCCAGTCCGGGTGCGAAGCAACAGCGGACTGGATCGGGTCCAAACGGATCATCGTCCTAGCCGAGCTGGAGAGGTATATCTAGCCCACCGTCACGGAGGCGGAGTGGACTGAGTTCCAGAAGATGATGCAAGCCGCTGAGAGCATTCTGTGGGTGACGCAGGGAGGACTGATGGCTGGAGAGGACCCCGAGGCTGCCCTAGTCAATGGCTTTTTCCAGTGTCTCGATATTAATCCCAACATTCGGGCCGCCTCGATGGACTTCGAGAAAAGCAACCCGCAGGACCGCGCCATGGCGCGGGACATCCTGCACCGCGAACGGATGCTCCCATCAGAGACTGACAAGCAGTTCCGCCAGCACCAGGGGAAATGGGTCATTCCTCGTCTCGTGCCGGATCAGCGGCTGAACAACGATTTCAATCTAGTCAATCATCTTGATCAGCGGCCCTCTAAGGTTCCGATGAAGGACATTGGGCCCGTCCGGATTGGCACCACTGATGCAGGCCGCCTGAGTGCGCTCGTCTTCCGACCACGAGGTCCTTAACTTGCCTCTAAATGCCCACGAAATCCAGGTGGACGTCAGGGCTGTAGGAATGAACATGGTGGTACGTTACAGTTTCCCTCTCGCTTGCCCCCTCCTGCCTTTATCTCCGGACTTACATTCGGCCGCAACAGGAGCTGAGTGCGTTGACGGGAGGCTATGATACCAACGACATGAGCTCAGAATTTGCCGGCTTCGTCACCCGCGTTGGATCTGGTATCCATGATCTCCAGGTCGGGGACCGGGTCTTTGGACTCTACGGGGGTAAGTTCGGCAATACTCTTCGAGTGCCTGCTTTGGCCTGTCAAAAAGCACGCGACGACGAGTCCTTTGAGCTGCTGGCGACGTTGCCCTCGGCCTACTGTACTGCCCTTTATGCCATCGAGATGGTAGGTCGCCTCCAGCCTAGCCAGAGCGTGCTCATTCAGAGTGCCACGGGGGGGTACGGCACCGCTGCAATCGCCATAGCCCGTCTCCACCAGGCCGATATCTACGTGACGGCAGGCAGCGAGTCCAAACGACAGCTGCTACGGGACATGGGCATACCAGCAGATCACATCTTCGATTCACGCGCCACGGGGACTTACCAAGAGCTTAAAGCAGCCACCGCAGGCCGTGGGTTTGATTTGGTGCTCAACACGTCGTCAGGAGACTACTTGCGCAGTGTCTCGTTACCGCTAGTAGCGCCTATGGGGCGGTTCATCGAGCTCAAGAAAAACGACGTCTTGGATAAGGGAACCATCAATCTGAAACACTTTAACGAGGGAGCCACCCTCGTCCCCGTGGACATGCACTACGTATGTCACCACCAGCCCCAGGTCCTCTTCCTCTTGATGAAGGCGGTTGGGAAGCTGTATCACTCTGGACAGATCGCCCCCCTGCCCGTCCACAGCTATCCTATTTCGGACGTCAGCCAGGCATACGCAGAATTCTCACGCTTCCAGCACACGGGGAAGCTGGTCCTCTCGTATGACCCCGACGATGAGATCCCATATCTCCAGGAACCCACTCCCGTCCGATTCGACCCCAACGCCGCGAATCTTATTGTCGGTGGACTCCGCGGCATCGGCAGCCACCTCAGTAAGTGGATGGTCCGCCAGGGCGCAAAGCACCTCGTCTTCCTTGCCCGGTCGCCTACAGTCAACGGCCCCGAAGACGTCCAAGAGACTATCTCTCATCTGACAGAGATGGGGGCCATCATCCATACCGTCCAAGGCAGCGTCTGTGACTGCCAGGACGTCGAGCGCGCCTTCACTGTCTCGGAGCTTCCTATCCGCGGCGTCGTCAATTCAGCGCTCGTTCTCCGCAATATGGACTTCGCCCGTCTCACTCCTCAGGATGTGCACGACACTTTCCGCCCCAAGCTCGAGGGCAACAAAAACCTCCACGCAATGGCCCAGAAACTCGACCTCTCCCTTGATTTCTTCATCATGCTCAGCTCCCTGACGAGCATCTCGCACGCCGCCACGCAGGCCTCGTACTCAGCCGCCAACAGCTTTATGGATGAGTACGCGCGCCACCTGCGTCGCCGCGGGGTGCGCGCAACCAGCATCCCGCTCGGTGTCATTGGCGACGCCGGATTCATGTCGCGCCACCAACAGAACATGATGCACCTGATGCGCAACGGACACTACGTCACCGTCAGGTCGGAATTGATGGAGCAGTTTGCCGTCGCCCTCTTCCGCCCTGAGCCTGTGGACGCCTGGGGCGTGGAAAATCCCGTGGCGCTGGGCACAGAGCCAGCCAAGCTGCGCCAACTTGTCGACTCGGGGAATGTGCCGGAGCCGCTCTGGGACCGTGATATGCGGTGGGGCATTATCGGAGTGCATGCAATGAGCCAGGGCAATCTCAGCGGCGTGGGACCAGGCGGTGGGCCATTAGCCACTAGAGCCAAGGATTTGGTCATTGAGCGCTTGGCCAAGTTGCTGTGGCTGCCCGTGGAGAAGCTCAAGCCGGATACAAGTTTAGCAGCTTTGGGCATCGACAGTATGATCGCCAGTGAGTTCCGGCACTGGATGTACCAGACATTCAAGAAGAATGTTGGAATGATGGATCTCCTGGCCTTGGATATGACGCCTGAGAAGTGAGCCACGCTGTTGGAGGGGTAGAGTTTATCAGGGTATTGGTTTGGTTGGAGACGATGACTTGTAGATCAATTAATCAATCAATCAAGTTCTATTAGCCTGTTGGAGCACTTCGATGATGAGTTCTAGATAATCCTTGGATATTGCATTATTTCCGAGCTAAGATCCACTGGCTCGGTTTATTACAGGCACAACATTCGGAATACTCCTAGGCAATCTAATAAACATCGTAGAAACTCTCAGGTACCGAGACTTGATGAGCGATATGATCCAGGGGCCTCCTGCGGACGGATATCCTGTTGGAAGAGAATTAGATCGGATGGCACCGTGTTTTGGTGTTAGAGCTTCTGTGGGAGAAATCGCACATAGGCTCATAATATAAAGGATTGGAAGAACACAGATATAGTGCTAGGGAAAGGATTTTTAAAAACGACTACGTGTAAGATACAATTCTCCCAAGGAGTTAGAAGTAATTAGTAAATTAGAAGTAGCATTTTGCCACTATATACCTTAGAAGGTACTATCTCTACTGAACCGGTATATGCAACTCACTGCTCCAGTCTATTCCATAGGCTTGAATCCAAGGGACCTTCGCTGGATCCCTCCGCCCGCTGATTGGTCTCTTTCTGATGTTCTGGCCGTGCTCCCGGGGCCCCGCTTGCGTGGCCCGAAGCTAGCTAGAAGGCTCCGCCCAAGGCCTCAGGCCTGCCTTTTCTCCAGAGATACTCACGGGACTTAGTTTTCGTACGACAACGCGTCTATCAATGGCCAAAATTGTTTCCGCTTAATATACTGTCTCTAATATTTACTGTATATCTAATTGGCTCGCGATAAAAACCAGGAAGTCTAGCGTACCTAATTTAACCTCACCTTTCCAGGTCAAGAGAATATTGCTGAAGTCCACTGTACCATGAGATATCCTGGGCTCAAGAGTGTATATGATTAATAGCACTTATAATCTCTCTGTAGACAGTAGTAAAATATGCTTCACTAAAGTTAATTCTCCGCCACTAAACAGCCTAGGAAGATAGCCGAATACTTATATTCATAGACCAGATATATCAATACGTGAACATAATAAGAATTCAGGAATGAAATTAGATCCTTATAGAATATTACTTAGAATCTCCATAACTTAAGAATTTGGTGTGTCTTTATGAGATAGATAGGAAATCCTTTAATATCTTTTACAGTAATTACTCTAGGCTCTGTTTAATTAATATTATAGGATTTATAATATCCAGTTTTCAACTTTTCCTTGAAAATATATATAAGACATGGATAAGTATAGCTCGATCAACTTGATCTGATTGGGTACTAAATTCAGTGGAATAGTTCTGGAGTGATTAGATGAAGGTACGCAATCCTCTCTTGAAGCTGTAAATGCGACAAGAACAAAGCCGAACTTAACCCACGCACTATACTCAGATATTTGTTAATTCTAGTTTTCACCTAGATGGACAGCGAATTGCCGTATACATGGAAAACTGCTCCGTAGGTTTCCGGTAATAGGCAGGTATCCTCTCCATTGCCGAGGCACTTGTATCACAATATTAAAAAGTAACGGTTGAAACACACACTGCTGGCAAAACGCTTCGAACAGAACGCGAACACTAATGAAGCGCTCTCGCTGATAGTGGTTTCTAAATTTGGTTCACGGGCTCGATATCCCAACCTTCTACCTTAGCATGACATACCACTAACTGACATCATTGGCCCTGAGTCACAACACTCGTTGGGGCAATAACTAGGTTTGTCAATAAATATACCCGAGCCAGTGACTGCCCCTCTCCATACAGGGTACAGAGAGGGTTATCAACGCGGCTCGTATTTGGGTGGCAACACAAAAACAGCGAACCAGGGAATGACTTCATACCTCTCCAGCAAGCTAATCGGACGGGAATGACCAAAAAAGGTATGACAGGCGGGTGCCCAAGATCCCAAATAGCAGACGACTGGTCTATTCCGCCCCAGTCGAGTGTCCAAGCAACCAATGGTCTCTCCTGCAACACCAAGGATCCGGTGTGGTAGGGCTGTCAGAATGATGTGGTGTTCTTCGTATTCGCCAGTCATCTGCAACCTTTGAACCAATCATTGAACCGTCGACTGAGACATACGGGGTGGAGGTATATTGAGCTGAGAATATAAGAAGACGCTGCGATTGTCAGAACAATCATCATCTGGAACATACCAACAGAACAGTGAAAGACATCCCATGCCATGTACGTCTCCAAACCAGTCTCCCTTCTCCTCGCCCTCGGAGGCGTAGCAGCAGCCACCGGATGTGGTGATGCTGATGCCTGTCCTCTGACTGAATATTGTACGACTGCGACCTTTACATCTCCGTCGACAACGACTATCACCACCTGTGTTCCCACGGCGACATGCTTGGGGGTCTATTGTGAGTATCCTTTTGAGTGGGTTGAGATCAAAGCAGGCTGACCGTTCAAGCGAGCTGTGAATATGGAGGTACAACCCCATTCTGCTGCTCTGGTTATTGCGCAGCGACGAAGTGCCGTTCGACTGATCCAAAATGGCCCAATTGCTCGGAGGATTTGGGTGTTTGCTTGGCGGATGAGAACTGCTGCTATGGGAATAAGTGTGTTGAGGGTCTTTGTCAGAGGAATAGATAAGAAGCTGTAGTGTTATGATGAGCGATACAGCTCGGCGTTGGTAGATCTTGGTGACATGGGTGGCTACCCATTATGAGCCTCTGGGGAACCACTGTAGAGACCCATGATGAGCACTGCCCATGGCGAGCTGTAAGCCCGGTATGATGAATTGCTTGTGGACAGTGACACAGACTGGTAGGTCCATTTCGTGGGTCTATTTCGTTTACCAAGTCCGTGGAAACGAATCAGCTAGTGCTTTTATGGAGGTCTGGTAGTTAAATATATTGGATTGGTTTCCATGTTGAGACAAAGCAATCAAGTGAAACTCTTTGTTTTCTCTCTCAGACAGACAGCTACTGCAATATCACCATTTCTCGTTCATATTTCATTCAGCCTTTCAATATAGTTCTGGTCAAAGAATTTTCTTCATGCGCGGTACACCATTTTCGTAGTATCTACGGAATACATCTAGCAGTTGAGGTTGACAGCTAATCAGACGTTAGCATCAAATCATCAAACACAAGACAGGGACACATGATCTCTTACCATTGGCAAACAAGGCATAGGTGTCGGCGTTGTTCAAAGCGTCTCTAGCGCTCAAGGCAGTGGCAGCGGAGTATCCGTAACCAAGATCATCTGTGCCAGGGCTGTACACACCAGGAGCATGAGTGAACTCATGAAGGGTGGTGGTTGCCTGGTCCTGAGCGTGGCAGCTGCCGGTCAGGGCCGGAAGGTAGGTGTAGTAGATGTCACAGTTGGCGATGATATTGTACGCCGGAAGGGTGTATGCAAGCACATTGGAGCTGCAGTAACCATACGCGTCACTGCAGTAGTACGTGGTACTTCCGGAGGAGGTCGAGGATGCCTCACTGGCAACGGCGTTCAGGCGAGCAGCGACAGTGCTGCGGGTTGAGCTGGATGTCGTCTTGAAGTACTCCTGGAAACGGGAGGAGGATCCGGACTGGGCAGCGGTAGCAGCCGCACGTGCCAGAGAGACAGTGTTTCTCAGCGCAGTCTGAAGAGCTGACAACCTGCTACCAGAGCAGGATGCGACTCTGGTACGACGATCGAGGACCTTGACAGCCTGGCTAACAGTGGCAGCCTCAGCAGCATCGACATCGATAGTGATCTCATTCGAGGTGAAGGGAATATACCCGGTCACCTTGTTCTCCTTGGTAACAGGCACGATACCATTGCTGTTCACTGTGATAGTACCACCTTCAGACAGGTCGCTGGTTGTTGCGATGTCGAATTCGTCCTCAATGGTTGCACCAGGGGCAAGGGTTGTCAAGGCATCGTCGGACAGGCCTTCATTGATGAGTCGTTGCCTGATACCCTGGAACTGCAACTCGGTTGCTAGAGAAAGTTAGTGCGACCTAGTTATTGAGGGCTATGGAGCATACCGTTGCGGAAGAGGGACACCTTCTTGACGGGAGCGGTATCCCGGAAGAAATTGAGGTGCACAAATGTGACATCTTCGCTGCCGGTGTTCTTAACCACGGCCTTGATACGGGTGTTGCCAACCTTGCTGAGAGTCACATCAAGTCCAGGAGCGCTGCTAGCAACCTCCACGGGAACGGCATTGATAGCAGGCACTAGGGCCAAAAGAAGAGAGGAGGCAGACAAAAAACGCATCTTGAAGATTGAAAAGACTTGGTGTACTGGAGAGAACCTTTCTGACTTGATTGAGGTGCTTGGAATCGAGAACTAGATGGTGATCACAGGATCTTTTATAGACGAGGGTTGCACTTCGTACGACATTGCTATGGGATCTCAGCCACCCCACATCTCCTCGTCCTGGAGCTGCATAGTGCTGTCCTGCAGATTCGGTTAATCTGTTTCTATTGCCGGAGGCATTTGTTCACGCTGAATAGAGCCATCATGTCCAAACATGGTAGATTGAAACAAGCCTCGCACCTTTCTGTATTGTTTTTAATTGAAGGCATTATGATGGAGTAACTCCTTCAGCGATAGTCTGAACAGAAGATTTCTTGGCCCGCCGGAGGGCCGCCTCGAGCTATATAGATTTAGGAAGGTCGACCTTGTTACTAACTACATCTGGTGCAGTAGGATAGGATAGCCAAGACGTGGCTTGGTGGTGTTTCATCAGGCTTTTGATAAGGAGGATTGAATCCCGTCGCATCTTCCGTTCTTGGCAATCTAAGTCTAAGACTCTCTTGGCACATCATGTAGTTACTGCAGCCTAGATGTTTCTTATCCGACTGTGGATAGTTAGTATGTACACTGATTTGTAAGCCATAGCTATAGTAGAATTTAGACACTCGTAGTCGACGACACAGATATTACCGACGGCCGTATGCTTATTCAGAAAAGATCAATATCCAGGGGCGTTCTTTTCAACAAATACAGGCTTTCTTCACTCTTCGAGTCAGCAACTTGCAGCGTGGTGAGTGGCGTGTCATGTCAAGCAAGTAGCGCTCAGATCCTGCACTATAATGCTTAGTCGCGGTCCAGAAAAAGCCGGATGGATACAAGGCAATTTAAATCCCATGCAGAATGTAACCCAAGACTCGGAGAACCTCGGCACTTGCAGATAAATACCGATTTCCGTCAATCAGAGTGTGCACTTCTCACAGGTGTGGGCTGTGTGGCATTCTATTCCCTGTTGACAAGTATCACACGATCCTAGTATTAGCATGCTGCGATAGTGAATGCCGAATAGTAAACAGCGGTAGTTCATCGGTGCATTCCGGATTAGCTCCTATCAGACTCACTGGATTAAGTCGCTGCATATTCCCTCGTCCCACTACTTCTGCAGCACACTTCCTGTCCAAAAGTACCTTCAACAGCGTCCACTATACTCCCGACACAGCAAAGATGAGCACTTCTCTCACTCTACAAGTGACCATCTCGCCCCCCATGATCTCGGCCGTCTCCGAACCACCCACGGTGCCTGTACAGGTGGCCGTGCATAACCCCGCCGATACCACGGTGACCGTGCTGAATTGGGGCACCCCGCTGGACCCTAGCGCCAATGTCTTCAGTATCTTCGATATCCGTGACACAACCGAAAATCAGCCGGTGACCCTGCCTATCGTCAAAATCTCCCGACGCATGCCCCCCTCAGCCGACGATCTAGTGGAAATTCCAGCGCGCAGTTCCGTTGAGAGGGAGGTTACACTGCCGCTTGTTCCACTTGCCATGGGACACGAGTACACCATTCAGGCAAAGGGGAACTGGCATTCGGTATGGGAGACTCCTCGCCAGGAGGTTACTGCGTTACATCTGGAGCGACTCGGAGATGCTCGGCGGGGTGAGTTCTCATCCAATGTTGTTCCAATTCTAGTCGAGTAAATGGTGGGGTGGCTTTCATGGTTTGGCTCAAAGCAAGGGGGGATTGTGCTTCACATGTCTATGCCTGGGCTCCTACTTATAGCCATGTTCGCGCTCGTGCATATCTTGATTAGACAAATGCATATTTGCCGACGCCAGTTTTTATGCTCTCCAACAGGAAGTAGTAGATCCCTTTGACGTGCACCCTGGTCATTCTTCTCTCTGTATCGCCAGGTATCTCAGATTCAAGAAACAGACGTTATCCGGCCTATATCCTTCAAATACTAGTCTGTCATACTGTCTGTCCTACACCATCACCGTCGATGGTCTCTTACATGGTTTATGACACCTTTGTTCTCTCACACCCTACTCACTTTCTGTTGATGTCCAGTATTAGCCATAAGCTGAACTCGCTGCGTTGTTACGGCCATGGAAAGCAGAAAGCCCCACGTACAGTGGCGTAGACTTTCAAGTTCAAAGCAAAGAATATTTAAAGATGACTTCGACACGGTTGGTCCCCCGTGCAAACTTCGTTCGCCAGCATATTTGCAGCGGGGAAGTAAAGACAGTGAATGTCGGAAGGTAGATGTGAGCACATTGCTATTGCTTTGTGCTTCCTCTTCAGCCTCATCAACGCATCTTCTCCCATATTTCACCTCTAACTCTTTAACTCACAACCCAATCAACCAAATAAACCTTTTTGGCAGACTAAGCTTCATCGGTAACGACCCTATCCCGAGTTGCTGGGGGAGAAAATATCTAGAACGAGAAATAAAGATTGCTCTCGGTTCACCTATAGACATGTCTTCTTTCACGTATGAAACAAGCTCTCACGATTTATTGCCTAGAAATTACATATGTGATATCAACATTGTGACTAAGAGAAACACCTTTTATGACCTCGACCTTCCTAAGCCGGGAGTCCGTCCCACCCTGTCGATAAGCTAACGAAAGCGGATCTATGGCACGGAGTATTTTAGTGCCGTTGATACCGCGTAAGCCTCGCGGCCTTTGAATCCAGTACGTTCATCGACTTCTACTACAACCTTGATAGTTCTTGAAGATACCCGCAACGATACGTGTCATACCTCTGGCATATATGCCTTCGTAAAGCCAAAGCTCGTGCCACAGCAAAGGCTTCTAGTGCCATGGAGCACGACAAAGGCAGTTGGTGTCAGCCCCGAGAACACAAACATTCGTATGTAAGTAGCTGCAGAGTTCGGTCCAGGGGAAAGCTCCAGTTCTCACTGTCTAGTCGGCTGCAATGTTCACGCCGGCTGTTGGGAGTTACTTTAACATCATACTGTCAGGGACATCGCGAAGCGTGGCTTGAAGGCACTCTTGAATGGCCTACATGAGGCAGAGAGGCATAGCGTACCCTTGGTAACTCTTCTGGAAAACTATATAATATGTAAAAACCCAGATATTCTAGATTAGAGGCAAGGTAGTTAGACCTTCAGCTTACAAATTCACACTAGTCAGTACATCGCTAGCACAAATTATATTCAACTAGATCCCATCAGAATAAATCTCTTTCAACCAATGATCAAATGGGCTCGAGCTAAGACGCGCAACAGGTTTTATATCGACGGCCGTGTCAGCCGTCGAGAACAAAAAATGGTGCTATTCCATGAGACTCTCTATTGGCAATACCTATGCCAGAAACTCGACTACCTCGCTGGAGTCAGTACGATAGCTTGTCGTCAACATATCGTGGGTTGCCTAGATGAGCTGCAGAGGAATCTCGACCAGCTAGTCAATGCAGGAATGACGGAAAAAATATACCCGATCGGGGTAGAGGGGGGGTGGTTTGGTGAATAAAGGATTTGCTACTATGGGGCATTGTGGTCAGAAAATCAGGACATTATCTCCGTGAAGTGTAACATAGTCGTCATCATGGCCTCGTTATATTGATGACAGTAGACAACATAGTTGAACTCATACCGCTTGCTATACCAGAGCAATATGAATGATCGAAACGCAGTAAACATCGTCCACGACGCGCGTCGTACCCTCAATGTCCTTTCAAACGGAGGAATTGCCATCATCCCAGCCAGCGTAGGCTATGGCATTGTGGCTACTGACCCCATCGCCTTAGATCGGATCTTCACCACCAAACGGCGGAAACCACATAAAAGACACGCAATGATCGGTAGTTACCTGCTTCATGATACTATCCATATCCTCCCCCCTCAAGAAAAAGATATGGTCCGTTTACTGACCGTGGACTTGGATTTGCCTTTGGGTGTGGTCGCTCCTTTTCGCAATGATCATCCTATCATTCAAAGACTGGGCCCGGATATACTATCTCAGTGCACAGTGGACGGAACAATGTCTATGCTAGTCAACGGTGGAAAGTTCCAAGAGGAGCTTTCACGGCTTGCGGCCGAGTCCGGGTTACCATTAATGGGCTCCTCTGCGAACCTGACCGGAATGGGCACTAAGTGCGTCGTGGAGGACATTGAGAAAGAGGTCCTTGAGGCGGCGGATATCATCATCGACTATGGGCGGCAGCGTTTCAACCATCCACGCCCATCGTCTACAATGGTCGACTTTCAGAAGATGGAGGTGGTGCGCTTTGGCGCTTGCTACGATGTCATTCAAGATGCGTTTCACCGATTTTACGGCATCACACTTCCTGATGACCCTGGGAGGGAGGTTCTGCTCTCCGGTCATCTCCGTGAGGAAAATAGCGCCTACTAGTGAAGCCAACGGGTGCCTCTGGATGGTACAGCGGCTTTGTAAACACCGCACCAAGAGCGACCGTGGGTATTACGCTCATCAGCAAAGGGCCAAGGTGCATTAGTCTTGATAAGGATGAAAGGTCAATGTCCAATATAAAAAGCTTCAAACACATCGTCCAATACAGACCAGAATGGCGCGTGCGTTAGGTTTCTCTATAACTCCAGTTGGATGAAGCTATACACAAAGAGAGCGTCAGGTTTAGGCCAACCGTCTTCAAAGGAGCATCAAGCATTCTGTGAAAGAATTGCATTTTTCGTCTTCTCTTCCAATTTTTCCGTTTTTATTTATTTATTTATTTATTTTTATTTTTATTTTCCTCCCCTAAGGTAAATGATATGCAGAAGGACGACTGAGGATTTGAACACAAAGCTGGAAATCTGGCGATAGGTGTACATCCCGCTAATCCTATATGGGAAGTTAACGCACATGATCAGAGGTCTCATATTGGTTCAAGAACTCACTCACCGCTTTGTTTTGTCCCTTTACTACTTAAGGACATACGGAGCTTTAACAGGTATAGCCTGTTCTTTCTGCCCACAGGGCCGACTATTCTCCACCAATAGAATCTTATACAACCCTAGGCTCGTTGGACATATCATGCCTTCAGCTGATCGATGGTTGACATCTTGACCAATATAGGGCAGAAATCAAGTTTATAGCGTTCCCCCATGATGCCCAGACGCTACTCTCCCGTGTGTAAAGAAGAATTTCTATCTACTTTTTGAATTGTCGACTCATGTAAAGCAACCAATACGAATGTTACTACTCACGCAATGACGTCCAGAAATATATACTTTGTGGAATCCTAGCGCGCAATGTCGTTAGAATAATCTCCAGCTCTATGCTACCTATATTGGGATATTCAGCAATTATTCTTGATACTCACCAGTATTTCAGCTCCATCCATTCATGGACTAACCAGGATCCACATAGGTGCTGTGTAGAGCGGCATCCCAATGTACGATATAGTCATCAGCCCTCTCCTCCGAAGCAAAAGGAATATTCACCGCAATGACGTTGTGACATTCTCCGAAGGGTGCAATACCCCTGCTTCGAATGAGGTCAATGTAACTCCAGATACGCGGCTATGATACGCTCAACTATTCTCCGGGAGGTCATATCCACTTACATTGCTCTCACGCTCGGCATTATCCCCTGTGGTGACATCAGCAGCATATGAACAGATCGCCACGCAAGGAAGATAAAAAAGACCGAGGCAAAGCACGTAACCCTACATCGACAAGATCCAACAGAATAACCAGACAAATCCCGAGTATACCAAGAAACCCAGAACGAAGTTCGTACAAAATGTCCGATCGTGACAAAGTAAGCAACTCCTTCTCTTCCGGTTCCACCGATAGTCCCCTCTACGGCACGAACGCGGCCAACAATACAACTTACGACACCTATGATCCTGATGCGACGACCGATTACGGCGTACGTGCTGCTAAACCCCTCCGTACGTATAATAAAATGGCGACCGACGTGAACACAAGTGAACATGACACCGCATCCGGGGCCAAAGTCAAACGAACCACTTTCGAGAACGGTCGCAGTCGAACGATCTACAGTCCCGAGACTGGGGCATACGAGGAAACGCTGGACTATACTGAGAAAGGGGTGCAGCATCATCATCGCGAGAAGCTCAGCTCCGAGGGGGTCTATCAATCGCGGGATGTCGAGCTGGAAAAGGATGGCACGAGGCATGTTCGGCGCGAGTATAAAAATCCGATTACAGGGACATCGACTTCATTACGGGGTACGATGAGCGATCGGGCTTTTGAGATGGACTTTTAGGATTCTGAGCTTTTATCTTTTCGTTTTGCTTCTTTCTTTTTCGTTGTGGTTAGAGGTGAAGTACTTGGAAGATCCAGATATTCACGTCGGCCCCCCCCTGGTGAAGGCCCTGGGAATACCAGATGTAAAGATTAATTCTTGGCTAGACTACTATCATATACTCCCCTGACATATCTCCAAAGTGGTGTAACAGTAGTTCGTTGATACAGTAGGATGGTATTCACACGTACAAAGAGGAGTGGTATTTCGTCCCTGATGGGTATCCTTACATTTTCTCATCTCTTAACACATGATGTGTCTTGTTCGCCGGCGCATCTGGATGCTTTATGATAGGTTCGACCTCTATCTGACCATGGGAAACGCTACTCTCTGCTTTAGGAGCGGAGAGGCTACTGGAGTAATATGTACTTGGAATACAAAGGGGATACTAGCTTCAGTTAAGGATCTATACAGTGATCTAAAAGTCTAGGAAGTATTAACTATAGCTTTAAAGCAACACTCAAGCTAAACACATCCGACTCCTTCGAGTTATCATAGCTCTAATCTACATGTTCGAAGCTAGCCCCCTGTAACTGGCTCTTCTACCGTTGTTCGTTCAAAAGCGTATGTTGGCGACCATCATCAAAGCGCCATCATCCATCAAGACACCCAAAAACACAATCTAACTAGAAGATATCACGAGTGAGCTCCGAGAGACAGAGCATGCCATTAGGACGCAGCAAGGAGAATATATTGCGACAGGAGGTAGCAAGATCCTTCGTCGCGTGGATACAGTTGGACGAAATGATAATATCATAACTGTTTACATGTTCGCCCGGAGGGGATTTTTCGATATCAAGGTCTGTAAACCTGAGTTGCTTGTAATGGCCGAAGCGCTGGCGTGCCCATGTCCCCAGTGCGCTGGAGATATCGGTGAGTGTGTAATCGAAGTCGATGCCGTGGGAGATGAGTTGCTCGAGCACGTACTTTGTTGCTCCACCAGTGCCGGCGCCGAGTTCAAGGATAGACAGGGGCTTTTCTCAGTTTTTGCTATGAGAGAAGATATGGGTCAGGAAGTATCATAACATGCGGCTTCCCGTATTGAACATCAGACAGATGGTGTACACTTCCTCGAGGAGTTCGTGGGACTTTTCATTGCGGAACAAAACCTGAAGCGCGTCGGCCTTTGCAGAGAAGCAATCAGCAAGACGGGATCCAGTGCATTTCAAGACTTGGTGTTCCGACCTGTACGCTGGGAAATCATTTAGAATCGCCTAATGCATTGTGGTCGAGCTTGTGCGATCCACCGGTTTGGATGTTCGCACCCAGCCATACTCTGCCTGCTGGATGAGACCGTACTCGGCAAGGATATGATGGCAGTGGCCGACCACTTTCCAGTGTCTGGAAACGTGCGGTACGATTGGCAGTAGGGCTCCTGGAGATGTCGACTCAGGTTACATCCTAGGGTCTCGAACGCCTCGACGATATAGGCGGATACGAGGGAGAATTGCCGAGGGATGCACCATGGTGTTGAAATCCGCGAAGCCAGACATCTGGGGCGAACTGACGGTAATTTTGCCGGATATAAGCAAACCAGCTGAGTGTCTCCAGCAGAGCGCCTGGCGGCGAAGTTTCCTGATTGGACGCACCCCACGGCCGTCGTCCCTGCGACAACAAGATACAGTCGATTAGGTTACTAATGCTGAATGTAGGAGGTTGGTTCATCAAGTTCAAATCTAGACCAAAGGCCTGGCATAGGTCAGATTCAAGGTCAATCGCGACCAGCGAGTCTAGACCAAGATGCCGGAGCTCAGTCTCAGTCGTGGTCGAATCGGAAATGTTTAGCTGCTGTGCAACAATCCGAATTAACCGGGTAACCGACCCGCAAGGCAGCCCCTGGGTGGATACATTTATGAAACTGGAACTTGAAGCAGACACAGGAGACGAGTGATCAAGTACACCTAAGCCATTCAGACGCTGGCCTTTTGTCTGGACTTTCTCAGAAGGTTGTTGAGCAACGGCAGCCAGGTCGCCTAATGTGTAGTGGCCATTGTCGATGCCCATGGGCAAAGAGACTTGAATAACATCATTGAACCTTCTGCGTAACTCAATCGTCGTGAGTGAATCCACCGCAAGCTCAGTCAGGGTTGTTGCGGGGGTGATCTGAGCGGGCGAAGTTCCCGTGAGGTCAAAGAGAATGCAACTAATTTTTGCTAAGATATCTTGCCTTATAAAGTCCTCTTCAAAGCTTACATCGGCAGGTGGAGTCATGGGAGCTCGTGGGGGAGGAAGCACCGGCTTCGTAGAACGCTTCTGTTGTTGCCCATTAAGATCCTTGGGAAATGGCTTGGCCGGCGCATGCGCTGCATAATCGCGTCACACTGGTTGAGGCGGGACTGGAATAAGGCACAGCTATTGTAAATAACTTCGCTGAGGTGGACTACATTGCCAGTCTGGCCAGCAAATACCGATGAGCCCCACCTGCATCGGCGAGGTAATGCTGGAGATGATCCTGTAATCCAGGGATTGATGTAGCATCGAAGATGGAGCGATAGCGGAGTCGTCGATTTTAACCTTGCGCAATATTGAATGCCAAATCAGATAGAAGTGGCCTATGCTCAATGGAAAGAGTATCGCTAATTAACAGATGCTGAATCGCTCAGCAAACCTTTCGGAAGCGAATAGATTGTTGCGAGATATGAGGATTGATCTGCGACTTTGGCTTTGGAGGCTGGCATACCACCATGGTGGTATTATTCCCTGAGGCGCCATGGCTGTTAATGCTGGCAGCACAAAACCTCTGTTTCCACCTCCTGGGTCGGTTGAAATGACGATGCGGTCATTGTTAAGAGATGGTATTGTGGGATTCAACGGGGCAAAGTTCGCTTGTGGAGGAATCTCACGATGCTTGAGCATCAACAATACCTTGAGTATGATTGCAACGCCTGAAGCGGCCCCGGTGTGCCCAATAATGGCTTTCAATGATCCCATGCAAAGCAGCGTGCCACGATCACGTCCGCCGAATACTTGTCTGATGCACTTGATAGGATCCCCATGCGCTCTTCCGGTGCCATGAGCTTTCACAAACGAGACATCTGGTGGATTCAGGCCTGCCGCCTGTAACTCGCGTTGGTATACGTCAACTTGAGACTGGGAATCAGGAACGGTGATAGTGCTCGTATTGCTATTTTGGTTCGTGGCACACCCAGAATTGACCCCAAGGATATTATCACGATCAGCTACAGCATCGCTAAGCCTCTTCAACAGGACAAATCCGCGGCCCCCTCGGCTGAATCCATCTTTTGGCCCGTCAAATGGTCGACAAGGACCGTGTGATGCGCTTAGGAAGTTTGCTGCCATCAAATCTTGAGATGTAACGTAGTTGGAGGTGGCGTTCACACCACCAGCACCTGGTACGCGCGTTGGCCTTGGAACTTCGTCACCAGCTTCAGCGACAGCGGACCTCGAGAGCAGAAAGAATCCTACTACGCCTTATTCAAACAGATTCATAATGAGTCCGGGCAAATTGCTCTATGCGATCCAGCAGGTGCTCTCATTAACTTTCGCAGTAGTTGGCAGAAAGCTCAATTTTATGATCTTGACTTTTCCCCGGCGGTTCGAAAACATGGAATCCCCCTTAGCCAGAGAGCGAACGGAGCCGGCAAACCATCTCTATTGTTCAAAGGAATTCTTGATGAACCACCACAGATTCTAAGAAATCTAGGTATCGTGCTAAGGAAGAGTCCATCTGGGCAGCAGACCAGATGGCATCTTCGCATCCTATCTCTAGGTAGTTTCCACTATCTTACCAGCAGCCAAAGAGCCATGTCATTGCCAGTGAATCGGACACCGAATAACCCAGATCCAGCAACAATAGAGTTGGTTTTAGTAGTGCAAACAAGACAATTGCACTTGGCGACGGAGAGCAGAGTATCTCTAGAGACGAAGAGGTAGAATGTAGCTAATAAAATAATATATTGTTGGAATGTTCCACCCTATCATGGTATTAAAGGTGTCGCCTAAAAACATGGCATACATGCGGTTCCACTGACATATACCGTAACATTCAAGCTAATCCTTAACCAAAGAATCTTCCTGACAACCAGGGGAGCCCAAAGATGACGCATACAGACCAAATGTATAAGGCTGGGCTGTAAGTAAGATGTGGTGCAGTTCTCGTGAAACATGGTTCTTCGCTTTTCATAACTAGTCCAGGTATCAGATGTCCGCTATGTCACTTATTCTACAAGTAGACTGACAACATTCGCCTTAATGACTAACAGAAACCAATGACATTAGGAGCCCAATATGCATAATGATTACAGAACTGACAAAATCGTCGATTCTTCGAGTACAAAAATGTGTATTTAAGCGGCAGTAAAATATCACTTATATATGGTTTGGTTCTACTCCTTCTTTTTCCTGGACTATACACACCTTGGTGTAATCACCTGTCGACCTCCTTCCTTTTCTTCCTGTGTAGCATGTTTATAAACCGCGCGATTCGCACCACACACTGTTGATCATAGGAATAGGCCACTTGGAGGGGTGCTCGCCAGGGTTGAGCAGTATCTGTCGACCAGTACATTCTTGGCCACTGAATGAAAGGTTAGGATAGGACACCAGACCATAGTAAGAATTGATCACTTACATGAAAACTCGGCAGTATTGCGAAACGTAGACTGCTATTGTATCCCTGCGGCTTTGTTAACGAGTGGCTTCCCAGCGACAATCATCGACTGAACCTACTCCACTTGAACATTATGGCATTCGTTCAGGGGAACACTTTCCCCGAAGCTTCCTTCAGTTGTCTCGAACCCGACCTATTTACGAGGTGGCGTTAGTGGAGTTCAAATTTAGTCGACGAATTCGCGTACAGTGGTCATCTTTGCTGCACCGGTTGTAGCTAAGGCCAGCACAAAACCCAGGAAAGAGATATGCATCAGCCCATACATCGTGATTGTATATGATTCACTCGAGCCCAGCAGAAAAGAAGGTAAGTAAGTCAAGAAGAAAGCAATTTGCTTGGAGCCGGTCGCGTCTTTAAGCGGGTATCCCTTGCTAAAGAAGGCCAGTTGTTGTTTTGGTCGCGGAGCTATCCCTTGCGTCAATCAAGAGACTGGGATCGCATTCCAGTGAAGTACCGCGAGGCTTGTACATTGTTTGTTTGCCTCGTGGAAAAAACTGCAATCTCATCTTATCTTCGCTTACCTACATTGCATCAAAATTGTCCACAACGCGCATAAGGGCTTAATGGTTATACGTGATGCAAGATTCCTGTACTGGTTGCATCATATACCCGGACCCCTGCGGCTGGCGGCTAGTGTGTGAAACTACAAACAATCAGGAATAATAGCGTGCTTGTGGACCTGACTTGACTGTGGTGAAAAATATGTTATGTCTTCATTTCACCGCAACCTAGGGCATGATGCTATCAGCTATACCCTATCTGCCCAGCTTATGCATAAGTGTGCCTCGTAATGTTTAGTTCACCATATATCTGAAATACCGCTTCTTCAGCCCTTCCACTTTTATGCACGCTTGTATAGTCTCAAAATTAAAGCAAGTCGCCGGGTCGGAAGGGTTGTTTTCGAGTCAACCTGTCCTCACTATGCCTTCCGCTGGATACAGCTCCGTCACCAAATCTACGGGGAAAATAAGACCCAATTGTTGCTTAAATCCGTCCGTGATGCTCTCGATCTGTTCGTACCGGTCCCAAGTATCTATACGTTCCACAGTCATTTGATGATGCCTATCTATATCAATGCCGTTCAATCGAGCAAGGATATCACAAGCATGTGTAGCATCTAAAACCCGTATAACCGCAACACTACATAAATATAAGCCGACTGAGCTGTGCTCTCGGTACCATTGCTCTTACCCGAATGTTTTTTGCTGTGTATCTAATGGCATGTATACCTTCCTGGCATCTGTTGGTCCGGGACTATCCAATTTCCTGAGCAGGAACTTGACCAAGGTAGCCCGTTGATTTTGTTCGACGATCGGTAAACCATCCAGCACGAGTAGCGTACCGGGTCCTTGTGGAGTTTGGTCTTCGTGGTCCGCCATAGGATCTGGCTCTCAAGTAAGTCGTCGTAGCAGTCGGGAGAAGTTCATATCAAATCTCAGGGTACGTAAGCTGACAGGATTGTGGCTGTGAAGTGGGGTGATCAGCGCGGCCACTGCCTAGGTACGCCACTCATCATATTACCACGTCCATGTTGAGGAGTAAGAGCTTCGGGGGATATTCTACACTGGATGTATTTTAAAGCTGTGCCTGTATATCTCTATTGGGCGATAAAAGTACATTCACACAGCGGACCATGGATCACGGCAATTTGAGGAGCCCGAATTATTTAAACCACTTAGTGTTGTTGGATACCTCGGAACGTTGTTGATGTACCACTTCAACCATTCCTCTCGCTCATTCGCAATAATTCACCGGGTGTGTACTATATGTATACCTTCCGGGCCTTGAACCTGCAACAATATACGGTCCTACTGTTTCTAACGGACGCAGAAAGTCCAAGGTTGCAGAGCCTCCGCACAACCACCTCTTAATTTGGCTTTCTGGGCGGAGGAATAAGCACCACCAAGCAATCAAGAAAGCAAATGCGTCTATCAGAAGCACGGCATTACCACTCGGCAATGTTAGCCTGGCAGGAAACCGGCCTCGGCGCATTCCTCATCGCTTCGGTACGTTGCAAGCCGAACTCCTTTGGACGATTCACAAGAGTTGGGTTAGTGTCTTATTAAGCATAGCGGGTTCCCCGCATTCTCATATCCAGGCGTTCTAGCCGGCAATGGTCAGTTAGCAATTACCGTGGGGCCTTAGTATCTCCACCTCATGGGCGGCATCGAATGGCTCGTTGACAACCTGCGATCCACCAAGAATATCCCTTCGGGAAATGACCACGGGCTCGCTGACCGGGGTCCCCATGTTTTCTCCGTAGGATCGACCTAGGTAAAATGGGTCCGCGAAAGCAAAGATGATCCGTTCTACACGCCTAATTGCGTTAGATCTCATAGATGCGAATCTCCTATAGCTTCGTCAAGGCCTTTTTCTAGTTCTCTTGTCCTCCTGGTATCTGCAGGATCATAAATTTTTGCAGATACATCCCCCACAATGGACCGCTCGACACCTTACGGGGACACCACTGGCAAGACTGAGTCACAACTCCTCGAGAAATTAGAGACTGGTATTCAAAGCCTCGATGCGTCCAGCTCGCTCTCTGACCAGCACCGTGCCTATTTGCTCGAAAGACATGGCACCTTGGATCTCGACCCGGTCCCTAGTATGGACCCAGCAGATCCATACAACTGGCCGTTATGGAAGGTGTGGAAATATCTACTTGCCTTACCTTTTTGCATCTCATAAATTACACTTTCTTTTCATCTCAATGTGCTTTCGTCGCTACCGTTGCCCCTGCTAACCTCAAGGTGCAATAGAAAGTATCAAACCTAATCTTGGTGGCCTTTCACGCCTGTATGGGCACCTTCACTGCCGCAGCCATTATTCCAGCATATGAAGAGATATCTGTCGATGTCGGCGTCTCGATACAGAGAGTCAGCTATCTGACCTCGCTTCAAATAGCCATTCTAGGCGGTGCCCCATTGATCTGGAAGCCTCTTTCACACCGCTTCGGACGCCGGCCGATCTTTCTGCTCTCGCTCATCCTGAGCTGTGTCTGTAATATCGGGTGTGCAAAAAGCCCAGACTATGCATCAATGGCAGCGTGTCGAGCTCTAGTCTCATTCTTCATCTGCCCAGCGATGGCCATTGGCAGCGCAGTCGTCGCGGAGACCTTCTTCCGACGTGAGCGAGCGCGTTACATGGGAATATGGACGGTGATGGTTACCCTGGGTGTACCCGTCGGGCCGTTGGTCTTCGGATTCGTGGCACAGCGCGTCGGATACCGTTGGATATACTGGATTTTGGCTGTTGTAAGTTTCTATCCCGAGCCCCATGCCTCGCACCACTAACACTGCCAAGATCAACGCCTGCGAATTCATCCTGTACATCTTCTTCGGTCCAGAAACACGCTACATCGGCGCAGACGTCACTCCTGGCGCGTCCTCTTTCAAACAAGAGTATCTATCTCTCCGACGAATTGATCCAACTCCATTCCGACTATCTGAATTCGTCCACCCCCTCAGCCTATTCACCAACATCCCCGTTCTCCTCGCAGCAGTCGCATACGCCATGGTCTTCGTCTTCGCCTCCGTGCTCAACTCAGTGGAAGTCCCACAACTCTTACAAAGTAAATTCAAACTAAACGCAGAGCAACTTGGCCTCCAATTCCTCGGCTTAATCATCGGCTCCCTACTCGGCGAGCAGCTAGGCGGCTTCATGTCCGACATGTGGATGAACGCGCGCGCCCGTCGCATCGGACACAAGCCCGCACCCGAGTATCGGCTCTGGCTCAGTTACATCGGGTACTTAGTTACTATCACAGGGATGGTCGTTTTCCTGGTATGTACGGAACAGGCTACTCCAGGTAAGTGGACAGTGGCGCCGATTATTGGCACGGGCATTGCTGCGTTCGGGAATCAGGTTATCACCACCGTGCTCACTACGTACGCGGTGGATACCTATCCTCAGGATGCGGGGAGTGTGGGTGTCTTTATTAATTTTGTGAGGTCTACGTGGGGCTTCATTGGCCCTTTTTGGTATGTCCGGATTTGTATCCTTTGGTAGAGGTTATTGGCTGATGGTGTTAGGTTTCCGGATATGTTTGAGGCTGTGGGTATCGGGAAGAGCTCGGGGGTGGTTACGGCGTTGATTATGGGGGTGAGTTTTGTTCCGACGGCGGTTTTACATTGGCAGGGTCGGAGGTGGCATTCGTGAGAAGTTGTTTTCTCTAAGAGGTCTGTTGAATTGATTCCAGGGGATTCGCGAGTTTAGCTATCTTGGCGTTAAGTTCTTGTTTCTATTTTCCTTGGTAATTCGGATATTGGAAGAATATTCTCTGGCTAGCATACCTCTATATCTTACCTCCTATTCCCTTACGGCCTACATGGTGTTTTCAATTCCCTTTACTTTCATGACGAAGGCCATGCGTGTAGTATGCACCACTAACGCAAAGACCAGACTGAAGAAATCTTACATACAGGCATCCGACTCACCTTAACGATATCGAGCACTTACGTACTATTCCCAGGTTACCAACCACCCATTAGTTACTCGAAAATGAGGGGTATACTCGGCCGAGTCACCGGCGAAGCCCCAAGAACTGTCTTTGTATATGCTACCAAATATTCTATTTCCAAGTCCAATAATATTATCAGAACCCCATTTATAGTCAAAGATGCCCTTATACGAAATCCAAGCGGGACAAGCTCGGCCAAACCTCACGCATATCCCCAGTCGCAGGTTTACGACTCCCAGCGCTTTTGTGGATGTTCGGTTTAACGATGTTGGTTAGAATCATAATTACGTGGCTGGGAAGGACGTCCGTTACTTTCTTTTCTGAGCGAGGGGAAATGAATAATCTGATGATTCTAATTCAGTGTTCTGTCAATCGTATCATTGCCAGCGTTCGGACTGGGCCGAGTAGAACGGCGGAGGATTTTACTGCAGATTCAAGATGCGTGAAATAGGGTCGTTAATCCTAGTTAGAAGAAGGCGAAGGAAAAAGAGTTGAAGAAAGTGTTTATCATGGGTTCACTATTGTAGGAGTGGGAAAAGGTTTTCTGCTTCCAGTAAGATATATATATATCCCCAACACAAGGGTGGCACCGGACTGACACATTGTTCAAACACAGGCCGGAGGTGACGTTGACTGGTTTAAGGAGAATTTTCTAAAATTCCAGCAGTTGCGCAAGGAAGGGGACCAAGATTTTATTGACCTTGTGGAGGAGATGCGCAGTCCTGAGGACTTGGCTTCGAAGATTAAGGACTAGGACCGAGGTTTACTGCAACTTGGCCGTTGTCTGCACCTTTCTATGTCAAGTCAAGCTGCGTAATAGGTAGCTGTAGGTAACCATGATTAATACGAAGCATTCATCCAGTGCTACATTATCGTAAATCTCGGCGTTGTACTAAAAGAAGAGCTCGAATGGATTTTCATTCACATTCCTTAATGCCACGCGGGGTATCTCCTATAGGCGCTAGGTCTCATGCATGGGGCTATATAGGTGACACTTTCACGACGTCGTACATCCGCTGATATGGACAAAATACCACCGATGGGCATCGGTACTAGTCTCACTAGTCCCATCATTGCCCTTGGTTGAATCAATCCCAGTAATCTCTGTCACGTCACCCGTGGTCACAGTTGCCTCATCGGCACTGGTAATCCAGTACTCCGGACTGGCGTGGTGGTATCCAAGCAGCTTGGGGGGTAGCTTAGGTACAATGTCATCGGTATGAGTGACCCGATAGTTGCCACCCTTGTTCTGGTCGGTGATATACTGGGCCAATTCGAGATTTCCCAGTCGGGGTTGGCCATAGTTGTACTATTCAATCAGCACACTACCTCGATCCTCGGATCAATACACAGGCTCACTTACCAACTCAACCGTACGTCCAGCATTTCGGAAGACAGTCGCCGCGAGCGCCGACAAGGCAGCACCGTAGCTATGCCCTGTCATCACTAGAGTGTAGTCTGGATGGCTCGATAGGGCAGAATCCACCTTGGCGCTCATCTCGTCGGCTATCTCACTCCACGCTTTCCAGAAACCGCTATGCACTTCGCACCCGGAACACAAATTGCTGGCATCCTCGAGGCCAAAATTCAGATTTGCGATCCAGTTGGCCAGGTCGGAGCTTCCTCGGAATGAAAGCACCAAGAGTTTGTTCGTGTCATCGGCAGCAAGAAATCCGGCAGGGCTTCCATAGGACGACGATCTGAATCATTGTCGGTCATGGACAACCCAACGCTCTCGTGGGGAACAGACTTACTCGTTGAATTCGTCAAGCGACTTCGTAGAAGCAGCTTCTACAAGGGGACAATTGCCACCTCCGCATGACAGCTTAGTCCCCGTAGAGTTCAGGTTCTCTTCACAATACGCAGCCGCACTATATTGTGCGTAGAGATCCAGGTTTCTGAGGACCGAGGCACTGACATCTATATCTGTCAGCATATACGCGTAGGTTAGGAAACTGAGCAAGGGACAAACATACCTCTGCGCAGCGGAGCTGGCGCAGCTTGAGCCAGTAGAAAAAGACCAGCAACGGTCCCCAATCGCCCGAGACTAAGCATTCTGACTTCCAAGTACGACGAGACGTCCTTACGAATACATACCCCTTGCGAACTACGTCTATTTATACTGCAACTATACCTTCATTCTTTGGTTTGCTCTAATCATCCCTACGACCGAAGCCATTTGGTCAAGCCCCGCGCACTATACCCGGCAGGTGGCATATCCCAGCACGCGATGATACTCAAGGAATGTATGGCTGAGTGGGCGATCCTTCAGAATGTTAACTATCACTTTTCTAGAATAGTGGTTCGTCAGGCCGAGCCATGTGCATGACTAGTGCGTGGGATGTTTTCCATTAGACCCTATCACTGATAAGGGACTCCAACGTGTTGATGACTTCGTTTTTCGATAGGTGTTCCTGAGAGCGTTTCTGCGAGTCGCTGCCTAGTGCCAAACATTTGAAACTCGTTACGTTTAGCTGTGGTTTCTCCTCCTCTCACATAATAAACGGGATTGAATATTTCTGTTAGTTCCTCATGTTATCTGAAGGGATGCCTACATTAGCGTTTTTCAGAGTGAAACTCCGTCGGATCGCCGATCACGGAAAATTTCTCTCACAACGTTCTCCAATCTAAATTCCCCCTTTCGGAATTGTTTCGGACGATCTTCGGTGTCACTATTTGACCACGGGATCGCAGTGATACCTGGGTGCATTAATACATATTATCGTTCGGCCTACTAACGACACTGTGTACGTGAAAGAGACTGCAAGCGGACAAAAACATATTATCTGGTCTATTTTGGAGTCAATATAGTACCAGCTATAAGGGGCTGCTGCCCAAGCCCTGCCTGCCGAAACATGCAATGAGATGACCAGATATGTCATGGAAAGTTGGGTTCGCATGGCTTCGGGTAGGGCTTGATTTCCCCTCACACGTTGGCTTGGCTAAGGGGGTAGGAAGTCAGCTGGCATTTCTGACGGTCAGGGACTGGAGGAAAACCGTTCTCATTGTCTTTGGAAGCTTGATTCATCCAATGGAACTCAAGTGCAGTACATGCTCCTCACTTGATCGCTATATCTTTGCGCTTAGGACTACTCGTTAGTCTCTAGATCGATTCCTTCCTAAAATAATGTGATACGGTTCCTTTTAGCAGTCGACGTGGGTTGGGACTCGTTAAATCCTGAGATACCCTTGTACCTTATTGACTGTTCTTCTCCGGCAAGCGATATTAAAATCGTACAACTATTGGGCACAGGGCGATGAGAGGAAAGTATTTTGTGTTCAGCTCCAGCGCGCTGTCTTATAGCATGCATTTCTTAGTTAGCTGTGAGAGCATGTCACCTAGGATTGGTCACACTTAGTCCCCGCCGATATAGAAAACACCGGATCTTCTGGCATTGGGAACTCCAGAAACGCATTCAAAATGTCCATCATCGTACTTACTGTTTGCAATATTGGATCATAGTAGGATGACTCGCTTCCATTGGATAGACCAAGGCTATCACCCTAACCCTCTGAAATATATGTGCCCCTCCAGTATTCAATAGCATATTATTTGAGGGTTCGTATAGAATATCGTCAATGTCATCAGAGAATGACTTTATCTGTCATTCCAGCTGTATCGAGATACATATACAAATATATGTCAGTTTGCGCAGAGTAGGAATCAACTCGAATATGGATACAGTGATTCACATAATCAGTAAGCCGCCTACTTCCTCACCCTCGCCTCTATCACCGACTCACTTCCCCTAGGTGAGTGCCATATCTGCACTAGCTCAAGACCAACCTTGCCAAAAAGAGCCTTCCACTGGGAAACCGTGCGTTCCAATCCAGCAGTGTGCAGCCACATGAGAATATCCATCTCCGCAGCCCTCAGATCCGCGCCCGTGTCAGGAAGCACATAATCATCGATCAGCAATGTTGAATACTCCGGATCCATGGCTTCGACGACTCGCGATAGGATCTGGGCACTCTTGGCATCGGACCAGTTATGGAGGACGTCACGGAGAAAGTACGCACGGGCTCCTAGAAGATGATACTTTAGGTATTGGTTCATCACAGGAGCGAAGTTAAGAGACATACCTTTCACAGGCTGCGGCGTAAAGAAGTCGTATTCCATCGCCTCAATTCCATCGGGTAGTTTTTCAATCCGCTGAAGAGTCAGTGGCAGATCTTGGAGGATTAGCCGACCTGGAGTGTCCGGGTATTTCTCTTTAAAACGAATGAGTTCCTGGCCGGGTCCTCCCCCGACATCTACCATCAAACTGGAGCTGGGGTCGCGGTGTGCGTTTGCGAACTTCTCCGCCGCAGGGTAGATTTCGAACCATTGAGGTAGGTTCCCTACTCGTCGCGCGGCCATGTAGTCGTCGAAGGCCTGCTTCTGCTCAGGGTTCTTTTCTAGTAGCCCGAAGATCACATCGGTGCCGTGGGCGAATTTGAATAGGGTTATTGCGTCTGGTTCGTCGGCGAATTGCTGGATTCCGGGTCCTCGCATGTATTCGACGAGTCTACCTCCCTAAAATATCTCATTTTAGTCATGTATCTCAGTTCGAAGCGGAGGTCAGTGCCGTACCATTCCAAAGTCCAAGTCAAAACTAGAAAAGGGTCAGCTAGATTCTTCAAGAACAAAATTCCGAGAAAGGGGGCAGGGCATACTGATGCTTCTCTGCAGCGATCGATCCCGGCAAGATCTTGAAATGAGTTTTCTCATTGGCCGCATAAGTTTCATTCTCGACCTCATCGCAAAGGCCAATGGCCGTGAGAACACGCATTACACGAACTGGGAGCCAAGGTCAATTTTCATACGGATACGAGACCTTTCTTTCGCGAGCTGACCGATGAGCAAGAGATTCTCCCCACATTCGCCAGCTATTTGCGACGCTGTAACCGGGCCCCCATTCCGCGCTGCGATAACATGAAGGAATCGCCGCTCGATAGCAACTCGGATGGATATATTTTGCATGATCTCCGGTTAGTTAGTTATGATCGATGCGATCTAATCGTTCGTGGGCGAACCTGGAAGTTTAAACGTGATGTTGTCTCTACTGGGGTTTCCACAGCAAGTTGCAACGCGCGAATGGCTTTCAGGAGTTCACCATGTGCGTTAGCGTCGCCTGCTGCCTCTGCGGCAGCGAGCTTCTGCACTTCGGCAAGCTGTTTTGAAACTGGCATTTTGTGGGACTATTCTCGTTTGGAATGGGGAGTAGGCGCGGGGAAACATGGGTTTAAATCAATGTAGTCGTGCATGGTTCGGGTCTAGGATGACCAAGAGTACGCCGTTAGGTCTAGATCTAGAATGGCTATCCTCGTATGATTATGTTTTGTGTAATTTTTCATTGCAGATGTAATCCGAGCGAACCAACACTGTTCTAGTGATCTAACTGAAATGGACAGGAATGTCGGAACTTTCTGAGAAGCTTTGAGGCGGGAATTCCACTCAGGGGGGCACATTAATACACTTCATTCGATTCGCAGATTGAACCTCGGGATTATATTAACAGTACATGCACTATTCATGTCGCTAATTGAGACCACTCCAGTTTGGTGGATATAACGGCAAGATCCCTGTTCAAATACCACCCTGCACTCTAGTTCTACGACCTACTTCGTGCAACAGCATTGAAGCGTGCTGGAGTGTTACACCCGTGCCTCAATTTGCGCAGTTGAAGTTATACTTATACCCCCATCCTGGTGTGCCATTTAGTTAATGGTGGATCCCGCGCTGGCTTAAGTACCATGTTCTTGCCCAGCCTCCAGTAGCCATGCGACGCCAATCCTAAGAATATCAGCGCTACCGAGTATAGGTCTGATAGCGCATAGACTAGAGACTAATAGAGATTGTCTATTCCATGTACAAGTGAATCTCTCATATAATGAACGTACTCTACCCGCCTAGCATTGAATATCCCTCAAGAGTGAAAGAAAATGGGTGCAACCTCAGTGAAGTCTTACAGCAAGAATCACAGATTAAGTGCCATACCAAGCTCTTTGCTGGTCATCTTTCATAATAGAAACAGTATTCTTCGATGAGTGGGTGGGACGGGAAGCTAACCCTAATCTTGGGGTTTCTCTGGCCACATAGAGACTGGGTGAGAAGCTCGGAGAGGTCCACTGTCAAGTAAGCGCACATGTCTACCATATAAGTCTATGCCCTCCGGGGGATGTGGAAAATTCCGCTGCCAGCATGGTGACGGTCCCAGCTGTGAGGGAATAATGAAAATCTTGATAAAGTACGTTCCGGCATCCCTTCTTTATCTACTCCGGGATACCTAAGGGACTAACACCCGCAAATGATACCGTATGAGGGGTCAGAGGACGCCATTTACGGAGAAAGGGCGCGATAAGCCTCTCAAGATCTCTTACTGGGGATGACCCCAACTCCACGCCCTGCGGACGCTCACCGCGAATAATTGTAACTATACGCCCAAGCTTTTGGGATATAAAGTAGAGAGACAGACGAATACGGGCCTATGATCGAGAGGCCAGAAGAACAAATCAGTGATATGGCCGATCTTTTACTTGGAAAAATGGTTGGGTGTGGAAGGTATTCTTGTCGGTTCCATGCCGAATAACGATAAAGAGGTCTCAAAATAAACGGACGTGGAGGGAGGAGAGGAAGGAGATCTGGGGAAGATACTTGGCCAAACTACCAGAGGACGAACTCAGGCGAGATGTGCTTGCCACCAACCCCAATATTCCTAAGGAGGCGGTTTGAGCGATGTTGGGCTCGTTGAGGAACAGGTGCTGCAGTTACTAGTGGAACCGGGTGCGAAGTATGTCAATGAAAGATGGTTGGTGGCTTTATTCGTTACCTCCTCATGACCTATGCTCCTTATGATATTTATAGGCTAATTTATAATGACAGTGGATTCCTCAAAAGCTCTTATTTTAACATCTCTCGGACTCCACAGTGGTCTGTCTCGTCACCAGGATCTGTCTTCCGGATTGCTGGGGCTTAATACTAGTATCGTCACTTTCCCTACCATGTCCATCTAATGCCCCTTTGGCATAGGTCGAAACACGTGTCACACACGTACTTTGAGATTGGTCATCTAGCTGTATCCAGGACTCACGGCGATTGTGGCTGTCATTCAGGTAGTCCGACGGAGTCGTACCACTTCGAGAATGCCCGTAGCCTGCAGCGCTCTTGATATCTTGCGTAAATCGAACGAAGAAAGGACGAAGGACTGGAATTGACCCAAAGATAATGATGAACCACATCTCCGTGAGCACCCAGGTGTTTAGTTTATAAATCGCGTATGTGAGGTCATCGTGCGTGATGGAGGCAATGGCCACTGTTTTGTTGATGCCGGCGATACCTGCTCTACATGATTCCTTAGTATAGACCGAACAAGAAGGAATATAAGAGTTCAACATACATTAGACCCCCACTCATTATTAGGCAAAGTCCAACCTTGGTTGTGAGCTTCATCTGCTGTAATCGACCGATAATATAGACCGGATAAAAGGCAAGAAAAAGGTCCGCGGCTGCACCAATGCCTAGAGAACTGTTTAGTCCTATTCGGGTACGATATTTCAATCTACCACGTACTGCCCTGTAGAAAGCCGACCTGGGAGCAGATTAGGACCTTATCACAGGTTCCTGGGATGTCTGGATCCCAGAGCTTCTTTGTTGGGTCACACTGGTTCAAGATTAGGCCCACCTCGATCACGTTGATGATACCCTGTATCGCTCCGACTCCGTATAGAACAATACGACCGATACTCCTCGTGCGAGCTTGAAGCGATAGGAGGAAGGAGACGACTGCGATCCGGGAGATTGCGAGGCAAAGTATGGCTACAATCTGTGCCATCCAGCTCCACAGGTTGGTTTGTACGATATTGCTGCCTGATAATAAGTCTTGATGGTTTCCTAGGCCATACCTCACGCTCACAGTCATAAGACATTGCGTACACAACGCCAATACCTTTTTGTGGTCAGTATCAATTAGAATTAGGGCACGGGCGAGGCAATACCAATGCAATAGTCACCCAAATGAAGTCCCATCGTACGCCGAAAACACCAAAGTATGGTTGACCCGGTGGAGAGAAGGATGCTGTTTTCGCTCGCAATGCGAACAATATCAACGCCAGACCCGCTTCGGCCCAAGTAACCCCAAGAACCAGGGAGCCTTTCCCGCCATATGCTGAAGCTGATGATTCTGTCATTGAAAGTTGTGGCAAGCAATCCGTCCCAGGGAAAAGGAAAGACTACATTTGCCCACATATAGCATGCAGCCTTCAAACCACCCCTGGTTTCTGTCCGCATTGCATCTTTAACCTAATAACATCAAAGCTTGGCAGTTGCATGTGAGCTTTTCCATCAGTCATAACGTTTCATTGGTATACGCGTTCGTAAACAAGGGTCATATAGTACTGGCATTCTCTGTCGGTCTCGACCGGGCGCCTCCATGTTACACTGCTACTAGAATATCTGCCCAATAAGTAGATACGACATCTTGGCCGTTTGTTCTCTCCACAGCCGTACGCTTAGACTGACGGCTGATTTCTTGTCCCGCATTGTGGTTGGACTGTACCCCAGCTTAGCGTCGATCCCCCATGCTTAGCATCTGCATTGGTTTCAAGCATCCCTACAGGTATATGCTGGGATATTAATTAACGGCGCACGGGAGGTAAATAGCAACTTGCAGATCTGCCTTCTTTCGTCCGCCGGTTTCCTCCGTAGGGTAGCAATCTCCTTAACCGCGCAATATGCGACTTTGTAAATTTCAAGCATGTAGCTTCGGTGCTCCTGACTCGCGCTATTCGCTCAATGATGCAATTCAAGCCAATATTTCAAGATTCCGGCTTGGCTGTGTTGCATTGTACTACCCAAGTTAAGAGTAGGGGGGAAGGTTGTGGCTAAACGGAGTGAAGCACCCAAACTCCCAAGAGTTGCTTTGCTTTGCTTGTTGCTCCCCCCTGGTTCTTTTTTCCTTATCCAATTTTTGTCTGGTGTTCACCCTTCCTACATACCCCAGTGCCCCCTATTACCTATCTTAGGTCATCGCAATGGCGCGATTTGAATCGGACGAGAAGCCTCCTGTTCGCATCCAAGGTACCAACATTGATGAGGAGACAGAGGCTCTCGAAGGATATGTCGTTGATCCCTCCCAGTATCCTGACAATGCAGCGCACTTGAAAACAAGCCGTGACGGTCGATTCGTTCTGATTCCGCAACCGCTCGATACACCCAATGATCCATTAAATTGGTCTTCAAGGAAGAAGTGGTGGCTTGTGGCAATAGTAGCGTATATCGCGCTGCTGGCTGATTATACTGGAGGAACTGCTATCATTACTGTTATCCCACAATCTATGTAGGCCCACGAGTCACCGCACCGCCCCTCCCCCCCCCCTCCCCTTTGCTAGCCCGACAACTAATCAGATAACATAGTCAATGGGAGTTAGCTCAAGCGACCGCGCAGAGAGCTGTGGTGGGCAATCTCTTCACTATAGGAGCTTGTGGTCTCTTCGTGGTCCCCCTGGCGAGTTATTTCGGGCGCCTTCCGGTTACTCTATTGTTTCAATGTGTCATGGTGGGCACCTGCGCCTGGTCGGCTGCAGCCACCAGTTTTCCCTCCTATCTAGCTGCGCGGATTCTTAACGGCTTCTTTTGCAGTGTGGGTCAAGGCGGAGCTTTGATGTGGATCAAGGACCTCTTCTTCTTCCATGAGCACCCCAGAGTGATTAACTATGTAGAGTTCTCCATTATTATGAGCCCATATCTCGGACCCTTAATTGCCTCGTTTATTGTGTCCGGGGTAAGTTGGCGCTGGGCATTCTGGCTCTGCACAATCATGTCCGGAGTCGGTTTAATCCTCATTCTGTTTCTCGACGAAACATTGTTTGACCGCAAGCACCCACTACTATCGCGAGGGTCCTATATTAGCCGCCTAACTGGTCTGCACCAAGCAGAGGCCTGGCCGCAGAGAAGCTTCGTCCAGTGTCTGGCACGACCGGTTGTAGCCATTACGAAAATCCCTGTACTGACGATTCTCGTATACTACTTTCTCAATTTCGCTTGGGTTATCGGCGTCAACACGACAATCGCCATCTGGCTAAGCAATATATATGGCTTCTCAACCCGAGGCATCGGTAAGGCTCCAAATATCGCCGATATAGGTGACACCGAGTAACACATCCCAGGTTACTTCTATTTCTTCGGTATTGTTGGCGTCCTAGTTGGGTGGTTCACGGGGCATTTCCTTCACGATGGCGTTGGTCGGTATTACACCAAACGACACGGCGGACGACTGGACCCCGAGGCTCGGCTTATTATCACGTACCCTGCCACGATAATCTGCTGCGTTAGTCTGATCATCTTAGGCTTCGCATTTCAATACCATTGGCACTACATGGCCATCGCGGTCTTTGCCACTACGCAATGTATCGGCGTCATGATCATCACTACGGCTATCAATGCCTACCTCCTCGATTCGTACCCCGAGGGATCTGGAGAGGTGGGAGCGTGGGTAACTGCTAGTCGGAACTGGGCAGGATTTATGGCCACTTATATTCAGATTGACTGGGTGACACGGCTGGGACCTGCGAAGGCGCTGGGGATTCAAGCTGCTATTACATTTGCGTCGGTGTTTTTCATGGTCTTCCTGCAGGTGTATGGCAAACGGTTGAGGCATTGGCAGGGACGGATGGTGTTTAACAGACAAGGAAAGTAATAGTTCATGCGTTCGACCAGTATGATATCAAAAGTTGAGAACGATTCACTCTTACTTTCCATGTATCCAATGTACACTAGGTATGTTACGTTCGGGTAGAAGCCATCACTCTCCTTCGCTTTAGTCGGGTCATGCAAGACTTGTCCCACCATATGCCACGTCTTAACATTTCCCTTATAACCACAATTCACAAAAGCGCCAAAGTAACATTGACCCATACACAGTCTACATCTTAACAAACCACCTCACCCTTTCCCAGCTCAACCTCCAAACCCACCAGCAACGTCAACAGCACAATGCAACTCACAACCCTCCACCTCCTCACCCTCTTCACCCTCCTCCACTCCACCACCACAACGTCGCAAAACACCCCCATCTCAAACAAAACCCTTCAATCCCTCCCCCGCCCAAACACAGACTTTAACATCCACACCGGCCCCCTCCTCTCGCCTCTCCTCCACCCCCGCATCCCCGGCACCCCCGGCTCCTCCCAAACAAGAACCCACCTAACCAATTTCTTCAAATCCACCCTCCCAACGTGGACCCTTGAATACCAAACCTCAACATCCAACCCCGATAAAATCCCAATAACAAACCTAATTGCCACCCGCGACCCCCCGGGCCTCCCCCCCGGAAACATATCCCGCCTGACCCTTGTCTCCCACTACGACACCAAGGAATCACCGACTGGGTTTATCGGGGCGATTGATAGTGCCGCTCCCTGCGCAATACTGTTGCATGTTGTTCGGAGTGTTGATGCTGCTTTGACACGGAAATGGGCGAGTCCTAGTTCCGGTTCCGGTTCTGGGCGTGGTGAAGAGGGGAAGGGTATACAGGTAGTATTCACGGATGGGGAGGAAGGGTTTGATTCCCACCCCGAGGAAATGTTATCCGGAGCGAGGTCGTTGGCGGCTGAATGGGGAGGGGTGAAGGGGAAGTATCCGGGTGGATCGAAGTTTGAGAGTCGGATTAGGGCTATATCGTTGTTTGTGTTGTTAGATTTGCTGGGGGCGAGGGGGCCGAAGATTGTGTCGTATTTTAATAATACGCATGGGGAGTATCGGGCTGTTGCCGGGTTGGAGGGGAGGTTAAGGGGGTTGGGGTTGTTTAGGTCTGCGAAGGGGCTGTGGTTTACAGATGGGGAGAGGGACGAGGGGGGTGGAGGGCAGAGGTATCCGGTGTACGATGACCATGTGCCATTTCAGGAGCGCGGGGTGAGGGTTTTGCATGTTATTGATAACGAGCCCGAGGGGAGGGGGTTTCCCGGGGTGTGGCACACGTTGGACGACGATGGGGAGCATTTGGATGAGGAGGTTTTGGGGGATTGGAGTGTTTTAGTGATTGCTTTTGTGGTGGAGTGGTTGGGGTTGGAGGGGTATATGGCTTGAGGGGGAGTGTTACGGTTAGGGATAATGGTAAAGGCTCGACAGTTTCTAGTCAAGTATATATGTAATGCGCTTATTTTATTTGGACTATATCGTAGTGTAACATATTCGTCTGTGGCTGTCACCTCAACATCCCATCTCTGCGGATCTTCATGTGTTCGTAATAACACCAAGGATCCAATGAACACAGGAGGACTATTCAGGTTTATACACCTTGGCCAATACAATACCAAAGGCTTATATGTTGTTTTCTGCAGTCTCCTGTGGCGTTGGGTAAGTTGTCGGTCCGGGACTAGTGTCTCACCCACTGTATCTCCCAATCCAGTGGTCATTGATACATTCCTTTGCACCCACCTACCAGTACGTTTCATCGGGAGAGATGTATCCTTCAACGAACTACAGCCTGATCAACGTATCATCCTCACACCCACCCCCGGACCGGGAAAGCGGCTACCTCGATCAACGAGCCTCACTAGAAGAGAGTCACCTATGTTTCAAGCCTTGATGACAGTCAACTATTCGGGAAGTGGAAAAAGCACGGACCTTTGCTTCATATTCTTCATCTTTAGCTCCCGCAACATCTTCTCATACCGCTCATACTGACTTCCAGGGACATCTTTAATGCGGATTTCCTTGTGTTTCCTAGTCCAGCCCTGCGCACTGGGGCCCAGTCTATCGGCACTGTGGACGGCCCCGCCAACCATAGGGTCCAGTAAATGACTGACCTCAGTATTTGCCGGGCTGACAAACAACGGATGGTGTCCCTTTCCGTCGAGTTTACACTCCTCTTCGTCGGCCAGGTACTCGCTTTCGGGGGTGGTTATTAGCGGATCATAGGAGGCCTTGTGATGGCCGACCTCATCGTCGGTCCCTGTTTTACAAGTCTCCGTTCGTTCAGGGTTGAGGATCTGCCTTTCGAAATCGATGGCCTCCTCCTTCGCTTCTTTTGGTGGTTCGAGGTTGATCACGGTGTGGAGCGTGCGTCGTGAGGCTGGCAGAAGCGGTTGAGTAATGGGATGATACTGAGAGATCAGCAAGCGGTTCGCTTTCATGGCCATTTGGCCAGTGTATCTTCGGGAAAGCATTGTGCTTCTTCACATCCGAATGAGGGCGGTATCAGGGTTGATGTAGTAGGGATAGGATAACTTGGTAGTGGGTAGACAGCGACTTTGCAACAACCCGGGGATAAATGAAGGAGAAATTCTGGAGGGATTCCCAGTTTATATGAGATTCGAATGACCGGGATCCATGACGAGGAAGAGTGTCATCAAGCTGGTCATCGCCAACCAAAGTCGATGGATGCTGATGCCTCAGGCAGGATGACGTCATTCATGGTCTAGATTCACTAAACAATCTATTCAGGATCCATAGTTCTTTATCGATTCCTGCAGGCAATGGGATTGTTTCAACAGGCTGTTGCACCCCTGGTACACACAATGCTTGCCGTTGTTTGGGCGAGTGCTGATTGGCTCCCACGCGCTTTCCGGTTTGGTGCTCCAAGCCCTAAGAGAAGGACAAGTGAAAAATATAGTATCTTGAGCAATGTAGCGCTGTGCAACACACGGGGGAATCAATTGATTTCCATAGTATCTTTGGCCGTTTTCCGCCTTCATAATGCCATCATGTGTCAAATGGGAGGTACAGGTTGGAAAAACGGTTACACCAACCAACCTCCTTTCCTTTTTCTGGGGTCAACATCATAGTCATGGATCTAGGTCCACATCTCAGGTACAATGGCGAAGACTACGAATTTCTTCGCTGCGACCGGTCTTTCTCCTCGCGATCAGTCCTGTACGCGCACTGCAGAGATACTTGTCAACTCGCTTGGTGCGAACGATGTGCTCGCGTCTTTCTTTCCACGTCTGCGAAAGCCACACACCTTCGAGGCTCCGGCGCTCATCACCTGTGTCCAGCCCGTGACGGGTAGGATTTTCAGTCTGCCGACGATTTGGGCGTCCCCCTGACGGAAGTCTATCACTACTGTGACGTTTGCGAAGAATATTACGCTTCCGAAAAGGACCTGGACAGACACGGCGTGGAGATCTAACTTTTGAGAGAAATGTGATGGGTTCTTTACAACCAAGGGTGACTTACGAATGATACGTGGCCCATACTCTCAGCTTCCTTATATCAATGCTAATCAGACTTCTGGGATACGTCAGCACAAGCAAACCCACTTAGCCCGATCTCTCGAGTGCTACGGCGACGACTGCGGTAAAATTTTCAAATCAGTTTCCGGGATGCTCGTTCATCTAGAGCCGGGGAGCTGTGGGTCCGGCACAGCTGAGGACGACTTGATGAAATAACTCGCGAGTGTCGGCACAGTGAGAGCTTTAGAAGCTGTTTTCTGGGAGTTGATGGGTGGCGATATTTCTGCCTCAGCTGTGACCGAGATTTCTTCAGGCTCTCTGCTCTTTATTGGCACCATGAGGATTCTCTAGATTGTTCATACCTTCTCAAAGAGCAACAATGTCTAGCTAAGCTGAGACGCATTATTGCGCGGTCGTGGGGTAGATAGGGCATTGTTTTCGAAAATCCACATCCGGAATTACTACTATGTTGTTATGACGGTATATCAATTGTAATTACTATTAAAGCTTAGGAGGCAATACAGAGCGCGAGGGGCCATGTACAACACCTCCACAAGGCCGTTACCTGCAAGATAACAAGTAACTGGGTGTCCGGTGCATTCTTCTCTATATCTCTTGCTCATGCAGATGAGATGGATCCACGGAGACCGTAGTATATTGCTCCACAAGGGGCAGTAGTTTGTCCCCTTGTCATTTAAGTCGGAGGAAAATACTCGGGCAATAAGATATCATTTACGGCTTTGTACTATTTGGCTGCAAAACGGTGATCCCAGCGTCTGCATGTCTGAACGTCAGGTGTTCATGAAGATATGGGCTTGAACCTTGTCCTCGAGCAAGAATAATTTTCTAATGTGTCTTACGGTCAGAATAACTATCGTATAAAGTGTTTAAAAGTTCTCCTTGCCGCGTCCTTCAATAGCGAGCGTCCCTTACCGGGCCTTTCTATTCTAGTCGTCAGTGCGCTTTCCGATCGCAGTGAAAAATGCAACAAAGACCTCTGAATGTGTGGGCTAACGTTGGAAGTTAGCATAGACTAGAATAACTTCCTTCTGGATGCACTGAATAAAATATATGGGGTTCAGGTACACTCATCTCTACATTGGCCAGTTCCCTCGATTGAAGCATTATTAGAAATTTGATCTACTCATGGAGAGGTGAAGCAGGTTGGGATTCACCAATAAAACGGAGTTCACTCGAAGATTATTGCTTTGAATAGTCTCCCTTGTTGTACATCTTGATCGGGTCACGGGACATGGCCTTGAAGCCTTAGCGCCTTTATCTGCTGCGTCAGCGGACCACCAAATGTCAACTATAACTCCTTGGCTCCTCTCCATAATACAGAGGAATTCTTCTTCCCATTAAATCCCGCTAGTATGACGTCCGCGACAAACTTCCTTCAATCAGTGCTCATCACCGGATGCAGCGCAGGTGGAATTGGCTCGGCATTGGCTGAAACATTCCATGAGCGCGGGCTTCACGTCTTCGCGACGGCGCGCTCAAGGTCCAAGATGGCTCAATTGGAGAAATTATCAAATGTCACTCTCCTCGAGCTTGATGTGACCGACTCCAAGAGCATTGAAGCTGCTGTAGAGGCTGTCACCGCGAAGACGGGCGGCAAGTTGAACCACTTGATCAACAACTCGGGCCAGAGCATTGTCATGCCTGCTCTAGACACCCCCATTGAAGATGCAAAGAAGCTGTTCGATGTCAATCTGTGGGGCATGGTTGCCGTCACACACGCCTTTTCGCCCTTGATCCTCAAAACCAAAGGGACAATAGTCAATCTTGCTTCCCTGGCTGCCTTCTTTCGTAGCCCCTGGATAAGTCTGTCTCTACTTTACTCATATTCTCGGAACTTTTCGCTGATAGCATCAAGGTTTCTATTCTGCCTCCAAGGCTGCCGTAGAGGCCTATAGCCGTTCCATCCAACTTGAATTGGCCCCGTTCGGAGTCAGGGTCATTACCTTGGTTGCCGGTACGGTGCAGACCAACATCTTCAGAAATTCTGGCGGAAGCCCACTGGCTCCGGACTCCATGTACAAGGCGGCCACGAAAGAGATCAATAGTCTGGCAGGTGGGGACCTCGTACAAGGGGCTATGCAACCTGCCGACTTTGCCAGGAAGGTTGTAGATGATGTTCTCGGGGGCGCGACCGGTACGGTCTGGCGAGGAACATTTTCGACCTTGGGAAGAATTATGCTCGCCGTCATCCCAGAATGGGTCCTGGTGAGTGGTACTCTACAACAATTGCATTTGCCATACTCACATTGTGGTGTATAGGATCGTATCACGTTCACTCGCACGGGTCTCAGTAAATTGCCCTGATGGACGTACTAGTGTAACCTGTCTGGGGTGATGTTTTGATTTCGTTTACTTTTCTTTTCACCTGCATGTGACATTGACGTTCTTAAGTGACATACTCTGTAGCAGTTTAAACATTCTTTTTGGGTTGCCTGTACATTAGGAAAAAAAACCAGAATCTCATCTCGTCTCATCTCATATTCCGTGGAGGCATGACAGATAAATCCATGTATCTCTATACTCTCCTTAGGATCCTCGGACCCATGGGTCTGACTTCAGCGAAAGCCATGTAATATTCGGATTTAAGTCACTGACTCCTAAAAAAGTGTAACTCCGCAAGCCAATAGATATTTCACTGCGAAGTGGCTATCGTACTTGGACCCAATATGTTTGGGAATATTTTGAAGCATCACTTGGATTTGCATCGCTGAATCGTGTACCTGTCAGCAGGACTTGAACTTTTGGTTTTGGGTCACTACCTAACGCTGAACTTCGCTCGGCACTAAATTTAATGGAATTCCCCGAAGCCAACCATTACCATGAGTATTTTTCCGATCGAGAAAGAGGCTTATCAGGGGTGTTTTAATTATCGCAACATACCACTCTGAAGCCCTAGGGTCGGAGGTTTAGAAGGGTTGACCGTTAAAAACCGCCTTCCTGTCTTGGTATAGCGTTGGGTGATCTTCCGTTGACAACCTGAGGCATCAAACAGCTGAACCCGTTCCATTCGAATATTGACGACTTACACCTTAGGTATCCGAGCAAAATTATTGCGGAGCTCAAATACCTTCATATCTCTTTGATACGAATCTATACGAGACCACGTGATCCTAGTGGCTTGGCCGGATCACCAACTCCAGCCCCTGAAGGCTTTACCTATTAGTAGTTGATGAGAAGCAGTCAAGATAGTCGATAGAGTCATCTATAGAATTGAGTATCTATCGAAATGGCATCCAGTCCACAGTAGGCTACGTACGTGTAGCTGATACAGCATCATTCTGCCCATCTTTCCCCTGAGATCACAACGCTCTTCAAGGATCAGAGTGCTATTTTACATCAGGTAGTGGGGTTATACAGTCAATGAAAAGTCTATGGAAGGCGTCTTCCCTACATTGTATACAATATGACTAATTTTCCACTTCGGTAGCTACGCTGGACCCCTAGCGGGTACCAGACAGACGATTGCCGGAGCAAACGTTTTAAACTGGGAAACTAGATCACTTGACAGCGAGTCGATGCCACAATTGCAGGAGAAGCGGCGCGTTCCTGCGTCGACTTCATTGCACTTTTAGCCTAGGAGAGGAATTCAACGGGGAGCTCAACTCCTTTCATTGGTCAAAGATATCAACACTTTTCATGCGACATGGACCAGGTCTGACATACATAACCCTGTCTGCACCTGACGACTAATAACGTCCACCTGGTTTGACCATGAAAATCCCCCATATATAGCTGACTACGTCAAAGGAATTTAGATCGAAGCAAGACTCAAGGCACAGTGAGAACTCGTACAAAACTAAAATGTATAGAACAGTATAATAACAAACCTACCAGCGAAGGAAATTAACTAACGATGACAGGATATCTCTAATATGCTTTGCTTTATTAAAATTCAATTTATATTCTGTTAGAAATGATTCTTTTCGCATCTCGTGCTTTTAGATACCTGCTAGCTAGTTGTTTCCTCTGTATATTCTAGGACCAAAATGAGTAATAGTAATTTACTAATGCCTTAGATATATATCGTACCTATATGATACACCTAAAATGGGTGACCAATACGCTTCTTCGATATCCAGATCGAAAATATCTTATCTATGATAGATATTGTTCTTTGGGGCATGGTGACCGGCCCACTCCACATGTTCATGGATCACCCCCCTGAGCAATTTCCCGATGTAAGCGCAGATAAGATCCGATAAGCATTATGCTTATCGCCGATAAGATGCGGCATCGGCACATGCCGTTGGCCGGCATTGTCCGTCCCCGACAAGGGTCACCAAGTATAAATGTCGTCGTCCGAGCATAGACCAATCCTAGCTCTGTCTGACGAATTGGATAGTTTGGAGCCTACTAGTATCAGCAATGCCGGTTACTATCAAACCCCTCACCCCCCCACCGGGATCCGCCATCAACTTCGGCGCTATCGTCAACAACATCGATCTCGAGAACCTAACCGGTACATTCCCCACCTATCACCTATACCTATATATACCATTCAAGTCACCAAATAAAATACTAACAAGTCAAGATGAAACATTCTCAACAATCCACTCTACCCTCTACACCCACCAGGTCCTAATCTTCAAAAACCAGCGCCATGTCTCCCCCAAAGCCCAATACCTCCTCACCAAACGCTTCGACCCGTCCTCTACCCAATACGGCCACGGCAAAACCATTGACGCAAAGCGCAGCATCCTCCACCCCGATCTCAAGACCGTGCCCCACCAACCTCAAGTCCAAGTTATCGGACATGGCCACATCAACTCCTACGAAGGCCTCTCGAATATCCAACTAAAGCACCCGCACCACAAGACCTTCCACCGGGATCCTATCCCCGCGGAAGAAGATCACGACTTCACTCGCTTCTATAGATGGCATATTGACGCCGCACTGTACGAATATCATCCGTCCAAGGTAACGACTTTGCTCGCGGTGAAGGTACCAAGGGGTCGTCGACAGACGCTCAGATACGATGATGGGTCCGATGAGACATTGGACGTACCGCTAGGCACGACGGCGTTCGTAAGCGGGGAACGGATGTTCGAGCTCTTGTCGGAGGAAGATAAAGACTTCGTGCTAGGAAGTAGGGTGGAATATGCGCCGCATCCGTATGTCCCCTTCCCCACCATCTACCCTGCGAATACACTAATACAGTCCAAGATATGTCTGGATGAGCCCCGCGCGCGCCCTCCCAACAGGTCTAGGCCTCTACTCTGAGGGTCTCGAACTCCCCGAGTCCGATCTCCCGGCTATCGATGAATCGAAGATCATGATCTTGCCGATGGTCTGGAAGAACCCGGTTACGGGGAAACCGGCGTTGCAGATCCATCCATCTGCTGTGCGGAAGATTCATCTGAAGGATGGGGGTGTAATTGATGACTTGGCCCGGGTGCGGGAGATCGTGTACCGGCTGCAGCGGCCGGCGATTAGTCCGCAGTATGTGTATGCGCATGATTGGGAGGAGGGGGATTTGGTGTTGTTTCATAATCGGGGGGTGATTCATTCGGTGGTGGGGGCGTTTGGGGATGATGAGGTGAGACTGTTTAGGCAGTGTAATTTGGCGGCGGGGGAGGCGCCGGTAGGTATGAGCGGTTAATGTATTTTCTTTTGCTTTTGGGTTAGAGTTGATGGGGCGTTGTGATTGTTTTTTTGGGGGGGGGTTGATTATTAGATGGTTTGTTTTCCTAGAATTAGATAGAGCGGGTTTGTGTGGTATTAGGTTATATGTTCATTGTATTCTTTGTCCACTGGGGTAACCAGGGATTTGTGCTAGGGGGGTATACTATGCTAACTGTATGCTGGTATCATGGCGATCTATGTCTATGCGATGCTTTTGTGTCTTGATGCTATCATAATCCGAATCACGACTTATGGTCAGATCGATGAGTCATTACCCTTTTTGTCCACATTAGGGTAGTCATTAATGCGCAAGTTCCTATTAGACGTTAGCAACTAGGTTAATCGTGTTTGAGGAGAATAGAATATACACTAGCGAGCTTGCTCTTGGCTCTAATCCTGGGTCCGTAGAAGGCTAAGACCCACGGTACAAGTGTTAATGCGGCTCCCTGGGACTGTTAGTAAATCAGATGTGCATAGCTAGTGAAAATCTCACAATTCCTCCCAGTAAACTAGAAGCCGCGGGGTACCCCAAGTTTGTAAATAGTGCACTGGTGACAAGGGGGAAAGCACCACCCAGAAGGTTCCGGCCTGTATACTGCATTAGAGATATTCCTGTCATTTTGATCACAGAGACACTTACAGCAAGACTGTGCCGCAATTGCCGAGCTAGCAAACCGGTGATACGTATCGGCCAGATAGTTGAAAACAGCCAGATAGATCGACAGGATGCCCATGGTAGCACACCCGACAGCCATCGCCGGAACGATCCAAGGCACGGATGAGTACGACGTCCATCCGAACCAGAACAGACCGATGGGCATGAGAACAGCCTGGACGCAGGCGAAATAGAGGCGCTTCTCCGGGGTCTCGGGAAGCTGGATGAATCGGCGGACGACTCTTTCCTGATAGATACTGATTATAGTGGCGATCACGACGGCGACACACATTGCTATTGTTATTAGCGTCGTTTTGAGTTACCACCAGGCAACGACGACCTACATGTAAACACGGCACCGGTTTGCTCGACGTTGAAACCGTGGTTCGTCTTGAAGACTAGTGGTACAGAGCCAAACTGGAGATACAAGACGGCCCAGCTGAAGGCAGCCCACAAGGAGAAGAAAAAGACCACCGGTTCGGTGAAGAGCATGTCTGGAGAGTATTAGCCTGTGATGTCTAGTAATAAATGCAAGGGTCGGGCATACGGAAGGGCCGATAGCAAGAAACGCTGATCATTTGCGCCAGGGATGCTCGCTGCTCATCGCTCTTGACCTTCCACCGGATCCGCTTCGTGCACTGCTTCTCCTTTGACTCTTCATCAGCCATGACCACGCCTACATGGCCCGCATCCTCGAGTGCGTCGTAGTATTTGTTCAGCGCATGGGCTTTGCGGCTAAGAATGACGCTACCGCGCGTTTCCTTAAAGAAGAAGAAAATGATGACGACAAAGACGGCCGAAACAATCGCGTGCGAGTAGTAAATCCACCGCCATGTGGTATGATAGACGATCACACTGGACAAGAGTGGAGCGAGACCTGTACCAAATAGCGCCGCCCCCGAGAATAGAGCCATAGGAGTGTTACGATCTTGCGCATGGTAGATATCACTAATGACACCACCAACCATAGTCGAGTATGTCGCTGAGTAATTTGTTAGTAGATACGATACGTATAGGTGGCTGAGGGATGCGTGACTCACAAGCGCCGACACCCTGAAAGAACCTTGCTACGAGAAACCCGGCAAAAGAATGAGTTCCACCACATGCAATAATACATGCTACACGACGTCTGTTAATATAAATCTCGAGTTGGTTTCCTGCGACGAACGTACCTGTAAAAACGATGCCACTAACAACAAAAATCGGCCGTCTGCCATTCAGCTCCGAAAACGGAGCCAACACCATGGGCGCCAATGCAAACCCTATACAGAAGATGGTGATACTCAGGTTGTACACCACACTGCTAATGCCCCATACTTTTGTCAGCTCCGCAGAGGCCGGACTAACTTCACCAGCCGAGTAACCGGCCAAGGCAGTGACAGCACAGGAGATCCACGTCATCATCGTCTTCCGCCATTCTGGCCATAAAAACGGGGAAATGTACCGCTTGAGATCAGGACATTCTGGTGCGGGCGACTGATTTGGCCCGGGCGGCAATGTGATCAACGGCGTCGGTAAAGGCGTTTCTAGTTCGAGGTAAACATACTCGATTTCTTGTGTCGGAAGAGCGTCTTTCGGCTTGGTGTCTATACTTTTCGAGCATATTGTTTCGCCGGAGCTAGAATTAGGGTTGGCGTGTATCAGTCCCATAGCGACTAGGGTAGGAGTTCCTTATTTTTCCAGGTCAGAATGTGTACATTCTAGTTCGGGGGCTGTAAGATTTATAAAATTGGAAATCCCTGGTCTAGATTTTAGAGGCGACCGAAAAATGGATCCGTCGTGGTGGAAAATTGGAGAAGCTCTGACTCTGACCGCGCTTTGTTCGGAGAATGGTCCATAGTCCGGAGGATCGTATACGATCGTATACTTAGGTTTAATTAGTAATTTGGAAGTATCAAGACCAACTTTACGTTTCGTATGGTAGAGATATACTAGTGGACCTCTTAGAGTCGATAGATATGTTACAGTTACATGATCGTGGGACCTATCCCATATTGCATATGTTTTTCCTGCTATAACAGCCCTACTAGGCTAGCTAGCAGTGGTGTCGGGATATGAAGAAAGAAAAAAAGAGAGAAAAAATAATTTGGGGAAGAATTCCCCACAAGTCAGAAATTTCCCCAAATCGGAGAACCGATGGTGAATAATCCACTTCAATTCCCTAGACTCGTAAATGTGAGGAACAAAAGAAAAAAGAGAATTCGCAAATATCTCCGAATCCACGTCATCGTTTGGTTAGATTTATCTCCCAACGCTTTTGCGCAGCTTGGGCTCCAGGGGGAAAACCTGCTCCTCCACCTTGACATCCCCATATACGTTCTCCCATCGCCCGCGCAGTGGCTCCGGTGTCTCCCACGCCAGTTCCGGGTCGCGAAGCCAGAGTCTCAGAAGATGGCGCCTTCATATCCGTCAGCACGTTAGAACCGACTAGGAAAATATGAAACGACTTACTCTTTCCCAGGCTCATCCCGAAATCCCTTCCGCGCGTGGAAGATGCTCAGGTTGTTGATATACTGAACGTCACCCTTCTGGAAATCCAAGGCGGCACTGTGCTCCTCGGCCAGGAAATGAAGCGCATCGAGTGCCTCGGCTTGCGCCTCTGAAATTGGGGGGATGTTAGTCGACCGGGGCTGGGCGAGGAATCCGGTGAAGTAGCGACGAGCGTATTGGATCAGGACGCGCTCGGGAGTGGTCTCTGTTGCCTTCTGGTGATACAGAAGGGGGCGAGTGGTGTATGGCTTCTCGGGATTATTGAATCTGATTTCTCGCATTAGCGATCGATGCTTACCAACGAACCTACGAACGCTCACCCGTCGACCGGCCATGGCTCTGACAATGTACGGACCAAGTCTGGTCTCTCTTTCGCCAAAATGTTATATACCAGCCAGCTGCTTGAAATTTGGCTCTCACCACCTTCAGCGGCAGGATGCAAACAGAGAAGGGAAATAATATCGCCCGAATCGGTGTGGAACACCTGTTTATCGTTCGTGTTAGACGGAGCCCCGATCGTGTTTGCGTCTGCCGTCCGCGTCAAGTCCTTGATATGCGACAGAACTACGGAACCGCCGTTGGCATTAAAACGTCGGTCTTCCTGGCGCCCGCGGATACTCCCGATGTGCGAAGATACACCGGCATAGATGATGATGTTATCCTCGCGAGAATAGCGGTCGATGTCTAATCCGCGGAGAACGAAGAAACCCCGACCGTTATGGATCTCATTCGAGAGCGACCGTAGAGTTGGGCCAAGGTTGGGCAAGGGAAATGTCTCAGCATTAATGTTTCCCAGGCTCAGCTTGAGGGCTGTGGCAAGTTAGCATGAGTGTTCCCCTGGCGCAAAGCGCAATACAAAGGTATGGTATACCCTTGAAGCTGTTCAGCGCCGCATCGATCTCCTCCCTCTGCGCATCATTCAACTTGAAGATCCAATCATCGCGCTTCTCGACATCTTTTCCTTCCCACACCAAGGGCGACTCTAACTTCTGCGGGAACCCCTCAGGTAGAGACTTAGAAAGCTCCTCCGTAGCCTTTCGGCGTGCAACCCGCGCCGTATACTTCTCGTAGTCCGGATGATACTGAATATCTGGTTGAACGGGAGTATGGACAGCGGCCGCCATTGTGCAAGTGTAGTAGATCCGATTCCAAGTAACGATAACTTGAAGTTACTCTGGCCGGAATGACCAAAACGCATGAATATAAAGTGTCGAATACCCCGCAGCCTACGAATCACATCATCAAATAGCGGTGCAGCGAATCATTGCGCCATCCGGCCCGAGAATTGCTATCATGGCAAACAAATGATGACCGTATTCGTTGATTCCCCCTGCACTGCCTATTCCGTGCTCTTGCAGGCCTTCTTCCGTATTAAGGAAGTATCTCCATTACGCCCTCCAATGATTAAAGGAATTGTCATGTGTCTACTAAGCCCTGAAGTGATTGTGCACGGCTATGTTTCCCTTTTCGGATCCTGTTCGTCGCATTACGTTACTTGGATTTCTAAGCATCATGACATGATCGTTTTATTCTACAAAATTTCGAACACACATAAGTGAACATAGCTCATAACCTTGTCTCTAAACTCATAGTTTGTCAAGTCCCTATTCCTCCAACCGCCTCCCATCAATATCCATATCGACCTTATAATACTTGAACTTCCGACTCGGGACCTTCCTCTCGAACAAGATATCCAACTCCTCAAAGGTCCTCCCTTTAGTCTCAGGCAAACACCAGAAACAATAAATCGCGCACAGCGAACTAGTCCCCGCAAAAAGAAACCCAATCTTCCCCCTCCAATCCGCCTGGTCCTCATTCATGGCATACGGAATCGCGACCGCGAACACCACCGACCAGACAAAACAACTCACCGTAGCCAGAGCGATGGTAAGCCCCCTCAACCCAGCAGAGGACACCTCAGCCAGAAGCACGTAGCAGAACGGCCCAAGACTGAGGTCGTACACGAACGTACAAACCAACATAAGACCGCATTGCGCCCACACCGTGTCCGTACGACGCGGGGCGAGGTCCACAGTGCCTATGATAAAGAGGAGGATGGCCAGCGAAGAGCACCCGAATATATACATGGTTCTCCGACCGACATACGACAGCAGGGGCCAGGAGATACATGTGCCCATGAACCCGATAGCGGTGAGTCCAATGTTCATGGAGAAGGCATCGGATGAGTCGAGGCCAGCCAGCTCCATGAAATGCACGGCGTAGTTGATGAAGAAGACGTTTCCGGTGAAGGCTTGCATGCTGTATGCCATTACGCAGATGAGCAGGCGCCGGAAGTTGGGCCCGCGGAAGCATTCCATGTAGTTTGGTCGGCTGCCCTGGAACTCATCCTCTAGGCGGAGAGTCTCGCGGATGTGTGCGAGCTTGAGCGATACGTCTATGCCTGGCGTGGTTAGGCGGCGGAGGGAGGCGCGTGCCGCGTCATATTTGCCCTTGCGGCAGAGCCAGTATGGGGGGTCGGGGCAGAAGATGACGAGGAATATCATGATGCATGGTAGGGCCCACTGCGTGGCGATCGGGATCTTGTAGGATAGCTCGCTGTCCATGCCTTGCGTGCCTTTGAGGATGCCTGAGGCGATCAAGGAGCCGATGGAAAACGCCAGGTTAGTCATGGTTGCGGCAAACCCGCGCAGCACGAGCGGAGTCACTTCGCCGACGTATGCCGAGGCGCAGATTGGGTAGAAGGCAATGACGGCGCCGTTGACGAGTTGGCCGACGAAGAGTTGGGCCGGCGTGTGGCTGAAAAACTGGATGAAGATGAAGGCGATGGAGCAGCATGAGCATACTGCGATCATGATACGAGGCCCAAATCGGTTATAGGTGAACCCGGAGCAGAGTGCGCCCACTATCGCACCGAGCAGGTTGGCATAGTTGAAGGCCGAAAGCCACTGTGCGGCGATCATGTACTTTCCATTGTGGTTGTAACCATACGTCTCTTTAAAGACATCCAGACCAACCAGACCTTTGACAACGCCCCCATCGATACCCTTGAGGATTGTTGCCTAGAGCCTTGAGCGAAGTGCTTTGGAATGATGTTGTGAGAGAGTTCCTACCAGATTCATGAATAAACCCCACCCCACCGCGGGCCAATGCAGCCGCATTGCCGTCCAGAAGCCCTGGTTGTGTTCATCCTTCGAAAACTGGAACGACAGCTCTGCATCCTCAATAGCCGACACTGGGACCGACTGGACAAGAGTGGTCTGCTTCTCTGCCGCCTTGCTGGTCATAATCCCGAGTCACCGAGGGTACATGGTTAGGGCTTCAACTTGCCTTCTTCAGGAAAATATATACCGACCTTGGGCTTGGCATCTCCAACGGAGTCCAATCATTGGCCCGCGATTAATCACCTATCAGATCATAACATAATCGGTTGTCCCCGCGGGTCCTCACGCCAAGTGCTGCCAAGGGAGACACTCTGTTGAATGTGTATATATGTCCGTATCAATAGAGGCTAGAGATTTTACTATAATATAGACATCTTAAATCTTTTTTACATATAATGAACCAAAGTCTCCATACTTCACCTAGTCGAAAGTGGCAAATGACAGTTAGTGCACCCCTGGACCAAGATATATATCTTGCGACAACTTCCAACTCATGAGTCAATAAAGGTAGGGGGCTCTAGACGGTATTCTAAGCGGATACAGTAATTCAATTTTTGATATATTGATACTGTATTAAAGCATAGGTTGCGTTATATAAAATATTCTACAAGCACAGCGGGCAACTCACTATTCGGCCCCTTTTATCTTGATTCGAACAACGGAATAAGGAAAGTATTCGTTCTATCTACATCTCAGCAGCAAGTGGGAGGCTACTATTACGTAAAATTAAACGGCTATCGTACATATGACCTATGATCCATCTATAGAAACAAAGGGTAGAAACAAAGGGTAGACATAATATTGACCGTGTATAACTGAAATATCTGCGGCTCATTCTATCTATATATAGTGAACAAAGCTTATCGCCTAACAAAGCCCATAGCTTGTACTAAGTGAACAAGGTATAATATGATGCATAAGTGACCGAGAAATAACAAAGGGAACCACAAGTCAGATGCAACTACAGGTCTTGAGAGAATACCGGCGTGGGTAAGAACATGACGGATGAGTGAGTTCAGGGCCAAGCCGAGGGAGCGGACTGTAGCAACAAGCGTAGGAACGCATGAGGGCGAGAGAGACACGAACCACTCATAATCACACTTAATCTGGTCTTCGATGAGCGATTGCCACTGGTCGTACGGCAGGGAGGTCTTCTGTGTGAGGATTCGGAATATTCCTGCTAGCTGTCCCTGGACCTGAGGAAATGTAACAGGCTTGGCCAGGGCCTCAGCAAGGTGGCAATGTAACAGTCGGTTGTGGCGTCGTGAGGTCAGCACATACAACACCGAGGTCGTCGACATCAGCCCTGCAGATGTAGCCTCTTGCTGGAGGTTGTCTTCCCAGGCCTGAATCACGAGCCGAGCGAGCCTGCCACCATCGAGGTACAGGGAAGATCCACCGAATGCGGAGGGAGTGGCGGCGGCCTCTAGGGGGTCGAGGAGCTGGGTGCACGCCTGTACCAGCGCCGCCCCACTGAGTGCTCTGGGAGGAGCCGTGCTGTGGACGAGGCCGCTGACGAAGGCGAGGCACCCGAAAATCCCGGCTTCATCGCTTAGTGGAAGAGGCGATAAGGTTGGCCACCACATGCGCACAAGGAACTGGAGAGCTAGCATTGAATCATAATGTCGGATGTCAGCCGGTCGGAAAGTTGCAGGGAGGCACCACTCGGCACCGTTGTATAACCACACACGGTGGCCCACGGGGAGGTGCCCCCCGCGGAGTGGCAGCCACGCCGTGAAACCGCACAACAGGCCCTCTATTGTCCATAGATCTGATGATATCGAACGGGCGAAGCCTGGCAGCCACAGTGTCCCGCCGAAGCAGCATCCGTAGACAAAATCACCCGACAGCAATAAGTCGCCTACTGCAGGCTTGTGTTGGAGGGCTCCAATCCCAGGATGAGAGGAAGGCGGCTCCCTAGTCAGATGCTCAAACAGTTTAGGGTACAACGATGGTGGCATCGGCAGTAGAGGGCCCCTATATATGGATGCACAGCTGTTACGAGGCGTCGTGCTGGCAGGGGGCAACCAGTCCGCCACGGTCCGCAACTGCTGGCCGCAAGCAGCAAACCAGGGCACGATGTCCGCAAAGCCACTCACCCGGATAGCCCCTCCACAGACATCCACAGTCTGCGCAGAAATGTTGGGCAAAACGTCATGGATCGATAGTGCAGTGATAAGATCGAGCCCCCCCGAGGCGCTAGCGTCGGTGCCGCTATACCCTGAGCAAAGTAGGTTTCGCGCACTAGCAAGCCGCGATTGTGCACGCCAACTGCCCGTGCGATGACATAAAGGGCAGCTGGCAGTGGGGGTCTTAGCACTCGCGCACTCATTGCTGTGGGCAAGGGCATAATCAACAATCGTTAGGAGTTCACATCGGTTCATGGTGTCGTGTAGCTGTTAAGCTCTGCTACCATTTGCTAAGATTAGTGAATTTTGTAGCTCAGAGAAAGATTGACTGCTATACTTCTTTTCTGTACAATTAAGCATCATATATAAAAGGGAAATTTAATCTCAATTGGCAATATCAGGGCCTATAACTGTACGAGTCAGCCAATCCGTATTTTAGCTGGGAACCCAAGCCTATTGCATCACCTTCAAGGTCATCTGATAAAAGTGAGCGCAAAGACCTATAGTATAGCCAGTTATATTAACTCGTGTCACGTAAGGCAAGGAATAGAAACATAATGCAAGAAAGCGCAAACCTCCCATAACCGATCTAGACGCTCTATTAAGTAAAATTGGGAGGCATTGTAATGTGAGGTGAAGCATCATTCCTGAATAACTTGTTTTAGAAAAGCGGACAAAATTGACGACACTATGGATACCGGTATTGCTAAGAAAACTCCCCACATCATTTCTACAAACTCTCCACTCTCGGGCCAGGAAACAACCCCAAAGGAATTCAAGTGACGCCACCAATCCATAGTGAGTGGACTGCTAACACGTGTTAGATAGCTTATGGAGTTATGGTGCTATGTAGACAGGAGATACCTCGTAGAAAACACCGGGTGAAGAGGCCCTCTATTAGGGTTATATACTCTGTAGGATTTGACTATATAACTTAGACTACGTGGCATGCTATCAATCTACAATGCCCCACCTCTACTGACAACACACAGCCTGATAGACTCCCTTAGCTAATCAAAACGATGCTCATTGGGTTAAGAAAGTGCCGGCAGAGCATGAAGAAGTAGTGCAATAGACTATTTCACTGTATAAGATAGGCACAGCCACCGGATGTCTCGGGTGCAGAGACAAATTACCTCAACCCCTCTATTTGTCAAGATATTGTACGTATCTGTAAAAAGTATTCCTTCTACATGACTTTGAATATCACAGTAAGGATATATATTTAGTCGCATGGCACAGGTAGATCTATAGTTCCTTGCCCAGTTATAACTTATACCTGCTTTTCCGATAAGATTTAGCATACTACGCGAAGGCATCGCATCCCTGTTAGGCATGCCTAGTGAATATTTACATTTCAGAGCTCACTGGTGATTAAACCGGATATGAAAGTCCCCGAGTGCAGATAATCATTGAAGAGAATGCATTGGTCGGGAAGTCAAATTTCCGGGGCCGAAATGATCGTGATGATTAAGCGGCCGAGACAATGGCATCAGTAGGGCTACAAAGGATTAAGTTTTGCGGATGAAGCAAAAACAGTTCATATAGACATGATGCGCCCTGCAAGTGATATAAGGTACTGTCAATTCAGGATAGATCTAGTGGTATCATCCGCTTCCCTGTTGGCCGAGGAGACATCGAGTTATTATTATAAGAGGTGGCTTGAATCTTGCGAGCATCTGTGTACGCTTTTTATGAGTATCAAAAACCCCTCATTAAGGAGCTAGAAGGCTATCCTCCTTCTTTCTAAGACTTTTCTATAATCGTACATGTTGTCATCCAATACACGAAGATAGTACGCGTAGCTGCTGCCGGAGGTTCAGGAAGTATGACCAACCGCTGCCCCGATTATTGAACCACCAACCTAACACAAACAGGTGTCGCCAGCGAGGTGATCGAAAAGATTCTTGCCAAAGGGACACATGGTGTTATTGTACTTGTAAAGTCAGTCATCTGCTTCGTCATCGAGACTTAGAAAGTCAGGCGGAAAGTCCATAGCGATCCACCGAGCCTGCAAGCAATGGTTTGAAATGAGTTCAGGTCGATTACGAGGACGAGGACATGCTCGCTAAAGCTCTCCGCGGAGTTGACACACTGTTTTCCTTTTTTGTCTATCCAGGACCCGAATAGCATGGCATGGATTCATAAGAATCTCATCAGTGCTGCTATCAAGGCTGGCGTGAGGCGGTTTGCACCCATCCGAATGGGGGAGGTACGACATATACTCCAGTTGAATCTCCTAGTATTCTGTCTTTTGACAATATGATAGTGCGGGGAGTCGTGGAATGGCCTTCTACGGATACGAAGATAAGGTGCGCAAGTATTTGGCAGAGGTCATCCAAGAGAAAAATGTGAGACTGAGCATCCGAGAAATTCCCTTCAGCCGTGTGATGGACATACACTGATCTGTTTGCAGAAGCTGGAATATTGCCTTTTCCAGCCCAGCTACTTCACAAACTATTTCGGTTACTTTCACTCGACAACGAACCGGGTCTTTATGACCCCGACATATATCGACTTTGGCAGCCGTCGTGCCATATGTCGGCAACGGAAATTATGAAATCCCTCTCACCACTGTGCAGGATACTGAATGTGGTGTTGATCCAATATAGGATTATTTCAAGTTGAAAGTGCAGCCCCCAAGGATATTGAAGCAGAGGAATTGAAGGCCGCCTAGTTCCCTCTTGTGGAGCATCCTTCTATTCCACAAGAAAGTCGAGAGGCATTGGCGAAGCTAATAACGCTGCATCTCCTGCAAGGTGTATGGAAGGAGGGATGGAGTGTTTCTGATGAATGGAACACATTGCTGCCAGGCCGTCTATTCACTACCGCAGAAGGGTACTTAGGAGGCATTTGGAAGGACCAAAGATAGGACCCCTATTTTATCGGCCGTTTCAAGCGTATAGAATACTGCGATTATAGTTATAGAAGGACCTGTTGACTTTTGTGTAAAGCCCACTGTGATCAGCCATTCAATATATTTAGGGAGGCGATTGGCTATGAAGATAAGCTGAATGAACCCATAGCTCATGCATATTTCATACACGTTCGAATAATAGCATCGGAGTAAGAGAGTCGGTCATATACATGCGCAAAACCAAGCCGCAGTTCGAACGGGAACGGGTTCAGGCGGCCCAAGCCACGCCTATCATATCCGTTTCGGAGCTAGAGGGCGTGAGGAGCCCCACCTCGCATCTGCTGCTATAGATACTGTAGAGACCCCGCACCTGCTTAAGGGCGTTTCTGCAAAATCCCCACTCTCGGACCACGATCCCAAAGGTATTTGAGATGGGATGTGTTACTTGGACGAGACGCTAAACCATAATAGGAAGGCGATATACCGTGTACTGGTAATACTGTATATTGGCCTACTCGATGGGTTTGAAGCTTTTGATATTTCATATTTAGGAAGGATCTTCTACTATAATAGGATTATTGCCTGCCTGAGTGCCTACCTGAGCACCTTGCTGCTGGAGCGCTTGTTCAGTCTGTTCAGAGCCTGAGATCTCTCGATTTCTAGAACCTCTAGGCCTCCCACGTGCCCGTATAACCAGCGGTTCGAGTAGATAAGGCTATTCAATTGGTGGATCCGGATCTAGATTAGATAGATCAATCGGCTCAGGCGGATCAGCCCGTAATATTAGCCACTGAGAATAGAAGGTTGAGAAAGGCAGCAGCTCCCTAGATACACGATAATGTAGAATGATATGAACACAAGGGATTCCTAATATTTTAGTAGTAATCCCTGTATAACGTTCAATCGGTGGCTTTTCTGGGCCTATTAGTAAATAGCAGTTTTATATACTAAGCACCTTATTCAGCGCGTAGGTTGAAATATGATGAATAATGTTGTGGAATAGTGGTTCAGCCTGTAGATTACTAGATGCCTAAATATACTTATCTACAAGTGCTTGCTTAATCTGGAGATGATGATTAGTGATTGTATGCTTAATTGATCTGACTATATTTAGTAGATTACCTAAAGAGCTTTGGAGATCTCGTTTAATTCACCAGTGAGATCCCTCACTATTAGATGTAGCCAGCTGACCAAAATGTAGATAGGTGTTTGTATAGCAGCGGAGAAAAGCCCTTTCTGTTTGACTGTGAAGCCATTCAGATTCCATACAAAGTAAAAGCTTTTGAAATGTAGGATATTGATCGTGTAGATATAATACTATACCAATTAGCTAGCATAGTTTTCTATTGAGTATTAATCTCCTTAAGAAATTCTTTCTAATTGGTCGCTGTCTCTATAGGTATAGATCATATAAGTAAATAATCACGTATAGCCCATTTTGCATGACTAAGGATATTCGTATTAATACGCCATATGCATAAAAGTAAGGCTATAGATGGCTATATATTCTGTATAGCGCTTAATAAAGAATTATCTTTATCAGTGACCACTGCAGTTGGCAGTTGAAGTTGTAGAAAGGTATGTATATCAGCAAGGCGCTCTATTATATAGCGGAATAAGCCTTCTCGCTTGTCTGATATAAAGCTGAAAGTAATATAGAATATGTCTCCCTGTGGCATTAAACCAATGATACTGAAAAGCGGCATATTATATCAATTTATTTTGTACATACAGTTCATCATCAAAATATAGGGGTTCTATACAGATTCTTAATTGATAATTAATGACTGAGAAAGCTGCAGATATATAACAATTCTCATGTATTTGATATTTTATTTACTAATTGCCTTCACGTGGTATAGAGCTGATTAAGGCTTGAATTGGTATACAGCCATTGAGGCGTTTAATACCAACTCTATATCATATATTGTAGAGATCTCGGGCTCTAACTAACTGTGCATGGCTTTCCTGATGTAGAACAGATATAATACAGCATATTGGAAAGCCTTCATTAAGCATTCTAACAATCTGGCTATACCGCTTGCGAAGCTCACTCCACCGGTGAGCTGAAGTACTGATATATCTACTGGGTTATAGTTATGACTACCTTCTTGAATAGTCAGATACTATACTTCAAATATAAGATTATATTTAAGCCGTGCAGTAAAAGGGCAGTCAATTTGTCAAGACCGGCTAACACAGATTCTCTAGGACTGATTCTCTGCTGTATGGCCTCTATTGCAGGCTATATCAACATATCAAAAGATTCCAGTTTGTTTATCCTTAGTAGAGCAACGTCGAACGATTGCAAAGCCATTGATTAGACCAAAGGCCTGTAGTAAGTTGAAAGCCACATCTGCTGAGCTAAATAACTGAGATGTAGGCGGCTCTGGGATAATATTCTCATTATTTTCATTTTGATTCTCAGGCTCTGATTGGTCAGAGATAATAATCTCATAATCAATCTAGAAAATCATCCATTTTAAGTACTTTTTAGAGGGCTTTAGGAAGCAGGGATATTGTATATATGCATTTGAAAGTGATTTACTAGTGCGGTTTTATGATCATATGACTAGATTTACCTTCCTAGTTTGATATAGCGTCTCGTCCAAATAACAATCCCCTTTGAGATAGGACGCTAGTGCATAGTAGAGTGGGTTTATAATCCCTGTTATGTCATGTAAGAGTACATCTATCGAGGTATGGTGCCATATATGCAAGGAATATCTCGGAGAAAACCGCTGGGTTGAGAGGCCCTGCATTAGGGTTATAGCCTAGGACATTAGGATGAAACCTAACGCACCATGGAAAAGATATTTCGCAGATGGAATGGGGTGCTATCTAGATTGGTGGCCGATCTGAATTGGTCATTATGGAGCGGGACGAATTGTCACCTCGAGGCGGATATTCTACCAAATCCTACCTCGCCTGCTTAGAAAATGGTCTGCTACCAATCTACGAGCCTGGCACTATATTTCAACAAGATAATGCAAAAATTCATGTTTCCTACGAGGCTCAGGAGTGGTTTGAAAAGCATGGGATTTGGGTGTTGGAATGGCCCGCACACTCGCCCGATTTAAACCCTATAGAGCATATCTGGAACCTGCTTAAGGAGAAGCTTTTACATCTATATCCGGAGCTCTTTCTAGGCGGCAGAATAAAAATTGACTGGAGGCGATTTAGAGAGAGTATTCGAGCTGCTTGGTGGGCTATACCCCAGGAGGTCATAGATCGGCTTATTCGCTCTATGCCACGCAGACTTCGAGCTGTATACCTAGAACGTGGCTGGTATACAAAGTATTGATATGGGGAATCCGTAGAATCAATTTGTAGATTGATATCATTTGAAATGGTTGAGAAAATCGAGTTTTTAAGCGTTGCATTTTTTGCTGAAATGGCGGGTGTAGTCAGACTTTTGGCCCCTAAGTTTACGTGGCATGCCATCAAATGAGCGACAATGCCCCACATCCATTGATACGCCAAGTTCGCACCGGTCAGCTTGGCTCTCTTAGACGCTCTCAGTCAATCAATCACAATGCTCGTTTGATTAAGAGAGAGGTGACGACGTATAAAACGGGAACCGTCTCCTGTTGCCTCGGTCAGAGAGAAGAGTTACCCCTCAACGCCTCTGTGGTCAAGATATCATACGTGTCCGAGCGACAGATTCATTCACCATGTCTTTGGATATCACGGTGAGAATATCTCCGGACATACTATGTGATTAATGGGTCTGATTTAATAATAGACGTTCTACAATGTCATCAATAACGAACTGACCACGACCGCCCAAACGCGTCATGGCATCAATCCCGCCAATCGCCAGCCTAACCCGGAGGTGCCTCTTTCCACGGCCGAGGATCTCGACAAGGCTGTAATCGCCGCTCGCAAGGCATTCAAGACATGGTCGCGCACATCAATTGAGGAGCGCCGGGAGGCGACAACTGCCTTTGCCGACGCTATCGAATCTAACAAAGACTCCCTCGCGAAGCTTCTAACCCAGGAGCAAGGCAAGCCATTTACCCAAGCGGCCGGGGAAATCGAGAACGCTGTCAAATGGGCGCGAGGACTTTCCTCCCTCACCCTCCCCGAGACCGTTATCGAGGAGAGCGAAGAGCGCAAAGTCATCCAGCGGTACACCCCCATTGGTGTTACAGGTGCTATTGTGCCGTGGAATTTCCCCATCTTGTTGGCGGTCGGAAAGATTGTCCCTGCCGTGCATACTGGAAACACGGTAATTGTTAAGCCGTCGCCTTTTACACCTTACTGTGACCTGAAGTTGGTCGAGCTTGCTGCTCACTGCTTTCCCCCAGGTGTGGTGCAAGCGTTGAGCGGCGGTGATGACCTTGGTCCGATGATGACTGAACATCCTGGTATCGACAAAATCAGCTTCACTGGATCTAGTTTGACTGGCCGTCGAGTTATGGCTAGCTGTGCTAAGACGCTGAAGCGAGTGACTTTGGAGCTTGGTGGCAATGACCCTGCCATCATTTGCGAGGACGTCGACATCGACGCAGTTGTTCCCAAGGTTAGACATATTTACCCGCGTGGTTTACCAACCAGGCTAACTGGAATAGCTCGCAATCCTTTGCTTCCTCTGCTCAAGTCAGATCTGCGTGATGGTTAAGCGTCTCTACGTCCATGAGAAGATCTATGACGAGCTCCGCGACAAGCTCGTGGAATACGTGAAAAACCTCAAGGTAGGCGACGGGACTGAATTGGATGTCTTCTTCGGCCCTGTTCAGAACAGCATGCAATTCGGAAAGGCCCGAGACCTGATCAGCAGCATCGCTTCCGAAGGCTTGAACTCTGCCTTGGGAGGCACGATCCCCGACTCCAACGGTTTTTTTGTCCCCCCGACCATCGTCGATAACCCGCCAGAGAACTCGCGTGTTGTCAAGGAGGAACCGTTCGCGCCCATCCTCCCCATTCTCAAGTGGTCCGATGAAGAGGATGTACTTGCACGCGCTAATGACTCCGAGTCTGGACTCGGAGCATCGGTTTGGAGCAAGGACCTTGATCGTGCCCAACGAATTGCGGATCGGCTCGAGGCTGGTAATGTGTGGGTAAACTCGCACTTTGACTTGCAGCCTAACGCGGCATTTGGTGGACACAAGACTAGTGGAATTGGCCATGAATGGGGCGTTACTGGTCTGGCTGGATGGTGCAATGCCCAGACCCTGTATGTCAAGAAGAACCCGTAAAGTGATATTGGTGTTTGGAAGGTAGATTCGGAAATACTGAGAAAGATATTATGAATGAGTACATCACACACCCCCTTTCAGGTGTAGCACTATATCAAGGTACTCATTCCACAGGCCATCGGGCCGCTACTCGTTCCGCAAGTCCGGCTCTGGCTACTACCTCCTGGCTTCTTCTCTGGGCGTCGCGCACTATCTCCTGTTCGTCCATGGTTATCAGTTCCCCACCGCACACTAACATTTTCCCATCCACGACTACAATATCGACGTCTCGACCAGTAGCGGTGTAGACGACCGCGCTGACGGGGCTGAACCAGGGTTGTAAGTGAATGCGACGAGTATCGATAGCCACAAAATCTGCTTTCTTGCCAATCTCTAGACTACCAATCCGACCATCTAACCCCAAAGCCCGGGCACCATTGATTGTTGCCATCTCTAGGACACATTCGGCAGGCACCGCGGTGGGATCGTACGATATGCTCTTGTGGATAATACCCGCTAGCTTCATCTCCTGCAGGAGGTCACATGTGTTGTTACAGGGAGCGCCGTCGGTGCCTAGACCAATATTCACCCCAGCCCGCTGCAAGTCTGGCACACGGCAAACCCCTGATGCAAGCTTGGCGTTGGAGGTTGGACAATGGGCAACATGCGTTCCTGAAGCTGCGAGCCGAGTGATGTCATCATCATCTAGGTGAACCATGTGTACCAGCACGGTCGATGGCGAGAGCAGGCCCACCGAGTCGCAGTAGGACATGGGGGTATGACCAATCGATGTGAAGAAGTCACAGTCGGCGCGGACCTCGGCACAATGCATGGTAACCGGGATGCCTTTTTCCCGAGATAAGTCTGTCATCTCACGGTATAGATCATTTGATACCCTATCGTCTCATCAGCGGTTGCTCCAATGGCACTAGTTGTAGAAAGGTCATGTACCCTCCGGGCGTGCGAGCACCAAACCACACGCGAATCCGATCATTCGCCTTACCATTCCACTTCTCCCACATGCTTACAGTGCCCAACAACGATGTCTCTCTATCTTCAACTAACCCAGGATGCATGGCCCAAGCATCGTCCTTAGCATACCGTGCAATATCCATGACAATCTTGCCCAAACAGCCACGGATACCGCTTTCCTCGACTGCCCGAGCAAGACCATCAAATCCGTAACGGTCCGCAAACTACATCAGTCAGGTATTTGCCAAACCATGCGCGTGGGGTCAAGATACACACACCATACTCTCCAAGAAGCAGGTTGTCCCCGACTTCAACATCTCTCCGATACTCAATCGCGCGGCGGCATATCCGTCTTCCGTCGTGAAATGTCCCTGTAGCACCCAGATCCGCTCGCACAGCCATGACACCAGCTCGAGGTCATCGGCAGTCCCCCGAAGCAACGTCTGAGCTGTGTGCATGTGGGTAGAAATGAGGCCCGGAATGACTATCCGCCCAGTAAGATCATACTCCTCGTCATCGGAGTATTTGGCACGCAGAACGGCAGCCTTGCCGATATCTGCGATCAGGTCATTTTGTACGCGGATGGCACCGTCATTGATGATACGACGGGTTGCATCGACCGTGATAATTGTTGCGTGGGTGTAGAGCATTGTGATCTGTCTATGTGAGAGTAATGGCGTGGTTGCGTGTATAGATTTATATAGAAAGTCCATTTTGTAGGGCTCCTCCACCTGCTTCGGAGACCTCCGATGGGCGGGGATTCGGAAGTTGCCCATGAATGATAAGATTAGTTCGGAGATTAGGTTCTTATGTCGTCCTAGACTCAGAAAAATAACTAAATTGTCAGACCTGTACATGTTAAAGGATGAATTCCAGGCCCAACATTCTGACGTAAGAGGAAAATCCATCATGATGGTTGACTCAAGGCTTGGATATCTGCAGATGTTTTTCAGATCGCAAGGCTGCCACACACAGCCACTCGCAGCGTTGTAGGCTGCACCACTTCCTGGTTACGACGCAGCATCTCTCCTCTTCAGCTCCTCTCACGGTCCAAACTGCGATCCATCGTCTCGGCTCCGACGCCTAGAGACCCCACGGTATATCCCTTGAAGCGAGTTTCTTGCAAGCCCGAGCTACACGTTGAGTATCAATGTACTCGTTCCTGCTTAGTACGCGCTGTTTGATCAGGTGTATGCAGCAGCGGTGCCTGCCTCTAACGCAGAACCTAATCATTATGAGTTAAGTCGCTTGGGAAAACATGATCTAGTTGCTGCTTGCTTCCCACATGGCGCTTACAGCACCCTCCTAGGTTTTGTCTTTTCGTGAGGATTGGCGGTGGAGTGCCCTCATCAAAGAATAACATCCTCTTGAGCGATGCGGTAGTTAGCACGCCTAATGGCAGGCACTTGGGTGGTCTCCAATACGACAGGGTGAAAAGCTTTGAGGAAGGGGAGTCCCAGTTGAATGGTTGCCTCTGTCCGCGGCCTTGGTATTTGATATGTGCAATACGTGAACTGGAATCTGATCTAGCATTATTATGCATGCCCCTCCAGGAATCCCTCAATTACAACAAGGGGTGTAGGGCGTCGTAGAGCCATCCTGAAGTTAATCATCGGCTTTTTGCCTCTCACAACGGTCATCCCGGTAGTGTGGATTCTTGCGCTCAATGCGATGCGACGTATGAGGCCATCAGAACGGCCCCCGTCCTTCCCACCATCCGAAGATTCATTATGGTCTAATCACATAGAGCAACCAAGTCATGAAGTCAGCCAAAACACAGGACATTCTAAGCCGAGAACACAACGTGCTCTGTTTCGAGATGGAAGGAGCTGGGAGCATGAATAGCTTTCCTTGCCTAGTCATTCGTGGCATTTGAGGCTATGTGGGATTCACACAGAAACGAACAATGGCAGAACTATCCCGAGAGGCCAACGAATGGAATCCCAACCGCATTGGAGGGAAACGACAGCTGCCAGGGATCCAGAAAAGGACGACTGTCCCCGAAACCTTCCGAAGAGCAGCCTCTCGTGAAACAGCAAGGCGGAATAACCCGAATATGTGGTAGATGGCTTACATCAAGGTAGGATATGCTGGATTGTTTTCTATAGTAGCATGTTTGATATTTACTCCCGTGTTCTATGAAATAACATATGTCACTGTGGTACTTAATGCCGCAGAAATACTTATATTCTCTACTCGGATCAGAAAATACCTAGTCATACCACCAGACCCTTAATTACGATGGCACAAGTTCCATGAGAGCCAATAAGTCGATCGCTGCTTCTCGCAGGAGGCCTAGAAAGTACTCCAAGGTGTCGCGGGGGTTGCGATTGGGGAAAGCCTTCCACCAAACAACTGGCCACTAGTCACTGTGATCGCCTGGTTTTGATAAGTCACTAGCTTCGGAAAAATCACCTATATTTGCTTGAATTAGTCCTAACGCCATAGGGCTTGGTATCAGTACCGGAATAGCACCCACATAGTTTAGACCTTGCTGCACCGACATTCCGTTATTATTCAACGGTTAAACTTTGACGAACCCGCTTGACATGCCGGTTGTCGTTATCCTTTTTCCAGTTAATGATGAAGGCACACCGAATAGCTCCGTTGCCCCCGACCAACAACAGGTTCTTGTCGTTCACCCGTTCTGCGAGACTTTCCTGCTAACCACCTTCTATTGCGAGGATAGGGAGTGGTTGGTTATAGGGGCGGATACACAGATCCGGCGCTTCCTTAGCTCCCTTGTACAGCCCCTGGTTGAAGCGTAGAGCTGTGAACTGAAAAACAGTTATCAGTTTTCTCTAGAGAGGGAACCCATACTAGTTCCCACACGAACCGTAAGGTAACGGAGTTCATCCTGGATCACTACTCCATTCAACCATTTTCTGAACCAGGAACAGTAAGTATGCCGTTTATTGAGAGGCAAGGTTGCTCGGCTTACCTCACTGTCCTATTCCCAAGCGTATGCTCGATGACATTCCGTGGGTCTTCAACCCGGGTGTAGGTGGGGGGAGAAGAAAGCTGGTCTAAGTCAAGTTAAGAGACAATTCTCGCGCGTCCGTTCACTCTACAGTACAAGGAACAAATGCGCCATGTTATATTAGTTTAGTCATAGATCTATACAGATGCTCAATTCACATAGTTTTGGTGCCATGTATAGTTGGGGTTTTCCGTCAACAACGCCTTGATGGCGTCCCGCGGCTTTGTGGGTTCTCTACCCAGAAGCTCCTTCATCAACGGATGTGTCGTCGCCAATTCGCCCTTCTCGATTCCCTCGTACCAGGTCAAGGTCTGTTCAAAGAACGCCTTAGGCTTTCCCCCCTCGTCATTTTCTGCATATGTCCGAACATATTCCTCGCCAGACACCCGCTCAAACTTCACCTGCCGACCCGTGGTCTGATTGATAATGTCCACAATCTCCGATGGTCGGACTGTACCCTCGGCGGTCAGTAGGACAATCTCGTTCTCATGGCCACCTGCAATCATCAAACGTGCCGTTGCCTCACCCAGCTCCGAGCGCAGAGTGAATGCGATGGGGCCGTCAGTGGGGAACGGCACGGTGGTTGAATCAGGATACCAATTCAAAAACACGGGAAATGCATCTGTGTATGCGCCCTCTCGGATAGAGGTATAGGTGACTCCAGATCTAGCGTATCTCGTTAGTTGTTGTCGCGTGTGGGGCTACTTAAACATTTTTGTCCACTTACGTTCTAAGCATTTCCTCCGTCTCCAAATGCGCTGTCTGCACGGTAGCCTTTGAATTGGACTCAAATCCCCCGAAAGCTAGTGAAGTATACCACACCTAACAAATACGTCAATCCGGGGAAGATTTAATTCAGAAATAGGAAGGGAGGCGGGGGGGAGGGGGGGGGGAAGAGGGGGGAGCGCATACATGCTTAACCGCATTCCTCTTGGCCGCATCGACAAAGTTCTGGTGCTGCTTCCGCCGCTTCTCATTATCGAACGTGTTGGTACTCACAAAGAGCACATTCTCGACATCGTGGAAAGCGGCATCTAGCGAAGCGGCATCTTCATAATCCACCCTTCGGAAAGCAATACCGCGATCCTCGAACTGCTTTCTATTCGACTCTTTGGTCGACGCAGCGGCGAACTCATGCGTAGGCTTGTTGGCGACAAAGTGGTCAAGAACATAGCGTCCCAGGCCACCCGCGGCACCTACGACGAGGTATTTGAGAGTCATTCTTGTCTGGGGGCGATATTCGGGATTCTGGGGGGTTCTCGTATTGGTAGTATTTCTGTGCGGGCCGGCGCAATTGTCATAGACTGTTTAAACAATAAAAAGGGATAGAACTTATCGTCAGTAGAACTACGTATATATTTATACTCGGTAAATCGATGTGATTGCTAATCACGCGATTCGTAATCAATCCACTTCGACTCTTTTCGATTCTATTATGTACAAGCACTTAATTAACTTAGCCGTAATATCTCATTCCTCGCATACGATACACCCGTCCCTCAGCCAAGAGCATTGGTTGGTCTAGTGTGGGGATGTGATTGGTTGATTTGCTTGACGTTCTGGGGCCAAATCTCGACCCATTACTAATGGCCTGCTATGACGTCCGCTGAGGGTTGTCTGCGGCCTGAACGCGAATACCGGTCCTATCCTCCTGTCTGTTACTGTGGGGCGGGTTCCCTTGAAGTCTTGCAGCGTAGGCAAACTGAACTCAGCTGAACTAGGTACATGTCTTACCTGATTGCCAACAGGAAGATACGTGACCGAAGAGACTGCCTTCCGGTCATGGGGATAGACATTGACGATGCGCGGTCAAAGATGGTAACCTTTGAAAGCTACGAGATATTCCTTGAATGATTCATGACGTTATGATTTTCCGTCGCTATTCGATGATCCGATGCGCCTGCAGAAAGTACAGGACATCTGCGATTGATCTATCTTGTGCTTGGGAAAGCCTGGACATGAGTGTATCGAGCGTTAGGCCTTCGCGAACCCTAAGCAATGTCAGCAAAAGGGATAGTTTCAAACGAGACAACATTTGGCGAACGCAACCCAAAGCACAATAAGCAAATATCCTCCGTGTTTAACTACGCGAGAGGAAAAAAAAAAAAAAAAAAAAAGGGGGAGGGGGGTTGGTTAGCTCGCTTGGAAGAAATTTAGAATCTTCGAAGAAGGCGAGAAGAGAAAGTAGCTAGAGTTTGTCTTGTAAAATCAGCGACGACTAGAACACATGTACTTAAGGTAATCTGGCGTATGAGATGCGCCTGTGTAACGCCTTGGCCTAAGGGACTCAAGTCATACTACAGAGGGAAGATACTTGAGACACGGCCCTTGACTTACCTACAAATATGTCTAGCCCTCAACCCCATGTGGGTCGGGTGTCTACAGAGCTTCCGAAGCTGATCAGCTCCTAAGGGTTAGCCATGCTCTTCAATGAGCGTAAGAAAATGTTTTCCTGACTGGCGAAAGAATCAATCTCCCTATCTTCTAGAACTATTAGGATACAACTTCCTGACAGCTCCGGGCTATTCCTTATCCAGAAACCATGAACGTTAAAATGTGAAAGATTTCAGAGTCCAATAGAGAATTCCAATTGGCTTACATGCTATATGCCCAAGACTATCTTGTTCTCATATCCTGGGCGTTTGCTGACTTATATATACAGGGGGCCGGAATTAGCTCAGCGGCCATCAACAGTTGTCCCATCATATTCCCGATGTTCAATACAAAAGGCTAGAGTTATGTCATCCTAGGTTCGACGATACCTATGGTTTGAACATATGTGTGTTCCAGAAGCCGGAGGCTCCTGGGAAGATAGGGGACGCCGGTGAAGAAATTTGACAATGTGGTAATTCCCTGGACCCCTTTGGTCCTCTACTAGAAAATGTCTTGCTTCCAGGGGGGGATGTCACTTGAAATTCGGACAATGGCACTTCTTATAAAGCCCATTGATGTGCCGTGCAAAGAGATAAAAAACGTCAACCACATCCTCTCGTTTCTTTAATTCCCTTCAAATTTTGCATACCCGGTCAACTTTCCAGTGACAAATCAATCCTCCAATAAAACGACTCTACGGCGTCACAGCTGTGAGTGACAGTTACGAATGCTGTCCAAATTGAAGATCAACGCTCAAATCAAGGTCGCTTGTAGCTGAGAGATCGTATCAAGGATTCCGTCAAAGCAACATTCGCCTTCAAATCCATCCATGCTGTTCCCCGAAACCCGCCATTCGACATTGCCTCATTCAATGTTGACCCATCGCACGCAATGAAAGCCGCTCGCATCAGCTCATAAGGCTAGCCACCGCAGTGCATTTCTGTCCCTGAACCTCCGTTCCCATCGACTAACAAGCTTCAGCTCAAGGTACTAGCTGTAAGCGTGACACAAGTCGTGAGACGTCGAGCTGCCGGCGAGCATTCTACTGCTCTCCAATGCAGCGCTTTCATACGGCCCTAAAGTGGACAGAATTGGAGCCGACGAGACCACAGGCGACCTGTACTACATCACCGAGCTCACTACGCGGCTGTTTGCCGAGCGCATACAAACGGCAGATTTTCAAGCTCGAGCCCAGAGTAGACTCAGTTGCGGTGGCTGCACCCGACAACCCCGTCGCACGCAGCTGGATGGCCCTGCAACGTCGTATCATCGGTGACTACTGGGGCCGCACGGTGCTTGCGTATCATCGGGGTTACGAGTTCGGGCGGTAGGACAGCGGCAATCGTCGCTCGCTTGCTGAGCGCTGCTCGTATCATAGGTACCTCGCGCAAATAAGGAAACTCTCGCCACCGTGGAAGAGCTTGATGACCATGTCATCCTACGGGAGCCTTATGCCCTTCCCCCGGGTGTGGGACCTGTTCATATCATACTGGATTGTGTTAGCAACGGCGCTGCTGCGTCGGGGATCACCCAGACTGCCCAGGGTGTTTATGGAGAGAAACTACAGTATGGTCATGTGGGGAATCTCATGGGTCGAGGAGCCCCCTTTGTGTGATGTGCTACTCATGAACATAGTCCAACGGAGACCCCCATTAGCTTTTTGGGATCCAACGCGGGGTGCTTTGCGGTGCAGGATTGGAAGACCCAGATGCCTGAGGTCCTGCACATGATATCCGTGTTGGAGGCGCCGTTTGAGATGTTCATCGCTCCTCTGAGTGAGGTGGCTTCTGCCTGGGAGTCGGAGGCGGCTTTAATCGAGAGATTGGTTGTGATTCCTGGGCTGTTAATGGACTGTGGGTGTTTGTCTTCTTTATTTTCGTTTTTAGAGGTTACTAGTGAGGAAAGATTCGCAGGAGCGTCCGGCTCATAGGATACTGCGCAATATTTTGAACCCCTACTCTAGAATGAAAACAAATATAACGAAAGTCAAGTGTAAAAAGGAAGAGTTAGGCCATGTCCTTTCCGTCATCGTATGGATACCTAATAAATATGTTACCTGCAGTGGAGAAATGTGAGCACACCGGTAGACGATCAATTTTTCTATACTACTGTTTCCGATATATATTGTGACGTCTGTAGAAAGACAATACCAAACGTTGGCCTCAATGGGAACCTCTCGATGGAATTGGGTGGAAGTATGTCCCAGACATGCTCTCAGAAGATCGCCAGCCTTTCACCAAATGGGGGATTCGGTCGACCTCTTAGGGAGGGGAACTAAATTAGGACAAACAAAACGATTTTGATTATGAAGAAAGGGCAAGTGACAATTTTACCATTTATTCGTAAGCTATAAAAGTATCCCCAAGCACAGCTTCTCCCGAGGCCCGGACCAGACAAATGGAAGCATGGCTACTTTGATGTCGCGCAACTAGCAAGACATAATTATCTCCTAGGTCCTCAATTACATGCTTGCTTACTCGGCTATGTTCCACATCGAATATCTATGGAGCAGCTGGACGCCAGTATGGAGGTGTACCTATTTTCTTCGCTTCAAGCTTCCAAACTCCGAAATCCCGTGCTGCATTATTATTTGGGGACGACATAAGAGTGCACCACGGTATTGGTGGAGTTTGTCGGCATTTGGAAATCCGTCTCAGAAGCACCAATCAACTCGTGTGGAGAGAAGTAGTCAAGCTGCGTCTGCCCATCATTTCCTCACCTATTTATCGGTGTTCACTATCACCGATAGTCCGTGTCCCATCGCTTCCGAAATGCCGTTTGGCTCATTTTCGCTAAGCAGCAGCTTCTAATCTGATCATTCCCTAGTAGATGATTCGATGAGCCATGGAAAGATATTCATAGGAAAGAGATATCGGTGTTCGGCTGTTCAAGTGTCCGACAATTTATGTGTTGGTTATTATGATAAAGGAATTCTTGTACGCTTCGCATTTGGGCAGATTCTCAACCATCGGTAGGATACAAAGCTAATCTTGATCGACATAAATTCCATCTTAGAAAGCGGAAAGCTCCCAATTCACGAAGAGCCAATACTGCAACGCGCGCACTATGAATTTCACTACGCTTTTAAGCAGCCTAGGAGCTATTCTTTTTCTTGTATGTTATATTAGTTGAATCCCGTCCAAGCGGCTATATCTGCTAAGCACTATCTTAAAGAGGCTGTTATATCGCAGATTCTGCGGCCCCCTTGCACATCTTCCTGGGCCGGAAATCTCCAGGTGGACGGGATTGCCCTGTATAATTTACTGGTTCCTTGGGCAGAAACCAAATTATGTCCACTACCTTCATGGAAAATACGGTATGTGGGAGTTACAATTATTCGGGTTTATTTGCGTGCACACTTGCTAAGGTAAACTGGCTCGAAGGCCCAATTGTCAGGGTCAGCCCTGAAGAGGTTGATATATGCAATATCGACGCCACGAAGGAAATACACAAGACCGGAGGGCGCTTTCTTAAGTCAGCATTCTACCAGACCTTGACTCCTCCGGGAACCGAGAACGTGTTTTCCACGACAAATCCTGCGTTTCATGCCGCACATCGACGTCTCCTAGCTAGCCCTATCTCGGATTCTTCTCTGGCTGCTTTCGAGCCTGTTATTGCCGGCAAAGTTCGCTTGGCCGTGAGCAGGATGGCCGAGGAAATGAGATCACACGGCTCTATGGACATATTTAAGTGGTGGTTGTTTATGGCCACCGATGTCATTGGAGAATTGAGCTTTGGCGAGTCATTTCGCATGCTGGAGTCTGGAAAGGTATGAACCTCCAGTGACGCCCACACAAACACCAAGAGATAAGCCACTACTGTGGATCGTACTAATTTCCTACAGAAGAATCAATATATTCTTGATCTTGAGCGGACGTCCTCCCTCGCGCCGGTGCGAACGACGTTTCCATCTCTTGTGCGGCTAGGGTCGATTGTTCCTCTTCCTCTTTTTCAAAGTGTGGCCGATGCTGGAAAACGGATACGAGGTTATGCTCAACAATCGGTTGACAGATACAATCTTCTCAAGGAGGAATCGGGATCCGGCGCAAAGCCCACTTTATTTACCAAGTTGTACAATGCTGGCAGAGAAGGCTTATCCAACACCGAAATAAGAGATGAAGCTCAGGCATATATCGTTGCTGGAAGCGATACAACTGCAGTCAGCCTAACATATCTCGTCTACGCTGTGTGTCGGGATGAGAGTATACGTAGGAGGCTTGCGGACGAGGTGAATTCTTTACCAGAAGCGTTCACTGATAGAATGATTAGAAACCTGCCCTACCTCAACCGGGTGATCAATGAGGCTTTACGACTACATACGGCTGTTCCGTCTGGTCTGCCAAGGTCTGTTCCATCCGAGGGTGCGGACTTCTTGGGATTCCGACTTCCTGGCTGCGTGACTGTTACGACACAAGCTTACAGTCTCCATCGTATGGAAAGTATATTTCCTGAGCCAGAGAGGTAAGGCATTTAAGATTCTAGGAAGTCCGATGACTAATTAATGAACAAAGATTCAATCCGGACCGCTGGGAAACGATCACCAAAGCAATGAGCGAGGCTTTTATGCCATTTGGTAAAGGATCACGCGGTATGTATTCCTTTAGATACGCAGAAGCCTCCAGCGATCCAGGAGTTTCCTAACCTCTGCGCTTTCTTCTACTAGTTTGCCTCGGCATGCATCTAGCCCGTATGGAACTGCGTCTGGCAACAGCCCTTTTCTTCCGAGCTTTCCCAAGAGCAAAAGTTTCGACAAAGGAGGGAATGAACGACGAAGACATGAGAATGAAGAGTTACTTTTTAATGACACCCAGTGGGCACCGCTGTCTCATAGAGGTATAGTTGCGTTAACGCTATTGTTTTCGTGCTGTCATATACCGGTTTTCAAGGGCTGCATGTCGTCCTGTATAGCTTCCGGTATACCAGGTAGATACCTAGTGTGAATCAGTCCCGGTAGAACCTCCGCTTATTAGCCGATTGTAGCAATTAAATGCCCGGCCATTGGCTAGCATGGGGCTTGGTTTTGGACACCTTGAATAGGAATCCCACACAGACTATTAAATAGTCCTTACAGACTTCTATTTATGAAGGAAAGGTTGGAGAATTAGTTTATCTTCACATGCAATAAAGAATAAACCCGAGAATCACAAAAAAGGCCCACGCATACCATAGCATGGCTACATTTCCAGTACATCCCCCAATCATCCCGCCTTCCTCGAAGCATATTATGGAGGATGAACTAAGACGCATGTAAATATAATGAGAGCAGTTGGTGTTTGTGAAGTCGCTTCGGGCTTTGCGGGTTTTGGAATGTCGAAGATCCCAGTAGTCATGCATGTGTCCCGCGAATTCAGTCCCTCACCTATACATAGCGTTGCAGAATTAGAGATCTTTAGCAGTTAGCAATACCAGAACAATGGAGGCCTTGCCAGAATCTTGATTGCTTGGTAACCATAGGCGATATCTCAACCGAGATCAATCCCCATTTAAGCTCCCCGTGATCAGTCTAATGTTGGTCAAACATAACCCCTATACGATGGATAGATAGTCTTCCGAGGTAGGTAGCATTTTTCGTTTCTTACTAGAGTCTATACGGATTCCATATAGGTATGAAGTATGCTTTGTGTATTGACAATTATTAATAGGAACTTCGTTGTCCAATAGAGAAGGAATACGTCATTGCGTGAACAAGTCCACTCTCAAAGAACGCCTGATTTTTCTTTGGCAAAAGGCATTGACGTCTGCCTTTACGCCCTCAGGTATCAGTATGGCTGGTTGCAAGTGTGCACTAGACTCGGACCTGGTTTCAGGGCCTGACAGGAGAGCAGGCCACTGGCTCCATAGTACAATCCTACGGTTTCATAGCTCAACGCTGCAATTATATGATATGTCAGAGCCTATTGGAGCCTAAGGCAGAAACCACGTGACCTGACCACAACACCAAGGAATCTCTGTATGATAGATTTAGACCTTAAGACAATCAATCCCATTACACGTGAGCTACACCAGCTCCATCAGGTTATGAGCCCGGACCCTATACCCGGAGTATTATCATGTTACAGAGCTTATGAAGCTATTCAGAAATAAATCATCTAAAAAGACCTACTTTTTAAGCTATTTTGACAATAAAGACAATGCCCCTGAGCGGAACCCCTAGATAGATCGGGATCAAAACACCAAGCTCTCAACCACATCAATAAGGCAATAAATGCCACCAAATATACTGCTATAATGAGCAAGAATATTGAGGAAGGCCGAATGGCCATAAATCAAGCAACAAACCTACTAGAAAAGGCAGATTTTATATTATAACTGATGGAAAAGCTCGAGAATCACAATGACTGGGACGAATGGATTAATACTGTATAAATGATTTTAGAAATCCATAGACTACAGGACCTGATTAAAGCCAACGTGCCTAGATCTCCTGAATCTGATTCTAAATATAAGATATGGCGCACTTGCGCGAGTATTGTTAATCTATAGCTGCACACACACCTTACAAAAGACCTTGCTGCCAAGGTAAGAACAACTCATCTGCCAAAACAATAGCTTGATAAGACTGTACAAACGATATCTAAGCTGCTACTTGACTATAGATATCTCCTAAATGGAGCTATCTGGATTGATGCTGTTCTGATCAAATGATCTGATTATGGCACTATACAGTAATTTGTTACTGCACTCCAAGAAAAAGTATCTGCCGCAGGAAAGGTCAATATAACTATTACCCTGTACCAAGCAACTCTATTACTACTCAATGGGATTGAAACAGAATTACCGGTATTCGCTGGCAATATAAGATACTCCATGACAGAGACCTCATGGAAAGATTTAATCGAGAATAACTTTCTAAACTTCTGCTAAATAGTATATGATAAAGCAAGAATCTATAGAGATCGCATTCTTATGGCCACCCAGGCCAAATCAGGAAACTGGAAGGGAGTCTATCCTGAAAGAAAGCATGCTCCCCCTGCTGGAATCGGACATGAGGACCATATAAGATACTGGTTCAACAGGAAAACACATAATGGAACCTGCCCATTCTGCTAACTAGAAAAACATGAATCTATACAGTGTCCTTACCTGGTTCTGAATATCAGAACTAAAGGCTGGAGACCTGATCCCATGATATGGTGCTTTAAACCACGTACACCATGGAACCAACACAGAAAGGACCAAAAGAATCAAGAAAAGCAAACATCAACACCAGCCAACATGGCCACTAAGAAGCCAGAGGAAGAAGCAACTGATTTTACACTATGTGGACTAGCAGTTGTATCATTCAACACTGCTAACTATTGAGACCGCTGGCTCTCAGATACAGGAGCCGCATATGCAGTCTGCAATGATCATGATCAAATCATCAATTTTAGGCCTATCAAGCCTCCAGAGTGTTCAATCTATATATACCATACAGCCAATGGAGAAAGCGTTATCCCGAGTGGACAAGGCTCAACAATAATATGATTTCAATTAGATAATGGTGGAATCAATGAATATATGATAGACTGTGTATGGAATCCAAATGTGCCATGTAATCTATTTCCTGCGGAACGCGTAAAAAATGATCTAGGCATATATCATGATACTAAGAATCAATGTTATCATGATATCAATACTGATAGAATTGTGGGTTGGACCTACACAGAGAACAACGTGCCTTATCTACGCACCGCACCACCAAAAGTGCCCATTATGGCCACTATACCGATACTGATACTCTATTAACGATTCGGTCACTGTACGGTCAAACAGATCCTATAAAATAGGATCATGATTACCAATGAGATCAATTCAATTAATTATTATAAGGTTAAAGCATGTGAAGTATGTAGGCTAAGTAAGGCTAAATGTCAAGTCTCTAGGCAACCTAATCCACATATCACTAAACCGCTTAAACTACTACATGTTAATACCCAGAAGCTCAAACCAATAGATATACAAGGATATAGATATATACTGATTATTCTTGATAACTATTCGCGATGTCTCTTTATTAGATTTCTTAGAAAGAAAAGTGATGCCTTATTAGCTCTTATCCAGATTAATAAGGGATGATTTAACCTGACTAATTGCTATTCTGCTAGGGTCCATTACAATACTACACTGGATTTCAATAGCTATAAAGTATATGCAGAAGTAAATAGCACTGAATTTGAACCATCTGCCCCTAGAATACTAGAGCAGAATGGCCCTGCAGAATAATTTGGTGGATATGTCATCCAAACTGCCAGAACTATAACTATTACAGCAGGCTTACCTGGAAATCTATGGCCTCACGCAGTTGAATCAGCAGCTTATATATTGAATCACCTTATACAAAAGGATTACAAAGTGATGAAATTATCTATACAGATCTTCTGTAAAGGACTTAATCTTTCTAATCAGGAAACGAAGCTTAATCACATCCGCACCTGGGAATATAAAGTCTATGTATATACACCCGCTGAGGATAGGGTCAGATCTAGAAAGATAGAACCATGTGCAGAAATCGGCTATTTAATTGGATACAAAGGCACACATATATATCAGATCTGGATGCCCAAAACAGGCAAGATAGTACATTCTAGAGACATTACCTTTATTGAAAGGGAAAACTACCGATCAGACAATGATAATCAAGATAACCATGATACCGGAATCATCTCAGTATCTAAGCCTAAGCCTAAAAGCCCTATGCAAGGCCCTGTACTGCAAATCAAATATCATTCATTTCTACCTGATCAATCAGGTCACCCAATTTAAACTATTGAAAATAATGGAAATGAGGCCCTGATTACAGGCCGCGTTACTACGCTTATACCAGATGCTCAGATCACCAATAAGCTCCTGAGCACATTACCACAGAATGATGAAACTTAACCTACTATAGATAATATTATTGAAAATCAAGATTATGGAGCCACTACAGAAATACACAAATCAATGAGGCATGGTAAAGGCAAGCTAAAATCAGTGTGGCTAGGAGATAAACAGGCCAATCAAGCTGCTGAAGCTTAATAAAAGCACCTCGCTAAAGCCATGATAAGGCAATCTGAATTGCCTGATCCTATCTGCACTGCTATATCACCGCTGAAATCATATCAAGTTAAGATCCCCTATACATATTGGCAAGCCATAAAAACACCGCAGAAAGAGGAATGGCTTGAAGCAATGAGACAGCAGGTTAAGAAGCTGGAAAATATCAATACTTATGATCTCACTGAATCCCCTGAGGATACTATTATACTACCAGGGAAGTGGGTATTTGATCTCAAAACCAACACTGATAATGATATCGTACAATACTGAGTAAGATAGGTCATATACAGAAATTATTAAAAGCCAGGCATTGACTATGATCAGATCTATTCCCCTGTGATCACTGATCTAATTATAAAGCTATTCCTGACCCATATGGCTATCAAAGGCCTCAGATAGAAGCAATTTAACATAATCACTGCCTATCTTAATACTAAATTAACTGACAAGAAAATTTATATAAGGCAACCAACAGGCTTTGAAAGAACTGCTGAAAATAGAAAGAATTATATATACCTGCTGAATAAGGCTCTCTATGGCTTAAAGTAATCAGGCCTATTATAGAATAGTATTTTTAATAATGCACTAGTAGCCTTAGAACTGAAATAATCAGTTAAAGATCCATATCTCTACACTGATCCCAATTAAGGCATACTCCTGATCATTTATGTGGATAATACTATTATAGCAGTATCTATAGATCAGATTATTAATGATCTCCTTACTGAATTAGGAAAGTTATTTAAGATAAAGATACTAGGCAAACCCAATCAATTCCTAGGGTATAATATCAGCAGGGACTATACTACCGGGACTATCATGATCTTATAATAAGCCTACATACACAAAATCCTTGCAGAGCTTAACATCAATGATCTAAATGGATCTGATATACCAATGGCACCTGGCTGGAAGCCAACAGAATCAACCGAATCACCTGACCCAGACCAGAAATAATTATATCAGGAACTATCAGGCCGGCTTAACTGGATTGCCTGCTGTACACGCCCTGATATCGCCTTTTTAATCTCCCGCTTAAGTAGGCAGACCGAAACAGCTAATGCAAACGATTTCAAAGAGATCAAACACACCTTCAGATATCTCAGGAAGCAACCTGATTATCAGATTAGATTAGGCCAACACCTCAATAAAGGCCTGCATGCGTACATTGATTTATCTCATGGTAATTGTGAGAATAGCAGATCAACTGAAGCATTTATCTTTATACTGGCCAGAGTACCAATATACTGGAGTTCAAAGAAACAGGATGTTATCGCCCCGAGCTCAACAGCTGCAGAATTCATTGTATGGAATACAGCAGCTAAACAGGCTGCATAGCTACTTAAGTTACTTAATACAGTCAGATTCCCTACACCTAACGAGCTAATTAAGATCTACACTGACTCATAGAATACTATTGATATACTGAAATGTCCTAATTACTCTACTGCGTTGCGTTGGATCGATATACGCTACTATTATGTAAAGGAAGCAGTGGAAAACAGAACCATTGAGTTCAAAACAGTCAAATCAGAAGAGAATACGGCAGACAGGCTCATCAAGCCATTCCCTATAGTGAAATACGCCTCCTTTGTGGAGAAGCTGGGCCTACTCAACACCATGGAAACTGAGGATACTGCCTAATTAGGAAATGTGAAGGGAATAAGGAAGGTCCAATTAAATCATAAAAGAGATAGCTGTGTCAGAGCCTATTGGAGCCTAAGGCAGAAACCACGTGACCTGACCACAACACCAAGGAATCTCTGTATGATAGATTTAGACCTTAAGACAATCAATCCCATTACACGTGAGCTACACCAGCTCCATCATGATATGATCAAGGTCTTGAGTTTTGGTATGGCTCGAGAAGCTGCGGGGAGATTGGTGGGACGCTCCGAAGCAGTTTTAGAGCAGTCCTATGTCCTCCCGTCTTCCGGCACCTCGTTCAAATCCATTGGCTTGGCGGGGATAATATGCATATAATAACTAAACTCGACTTGGGTCCTTCGAAAAAGTTCACGTAGTAAATAAACGAAGATAGCATAAAGACAATACCGAGTCTAAGGTCTGTAGAGAACAGAAGGTTTCCTGAAATTTAGCCGAGCCGTTCAAGGGACCAATTTTCTGTACTCTTATTTCCCATGCTTAATACTCTCAGCCTTATATTTACCAATCTTGAAATAATTCAACCAATCCGATGAGCGGCATGGGCAGCAGGAGTCAACCATCAGACTGTTGAGATTAACGGCATGACCCAGGAGAGCGGGGATGAAATCCACTACTCTAGATTGCTGATTCCAAGCTTATCGTGATGGCTGAATTATGCCATTTCTATCAACACTAGACATATATTGTACTACCAACTCTAAAATGGGGCCATGATTGCCCACGTTGTATTGTATACAAGTATCTAAGTCTTGGTTAGGATATAATCCCAGTGAGGACATAATTTTAGGTCACTACCCGAAGTTTATTCTTCACTAGTATCTCACGTCCGAATCCGACCTTTCTCAGGAGTAGATCTGTAGTTCAAATGGAACTTGTACATCTAACAGCAAATACCAATGCTCGGCAATCAGTAGCATTTTTGAAAGATAAAAGCAGATGCTAAGAAGTGCAAACCGCAAAAGAAAGACAACATATCCAGTAAATTTAGTATTCGTTAACGTCTCTGGAGTTTTTCTTGAAGAACTCCTTATAATCCTCCATGGCTTGTGTCTGCAGCTCCTCTGGCCAGGTCAGGGGTAAGAGGCTGGTCGTGCGCCTTGAACATCTCCAAGCGCTCCCGAGTCAAATAGCGGCTCTTATTGATACTGTACACCTTGATCCTGAGTGCCGAGCTCGTTACATGTAGACCCACAATTCCAGGCCGCACGAACAGCTAGGGGCTGTGCCTTCAGAGCGTTATCCCAGCAGCGACATACGATTTCAATCTACCTCATCTCTAGGATGCTGTTGTTCTTCTCTGAAAGGCTGTATGCCAACATCGAGGACCGTTCTGACCTAGCCATTCGAGTCTACGACAATGGTCGTGCCGCATTTGCCCTATGACAACTACTCTGTAATGTAACGAATTTCCCGTAGTCTTTCAAATAAAAATATCCGGAGCACGAACCTTGCTTCATCTGCGTATTTTCTGTTATAAGCCAACAATCAGTAGCTTTTCATGTCTTCGGGCTTTCGATCTTCAGTTCCTCTGCTACTATATAAAAATCTTTGAGAGGGCGAGAGTGTTGAGACAAGATAGTCTTGTTGGATACTCCAGCGTTTTCGTGATTAAAGCTTTGACAATGTTGGTCTGCTTGTAATTGGGTTCACGGAAATAGGATCTTCTATATTCACCTAAAAGGTCTATGATCGATACATTATCGATTAATCCCTGTAGAAATTCATAAGTACCCCAGTTAATTACATCTAAAGGTAGAGAATGCTCTGGAATTGAGGAATGGCTCTCGACCTTGCTTGAATAATATCAAATTGTACGCGGATGAGGAAATCTGGAAGAGTACTTTTCTGTTTAGTGTTAAAGTCCGGCTATAGGGAAGCCCTTTGAGTAACAAACCTTGTTAAACTATTTCATTTTGAAGAGAGAAAAAGGTTGGCCAGATGTCTTTCCTTATTGAAGGCTAACCCATATACCAAACCGTACGTATCCCTTGTATATATATCCAAGGGTTGCCAGGCCCTTTGTCTTCTTTCCCCTCTTCTTTGGCAAGCATTATGTTTTAATGAGAGATATGTGAGCATTACACCGAGCCTCTTGAACAACATCATCACTCTCAAGTACTCGACGGTGGGACAATTCCTCACCATTGTGGGTGCTGTACCGATAAAAGCTTCGTTCTCAGCGTTGTACGTTGTAAGCACTCAGCACGCTTATAGTGCGGCTTGAAGGATTTTAAATCCTTAACTGACCTATTGATGAGCGCTAATTTCCATTGATCGATCAATCACAGCTAGGCAGCCATTGTGACCCTGAGATGGGCAAAGCTGCCTACCACTAACTGCCACTATGCCTCCATGATCCCCCGAATTTATGTCGTACCAACGCATCTCCTGGAACCGACCCGTCATTCGTGCTATTCGAGTGCGGCTGGCCCATCCCAAAACCATCAATCGGCAGTATCAGAATATCTCCTACAAGCCTCGGCTCTGTCAACCCACTCAAGTTTCTCAACGACGTAAGGGTTGGCTCAAATTGCTGCAGCTGCCAGAACACAGCGTCCGTCCAGGCAGCCGGTCCTGTCAATTCCATCACTTCGGATGCGGTGACATTGAGGTTTGCGAATGTTGTTCCCTGTGCCATTGCAAAGGCTTCTAATTTTGATGCAACCCACTCTACCATATGGCTGAAGAGGTTGTGCCCAGGAAACGCAGCTATGGTCCACTGGCAAAATTGCAGGTCGGGGTGGACTTCACCCCAATTAGGCCCATCAAGACGGTCAAACTCCACCCCTATGGCTACCTGAGTATCGTTGCGATACTTTTCAGGCACCCACACGTCAATAGGCTTGAGGTTCTCTGTGTCAATGTCCGAATAAACACCGCCTTTGATTGACAGGATCATGTATCTGAGCAGGTCTGACTTAATCCCGGTATTTCTGAGCTCTCGGAATATTCTCAATAATGTGGAATTGTTTTTGAAATGTTGGAGTATCAATTCTTCAGCGCCTTTGTCTCCAACCATAACGTATTCATAGTCGGGGTTATGGGCTAGCCAGGAGGCTGCGTCGGACAGTTGCACGGGGTCGATTTTGAAAACGCTCTTATCGACATTCGGCGGTGTGAGATAAATTTGCCATATTTTCCGCGGAAGTACAACACCCTGGCCTTGGGTGGTTGGTTGTTGGTTTGTTTGGTCGTGAATATTTGCCTCTGTTGGACGACCGATTCGATAGTTGAGGGAGAAATATATGAAGGTGGCCACCATGACGAGCCACATACTTATTAGAAGCGCGCTTCTCAACATCCGGCTCTTGGGACTCGACTGGCGCCAACCATTTTTAATTAATAAGACAAAAGGCCGTGCAAGAGGAGGCAGTCGTTTGAGCTGCTCTTTAAACATCTTGCTAATAGTTACAAACCGAGACCGCGAGCGCGGAGAGCAGGGCCAAAGTGTAAATCAAACGCTGTAATTTTCTGCGCATCTCTTCTGCACAAAAAAAAAAAAAAAAAAAAAAAAAAAAAAGGGAGTTGGGCCTTGATCATTACTTGGTACTCGACAAATCCTTCTAGTCGTGCCAGACCCATGGATAGATAGCCAGCAAGCGGGTCAAAATCAGGTCAAGTTACCTATGAATACGAACTATAGTGGGCTTGACCCGATCCCTCTCCACTTGCCATAAATAGCCTCATAGGCCACTTAACGACGAAGATCAAAGGATTTTCACCTATTAACCTGAATAAATCAGGTCTATCTTGGTGATACTTTTGAACTACGACACTGGTAGTCGGATCGGCGGACTCATCGTATCTGGCATAGGCTATTGGAACCGTGGGTATTCGAACAGTATGCATTCAACCTAGTAACTGGGAGCAAGTTCAACGAGATTGAGGATGAGTAGGTTCACTACTAAGTCCGGAAATTTACTTGCGCTACAAACTGAAGAATTCCTTTGTATTTTTGCCGAGGAATCTTTCTATTCTGTTTTCCTTAATTGAGACTATACTTTTGAATTGCATAATTCCCAGGTCCAGTTATAGACTTCGAGCGAAGGGAGTCTCTTCCAAGTCTGAAAATGAAAGTCATCTAGGAATCAGACAAGTGATAGTTTATTTCCAATCTTTTACCCAGACATTTTTGTTCACCGTCAGTACCCGTCTGTGGGTCAGTAGAAGGAAATCCAATCCTCCCATATTGTCTTAAACAGTTTAGCTAGGAAAGAGAAAGTATGCACTGTACAGAATTCCAATGTTAGAGGGCAACCGGCGCTATATTATGCGGATCTAGCAAAGGCTTCCCTCTGTTCGACTAATTCCAAGGTCAGTTCACAACTACGCCATAGTGTCGACTCTAAGCAATCAGTATTGCCGCAATTACCATCAGCAGAGCTACTCCACTAGGGGCATTCGCGTCTCTAAAGTGCTTTTCTGGAGGCATTTCACAAGGCTTGGACAGCAAGGAAGCGATTGTGTAGTTACATAAGAATCCATGAATATCGTGGCAGGTAGTACTTTTAATGGATGCGTGTCGAGCTTTGTCGCCCAGACGGCGAAATGGGCAACGCAATTGCTTCCACAGGGCCAACCCAAATTTTTCATGCATGTAGATTGAGGTCCTGGCAATGTTTCAGGTGGCTTGATCTAATTCAATGCCGATAGTACCATTTTGGCATACCCTACACGGAGATGTTTCAGTTAATTCTAATCTAAGAAACCTTCCTGGACCCATGCATGAGGTTAGATAAATGCAGATCGTGGCAATGCATCGGCTTTCGGTTGCTCTCGGGCGTTGTGGTGTGAAATGAAAGCTGCATTGTTATTCAGGTGTGGCCCCTTACCTTTATTGGACGAATGCATTATATACCAGACACTGACATAGATTGTATAACGCTGCACTTGTTTAGTGTGAGACATGGTATTACTATTAACACAATTCGCTGGTATGAGGGAGGGTCCTCCTTTTCTTGGGTAGCATAATTCACGTATATGAGGTTTCAAACAACGGAAGACCCTAGTGAGCTCCGCCGTGTTTAGGTGCTTAATAAGTTCTTCTATGCCCGGGTCCCACTATATTTGCAGATCAATATGATCAATACAGGAAGGACTCGGTCAGATGGTGCCTTTCGAATACACATTTTTATCCCCTAGGATGCGCATGTCCCTCAACCCTTACTAAATAGAATCTCTGAGGACAAATCTACTTGATTCAAACCTTCAAGGCTTGGTAAGAAATATAATAGGCTTTTCTCTGTCACCTCAAACGCCCAAAGACTTATATCTGAACCTATGCATGAGCATGTATATTCCCAGGAAGTACTAGAATCTATGTTGCTCTGCCATTGATGTTGGCGCTGTCGAATTACTATTACCCATACGCTGTTCAGAACTGGTTCGAACACACTCGGATGGAAATGGTTCATTCCTTGTATCCATACTCCACAGTCACTTCGTCTGTGCAACGAATTTGAAAAGGTCTGCGACCTTTTTGTTCATCATCAGCCGGCAAGATACCTTCCCGACTATCGACATTAACCGTAGTGACGAAGTGTGATCTCACTAGCTTAGATTTCTTGCTTTGATCAAGCGCCTGGCTGTTCAACGGAATCATGTCCTTCTTGTAGCGGCTCTGCGACAGACTGCTCCTATGGTATGCGAACTTCACCTTGATAGCCTTAAGTAAAGGATGTAAAGTTGGGATGCTAGAGGCAATGACGACCATATTGGCCTCAACGCTTGTACGTGAATAAATGTCAACATATGGACGGAATAGATAGATTAAAAAGGCATACTTGGTCCAGATGGAGAGCTCCACATTACTGTCTAGCTTCAGTTAGCTTTGACTTGCGAAGGGCTAACTAGAGTAGTATCAAACCTACAGGTATAGTCGATGCGGTCTCCGAGGTTTTTAAGCTGGGTACACTTGACAACTGCCATAGCAGATGCGCTACAAGACGATAGTATTGTTAGCAACACCAATTAATCAACGGTGCGAAGAATATCATACATGGCCCCAAGACCCAGCGCTGCGCTTATTGCAAGCTTTCTGGGCAATGGCATTTGAAGCTTCCACAGAACGGTGCTGGGATATATTGCCAAGTACAGGTCAGTCAATCCAGAGAGAGCTGGATATAGAGTGTCATTAGCAACCTCAGTATCTCAACTGCTTGCATGTACCACAAGGGCGTATAGCTTTCGGGGAAAAAGGAAATTGCATGCTTACCCCCAGTGAAGATGGCGTAGTAGATAAGGATGGCAGCATCTTTACAACTTGCCCCTGCTAACTTGATTTTCCACATCGCCTCCGGTGGGTCGCACAAAGTGAAAAGAAGAACAATATTGACGCAGGCTGCTGCTGTTGCCAAGCCAATCAACGTCCAAATTACAATACGTTGCCGCAATCCGGGATTCAGAAGCCGGGTCAGAAGGGTTGCCACCGAAAACTTCGGCAGAGTGAAGGAGAAGACCCCAAACACGTAGGATATAGTATTCAACAACATGACACGTTCCAGCGTATTGTCTGATAGAACACTTGTGTGCTTCCCGTATCCCGCCATGACATCTGCCGTGCTCGTTGCAACATAAATGATTCCAAACGCCTATATGGGTCACCGTGTAAGCGTATGCCAGACTATTCGGATAAAGCCTCGAGGTGTCACCGTAGAAACTAGAATCAAATGGTCGTCTGCTCCAAGGCTTCGTAGGATCCTCGATCTAATAAAGATCCTAGCCGCAACGACTATCATGGTGATTCCAGTCAATGACCACATCACGGCCAAGGTCGTTGGCCCCTTGTTTTCTAGATCATGATGGGTGGTAGTCGCCATTACTCAGTAGCTATTCTGGCAGTTATTGGCGAGGTTGTGGATGTAGTCACACACGTGAGTCAAAATACTTTTGCCCTTTGTCTAGGCAGTGAATAGCCTGTTAAGGTTGCATAGACAGAGGGCAGGAGAGCAAATAAATATTAAAATATATGCTCTTATCTGACGGAAGTCCTCGGACAGGAAATATATAAGCTCGCGCACCATACATCCTAAAGAAGAACCAGACAGCTTATGGCCAACCTAGCACACGTGAGTCGGGCATGAAATCCAGGACTTGTAGATGAAGCTACTACGGTTTAGGCTTTGCTGGCTGGCGCCTAATATGGTCGGGTGTGTGGATTAACGCTTTGCGGTAGACGCTCGGGCACTGAAACAGCGTCGAGCGCTTTGCTTATACTTGGTTTAGTGTTTTCACATCCGGGGTTCCCCGACGTTCCGTTTGGGTATGTGGTGAGCTGTAATAAGTGATACGTTCCGTCCGGTGGTAGGAGATATATTACTATTGCCCTTGCAGATCTACCTGGGCGGGAACCTCTATGGGACAGTGAAGTAGTTACTCGTATTTAGAAAGTCGGATCACCATCTAATGCAACCTTGCCCCCACGCTACTAACTCTATCGACCGGATGATGCAGCTCTGAAACTAACTAGTTAGATGGATATGGACGGATAGTTAATCTATGGAAAAAGGCCTTGGCTGTGTCTTGGGCCCTTTTAAGGTTTTCGCCCAATGCTTCTAGGTCTGTCTTATTGGATTTTAGTATTGAGTAGATACCTGATGAATAGCAGTGGCCGACATTATCACCATCTAACAGATTTATTAACAATTGGTCCGAACACGTTCTATCACAGGTGCTGTAGAGACCTCTCCGATCATGACTACATCATGCTATGTCAGGACCTTGGTGACCAAAGGAGTGGTAACCTTCTTCCAGCATGTGCCGTGGATAACAAATATATTGTAGCATATTTCCGAATAGCCGCCATGATACCAACCTATATTGGTCATCATCTCGGTTGTATAATCGTCCCACCTTGGAACAGTTCCTTGATTGCATCTCACATTGTACTGCCGTGTGAAATTAGCGTACCACAGCCGCTTACTGCTCAAAAGGCTGTCAATTACCCTCTTATTGAGCTCATTTCTTTTCTTGGTGAATAGGTCCATGGGCTGCCAGAAAAGGGTCGCTACACGGATAGGGCAAGAAAGCGGTGATTTGTCCTGAGAGACGCTACGAAGAGAAGGGGATATTGCTTGGGCCACGACGGAAAGAAACCTACATGGAACAGGATATTTGGATTACGCAAGTTATTTTCAATATTGCGCGTGCGTTTTATATCCTTGTACGATCGTAGAAATATCTTATCTGAGGATGGTCAGCACGGCCATGAAATACGGCAACGGGTGATTAAACCAATAATATCAGGCCAAAGGTCAGGAACGTTGAAATAAAAGGGGGGTGAATAATCAAAATTAGGTCGTCCTCCAATGTAACCTAGCTCACGTAATGATGTTTCGGACAAGCGGGCCCATATGGCTACTTTTGTTGTCCCGCTAAGGTTCAATCGTACTCCACCATTGGAATGGGTTGACCGTTTGTATAGCAAGCACTGGCAGGTGGCTAGGACGTAGTTACTTCGTATTAGGAACTTGTGATTTTGAATACGATGGATATTGTTCTAGCCCTCTTTGTCTCTCGCATAATTGGCGCTATATCCCTGGCATACATACAGCATAACATACGTCTGTCTACTTCGTAATCCCCGGGGAAATGGCCCCGAGCTTATGGATATAAGCTTAGCTTGTAGGCCTAACGTTTTTAGGGCTTCTTGAACTTCCAGGCGCGGAACAAGAATATTTCTGCACCGTTCATGAAAAGGGATTTGTGGGCATCTGGAGCAATACCCTTCTCAATATATTTTGTCAACCACAGCGTTGGCCCGATTATATCCTTCCTGGATAAGGTTGTCACATGCATAATCGTACTTTGGATCTTACCATCCCAGGCAGACCTGCAGTACTATTTAGTCTTTCGTAACAGATCCTGTTATCACATTAAGCTTGGTATGGAAGTAACAAGGCTGGCTGGGTTTACTCCGCCATTCGCTTTCGCTTTCGCAGTAATTCTCCGTGACATGGGCTGGAACTCGATCGACGGTATACAGGTTGCGTTGTTGACAGTGATGTTTTTCCCAAAGTTATATATTTCATAATGGACATTGCCATGGGTTGGCTCATCTGGTAAGAGGATTGTCTCGGTCCCAATGGCGCTTCGATAGACGCCACTATAGATCATTGTTAGCTACTTTGTCGTTAAGTGAATAAGGCGCTGACACACCGGTCTCTGAATATATTATTGCACTCATGCTATCCAAGTTTCTGTAAGCATCACCGACTCCGGCATGTTAAGTATCAAAGACACTGACCAATTAATGCTAGAATTGCCACGTATTCGGGAGATTCTCCTTTGGCCCAAGCTCAGTGGATCTCTCAAATACATCCGCAGGAGGTCTAGCACCACGATAATAAACGAACAATACCCAACCCTCCGCCGAAGGTACCGGAATAATCGCAGCCTCCTCGTCGGGATACTCCGTCGTGAGCTTTCGACAGCCATGAGCGACTTTGCTGTTTTGGATTCTTCGAGCTTCGAGAATATAGCGCCCGCCCCAAATCTTCAGTTATCAGCTTTCACTCATGAATCAAAGGGAAACGGAAACGACCAACCAGGCCTTCCTGGTCGTCAGCATTCAGCGTAAACTTAGTGACCGCACCAAAGCTATATCCGCCTCCCTTGAGAGCCATGAAGAGGTCTATCATATTAGTCTAATTCATCCCATATATCCCAGTATCTAAAACCACATACCAGGATTCTCCTCCTCCTCACTAGCATTCACAACGGCTCCATCAGCAAGAACCGTCTCGTAATTCGCAACATTATTAGCAGCCCACCCCCATGCTCAGCACTTATAAAGCTCAATACACCTAAAGCCGGTCATCGACCGTCAGCCTCGGCCTTCAACTTATCGTCCATACAAACGTATACAGACCAGGAAACACCAACCTTCCCACCCCCTATATAGCCCATCCTCCCCTCCCCCCAACCACCCTCCGCTTCGCCCTATCCTAAACAACCTGTGCAGATGACCAATACGCCCCAGGACCAGTATACGCTCTACAAGCCTGAGGATTATATATCATGCTATCCATGGATTGTGTCGTGATTAATGAACCCCCACCGACGAGCTGCAGGGCTTTTATAATAGTAGATACCTGTTCGGATTGGATGGTGTGGTGATGCACTTTGATTTGCTTTCTGTGAGGGATTGGGACCAGTAGTCTAGGGATTTGGTGTAACGTGTGCGTGAAATCAGCCTCCGAGGGAGTGATCGCCTAACTGAATGATCTTATTTCTAATAGAATCGTCGTATGGGAGGGGATCGATGCCCTCTGATGTCAGAGACCCTGCTGTTGGCGAAAATTTGTCTCTTATTCAATATGATCGATGAGCATTGGTTTTCTTGGTTTGAAATAGATTTCTACGGCTGATACCTAACTAATACGCTCTCCCAACATAACAGGGGCGTCTGTCTGTCTGAAGTTGTAAAATGGACGTCCATAGAAAGACCTTATAGTCAATGATATTTTAGAAGTGGCTGTTACCATATCTATAGGTAGTTGGGAAAGATCTTGATCTTTATGAATCTAGGCTTTTGCGGAACGACTTACGGGCCACGGCCCGATGCCGAAACTCTACATCGGAGTTCTAGAATGCTTCTTTTGGAGAACGTTATATCGGATTACGGAGTAATTGCGTCATAAACCTACGTCTTATTGTTCCCTATTGCAGTTAGACTCGTAGGGCTTTATACCAAGAAGATGCTCTATTGTATCAAGGGTTGCCCAGTATGTCACAACAGGCCAAGTCCAACGCATGAATGGCATATGACGACTTCTACCGTCACTATAACTAGTATGTGATTATTAGTAAGCTACTATCTAGAGCCAAGATCATTATGTCCTCATGAGAGTTAGTGTACAAAGTCACACATTCATTGTCTCTATGTGTTTACATTGGGTAGTCATTCTGATCTCACTAACCGCCAACCGCCACTCGCCACTCGTCGTCATCTCGTAATGATGACGCCTGAAACGCCTAGGTGTCAAGAAGAGGTACAGCCTACATTCAACCGAGCGAATGGTAGAATGATAGACTCACAATAGTGGTCAGTTGATAAAGAGTACCGCTTACCATTTGACACCTGGCCTTTCCTAACCCCCGAAGGCCATGGTAGACAAGAAAAACAAGGTTAAACCAAACCTTTCCCATTAATTCTACCTGATCAGACGATGGACTAGCTCTACGCTATGTGAGCCATGTTTCAAGCATAGTTAAAATTAGGGTCCAACAACGTCACGATGATATCGTCCGATCTAGATCTGCGCGCATAAAACGCCAACAAAAAGTCGTATCAAAAAGGATCAGCATCGTCGACACAATGTTCTCTGGATTATATATCCGGAGACTTACATTACAAGTTTGCAAACCCAGCCAAAGAGCCCTAACAACACATCAGTTCACTGGTCGCCCATCCCTACACCTCACCATCTATTCCCGCCCAATGGCCACCATCGCCAAACCAGAACAATGGATGAATACCTCTGGGGAAACTACCCCAGTATGGGTCCACCGGATGCCCTTTTCCAAGTACCCCCGCTTCGAACCCCTAAAGCAGGACATCAAAACCGATGTCTGCATTGTCGGGTCCGGAATAGCAGGAATATCTGTCGCCTATGAACTTGTCACCCGCGGTAAAAAGGTAACGATGATCGAAGCGCGAAACGTTCTCTCGGGGGAAAGCGGAAGAACCAGTGGCCATTTGTCGAACGCATTGGACGATGGCTATGCCAACATCGCGAAGAAGCACGGAGCCCACGGAGCCAAAATAGCGGCCGATAGCCATACCTGGGCTATTGACCGTGCGGCTCATATTGCCAAGAAGCTGAACATAGACTGCGAGTTTCGCTACCTGCCGGCAATCGAAATCTCGCAATATCCTCGAGGAGATCGTAGGCATGACAAGGAGGTAAGCGGTCTGAGGGAGGAGGTTAAAGCGGCTACGCAAGCTGGGGTGCATGCGACGTACCGTGAAGGCCTTGCCGTGCAGGGATGGGATGCAGGGCCCGATCAGAGGGATGGGGCTTTGTTTTCTGGTCAAGCTACTTTTCATCCTACAAAGTATTTAGTGGGAGTGCTGGAATGGCTGAGGGACCACCCGAATTTCCAGTGCTTTACGCATACGAGGATGATGTCGGTCGAGGAGAAGGATCTTGTGCAAGTTCGCACAGCTAATGGATATACGATTACCGCCAGTGACGTTGTTGAAGCGACTTGCGTGCCGTTACAAAAACTGAGCGTCATTGCCGAAATGGAATACATGCGAACGTATTGCATTGCCATTCGAGTCCCCAAGGGATCCATTGAGGATTGTCTCCTGTATGACGAGGCAGAGGAATATAAGTACGTCCGCTTCACACACTGCGATGAGAAAGATGACTACTTGGTCATTGGCGGCTGCGACCACAAAGTCGGACAAGATCAAGTAGCGGGCCGCTTTGAAGAGTTGGAATCATGGGTGCGTGAGCGGTTCACTAGAGCTGGCTCCGTTGACTATAAATGGAGTGGACAAATCTTTGAGCCGGTGGACTATATGGCATTTATTGGGAAGAATCAAGGGATGAACCATACCTATGTCGTCACTGGTGACAGTGGAAATGGATTGACTCACGGAATTCTAGCCGGAAAGCTGATTGCGGATGAAATTGAGGGAATTGAAAATCCATGGGCTTCACTCTACAATCCGAACCGCCTGATAAGCATCGCGAAGTCGCTTCCTAGCATGCTTGGCCATGATATGCAGATAAATACACAATACAAACGTTACCTGCAATCGGACATCAAAGATATTGAAGATCTCGGTTTGGGAACAGGTGGTGTTCTTCACGACAGTATGGCTACCGCACCAGTCGCCGTATATAAGGATGGAGAAGGTCAAACTCACCGATTCAGTGCCGTTTGTCCTCATATGAAGGCGGTCGTCAGCTGGAATGATGCTGAAAAGAGTTGGGATTGCCCCGTTCATGGGAGCCGGTTTAGCTGCGATGGCGTATGCGTTGAAGGCCCAGCCAAATCGAATCTCAAACCGTTGGATGACTTTTCAAAGACAAGGCAGCAGGCGCAGGAAGCACTTTAGGTCTTTTCTGTAAATGTATAAAGAGGTTTTGTACTTTATCCATAAGAATGTCAGAAATGCGACTGCCATTTGAACACTTCCTCTCTATCAGACTGTACTGTCGGCTTTAAAGCTAACCCGTACTCCCTTCACCTAAAGCCTCATACTAGTATCCGCCTGTGCAACAAGATCCTAACGCCCGATACTGATTACTGGGTGGCATACAGTGGGCCATAGTCTGGAAAAGGTGATGTGTTGGAACTGATTGGAACTAATTGGATGCTTCGTGAAGGCGCAATCCAAACAATCTGGTGGCGGATTGATAGATACATTTAGCGCCTTATTGATGAGTCCCCAGTGATAATATCATAAATAGACGTCCAGCTCGGTGTTAACACTTCTACCTATTCTCCAACACCAAGCTCCAAACTCAGTATGGAAGGTACAGTTCTCATCACCGGAGCCAACGAGTCCTTGGCCCTAAAGTGCGTGGACCAGCTTCTCTCATCCTATCCAGCATTTACCCTCATCGGTACCGCCCGAAACACCTCTGACCAAGGTCCCCACGCCGCAAAGCTAAACGGGATCATATCCAAATATCCTGATCGGAAAGGGCATATCGAGAAACTCGACTTGAACTCCGCGAACGATGTTTGACAATTTACAACCCATATATCCCATCAAGTCCGCAATGTGACCCTCTCCCAATGTCTCCACCATCGTTTGCAATGCCTTCCGTCGGTCCCTTAGCAGCGGAGGAAGATTCTCGACCAACTGCTTCGAGTCCGACTCCCAAGTTACTTATCTTTCACATTGCTTATTAGTCCCAGGACTGCTCGGTAGATGGATGAACGAAGAGGCCTCATCGACATGCTAGGCTCCAATGCACATTGTCCGGATCTACCGAATGCACTATCCAATCTGACGGCTTCTTTCCCGGATGATATTGAGACATTGGTTCATCCTTCTTCGCATCCGGTCGAGCATGATCATGATAAAGGGTGGCAGCGATACGGCACGGCGTAATTGGTTACGGCGATGTTCGTTAATGGCCTGAACCGTGAGTTACAAAAGTGAGCTTTCGGATATATTTCTCCTCACATTTGGAAAATGAACACGGCATTTGATGAGCTGCAAGCTGATACACCCTAGGATCGGTCGCTTAACCAAATCACAGTCGTTACTATGGATCCCGTTGGTCTCACGAACTCGCGGGCGCATGATGAGCAACAGTTGTTTGCTCGTGTGATGTTGTCAGTTTTTAAACTTATAACGCCGATTCTTAAGTATGTGAACAGTGATATACGTTCGACCAGCAAGTCTACTAGTGATCTGGTAGAGGTGACGGTTGGTGCCAACTTCCGGAATATTAGAGGGTACTTCAAGGATCTACAGGCCAGGGGGGAGGCGAGTATCAGCGAATATGCGCAGAAGCAGGATTTGTTGTGGAAGTCCTCTTGGAAATGGGCTGAACTTATTGAAAGAGGCAAGGTTATCTGAGAAGCAGTAAGGGAAGGATGAGGATATGTCGGGGTACTGAGAGCTCGGGTTTTCCTTTCTAATCCTAATTCATGCCCTAGACTTTCAAATCATATCTTAAGTGCGTACGCCTGCGATCTCCGCCTCCTACAGTCCTACTAATAGCTGAGAATGGCGTCGCATATAAGCCGAGGTATCTGTTAGCTATTAGCTGATTTATCTCAATTTATACTGTGGGAATACTCTACATGTCATAAAATGCTTCATTCAATCCTCATAGCCGTAATGCTCTATATCTATCATAGCACGATTGTATTTACAAGAACCATCATACCGCTCATCCATCACAGAAAACCGCGCAGATACTCTCCCAATGCCATAATAGCCATCGCTTGTCCATAAGGCATAGCCGTCAATGGAATCTTCTTATAAAACTCCAGGCTATCTCCCATCCCCGTACCGAAACTAGTGTTCTGCAATTCGCCCTCCTCATTAACAGCCCCCACAACAGCTGTGATAGCCTTTTCTGCTACTGGTTTGTATTGCGCAGAGATGTATCTCTTCCGGATTGCCTTCAGGATTCCATACGCAAATCCAGCTGTGGCAGAGGACTCGGCATATGAATCCTGGTGATCGAGGAGGGTGTGCCATGCGCCAGAGTCATTTTGGACGTGCTGGAGAGCCTCACATTGGGCTTCGAGCGTGTCGATGAGGTGCACCCGGATAGGGTCGGTGGGTTCAAGCTCAAGCAATTCAATAAATTCGGGAATCACGATAGTAATCCAGCTGTTGCCACGGGCCCATCGTGCCTGCGCGAAGTTATGCCCGCCGTCTTCGAAGGTCCATCCGTGGTAGAATAGGCCTGTCTTCGTGTCGAATAGATATTTAATGTGAAGAAGAAATTGGCGTTTGGCTTCGGCGATGTACTCCGGGCGGTTTAGTAGTTTTCCAATCTTTGCGAGAGGCATTACAGTCATCATTAATGTATCATCCCAGAGCTGCTGGTAGTTGTCTGTCAGGTAGGTGGCGTGCTGCATTCCGCCGTATCGCGTCCGAGGCAGGTCATGCATAGCCCATTCGGCCCAAGCGTCCAGCCAGGGGAGATAGGTGATATTTCCTGTCTTTTCGTAGACGTATGCCAATGTTAAAAACACGGCCATGGTATTGATATTCTTCGTGGTGCCGCCTTCAGCGAATCGGGCGGCAAACCAATCCTCAATAATGCGCAACAATTCAGGATCCCCGGTCATCTCATAGTATTTCCAGATGCCGTACAAACCGATGCCATGCGTCCATTCCCAGCCGTGCCAGGACTTGGTATCAATAATGCGACCGTCCGCCAGCGGCATGAGGAATTGGCCTGTAGCATCTTTAATATTGACGAGATTATGAATAAGGAGCTTGACGATCTCGCGAACCTGCGGAGGGGAGGTTTTGGACGCCATGATGAAGGGTAATTTCAAGGAAAGCGTGCAAATCAATGTAAACAAGTTTTAATTCAAATTATCTGCCTATCGTCTGGACTAAGGTCCTAATAACGCTCCCCGAAACGGAGTTACAGTTGATACGCGGAGAAACTCCACATCATTCTCCGTGGGGGATCTCTGTGGCTTCGGGTCAACGCCCACCGAAAATACGCACCTAATTGCACCGGAACCCTTGGCACTCTTCGCTGATTTGGCAAGATTATGCATGGATCCCAAGCTTTTCTGTAGCTAGTCGGGATACCCCGACATCTTCGGGTCAATCTTCTCCGCAGAGCTCTTCCCCAGACGAGTGACCCATGGTGTTGCACCATGCAGAGCTGGGGAAGATGCGCCATGACTTGTAGACATTTGGGTTAGTCCCTCGTATGCAAGCGCCGCGTGGTAAACCTGTTAATTAAAAACCAGAATTAATAAAAGAAATATTGCAGTAGACGGAGCTGGCAATAAAAGGTCGAGCACCCCCTCCCAGTATATGCCTTGCATTCAGATACTGTTTGCCTTACACCCTGCTGGTGGAGCCTATTAAATATTGCAGGTGTGGCTCACGTCTTTTATCTGCCCTTGCATACCTATTATGGCAGAGGCAAGACCCCCATCGTCTGGTGACCATCAGGTCGACCAGACCGCCTCCCTCACAACGGAGATGGATGACTTGAAACAGAAGAAAGACATCAATCATGTCGAGCGAGTGCTTTCCCCAGGTGACAAGGATGACATGGACTACTCTCGTGTCGACAAGGAGCTCCAGGAGTACGCAGGCCGCGGTCGGGTGGAGATCGACGAGGCCACCAACCGACGACTCCGGCGCATGATCGATCGCCGTGTCTTAGTGATCATGATCCTGACATATTTCTTGCAAGCCCTGGACAAAGGAACCATGTCCTTTGCATCCATCATGGGTATTCGCGAGGATACAGGCCTACATGATCAACAGGTGCGTACACTTGAATGACGAGACAAGAAGCAGATCGTAGGACAACAATGCTAATACCTTTGCTTTGCAGTACCCTTGGCTGACGACCTGTATCTACATTGCTGTCCTGGTGGTAGAGTACCCAACGAACTGGACAATCCAACGAGTACCCATCGCCAAATATCTCGGCACCAGTATCATTCTTTGGGGCGCTGTTCTAGCGATCCATGCAGCTTGCCACAACTTCGCCGGCCTGATTGCCGTACGAACCTTGCTAGGTATCTTCGAGGCTGTTTGTCAGCCAGCATTTGTGGTTTTGTCGGGAATGTGGTATAAGAGAGAGGAGCAGGCTGCCACAGTCACATACTGGTATGTAGTTTTGGGGTGTCTAGGATGCTCCCGGAAGGCACGCAGTCAAGGTTACTAGCCCAGATCTAACCCCCACCTAGGTACATGATGAACGGAGGCCAACAGATAGTGGGTGGTCTCTTAGCCTATTGTTTCAGTTTGCTTAAGAACAAGGCTATCCACTCGTGGCAGGCGCTGTTCATTACGTACGGGTGTCTTTCCGTACTCTGGGGCCTCTTCGTCATCTGGTGGATGCCCGACTCACCCATGCGAGCCAAGTGCTTCAGCGAAGAAGACAAGCATCTGATGGTGGAGCGTGTCCGCAGCAACCAGACAGGTCTTCAAAATAAGGAGTTCCGCAGATATCAGATGTGGGAAGCCTTCCGTGACCCCCAGACGTGGTGTTACTGTGCCATCCAGGTCTTCACTACGCTTCCCACCAGTGGTCTGGGCGCGTTTGCAAACATCATTATCACTGGTTTCCACTTCACTGTGCTTCAAACGCAATTATTGGCGATGGTACTGGGCTTCTATATCATCATTGTCCTTCTCTCATCCGCATACCTTGTGAAGAAGACTAACCAAAATCTGCTCGTCATGCTGGGCTTCATCATCCCGTATGTTCCACCATCCTGCCCACCTTACCTCCGATGGGTTTAACTGACGCCTTCCAGGTCCTTCATTGGAACCATTGTCCTCATGACTGTCGAAAACAGAAATATAGGGACAAAGGTCGGCCTCCTCATCAGTTACTACATCACTCTCTCCTTCTGGTCCGCCCAGGGTCTCGGTCTCTCGATGGTCTCTCGAAACATTGCAGGAGCGACCAAGAAGTCGACCGTAGTCGCAGCCACTTTTGTCTCCTGGGCAGTCGGCAACGCCATCGGTAAGTAACGTAACTCTTTACCTGCAGCTCGCTCTACAGCCCAACCGTACCACAGCAGAACTGATCATCAAAACCCTAGGCCCGCAAGTCTTCCTCGACCGCGACAAGCCCCGTTACTTCATTGCCTTCGGTGTCCACCTAGGCTGTTACTCCGCCATGACTGTTGCAGTGATCTTCCTCCGCTTCTATCTGATGGCGCAGAATAAGAAGAAGGATCGTATGTTGCGGGAGGCTGGGATTGACCCTGCAGCTGATAATCTTAATCATGCTTTTGAGGATCGAACGGATCAGGAGAATCTTCACTTTAGATATATCTATTAGGTAATGGTTTGCGTAGTCATTAATTGCTAGCTACACTTTCTGTTAGCTATACGCTTGGTTTATGGAATGAACGAATATACCCCTTTCTTTCGTATCTTTCCGCTCTGAGGTCCTTTGTGTAACCGTTGCTTAACAGCCTGATGTCGCTTGCACTCTTGTGAGGTTATAGTAGTATATTCTCAGTCTGAAATGTCTCCCACACATTTCATCTTGGGGATGGATATGAAGAAAGGGAAGAGATAAAACAATAATACTGCACGCAGAGGTGCTGAAATAAGAATGCTGTACAAATTGGTATTCTGTGACTGCTATGCTAATCCAACGTTCAGGTGTACACAATGTGTCATATCACAAAAGAGATTTTAGGGAAACGAAGAAAATCAGTGACGCAAGACATCAAAAGAATAGGATAAACATCGAGTCGCGAGACGTATGCCCCATGAACTAAGGCCATCTTTCAAAGTTTTGCTTTACTTCCTTTTCATCAATGAGAGACAGTGTATGCCGCATACATCGCCGAGAGGAAGAGCTGAGTAAATGTCACGCGAGTCCGTCATTCTACCGAAGATTCCTCCTTTGTCTCTACCAAAATCGCCGGTGTTTCTTTTCCTTCTTCTTTGACATTTCATCCTTCAATTCTTTGATTTGCTTCTCCAGCGCTTTGCTTTGGTCTTCGGCTATTAATCGTTTACTCCGTGACGACACAAGTTTCTTCCTTGTTTCTTCCAGCTTCTTTTGTGCCTGGTCACGCTCACTCTCAACGTTCCGCACCTTTTTCTGTGCTTCAGCGGCCCGCCGCTTAGCCTTCTCAAGCGCCTCCTCCAGCTGAGCCTTTTCCTTCTGCACCTTTAGGTTCGATGCCTTTGTTTGTTTTTGAATCATGCTGTCCTTCTTCGTAAGCATTGCCGCCTGCGACTCCGCTTTTTTGTTCAAGCTCTTGACCTGGTCTTGCATCTCGGTGAGTTGCTTCTGAAGCGTTTCGGTCTGGCGCGCGACACCGTTTTCTCGGGTCAAGCGACTCTGTGACTCTTCAAGTGCTATGCGTAATGCATCCCGCTCCGCATTAGAAGCTTTCAGATCCCTTTCCAGACGGTCGATTTGGGCCTGCCAATCGCTGGTTTGTCTTGCGTCGTTACGTTCCTTCTGAAGCATCAGGCTTAAGCGGTTCATGTCGCGGTTTAGGGAACTCCCGATAAGCTGGACTCGGTCCTCGAGATCGTCCTCGATCCAGTCGTGATTCTCGTAGACTCGTGATCTAGAAGCGCGATCGCCCCATTTCTCCCTGCCAAATTCATCCTCAAATCGCTCCTTGTGTAGAGCCATGAGAGAAAATGGAAGGAGAGCGGTGGTGAATGAGTCGGGAGAGTCGGGAGAGCCGGGAGGAGTTCGGAGAGACATCTCGGATGTGGGCAAAGACGTTTGCGATCTGAGAAGCAGGTATATCCTCCTATTTCATTAGTCCATTTCTGTTCTCAACGATCGCCAGTGTAAGTATGTACCTTGTTGGGCGTGCGGTCCCTGCGACTGAAGTTATAATCGGCGTACCATCGGCGTTCTATCGCAAGGATTTAGATTCGAAAGGAAACTTAATTCTTTAGATCGCTGCGGGGCAATTACTCATGAGATTTTGAAGGGGTAGTAAAGGAGTTGTGTTGAATATTGATGGTAGGTGATACATCGCCAGCTGGCAATGTAGATTGTAGGGTTGTTATTCGTCACTGAGCATCCACTCTCGTCACGCCACGGAAACTGGTGTGGACAATATCCTCTGATGGCCACGATAGTTCACGAACTCTATGAGGCTTTTGCTCATATTATTTATCTCTTCTCCCAGTACTCACCAATAATAAAATTAAAACTGTCGATCGTCTCCATAATGTCCATTAGGCATTTAACTTGAGACGAGCTCGTATCTCTACAGCTGAGACCACGTCAAGCCTAACCCAAGTGCAGAGTACTCACAGACGAGGCGAACATGTCAGTGCAATGATGTGTAGATTGCCCAATATAATGCTCAAGCCAACAGAAACTTACTGCCCACCGGCCGTTTCGCCTGTTGGCTCCCCTCCGGTTGACGTATTAGCTGAAAACGCCGAACCACACGTCCGCTTATACTCCATGTTTCAACGTTTGAGAACTGCACACATTGTTTTCACTGTTGTTGGGCCAGGCCACAGAGGGTCGTTTACTGTGGCCATCGAGGACACAAGCATGAATGTCAGCATTACCTCTGCCTTTCGATTGATTTGTTTGGGTAACATCGGTCTTGCAGCGCTTGCAGCGCTCACAAGGGATTTTGCCTCTCTATAACATCCTCATATCTATTCGTTAGTCTTTCTTCAACGACATACAACGTTGGTCAGCCTTACGACATCTAAATTTCATCGAAAGAACCTAAAGCCTTCTGCGGCTAAAGTCGGGCATAGCAGAAATAGTCGACTAGTGACCTCTGGAATAAGTCCCATGGCGATAAATGGTCTTCTTGGTTGTCAACAATTCGTCAATTTCCACATGTGTTGAGACTTTTTTTTTTGGTTGTCTGATAAACAGACTTTCTCAGCTCAATTCAACCTGCCTGTTGATGACTTATACTAGCGATTTAAACGGGGAGAACGCGAAAATATGTTCCAGAATCCTCAGGTGTCCCCATGTATTTACACAATATATAGCACAACCAAGTTAACGGAAAGTGGTTGGTATATTCGCTGAATATTATATTTCTGTCTTAGGGGTTCGCCCTCCAGAGGAAGGTTGCCAAAGCATCGCCGTCAGGTCGATTCCTTCCACCAATGGCACTTCATTGACAATCTTAAATCCCAGAGATCGGTAGAGACGGGTCCCCTTGGCACTAGCCTCAAGACCAACGGGAGCTCCGTCCCACTTGGCCCGCTCGAGACCCCATTCAACAAGCCTGCGGCCAATGCCCTGTCGTTGGGACGCCGGATGCACCGCCAACGTGGACAGGTACCAGAGTTCAGGAAAGTCATCGTATGGAAAACAATCAGTGTTAAGAGCATTGTACCTGGTTAAGCGAGATTCATCTACGCTTCGGTCTGGGTACAGGCGATTGGTGAAGTATTCGGTAACATTACCAAGCAGTTCTTGTACACCTGTAGACCCTGTGATTAGTAAAGCTAGGAGCTAGATATGGCTTATTGTTTATAGGTGGGAGTCTGGATGTGTAGACACTCACTAGTCCACCAACCCTCACGTTGTGTTTCTTTCCAATGTCTGGTAGATTCTTCCGCTGTTTCCCCGATTCGTTCCCAGACACAGTAACCAACAATAGGGCCAGACTCTGCATCGACGGTATCTGTTGCAGAATTGGCTACGGCGACAATTATCACCCAGCCAGGCGTTCTCAACTTGGTCCGTAGTCGTCGCAGGAAAGCCTGACGATAGTCGGAATAGAATTCTCTACGACGAGGGCAGAGAAAGGCAAATAGTTCATCGTCCAGCATGGACTTCGCAGCCACTTCCGCGATGTATGGAAGGTCTAGCGACACAGCCGGTCGCAAATGGACCTCGGTGACACTCATGGGAAGGAAAGCTCAATTCGTCTCAATGTTTGTGGATATGGAAATCAGAGGTGGAGTGTGGAGTAAGACTTGATACTAAGACTGTAAGGAAGAATAAGAAACCGAGGCTTTATCCACTACCAGGCACCGGGCTAGACTCATTTAGTCACTTTGTACTAGGCCAGAGTTAGTGCCCGGGGATTCTATCTAATTGGTAATTTGAGGCAAATGTTAGCAACGAAGGATTCGTACGGTACTGTCTATACCTCCTCTGGTAAGGATCAATACGAGGTCGCCACCGTATCACATGACAGCGTACGTGACGTCCCCGAAGGCAACGAGCGATGAATTCTCTACATCCGTAGGCGAATACACGAAACTAATGAAGTCCACCTCTGAAACGAGTCCGAAACCTCAGGGCATATCTTCATACCAAAAGTGACTATGTCAGGGCGCAAACATGATTTAACGAGATGAAGTACATACTACTAGTCTAGTATCTTCCTTACATACATATCGGGCGAGAGGAAAGGGTCAATAAAAACTGCTAAGATCTCCGAGTCCGCGACCGGGGAAATCATGTGGCACTAAACTTTAGCCGTTTTCTTCCCCAGTTAGAGTTAGTGTCGTGCATTTCCCCCCCCCATATTTGCCGAACCCCCATCCGTTCATTCTCTGTCTTTTCTCTCACTTGCCTTCTCTTCGCCAGTCTCGTGGAGACTCCTCCGAAACGACTCCTCCACCCCCATTTCCACCGTTTCAGACTACCCCATACGCCCATCATTTAGTTTCCGTTGCCTATCCATTTCGTCTTCTCTTTTCCTGTACATTCCTTAAGGATTTCTCCAGTGTATATATTCGAAGCAGATGAATTTTTGTTCTCCCCTGCCGTGTGGCTTCTAGTGACACCACTCCGCGCACTACAGCGATACCCGTCATCTACATACCGCGCATGATTGTTTGCCTCGAAATCCAGGCTCGATTCAAAGCTGCTTCTCAAGATCACAAAGAATCCCATGAATACGCAAATCAGTGGATGTCGGACCTGACTGAATATGGCGTCAGGTGTTGTCGCTCATTCCCGCTCAAAAGATAAAAAGCATCCGCATAGAAGTTCCATTCGGCGGCACACCCGGTCACCATGGGGGGCGCCCTGTCGCAGGTCCCTGAGGGCCTCGTTGGTGGCTATCAAGGGGGTCTCGCTGCGAAAATATTGATGGTCGTCTTTAGTTCCGTCGCTCTGTATAACGCTATCGAGCTCATCATCCTGATTTTTCTCGTCTTTAATCGTTATGCTGGGCTGTATTTCTGGGCGATGTTGTTGTCGAATGTCCTCGGCGTCATCCCACATGCTATCGGCTTTCTACTCGAATTCTTCGCAAAAGGACCTCTCTGGCTGGCAGTCACCCTTGCTACTATCGGTTTCTATTTCATGGTACCCGGGCAGTCGGTCGTCCTCTATTCTCGACTTCATTTGGTTGTGCAGAACCGAAAGCTTCTTCGGCGCATTCGCTACCTGATCATTTTCGATACCATTGTTTTGTTGATTCCGACGACCGTTCTCACATACTCTACTATCTATGTCCGCACCGACCCGATAATCCGTGGATACAACGTTATGGAACGGATGCAAGTGGCTTGGTTTTGTGCGCAGGAAATCTTGATTTCCGGGATCTATATATGGGAGACGGTCAATCTTCTGCGCCTGCGGCCGGAGAAAGATTCGGCCCGCACAAAGATCATGTATGAGCTGATTACCATCAACGTGGTCATTGTGCTCCTGGACGTGGCACTACTCGTGTTAGAATATATTGGGCTTTACGCTCTTCAAACTACACTCAAAGCTGCGGTCTACAGCGTCAAGCTGAAGTTGGAGTTTGCCGTGCTGAGAAAGCTCGTCTTGCTCGTCAATACCCGCCCCTCCGACTCGAGTTCGACCGACCACGAAGAGTACCCCAACTTCGTCGATCCTGGTCAACTGACGGGAGATATCACGCATGCTGCGCCAATTCGCGCACGGACTCGCTCTCGGTATCCGTGGAGTGGGATCTCTATGGAGAGCTTAGACCGGTCTGAGCGCCGAGGGATTTCCTCCGAGACTACACGCCCCCCATGACAGTGTCACCACGCTAGCTTTCATATGACGATCCGCCGTTTACGTGCCGAGTGGTGATTTCTAGTATCCATCACTCAGAACTCTTCCGCGCTCTACTCCCCCCCCCCAAATCAAACCCTCGAGGCATTGCTCTTCCGGCGTCTCGGGGTAGGGAGAAACGCCTTGTGTCGGGACTGCAAGGAAGAAGCCCGACTAGATCGGGTTCTGAACCTTCCCAACTGTAGCTGTGCCCCAGGATAGCCACGCGCGCCCAGTTTTCTTTGATGATACATTCTTGCATATATCATCAGTTTCTCTTTCCGCGTACATTGGAAGTGTACCTCTGTCGAACAAATGAAGTTCGCTTCGGACACCGTTCACTTAGCACGCTTGGTTGAACAGAGAAGTCAAATGTACATAAAACAAGTGCCACCCACAACCGGTAGACTTGACATCGTATATAAAACGCACTGCCAGACTTTGTCTACTGGGGATGAGGAGCATCTTGCCTTTGCTCGTGTGCGTCTGGCGACAGGGGCATGGCGGCAAACCGCAATATCTCAATTTTCATGAATACTGGCACTTTTGCAGTCCCCGGGTAGTAGTACCCCCTACAGGCAGCACTGTGTCCGCCTCAGAGTTCTCATGTATATATATAGCAGCCTAAAAAAATGTATTATTGCACATTCATTTGGTGCGCTCCGTAGCTTTTATTTTGTATTGATTCAATGTCAGCCACACTTTGAACAGTGAATGCTAGACCCTATCAAAAAGTGAAGTAGTGATAGGCTCATTGGTAAGGAGGATTAAACATAATATGTATATATATTTCATGGTTCGTTGACATCCCGTAGAGAGTGGCTTGCAAGTATCTTTTGTTTTCGATATAACTCTCATTGCCATATGACTCAGGCAATCTCTTGAATAGTTACTACCCTGCTAATCAAAGATAAGCTTCTAAGAGAACGGCAAAGTTAGTCGGCGTTACGTGCCGCCAATCAGAAACACGGATACATCAGCCGAGCCGAGATCCTTTGGTTCGGATCACGATTATGGGGTACTGAGTCGCTGACACATCGACGGAGCACCAGTTAACTGGAACAAATCGGGGAGCAGTACGAAGAAGTGGATGCACATACCCTACCAGCCTGTTAATTTCGAGTGGATTGAACAATCAATACTGATAGGTTATCATGAATGTCAAACTCATTATGCCACAGTAAGGATTTTTGTTTGACAGCTACAACAACGTCACGTAGATATAGAAATTAGCGTCTCCCGTAAAGACCGCATGGTTTACCTTGCTCTCTGACCCCTGGAACTAGGTTGTAGAAGTTTAGTCGTTCTTTAATTAATGGTTGATATTGATACCTACGTATCGTGTCTCACTGTGATATTGACTACGTTGTGCAGGAGGGAAGCCGGCCAAATATGAATAAAACAAACACTTAAAAAAAAAAAAATTAAAAATAAAGGGAGGCGAGGGTTTAACATCTTACAATCGGGTAAGAATAACCTAGGTCGATACACAACTGGACAGAAAAACAGAGTATAAAAAGCATTGAAGTATGGATTTGTTACTAAAAGGAAATAATTTCCCTACGTACTAGAGAGTGCTTGGTTTAGTCATTGCGAGTTAACGTGGGGTTCGATCTAGATTTTCTTTTTCCAGGTTGGAGGGGCAAGGCAAGGGCCATACGTGATTGGCTAGTGCCAAGTTCTGGCCCTTATACTCCATACAGCTGCCGCCTAGCTGAATGGAGGAAGAGCTTCTCTTACTCCAATCTTCGCTACCCGACTTTCTAACTTCTCGTTTTTCCTCCATTTCCCTTTTCAATCGCCTAATTAACATAGTTTTCTTTCTCACTCTTTTCTCAACTTGCGCTACGATTCCCGATTTCCCTCAAATTTCCACTTGATATTCCTTTCTCTTCACGGTATGGTGCTTTCCGTCAATCCTCAGTAGTCGTTGCCACTAACCGATATATTTTCAATAGCATTAATTCCAACATCACCATTTCACCCCTACGCATGTCCCCTTTCGATCTGGCTAACACTTCCCGTTGATATCTGAGACGATCATTCTTCGACGATTCGCCGTCCATTTGGAATCAATATCTATCCCCTGTTTAGCCCGGCGGACAAGTCTCCTACATAACCAATAACCTTGCATTGGTCGCCCCCACGGATATTGCGCCCATGTCACGGTAGTTACCATCAGCGACAGATTGCGCTTGAGATTAGTTTGGTAGAGTTCAGTCGCTGAGGCTCTCAGATGGAATTTAACACTGACTCCGCGTTCGTGGCGAAGCACGGCTCCGACGAGAATGCCGGCGAGATTTCACGGGTTGCGCAGGAGAAATATGTGGTCGGGACTTCAGGAAATCCTGGCCCGGAACATGAGGTCAGTCCCAGTGCTGCAGAACGAGTGTACCCAATCCGGTCAATGGTCTTCGTCGATCCCTCGGCCTCTACTGCATCTGCCGACGATCCCGTTTCACCAACGAGGGGCGCCAGGCAGTATTCAATAATCGATTCTCGAACATGGGATCAACTGCAGTCGCAACGCAGGGCGGATCCAGACGTTGCTGCAGCTCACATCGAGTTGGCTCAAGCCACGGGGGAAGCGCCGAATTCGGGCAGCGACACCCTTGTACAGAGTCCCGTCACCCCCGCAATCGCGTCGCTCGAGAGTCCAGCGGAGGGCAATGGACCGCCGCATCTACTCACCACTAGATTCAAGCATGTGGAAACAGAGGACGGCCACGCTATCTTTACCGGCAGAAGGATTGAATCTTTTCTGGCTTGCGAAGATGAGCCGATACACATTCCCGGCGCAATCCAGAGTTTTGGTGCCATGGTTGCCCTGCGAGAGGAGTCGGAAGGAAAGTTGGTAGTTCGTGTGGTCAGCGAGAACTCGGAAAGTATCTTGGGCTACACGCCCCACGGCCTCTTTGCGTTGGAAAGCTTCAGTGATATCCTGGACGCGGACCAAGCGGAAACCCTATTGGATCACATTGACTTCATCCGAGATGAGGCGTACGACCCGGGCGCGGACGGCCCGGAAGTGTTCCTCATGTCTATTACCGGCCCCGCAGGCCAAGCCGTGCGGGTGTGGTGCGCCGTACATCTCAATGCTACAAATTCGGATCTAGTCATCTGCGAGTTTGAGTTAGAGGACGATCGAACAAATCCTATTAGCGGCTCTAATGGGTCGTCTCCTCCAGTGCCAATCGATACATTAGGCATGGATTTTACCCCCGAACAATTCGCGCAAAGCACCGTCAATATCAGCCAACCGTTGCGGCTGCTGCGGAACGCGCGCAGGCGACGAGGTGAAGCCGCGGCTATGGAGGTCTTCAGCATTGTCAACCAAGTTCAGGAACAGATGAACCGCGCAAAATCATTGGATGTGCTGCTGAACACCACCGTGGGGATCGTTAAAGAGCTGACGGGGTTCCATCGAATCATGATCTACCAGTTTGATAGCCAATGGAACGGAGTGGTGGTTGCCGAGTTGGTTGATCCAAGGGCCACGAAGGATCTCTATAAAGGGTTACATTTCCCGGCGTCTGATATTCCCAAGCAAGCTCGAGATCTGTATCGGATCAACCGTGTCCGTTTGCTCTACGATCGTGATCAAGTGACAGCACGCTTGGTTTGTCGCACGCTGGAAGATTTAGAGAACCCAATAGACATGACGCATGCCTACCTGCGTGCTATGTCGCCCATTCATTTGAAGTATTTGGCCAACATGGAGGTGCGTGCCTCCATGTCCATAAGCATCAATGGCCCCACCGAGCTTTGGGGTTTGATCTCTTGCCATTCTTATGGAGATTCCGGCATGAGGGTCTCTTTCCCACTACGAAAGATGTGTCGACTGATTGGAGAAACCCTGTCACGTAACATAGAGCGTCTTTCTTACGCATCGCGTCTGCAGGCTCGCAAATTGATCAATACTGTGCCGACGGATGCCAACCCGTCAGGATATATTGTTGCCTCCTCTGATGATCTGCTGAAGCTATTTGACGCTGATTACGGCGCCTTATCGATCCGCGATGAGACCAAGATTTTGGGTGGGTCAAGCCATCAAGAGATGTTGGCATTCCTGGAATATCTGCGAATGCGCCGGATTAACTCTGTGGTCGCTTCGCATAACATCAGAAAAGATTTTTCAGACCTTAAATACCCGCCAGGTTTCAAGTGCATCTCTGGCTTACTCTATGTACCCCTGTCTGCTGATGGCTCGGATTTTATGGTCTTCTTCCGGCGGGGCCGACTGACCGAAATCAAGTGGGGTGGCAACCCCTATGAGCAGAAAGAAAAGATCGTCCGGCTTGAACCGCGCCAGAGCTTTCAAATTTGGAAAGAAACCGTCCTTGATCAGTCCCGGGAATGGACGGATAGCGACGTGGAGACCGCTGCTGTGTTGTGTCTGGTGTACGGCAAATTCATCAAAGTATGGCGCCAAAACGAGGAAGCGATGCAAGGCTCGCAGTTGACTAGGCTTCTCCTGGCCAACTCCGCCCATGAGGTGCGAACCCCGTTGAATGCGGTCGTAAATTATCTGGAGATTGCACTCGAAGGCGCACTGGATAAGGAAACCAGAGACAATCTCACCAAGTCGTACTCCGCGTCGAAGTCATTGGTCTATGTTATTAATGATTTACTTGACCTGACAAACACCGAGAAGGGCCAGGATCTGATTAAAGACGAGCCTTTTGATCTTGAGCAGACCTTCAAACAAGCAACTGACATGTTTGAGAGCGAAGTTACACGGAAAGGGATAACTTATACAGTGTTGTCTCACCCTGGTATCCCTCAAACCGTAATAGGTGATGAAAGACGTGTGCGGCAGGCCATTTCCAATCTTATCTCGAATGCTATCCAGCATACGTCCGGTGGTGGTATCACGGTTGAACTCTGGCGCCAGCCTGGCCGTACTGAGGATGGATTTGCGGCAGTTCAGATCGCCGTGCTTGATACAGGATCGGGGATATCTCAAGATCGACTCGAGACATTGTTCCAGGAACTCGAACAGGTCTCTGCAGAGAGTGACAGCCGTGGCGAGGGTGAGAATGGACAGGATAACCTGCGGGCCGTCGTGAATGAGACGAAAAAGCAGGTTTTGGGATTGGGGTTGGCGACGGTTTCTCGCGTCGTCCGTAATATGCAGGGGCAACTTACTGTGCGGTCTGAGGAAGGTAAAGGGAGTCGGTTTCAGATCACTCTCAACTTTCCTCTTCCTCCCGATAGCCCCTCTGCTAATGAAGAATCACACACCCCTACCCGCATTGATGAACCTGTGGCCCCATTACAATCGAAAGAAGAGTTCGTGTTGGTAGATACTCGCTCCGAGGGTCGTAGCTACGGCGAGAGTGACACCAACAGTGAGAGTGGGAAGGCCACACAGAGATCGCCCGGGAAACAGCCGAGCTTCGATGGAGAATCCAGAAATCACCCAACGACCAGCGACGGTCCATCAACCCAGGATCCTACACCGGTTGATCAGACTTCAGAGACCAAAATCCGCCCCGCATCGTCGGCCAAAGACCCGCCCTTAAAACCTAATCTATCTTCCTTTCCTGACATCTTCCGTGTCCTGGTCGCGGAGGACGACCCAATCAATAGCAAGATCATACAGAAACGGCTGAGTAAACTTAAACACAGTGTTCGATTAACCGGTAATGGCGAGGAGTGCGCAGCCACCTACCGTGCGGACCCTGCTCAATTCGATGTTGTCTTGATGGACCTTCAGGTAGGGCGTTCTGGAATCTTGTTTTAAGGAAGCAGCGCTAACGAATCATATTTAGATGCCAATAGCCGATGGTATAACATCAACCAAAATGATCCGTCAGTTTGAGCAGGGATCTCCGTCAGACACTCTCTCAAAACTTTCCGGATTAAACGGCGGAATCCCTATCTTCGCTGTCTCAGCTTCTCTCTTAGAGAAGGATGCAGACATATACACCTCCGCAGGTTTCGATGGTTGGATTATGAAACCAATCAATTTCGAACGGTTAAATGTCCTCCTTGCTGGCGTGCGAGACCACGATGTCCGCAACAGCACTACCTACGAGCCTGGTAAATGGGAGAACGGTGGGTGGTTCCAGGGCCACAAACAGCCCAAGTCTCTCTGAAAGTCTTGATCTCTGTTTATTGAGGTGACAAAATTTATCTGTACTTGGTTTTGCTGCTATATGCAATGAGCGATTTGCGTTAGCATTCTATTTACGTTTTTTGATGGTCTGGGAAACTGAGAAGGACTTGGTTATGGAAGGCACAAACAGTCTTATGTACTTCACATTTCGCATCTATATCTATATACCCCATAAATCGATTATTCAGGTTAGTGTTATGCAGGTTTACTCTAGAATATTATGTCAGTGAAGGAGACGGGGAATTCGTTTCACTCCAATCAAGAGATGCACTCCATCTCATCTTGATGACCTTAAATGGGATCGCTTGTCAATGGTGACAGTGAGTTCATCCCCCGAGGTTTTTTGTTTTATACTAGAGTTCAAAAGCTGGACTCTACAAAGATTATTCACATAGATTATAATCGGTATTAAGCACTAAACTTAAGTCACCCTTCACCCAGCCCAAGAGAAGATTTCCGAGTCACACTTGCACCACATTAATGAGGTGGCAACTAACCTAGCTTTACCAATCATGCAAACAGGAAATATTATATCAAGACGGATAGTATTATGCACCTGCGCATTGCCTATTTCGGGATAACTGCTGCGAAGTACATTGCAGCCAAGCACGAATTCAATGCTATATAAAGTTAACATAGACCAAGGAATTACGTAGACCAGCGCATGACCTAAACAAAAAGAGATTAACTATTAGCCGAAGTTAGACAACACATCAAATACTACGCTCACAACTCCTAACAGGTATTCTGCCCACTAGCGTCCGTTCCCGGTAGTACCGTATACATATTCGATTAAAATCAGGATAGGACCAGAAAATCAATCGCTCATGGTATATCCATAGAGGGTGGTGGAGAAAGCACCTACCGCTTCTGAAAATCAAGGGGGTGGATATTGTTGAGGTGAGTCCTCAAACAATGTGTCCAAGCACAATGCCGTATTGCTGAGGGACGTGGTAAGACTTCTATGGCTGGACAGGATCAGCAAAAATCCTACATACAGGAACAGATATGCTGTCATGTTCACTAATGAGGATATTTGCCCTCAGAAAGAGAAACTTAAACTGGCCATTAGTGGCTACCAGCCACAAGAGTATCCGTGCTATTACAACTCCTCCACTGGTGCGATGGATTGCCAAAGCACGTACATATCATGGCTAGATTAGGATATAAGATGCCCAGAAGACAGTTTCTTTGAAACCAAAAGAGATATGGCACGCCTAAGCTTACACTCATATCTAAAGCTTGCCTTCACACAACCTCAGTCCGTAGCGCCGTTCTATTCACAGAGTAAGGAACCTATTATTAGTTATCTGTATCTTTTTTGGAGAATATTGAGAGGGCCTGCGGGACTCTAATTGAGGGTACAGAGAGCTCAAGTTCCCTGGACTCATGATTCGTGAAGGCTGGGAGTTAGATCCACAGCACATACTCTTGCCTCTGAGCGTAACCACGCATTTCTATAACGGCCGTCGCCGCCAAACTGATATATAGTGGTTGAGGAATAGCATGTAATGTGGGCAGCTTCCTAGTCTCGTTGGCAGCGCTTTTATGGATATGGGCTATACTACACGGCGGCAGATGACAAAAGCTTCTCCGCCGCCAGTAGCCTATTTTTGGTTATGGAGATGGCTGCAGCCTCATATTCTGTCCTCATTATAGGTCTGCAACTCTAGTGTCCTCTGGAAATACACATTGTTGCGACGATAACTTACCTCAATGTATACTTCGAAGGCTAAGCTCCCGTCAGATTCAGCTAAGTATTCACTGTCTATATGCTATCCTCTTGTTATATTCTTGAATATGTGTGGGCTGACTTATTCCGGTACGTGCTAAAATCATATTGACTTAAACGCATTGCAATGGCCATCTCTGCAGCCTTTACATAAATCACTATTGTGTGATGGGCTATTCTTTTGCCGGAGTAATGCGGCATATCCGGTTGGATCCCTACTCCATTTTTGAGCCGATAGGTGACTATTTCCGCATTAGAATTATCCAGGTATAGTCAACTCAGGCTATTGCAGCTTTTGCACCGTTCGTTGATGGTATACCCTTTTGTTGTATTTGGCCTCTAAGTACATACGTATAGTTGTAGCGATTTTTTTTTTTTGCTTAGCCATCCATTAGAGCTACAGGGACGGTTGTGATATATGAATTGACCCATAATGTTTGTGTCGTAGCCTTCGGTGCAGTTCTCGGTGTTGTCAATTCCGTGGAATTCAAAGTGGAGATTGACCTCTTCCAGCAAGCAAAAGATACTATCGTGGAGTGATATATACCGTAGCTGACCGCCTGACGATCGGAACCACTTGACGATCGATTTTACTGTACACTGACATTTAGAGTAGAATTTCAAACCTCCACAACTCATTCAATATGAACTCCTATTGAAGCGGCGCTGGCGGATATAGAATTACCGGAGCCAGGAGGATCTCTTAACTATACTGTAATTGCAAAGAAGAACAGTATTGATTGAAATACGCTGTCAAGACATCACCGCAGAGTCCAGATATCTATAGAAGAGTAATATAAAAACCAGTAATTACTTAATAACCAGCAGACTAAAGCCCTTCTGAACTAGATAGAGAAGCTTACTGATCGTGGGCTCTATACTATACATGAGATACTTTGAAATTGGGCTCAAGGAATTACTGGAATTCAGTCTGGAAAGTAGTAGTTCATCTACTTTTTAAAGAAGTATAATAATAACCTTATTGCTCGCTGTACCACTGGAATCAATTCTTCAAGAAAACAGGCAGATTCTATATATAAATATACCTTATACTTTAAGCTTATAGCTAGAAAGAAAGAGAAATTCAAGCTCAGGCCTGAAGATATATATAATATAGATAAGAAAGAATTTCTTATTAAAGTACTTTCTAAAGATAAATAAATCTTTTTCAAGCAGAAATATAAATAAGAAGGCCTTAAACAATGCCTCCAGGATAGTAATCAGAAGTGGGTTACTATAATTACTTATATTTATACAGATAGGACCTCTTCATCACCTGGTCTAATTTACCAGGCAGTATCTAGTAAGATACAGGACTCCTGGCTTCAAGACTTTAATCCAGAAGATTACCGCTGCTTCTTTGCTTCTTCCTCTTCTGATTGGACTAATCATGAGCTAGGATTTGCATAGTTAAAAGATATTTTTAATAGAGAGACTAAGAAGAAGGAAGGAAGGCGCTGGAGATTTCTATAATAGAAATAGGATTCTTTTAGCAGTGTATCTGCCTCATTTAACTTATTATCTACAGCCGCTTGATATTGGTATCTTTGGGCCTCTTTCACTCGGCCTACAGTGCTGAATTAGAAGTATATTTGCACGATTGCCAAGGTCTCAGTCATCTTATAAAACATAACTTTTTTAGGCTATCCTGGCTAAGTTAAGAAAGAGTCTTATCTTAAAAAAATATTGAAAGTGTATGGAAATCAGTTGGTTTATAGCTATAGAATCCAGAAATTATTTTAAAGTGCTTTATTAAAAAAAAGATAGTAGGCTCTCTTCTAGCTACTCCTTTCTCTCAGTACTAGATACAGAAGACTGAAAAAGAATTAAAAGATTTCTAAAGTAAGATATTACTGAGATTTATAATTAAAATACTTGAAAATTATTTTCTAGAATATATTATCTCTTTATAGAGAATATCTTGCTAATACTTCGCTGCCAGGATCTTAAAAGAGCTCTTCTGTATAAGAAGAAAAAATACCAGTATAAAAAATCTTTATAGTTTTAATTATAAGTTTCTAAGAATAGTAATACAGTGTTTTATTTGTTTAATAAGATCCAGAAGACTCAGATACTTTAAATACAAAAAAAAAAAGATAATAGAAAATATAAAGACTTTAAAAGAGATAGAGAAGCAGCGGAAGCAGCAGAAGAAAGAAGTAAAGTAATAGGCTATTAAAAGTAATCAGAGAATAAAGATATATTAGAAAGAGTTAAAAATACAGGAAGCTAAGCAGAAGAAACACTAAAAAAAGAATAAGATATATACTAAAATAACAGATCTATAGCTCCAGGATAACTTCCAGAAGACTAAAAAAGAAAGAAGACTTATCTTAAGGTCTTCTAAAGTCTTTAATCAGCAAGATATTAGTACTCTAGTGTCTGAAGTTATTGAAGAGGCCTATCCTACTGTAAATTATCAAGACAGACAAATATGCCTCCTATAGCGCTCTCGGGATCACTAAAATTACTAGATATCTCCTTTATAATCTATATTTCAATACATCAAGAGATCGCTATATAATGTCTTTTCTATGTGGTTGTATGCCTTCATTTTCTACCTGGTTGTTGGTGGAGAAATCGATCGTCAGGCGGTCAGCTACGGTATATAGACTATCTGTGATCAGGCTTTGGTCATTTGGTTGACATGTCGATTTTGACTGAACAGGAGCCGGAAATGAAATAAAAATGAAATACCAATAATATAATATAATAGAGAGGTTGTGGGTTTGGCAATAGTGCTACACAGGTACAGTACACGTGGGGGAACAAACAATATTCTAGGACGACAAATAATGTTACTAAGTGACAATTAGAGCCTTTATTTAGAGAAAGACTATTTTCAATAAAGGGGGAAGAGGGATGTCAGGCTCATATAGATAAAGAGAAAAGGAAAGAGGCACACCTGTCCTATTAGATATATTTCGATATCTGCCTAAGCGGGTATATACAGGTCTTTCAGTCAACCCTTACATTCCGATTCGAATCAAACCAATAGTAGTACAGCTCTGATATAATAGGTTCCCTCCAATTGGTAGTCTACATGCCACATAAGGCAGTGCATTGGCGCTTGCGAGTGATGCCGTTGCATTTCTCATATGCATACCAATCATGATAGGTGCCAAATATTCTCCAAACCTCCTCGTTCAAAGAGGCAGCGTATGAAAAAATAAATAAATAAAAATAAAATACAATTAAATTAAATTAAAGTGTCCTGGTATACGCGGCCCATGCCACCACAATGTTCATCGTCAAGGGTCACAACGCGACCATCAAGGACATAGCGGCCACTCTCTAGCGGTGATGATCGGAGCTACTGTTACCGATATCTATCCACCATACATCGGTGTTCCCCAGGACGCTGTCACGCCTGGGTTTAAGCTGGCGTGTTGCCTTCGTTTTATGGAGCCTGGTGTGGAAAATTTTATTGCAATATCTCCACATGTGATTAGATCGCAGCATTTTGTATAGCGCCATTTGGCGGCGACGCAGCGTGAATGCGGTTCCTCATACTTCCTGCTTTGGTGGACGTTAATGCTCAGCCGCGAGTTGAATGTACTCTCTCTACATGTACGTAACCTTGCTATCAAACGGGGGCATTTAAAAGATTGTGATCAGTAAGCTGCGCTGAAAACCAACCAGACACTTCAGCTTAGGTTAGATATAGTCGTCAACCCTGCGGAGGAAAATCCGGTAGTCGGGTAGACTCGGTGCAGTGCGTCAACAGACGGAGGGGGGGGGAGAGGATATTACTTTTAGTGCTTCTAGCCTCCAAGCTACCCTTAATTGCCCTTGCATGAGAAACCACTGAACGTTAATCTAAGCCCGTGGGCACTTGCTAAGAAATAATTAACTGATGGTATTTGCTACCTGAGGAAAGACTTTGAAGAAGTTTTGGCTCTCCTACCTTCCGGCAGTCTTCCGGCATGGGAGATATCGAAACGAGAATAGACTTCGCATGTAGCTGCTCCGAAGGCATTTTAGGAGGCCTGTCCTGTTCCATTTGGGGCACAAGATATTTCCCCTTGGCGAATTCGACACGGTTACTTCCGCAGTCTGAATGAGATTAAGAAACGGACACCTTCCTCCGTACCATTCGGGGATCCGTGTTTTGTAGAGAATGCAGGGGTAATTATCTATGACCGGACCGGCGGGCCGATATAGCTGAAAGATTGACTTGATTTTAACCGTATCAAATCAAAATAAAAGGCTTGCACACCCGTCAGTTAACTCCTAAGTGTGGGCATTCCTGAGGTTGAGCATCATGAAGGTTATATCAATCCTAGCGGGTCTGTTACGGGTGACTTCGGTTGCTGCATATCTTGCCACAACAACTGTAGTATTTCCTCTCCTGGACATGTGAACCATGCTAAATGAGGAGCAGCGATACTATGATGGTCAAGAAGGTGCCTGCGGGTGTGGTACTTCCTCCGGTGCTTATCCCTGGCAGGTAGGCAAAAACCGCTGCCTTCTTGAAAGCTTGATGACCGATAGGGTATGTAGCTAGGCATAAGCAGCGGTGTCTACACAGCTGCAGGCTCACAAGCCCTATTTGATACTGGCGGTGCGTCCTGGTGCGGCGCAGGATGTGGCAAATGCTACAACCTAACCTCGACGGGCAACCCTCCTTGCACTGGTTGCGGGACGGGTGGAGTGGCCGGCAAAAGTATCATTGTCATGACCACCAACCTCTGCCCGTATAATGGCAATCAACAGTGGTGTCCGCAGGTCGGTGCGACAAATAGCTACGGGTACAGCTATCACTTTGACATCATGGCGAAGACCGAAGTATTTGGCGACAACCCCGTCGTGAATTTCGAGCCGGTCGCTTGCCCTGGTCAAGCCACGTCTGACTGGGAGACGTGTGTCTGCTATGGCTAGATTGAGGATAACACCCGATGAACTCACATCAGGCGGCAGTGGTAGCTGAAGGTGCTGGAGTTTGATTTTCATACCCTCCTAGATTCCTTACACCGCACGCGTGAAGGAGGCATTGAGTACATGGCTAGTATAATAGGTAATCAGTGGATATTACAATAGATCGACCCCGTGGAGTATATTCTCGCTGTTGTATGTCTCATATCAGACTCTAGTAGTTCCGCTGATTTTATGGGGCGCCTTTGAGTGAGATGGCTACCAAAACCGTTGCTGGTTCATTGAAAATTCAAATTGGGGAAGACTTCACAATGGATCAAATTGAAAAAGCACATCAGGCTATGGAGGACAACACAACCTATGGTAAGATCTCGTCCTCACCTGAGATTGTTGAGCAAAATTATTGATAATAATAGTACCTTTCTTTAATGATTGAAAATCACAGGAGAGATTAAACGCAAGACAGCTTTTTGTAGGACCATTGCTAAGCATTTCTAAGCACAGTATCAAACTTCCTAATCAGGCTACCCAAAAAGCTTAACCCTAAACGATGGTCGAGGAGCATTTATAATGATTACTTTATGTAACTACTTTGTATAGGCATGGTCGCTGCAGCGTTACGGCTGACTGCTTGCGAATTTGGTCCAAGTAACTATGGAAAATAGTATGTGTATATCTATGTATCGGCCAGTGCATATGACGCTGGTCTTTCCAAGCCGTCCGATTTTTTTTTTTTTCTTTCGTTATACTAGATACTTCTCACCATGTCTTTGAAACCCAAATTGTTATTGTTGGCGCATCTTAGGCGGGCATTGGGCTCGGCCAGGCACTACTGAAAGCTATCCCAACATTCGGATAGTGTTGATCAACCCATCGAGCCAGTTCTTCTTCAGTATGGCCGCCGCCCGTATACTTGCTAAGCCCATAGCGTTCCGATCAGCGCAGTATCTTCTTATCGAAAAGGCATCCGAAAATGCACCACCCGGTTCCTTTGAGTTGGTCCTCGGATCAGCAACGGCAACCGACCCAGAATCTAAATCGGTGATGGTCTCAGGGAAGGGAACCATCACGTATGACTACCTCCTCATTGCGTCTGGAAGCACCACGGCTGCTCTATTGCCAGGGGTAGTAACCTCGCGCCCTTTAAGGCCACAGGTGGCCAAGATCTCTGGAATACGATCGAAGCTGCGCAGCAACAGCTCTCTGCCTCTAAATATGTGGTCATTGGTGGCGCAGGGCCGGTTGGTGATATCACTGCCTATCCTGCCCGTCTCTTCATGAAAAATAGGAGTAGATCCTTGGAGGTCGACATTTTGGGACGAGGAAAGCGGAAAACTTATTCTCAGGATGGCAAGGTGATAATGATTGTCCCAGTAGGTTCTACTAACGGAACTGACCAAATATTTGACATGGTGCCTTGGGGAAGACGGCAGCCATGGCCAAGGGCAAAGACTATTTTGTCTCCAAAGCACGAGGTCTGATTGGGTTGAAATAGATATTTCTTTACTACTGGCCTTTGGTACTATGGTTTGGGTGTTATATTATTAGTAATAGAATTATCGGTGTGCTCCAAACACAGTTGATACAATAAGCGGGCATGTACATGCAATCCCCGAAGGATAAGCTGAAAGAGCCAGATAGGGAGATACCGACCAAATATTCGCTCAGAGAAACTTTAGCAAGACGAGATCGGAATCGCCGGAGACAAGACTCTAATTGAAATCATGAAGCAGATGTGTTCTGACAGAACGGTTGCCTCGTCTACCCATTACTCGGATAACGATAAATTCCGAGATGGCCTGTTAAACCGGGCTGGTGAAGAGGTCATCCAATATTGCAGTCAATGGCGCGTGTCTGGATCGCAATTGACAGACAAACTTGTCGAATTGATCAACACAGCAAGGGAGTTATACGACGTAATAACATTTGGAAGTAAATATTAGAACCTAATATGTGGTAGTCTTCTGGACCGCAACTGCGCAAAACCCTACCAAGCAACTAAAGCTAGATTTCTTCTACGTGCACTCCTTGAACCTCTCTATTTTTTTTCAAAGTATTTATAGGCTTGTCGTATATAACTATAACAAATCACGTCTTCCAGAAATGAAGGGCTGAATGGACCTATTTATCTGGGCTTCTCCCAATATGCCTGAGCTATAGACTACTGCTATTATGTAGTATCCATATGTCTCCCGATACAGATAGCCATCCCTTTCCACTCTTATTTTCAAACACCAGACACAGTTGATCCTCAAATGCCACCATCCGGACATATTTAGCCTGATGGCCATCATCAGACGGGTGCTTGTAGGCTTTTGCAAGCACTTCAGGCCAGCCCATATAGATAGGCTCAGAATCGGGAAACTCAGTGCGTGCACAAATGCTACATCTAGTACCGTACTATGCTAACATTCTTGCAGCGGTCGACTCGACTGGCGTGATACCCAGTGATATGGGGTTCGCGGTGCAGGTTTTACAGAGGGTTGGGAGAAATCTGGACCACGGAAGTATATATTCTTGCAAGCACCGCGGTTTGGATGTTGAATAAATAATTTTAAGCTCATCTATCTCAAAAGGTATATAAAACAATGCAATCTAGAAATCAAAAAGCCACAATACACCTCTTAAAACGTAATTTATACTCTATACCCGAAATCCAGCAACAGCACCCGCCACCCCCACAAGCCCAGGCATCATCCCCTCCACCCCATCCTCATCCATCGCCATCCCCAAAACCTTCCTCTGACACAAAAGCGCCTCTCCACTCTGCCAACAATGACACTTCCCTCCCTGAACCTCCAACTCAACCGCAACCCCTTCACCCCTCGCCCGCTCAACAAACCCAACAATATCATCTGCAAAGATCTCATCTGCACCAGCAGAAACCCAAATCCTAGTAGGAAGAATGGCCTCCCACCCTCCACGACGAGTAGACGAAGTCCTAAAATTCCCAAAAAGCCCCCGAAGTCTCATATCAGTATCAGAAGATAGAACCCTCTCCCCGCTCTCCCGTAAAAAAGACCCAGACATATAATCCCTCTTCTCGAGATCCCTGGTCCGCGGGGACTCAAGCAAAAGATCAATCCATGGACTAAGCAAAACCGCCGAGCCCGGACGCGGATATTTAGCCCCAACCCCAGAATGACTAAGAGAAAGCGCAACCAAAAAAGCCAAAGCAAGATGCCCCCCCGCAGATTCACCCATCAGGCATATCCTTTCAGGATCTATCCCCTCCTCTTCAAGGAGGTATCCATATGCTGCGAGCGCCTCATCGATTTGTTTCGGGAAGGGTGCGTTCTGGGCGAGTGTATAGTCCAGAGAGAAGATGGCAGGTTTTAGACCCCTCTTTTCTAGGATCTCGGCGAGGAAGAGGAGGGCGGGGAGGTGGGCTGCTGGGTGGCCGAGGGCGTAGCCGCTTCCGCGCATGTGGTAGATTACTATGTCTGCTTTGTTGGGGGGGAGTTGGGTAGACAGGCCGCGGGTGATCCAGTAGGCTGTGAAGGGGGGTCGGTGAATGGGGTGGAAGAGGTGGACTTTCAGGTGGGTGTATCGGGGTGAGGAGAGAGTCTGAGAGCCTGGTTTGTAGTTGTTTAGGGAGGTGTTGTGGATTGAGAGGGGGAGAGATTTGAAGGCACTATTGTTGTTAGAATTCTGACTTTTTGTGTTGGGCGGAAGAAGGAGGGAGAGGGAAGGGTGGGGGTTGTGTTTACTTGCGGATGAGAGATCGGGTGAGATCTTTTAAGAGTGGTGGGCGGTTGGGTATTTGCGTGAGATGGGTTAGGGTTGTTCGGAGGATTGTCCAGGGTGCTTGGATGAGTAGAAATGTTGTTACAGCTATAATGTCCCTGGTAGTGATGGGAGGGGGAGGGTTAGGCTCTGGGATGCCCATGGCTGTAGCTCGTGGTTTCTGGCCCTGAGGACTGGGTAGTGGTGCACTCTAGAGTACACTTGAACATCTATTAAATGTTTAAAGGGAATAAGACACGGGAAGTGGACGGTTGTTCGGGATCCATGTTTCGGGGAGTTGAGACATGGGACCGACTCCGTGCCGTTTCAAATGAAAGCCGGTTTTTCCGGGATGCGAGTCAAGGATCATGCCGATCATGCAAGGTTTCGTCAGCCTTCTTTGATACGTATTTTGAGACCTTTGAAAGTTCCGTCTAGAGTGAAACTAGGAAAACAGGCTAATAGAAAAGAAGAGAAAAAGAATGTGATATACAAAAAATAAGAATGAAGAGGTACGGTGGTATCCGAAGCCATACTCCGCAAATCCTAGCTAAACAGTATGCTCGGACATATATCATCATTCTGGCTGCGACAATTCAAAGAAAACCACGACTCCGCTTTATTGCTCTCCTTTTGACTAGGCAGGCACCAATGGGGATGGAAGATGTTGAACACAGCAACGGCAACGACCATAGGTATCCCACAAGGCCAATGGAGAACCACTCCCTGGTGATTAGATATCCTGATCAGCCTTCAAGTAATTCAGTGGTACGGTAGATGCTTCACATATAGATGCATACAATGGAAAATGTCGTCGCCAGTGCCGAGCGAGAAAGTCGATTCGGATACTGTCATTGCCGCCATTTGAAATACAATACCGGCCACCATTGTGTTTGTGCCTGGCGCTGTATCTCCGTTCACCTCGTTTGCTGCTGAAGAGGCCATACCACCACCCACCGCCTGCACAGCCAGCGAGATAATATCGCCTGCACAGAATATCTAGAGGTACCAGCTTGGGCGAAGGATGGAAATTTCTGGGCCCAGAAGAACGATGAGCTGGCCGAGAAAGACGTATATTCCAGGGGTGAAAAATGTCGGTCCTAAGGTATGATAAAGACCATCAGTCGGGAGGATTTCGCAAAGAGGTGTTCTGCTTGAGGAATACCAATAATCAAAGTGGATATCTGCATCAAGAACGCGACCGGTTGATACGGACACTGCGCTACCCACCCTGAAACCTCAGCTGAAATTTAGCCTATGTATGAAAAGTTGAGCGCGAATATTTCCTGGATTTATCAGGTTTGCGTCGTATGACATATGAATGCCACGTATCATTGCAGTTGTCCCCTATAGTTTCATTAGCCGGCTGCTCCTTTAAGACCAGCCGGCTGCAAATGAACATACCTGTCATCCAGCAAAGTTTTCACCTCCGGCAAAGATTCCAGAGGCAGATCCCAAGGCCAACTGGTAAAACTTCCAGCTAGCCCCTTTTCCTGGTCCAAAGGCAGCGCCATCGTGATACTGGTAATCCAAAGCCAGGACAGTATGATAAAACGCAGACCATTAGACGTCTTCCGCAAAGTCTACAACTAACCAGGGGCTTAATATCCTCTATACAAATTTAATCATTCCAGAAATGGGTGGACTGGATGAACTTGGCTGAAATATTCTACCGATAGTCAGGACTGCTTTCACGGCATCGGAGTGGTGTCTATTCCATACAGTCAACATAAAGTCTCATCGTGGCCTCCGCCACTATTGGCGGGCTTTCAGATATTTGCCACAGATTGTCAGTGGCTGGTCCCTTCTGCTTTTGATGACACTCATAGCGATCATCCACAACGGCGGAAATTCTATTATGAGACATTCAGCTCCGTTGCGTTGTGCCCCAAGCGTTGGGTAAGCACTCGTATCCGGCTTTCTGAAAAATATCCGATACTTGCGCTTCCAACTTTTTAGTACTACACAAACCCAGTTTATCTGCAAATCCTTCCTGCAAAGCCGTTTCTTGATTTACAAGCATATCATCTATTGCTTTGAGGCATCCTGTCCGGAAATTTTTTGAAGCTGTTAGTCGTCGAATAGCCTATCTTGTCTGGCAAAACGAACGGTTAATTCTACGGCCAAGTATGCACCGAGAGTGGGGCTTAACGCTCTAGGATTGACCGAAGGTGTAGGACTTCTAGATAATGTCCAAGAGGCGTAACCCAACCCTTCAAAACGTGAATCCGAGCAGGACGATGCTGAGGATGACGAGCAAGAAGCTAATGAACTATACTTTGCTAGAGGAAGTCAAGCAACGTCGCAATGAGCGGAGTATGCCACAGACTTAGGGGAGATATCGGCATCCAGCGACGATGCATCTCAAGTGAATTAGCAAGAGGCGGTTATTAGGCAATCAGTCAGGACGATAGTGATGCGAGAAGAAGCTTTGAAGTAGAGAACTAGACTTCGGGGGGGAATCTAGTCGCGCCAGTCTAAATTCATCTCTATATTTCATATATGCACATGATGCATGGATTTTGCGTAGGATATTAAGCGCACTTGACTTCACCGCCCCTTCAAGAAATAACAGTTCCTTTTCATTGTTTTTCATACGGGTCTATATTTCCTGGAGCGCAAAAAGTGTCTCCTTGAGACTCAGGGCCCACGCACCCTGCTGGGGTCTTTTAGTATTCGACGGGGAGACGTGGGTTCCCGGGTCCTTTTATCGCTACCAGTAAACGTTCCACCTTCGTCTCCACTTATAGTCCACTAGCTAACATGACGAACCAACTTTGTTCTAGATCCCTTTCCACCAAATCTCGCTCTCATTCTACTGTATTACGATTGACCAAGATGTCGTCACGAGGGAGCCTAAGCCCTGCGGTATCCTCAAACGTCTTTCCTACTTTCACCGAGGCCAAAAAGTCTCTGGATATGAAGCTTGATCAATATCAACCACTCCACCTTGAAGATGATAGCGAAAGCTCTTTGAGGATATTTCTCAAATACCTACCGCTGCAAGGACAAGTCAACCTAGCAGAGAACGTGGAGCGGTGTTCTGATGATGAAGAATTACGGCAGCTGGCTAAGAGCCTCGACACAGGCTTGCTGCGGCCTATGCTAGCCCATGGCGGTACCACACCCGCCGTAACCCTATCTCCTCGGCTTGGCGTAGAGGATTCTATTGAAGATTTGCTCTCTAAAGATATCCACACTGCTAGAGAGCTAGTCAACGACAACTACGCGACCACTGTCTGGCAAGGGAGGGATATAGGTGCGTTGTGTCAACCGTTTGCTTTAGGGGCCTTCCAGGAAAATGACACAGACGAACGATATAGGCATGCGATAGTTTGGGTCAATATTGACGGATACTTTCCTGACCGTCGCTCGCGTATTGGATTTTCTTCAGAACGGGTATCCTTCGCCGGAGGGCAGTGCACTGGTTGGGATGGGTGGAGGGAGGAAAAGAGAAGAGGAAGTGCGTCGTCCTTAGGGGGGGGGGTCAGGTTAGGGTTATATTGTTCCGTCGAAGGAGGTAGAGCGGTGTCAAAGCGGCGTGATTCGACAGCTAGGGGCACCCGGGTTAGGGTATCTTGTACGGTCATCAAGCCGAATCGCTATTCAATCAGTGACAAACACCATACTGATTCTATATATATATTACACACTAAAAATTATTACGGAAGAGGGGCATTGTTTCTCTATATCATAACAAAGGCATACAACCGAAGCTAAGAAAACGCGGGAGAGCCCCATCTAACGCTGACACGTTTGTTTCTAAACCATTTCGAGAATAGATATTGCTTTCTTCGTGTTCTCAGTCTAGTCGTGAATATCCTCTACGAAAGCTCAAGCGACTCCAGGTTTGATCCCCTTACTCAAAAAGAATTCTGTGTCTTGATCTTTATAGATATATCTAAGGTTAAAGCTTTCGAACACCGTTATCTTAATATACTTGTCAAAACATAGCTTTGAGAGTATTATTCTCTACGTGTGATATAAGCTACTTACTATATTCTTTGGCAGCTACGTATTTGGATCCTGGAATATCTCCTTTAGTCCAGCTAAGTTAACAGGCTAGAGCAGAAGAAATATGAACCACGATTCCCCATTTTATTGATGACCCCATCCTTTTAAGTGGGCAAAAGGCTTGTGACGGTCAAAAGCGCTACAGGTGAAAATAGACCTTAGTGCAACTCTAGCATGGCACATTTTATTGAGGTTAGCGTACTCAAGCTACTCACCCTCTGCTCACCCCTACTCAGTGATCAGTTCAGGGCTCTCAGGGCGTGTTCACGTCTTACCAGTGAATCAAAAGCAGTGAGTGGTAAACTCTAAAACGGAAAAAGTTCTTGAGCTGTCTAGAAAACCCGATACGTATTCAAAGAAGATACCACATATTTGAGAGGCAGTGCAAGACAGCTACATTGTTTCTCAATGATATTTTGAGAAAGCCTTGGTTCATTATCAGGTGCCAACTTTTCTTGTCCTTTTTTATCGTGTAATTGGTCATTCAAACGGTGTGGATCCACTATCACTGGCATTTAGTGAAGGCCTCGGATCCTCATGCACTTTGACCTGAGCTGCCATCTATGCGTCAGGTTAGGGCTAGAAGGGACGGACCAATCCCTGAACTTGGGCCGCAGAGCCAAGCCAAGAATTCGGGGCAAAGAGCAAACGCATCAAATGCTAAGAACAAAGAGACCAACAGAGGTTATGCTCAAGTGCTTGCGGAGTAGAGGGTTCAGCCTCGGAGGGCCCCGGTGGTAAGCACCAAGCTGCCCTTTTCATTAGGTAGGCAGCAGTCAGAACACGGAACAAATTCTCCGTAAGACGCTAATGTAGTCCTTTATTTAGAGATGTAACAGGGCTTATAAGTATTTAAGCAGAAGAGTGGAGCAGGACCTCTACCCAACGCAAGGATTAGAAACTTTGTCAGCAAAGAGCAGCAAAATGCTCTTGATTTTCGTACGTTGGCCAACACTCAACATTATTAGCTTCGAGGCGAGGCAGAATCTGCCTTTTCGCCTAGTTTGAGGGGAAGTACTTTTGCTTGGGTTTCTTCGTCCGTTGTCTTGCTCTATCCGACGCCAATTTTCTGGGATCCCCCGCACCTGACTTGATTTAGTAATGCTAGAAATTGGAGCTAAGCTCAGCTACATCTTGAGAGTACCTTCAGAGCTCTGTACGAAACGTCTCCATGGTATAGGAAGGTTAAATATTCGCTGAGGTTATCCCTCATAAGGTATATAACTATCTATGCCCCAGCAAGATGAAAAAGTCCGTCATAAGGAACTAGATACCTTTACCGGAATTGCGGAGCATGACCCAATACCTAGCAGCATCCACACAGTCACACACCGTGTCTGTTAGGGTCACAGTTTCAATCACCTCAAAACCCAATGCCATGTAGAAATTGATATTTTCCTTCCAAGTACATTCAAGAACCAGCGGTTCGTCACCAGTCAGTCGAATTATCTCTACCATCATCCGTCTGCCCAGACCCTGACGCTGCAGCAATGGATCAATAGCCAGAACTTCAATGTACCAAAACTTTTGTCGCCGAGGAAGAATGCCCCTAACAAGCCGGAGCGACTCCTCATGGACTCGAGAGGAAGTATCCCACCGCCGCTGTGTACGCGAGCAGTTAGTGAATGGTAAAATTCTGAGCTTGCATGAGATTGTGATTAAAAACTCGCAACTTACATCCTGCAACGGCGTATTAGTTGGCAACGGGTTGCGTCTATACTCTTTTAACAGACTGAAAAATCCCAAATAGTACGAGAGCCACTTTCTCTTTTTCCTGTCGGATGGGTGAAGAATAGCAACGCCACCCGGGTTACCGAGCAAGTGTCCTAGTGTGGGTCCCATAGTCCGCATATTGTCCCGGGGTGATCTCTGCAAGAGCTGACACTGTAGGCTTCCAATATTATCCGTGTAGTACACACGACCTCCCAGCATGGCAACCCGCATCCGCCATGCCTGAAAGGCAAGCGTGTCGGGTCGTAGTTCGCTCCAGGATGGGGTATCCAGTCGCAGCCAGTGCACCAGGGGATCCGCGGAAAAGGCGCGAGCAATCGTACAACCAGCGGAGGTAATTGCCTTAGGGTCTAAAAGATGAGTGAGCTTCCCTTCTAGTACTTGACAAGATGTAAGATACTCGGGATAGGGAATTGATAATACCTTTGCCTGAGAGCTTTCCTATCGACAGATCGAGGCTGTCTCTTCTCAATGCCATGATCGAATCAAGCAGCGTTTGTTGGATATATAGTGGTGCTTTAGTGGTCGTTTACGCGTTCTCAAGATGAGTTCTGGTTTTAGTTCGCTATCTTTACAGTTATTTTGGTGATTAGGCGTTTCTCTAAAGAACTTTTAGGTAGCCCTGACATGATTCTGACGCCATCATCACTGACAGTTAGATGAATCACACATGACATATCAAGACTTCTTTCATTTGCCTAAATATCAATGCTATTTCGACTACAAGCAAAGTAACATTAGACGCGATCCCTTATGACAAATCCACAATATCTGGCCGCCCGCAGTCACTTAGTACTAGAATATGTTTTCTTCACTCCATGGATATCGAACACTACATTTGGTACTTTATAAAGATGATTAACTTGCAGAAGCCTGTTCAAGATCCACGGGTCTCATATGTAATAAGGAGGTGTTATGACCGCTTCACCCTAGTACAATCAACTTCCACTCGCGATCTTGTAATGCCGTCCAGTCCCGAATTGCAATCCACGCAAATCCTTCACGGATCGCGATGACTCCATGTGTGTCTCGAGAGGTGAACATGACCCCTATGGCTCCATTGGCAATATGGCCAGAATCCCAGCTACCTCTATTTTGGGCAACTGCGATCAGTTCCACGGTATCGCCCTCCTTTAAAGATGGAGCAATGTGGGACCAGGAGACTTGGAGGGTGCTACCGGGTCGCTGGGACAGGGTGACTTCCCAGGTCGAGGTGTCGGGATCACTAGACATAGAATCGTCGACTGTCTGGCGGCTTGTTACGGTGAGACGAGCGGAGGCTGTCCAGAAACAGAGTAACGATGATAAGCTAATAGACGGATCTCTTGGTAAGTCTTCAAGGGAAACACTGGAAGGTCTAGATGAACGATCAGGTAGGCCGGAATCTTCAACGAGCAGATCGACCTCACGGTTGAACTTTGCAGATTGCTTCATTTCCATCATAGTTGTCCCGTCTTCAGAGACACGATAGAACCTGAGACCCAGAGCTTCCATTGTCAAGTTTTGGTTGGCGAGCTTTGTCTGTCCGTCGCTAGTCCAACCAACCCATGACCAGCTGGGAAACTGATCCTTGTTTTGAGACAATGTCTGAACACCACGTCTCCGTCTCAACTTATGGCTTCGGTGGCCCCAGGCAAGAGCAGATTCCAGGAACGCAGTCGGCATACCCCAGAAGAACGTCATTCCCATTGACCTTTCCAAGGCTCCTATAATGCCTAGAAATGCATTCAATCCGTCGCTATCAAACGACAATGACCGACCAGAGTAGTCCTCGAGAAGAACACGGTAGAAGTGGTCGAGTGTGACGATATCAGAATTCCACGAGAGGTTCAGCTCCCCTCCACAAAGACTCGTCCGGTGGGGATCCGGAGAGATGCTGGGAATTTCACGAAAGCTGTCCTCGCACCAGAATGCCTCTTCACATTCCCAGAATACCTGTTCTGCGGTGAAAACAAGTGATCTAGAAGCGAGAAATCTCTCCTGCAGAGTCCAGGCTCGAGTGTCCCATACCGTCTCCCCCAAATAACCAACGGCGCGCCCTGTACGGAGATCAACCTTTACACCCAGAACAGGGTCAAGAGACTGAACCAATGTAACATCGCGAATCCTAAATGGTTCTTGCTCCTGACTTCGAGAACCAGGTTTAACTCCCGGGAGGCGGGTGTTGGCATCCGTGCAGGTCGAAGAGATAATGACGACTGTTGCTAAGGTGTATATCGAGTCCATTCGTGAGATGAACTTGGCCTTATCTTGGTCGTCGTCCTGTACTATGCAAAGGCTGTCAACCCAAAGATATCGCTCCCCAAGGCCCTTGGTAACTTGTAGAGCGTCTTCAATAATGTTCGGAAGGACTTCCGGTGCAAGAGAGCCTGGCATGGAGAAGGCCTCGATATTCTCTTTTAGAAGCCTGAGGGTTTTTGCCTTTCCCCAAACGTAGCTTAGACAGACCCATTGAGCATCACCGTCGGCAAAGGTCAAGCATCTCCTTTCAACATCAATAACTCGGGGTTGGATATTCGGAGTTCCCTTGAAGATTTGCGAGCATTTTCCTCCATGCTCTTGTTGACACAATTTTTTCCATCGCTCAAAGAGCGCCATATTCGCTACCAGAGGCCTTTGGCGTCCAGTGTACGGGCGAGCCTGATTATCAGCCGTGACGCAACCGACGCCCGAGACTTGAGATGGATCATCCGATGGTCCTCCATATCCTTGAAAATAAAAGGTTAGAAACTGCGACTGTCCATTTTCATTATCAGTTCGAAACCGCGGAATGGAACAGCTAATTCTAATCCGAGCCGAATGTGCTTTATCTTCGGCACAACCTTCCTTCTCCTCTCCCACAACTGTATGCCAATCCGTTTCAAGCGATACATCTACATGTGACCTGGAGATATCGAAACTTTCTGTTCGTTCTCCTTGGTTTTCAGCAAACCAATCTGTGATGAGATTGACGATCTTCCTGCAGAAAGCACAGTTCTTGGAATTACTCAGCAACGTAGGAAACTCCCTCTGAAAAAAGAAGTTATCACTTGAGTATTCTGGAGAATCATGAAAGCCAACATATTGAAAATCGATGCGACGACACAGAAAGCACAAGTCATGCGTTGTCGAATTTTGAACTTCTCATATATTCTTCATGTAAGCGGGGGCCAGTCTCAAAATCTCATGAAATACACTCACTATGTATGTTAGAGCTTGTACTGACTCTGTCATTTTCGGTTGAGGATGCTATTAATGATCTTGACGATAACGAGAGTGCAGCTATCGAAGACATTAGTTTATCAAGGCAGGGAGGTTATGTATAGACATAGACGATGGGGATTCACGATCGAACGGCGTTGGCGGGCTTCTTCGAGGATATCGATACGTTACTAGTGACAATAGGGTTAAGCGCTGATTGATTCTTCTCCATTGGCTAATTGCACTGTGGCAATGCAACGCCTCTTAAGAGGTCCACTGAACAACTTTAATCATTATGCTCGATACAATATACATAGCTACTCTTGTAGTGTGTACATATGCTACATAGAAACATGTCGTTTGGTGAGAGTTACCGTACGTCTGTTTCGAACCATTAGATTATTGGAGGTGATACATGATAGGCTTCTTGAAACCAGTGCAATAGCGATACATCGGGGTCATGGAGCCATGGGAAGGGGCATGATAGATTCAATGCATCATGCTTTTTTTTCAAGGAGCGGTCTTATAATTTTCAGAGACGATTGACACTATATCGTGATATGCTGGGGAGTGCAGGTATGTACTGGGCACAGCCCGAGACGGGTACTTCACAGACAATTAAAAACGAATTTGGCGATTAAGATATTCAGGGTGTTGAGGGGGCGATGAAGGAACAAGGACGAAACACGCGATAGAATACCGTCATCCTCTCGCGGTGATCAATTCTGCCCCGGCTCGAGCTCGCTTCGGTGATACTACGCTCAGGGCTGCTGTAACAGAAGGCGGTCACATAACCCATGTGGCGGAGATGGGACTGCCCTGGTGACAGTGACAGAGCGATGGTAGGATTTAGCATGCGCAGAACCTGGACAATGACTGGTGTCGGGGAGATGATCTCGGTCGCTAGGTGGGAAAAAAGTAATCTTGAGATGAGAGGCGAAGAGTCGAAATCTGATTGAGACGTGGCAGACTCTGAACTAGTTCAACTAGTTCGTTGAGAAAGGCGAATTCCATCTTTAGCTTAATACTGGCTGCCATAGGGCCGTAGCCAATTTTGATATTTTGAAGGTGAGTGTGATCAATGATCACTAGGGAGACATCTGATAGGAGCAGAATGATGTTGACGACGATCAGTTCTTTCACCACTCGGTTGCCTGCACACCCTTGGGCATCCAGGATAGGTTTCAGATTTTGGAGCACAACCCAAAGGTAGATGCCTGCTATGATCAGTTCGCGCGCGCATGAGCCGGTTATGGCAACGTGCTCGTATATACGGCAGAAAGCATCCAAGTCCGGTCTTGTGGTGAACTCTCTTATGAGTTTTAAGATAGTTAGAGGAAGATGGAGGACACAGGCGGTGGCAACGATGAAGACGAGGACATATCGAGGAGTTCGGTCGATTGTAACGAGATGCAGTCGGGCGTAGAGTACCATGATGCCACCAGTGGCCATGGAGAAAACCCCTAAGGGAAAGGTGATCTTTGCCAGAGCTGGGGGCCCAGTTCCCAACAACCGAAGGACTGCAGCTGTAACAAAGATGATGATCCCCCATGTGGCCGCTATGAGGCTCCAGAAGTAACAGCCACGGTAGTGTCTGAAAAAGCAGAAGATCCAATAGAATAGCTCCAGGGCATTGTAGGCCGCGATAGCCAGGAGGGGGAAGATCACCAGAGTAGCTTCGCGGTTGAAGGCCGGGGACTCTAATACCTCTGGCATGCTAACTTGAGAAGTCGGGCATTCAAATCAACGTACTGTCCGACCCGGTTGGCGCGACGGAGAAACAGTAGCCAAGTGAGAGGGCTGAGAAGCAACTAATATAAGAAGAATAGGCTGTAGACCCACAATACAAGACAATAACAAAGAAGGATCGATGGTGAAACGCAAAAGGACTGCCTAATCAACGTGAGACTGGACCCGAAGACCTTCATGCAAGTCGATAGGAGAGCATAGCAATTGTTCGACTCCGCAAGGCACCGCGGTCTGAGTCTACTAACAAAGGTACTATCTAACTACTCCTCAATGTCAGCCCTTGCCCCATTCTCTTGCCAAAAAGCGTATCCAAAACTAAGCGCCACTAAATAGTCATACTAAGTATTAATAAACTCAACAGATTTCCCTGACCTATTCAGAGTCGGTAGGGGAGACAGAAGTACGATCCCGGAACACTTTCAAGCGTCAACCGTTTATGTACTACATGCATAATTCAGGTTTGCGTACAACTTAACCTAATCTGCAGATGACAACCGTCTAGCAACTGCTAACACAATAAGGACCAACGTCAGTATATGCAGGGCTCAACTGGCAGCTTTAACCAATCAAACTAGTCCCGCATACATGGAAGGAGTACTATGGACATAAGAATGGCTGGATGCTCCAGGATAAACTTCCTGTCTGGATCAAGCCCACGGACATGCTGTACAGGGGTCACGACATCCACCTCTCTCGACAAGAAAAACCTCACCCAAGGCCTAGGCCGCAGGTAAGTCTGGGCTAGCAATATTGAGAACAAAGAAAGTGGAGATTGTACATGCTGTTGAATGGCACATAGCCATATTTGGCTTTTAGCCGTTGCACCCCAAGTTATGTGGCGTTTGGTGGCCCGTGACGGCGTGTCGGAAGCGTATCCGCGATTTCTCCTTCAATGCTGAGACAAAGGTAACTGCGAATTGAGCTCCACAGTTCAGGCTTCGGCTTCTTTCGGACATGAGAGGGGTTGAACAGGTCGCCGAAGATCTTCAATATTTCAAATTCATGAACGCGGCGTTATGCAAATACGGAGGTCGTAGCGCATGATGGTCACCATGATGGTCAATCCATGACAGACAGCGAGGGAAGACTGTATCCTGGTCCCTATAGCTTTACGCCCTTGGAGAATTACTGTGCATTGTGGCCTACTCCAGATCAACCAGGAGCCTCTCTGTCAGGAATCACAGTGGGGCCATCCTTGCTCGTGTCCTTCAGCTAGGAGGCTAGCAATAACCGATGACCCGGTAAGATTTCATCCGTCTGTACGGCATACTCCGTATTCAGTGCCTTGGAGCCCAAGGGACTCTGTATTTGTAGATCGGGTCATCGCTGTCCGATTGAGCCTACTTCTCGTTAACATTACACTGAGTGTGGAATGGTGCAGTCCCAGCAGACTGGTCCTTCTACCCCTCGAAGGATTCACGGGGCAGACGAGCAAATTTCTTGTTTACTTGTCATCATTTTCAGAGTGTGTTTAAGAAGGGGCCGAAAGAAGAGTAAAATAGAATAGTAGTCTTTGCTGCTTCTTCATTTAAAATTTCAGTGGTTATGTAGAATTCATTCTGGACAGATTAGAGATGTGTCAATTAAAGACAAATGATCGACCGGATGATCATGTGGTCTGTGCGCCAAGTAGCTGACGTGACGTTTTCGGCGGAAGCTTTAGCTTTACTCTTTTGCCTTCCTAACTTCATCTCCTGCATTCCTATTCACCCTTCTTGCTCCTCTGACTTTTGAGAATCACGTACACTACGCCCTTCTCAGCGAAAGATTTACATCAATATACCTCCAATGATGTCTCTACACTAATGCAGCAATACTCATTCATCCTCTAAAAAATCTATATTCCCCCTGTCGCAATGGTATCCCTGTGGCCCTTCAAAGTAAGTCGGCTGCCTGTTCATGGAGAGGATGAACCGCAACTAACCAAAGGCTCCATGTCTCTCAATCAGGGAGAAGATAACTCTCCAGCATCCTTTGAGAAAGCGCTCTCAGCTCTCTCCGGTAAAATCACGCGCGCCAACGCCCGTCTCGACATTCACCGCCAAAATGCCCGTCGCTTCAAAGCCCTGTGGACGCTATACACCACCTTCGCCTACCTCCTCTACTCAATTATTCTCGCGCTGGTACTTGGTTGGCAGAATTTTGGCGTGGTAGAGTATGCCGCCATTGCCGGAGGACCCGTGGTGTACGCGAATTCCCCTGAATAGCCCTGAACCCCCCTTTTCGCAGAAATTAATTTGGGAGTAGGATCTGTGGCGTCCGCGCCGCCAGCAGCAAGTACTTCGAATACCGCATCAGCAGAACCCAACACTACCTCGATGATCTCCAAAAGCAACGGGATGAGACCATTGAAAAACTCAAGATTGCAACCGAATACAATTCCACCCAGCAACTTTTAGAAAAATACGGAGGCGAACCCCCTAAGCGAACCCGATCGAGAGGCGGCGACGAGAAGCGCAAGTCAGAATCAAAGCGTAAACCCTCCACAGCTCAACAACAGCAACAACCGCCAGTACGGCGAACTGGCCTTCCTCCTCCCCCAACAGCGAATATCCGCCGTCCCACTCCCGTGCAGTCGCCTGTCGCTCCCTCTCCCGATTTCCATTCGCCTCCTTCTCCATATCCACCTCAGCCCCAGCTACAACAACCGCCTGTTTCCCCTCCACCTCCTGCATTCGATGAGCCGGGTTTCGCACCCAATGCGTTCGCAAGTGCGCCGCAATATGTCGAGCATTCGCACTGGTACGACCGTCTCCTAGACGTCCTCCTTGGTGAAGATGAAACGCAGCCGAAGAATAGGATTGCCTTGATCTGTAGCTCCTGTCGGCTTGTCAACGGTCAAGCGCCTCCAGGAATCAAATCGTTGGAAGAACTCGGTCACTGGCGCTGTGGGATCTGTGGTGCGTGGAACGGAGTTGAAAGCGAGGCGAAGAAGGTTCTCTCCGACATCCGGAGCGAGCGACAAGTGGCGGATGAAACATGGGAGCCCGTCTCGAAGGCAGAGGCGGAGAACCACTCCTCGGTCGGCGATGCCACTGGTGACGGCGTCATAGTAGCCACTAGTGAAGATGACCAGGTTGACTCCCACGACTCAGATGCCGACACGGCAGACAAGGAGCAAAAGCAAGACCAAGACCCAGACCAAGAGCAAAATCAAGAAACGCCGGTCGAGGAAGAGCAGCCAGTACCCGAACCGAAGGGAAGGCCAGTTCGGAGGAGTAACAGAAAGAAAGCATAAACATTGGCGTTCTGTATACATAGTTTACTTAGCACATCTCGGGTGGGGTTTTGTTTTTTCTTTATAGTGCATATTCTTACTGCGTTCAATGTATCCCACAACGGAGTTCAGTATTTGTTTCAAGCACATCATCCATATGTCTATCTAACTGAAGACTCAATCCAAGGCTTGCTAAAGAAAAAGGAAAACACAATGTCCCAAGCATACATGCATCAGTGTTCATGATCATTATAAGTAGACATGACAGTTGTCGTCACATTATTATCGCATCATTCACTTTCACCAACCATCACACACCCAACACATGGTATCACTTCAAGGCAGCACCAGTTAGCCATCTATTCAGTAAGCTAGTCAGTTGGTTACCCCCGGCCTGACTGACTGGTTGGCAGTTCAAATAGCCTCCTGACGATGCTGCAGTAATTCGATCGTCTCATAAGCAGCCCTCACCTCAGCCTCCTCGCCACACAGACAGCCCTCCACAAGAATAATCTGAACACTGTTCATAGTAACCGTGCACTGGTATGTGGCACCGCCTTTCTCATCCGGGACGCGCTTAAGAGCAAACATCGCGTCCCCCTTCGACAGTCGCTGCGCGATACTCCTCGGGTGAGTCACGTTAACACCCTCTAATAGAACCCGTTTAACATAAGCCAGCAGTCCTATACGTTCGATAAAGCGTTCGCAGGCGGAGAGATCCCCGCCCGAGTCGACAAAAATGGCTCCTAGAACGCTCTCGACGATGTCCGAGAAGAATTTATCCGCGTAGAGCTGCGAGAGCGGTTGCCAGGGATAATTGGGGGCGTTGTAGAGGGAGGAAAGTATCGTGTTTCGGAGTGCGCTGTGGCGCTTTAGAGCCGCTTCGCGCGAGGTCTGGAGGTCGAGGCTGTTGAATCTCATGAAGCCCCACAGCTCGACGGACTCTGTTTCCGACTTGATGGCAAATCGGCCGTCGGGGGTCTGTTCGACCTTGGTGTTTCTTTGCCCGATGGAAAATTCCATGCAGAAGAATGCGAGCAGGTTCGCGTTTACTACAGCATGTTTGATCAGGGTCATCTCTCCTGGCGAGATCTTGTTGGAGTATTGGAAGATTATGGGTACGATGACCATGTCCAGGATGGCATCGCCGAGGAATTCAAGTCTTTGGTAGGACTGGGTCGATTGGTCATGCTGGCAGGAAGGGTGGGTGAGAGCCTCGATCAAGATCTCCTTGTTCTTGAACCTGTACCCGAGATATTTCTGCAAGTTATTGTCTATGACGTGGTGCACAGTCTGGGGTTCGGCGTCCGAGCTTGCAGTCATGGCTGCAATGTCCAGGGGCTGTCTGTTAACTTCTGGAAGGAAACAATGCATGCAGGCCTGAGCTTTGGCATGACCTCCATCTAGATAGGCGGCACCGATAAGTGCCTCGACTACGTCCGCCAACACTTTGCTCGACATCTGCCTCTTAGAGGGGGCAGCTGTCAGCCTTGTTGAGATTAAAGGCGCAGTCCATCTACGAGGAGTGAGCACTTTGCTCACGATGAAAGCATCCAATCCAACGTCAAGAGCAGCCCGAGTCAGACGTGGGTTTTGAACAATGGCGGTGCGACCTTCGGTAAGGAAGCCCTCGGGCCAGTTAAAGTTCTCGAAGAAAAGCTGGCATGAGACGGTGAATTTCAGGATCGAGTCCCCGAGAAATTCATAGCGCTGATAGTTTGTTTCACCTTGTGCCGATGGTGCCGTGATCGCTGTGACGACATGTTGAATATTCCTGAACCCGACATCACACAGAATGGTTGCAGACAGTCTAGTTGCGAGTAATGTACTCTCAAGTCGGTCGACAATAAGCGGAATGAACAAACCAAACATGGCTACGGAAACTGGAAACTTGGAGATAATGCACCTATCTGCTGCGACCATATGTACCTTAGCAGCCACTGCTTCCGTTTCGACGGTAGCATCACACTGCCCGTTCTCTAAAGTCAGGGGGTGCAAAAAGTTTCTCCGACGTGGAATGGGGCCACATTCCAATTCAACCGGACCGGCTTTGGACACAATCCACTTCTGACAAAAGAATGGCGCATTGTAGCGCGAAAGGTCCCGGACTATTCCCATCGCAGCAGGCATAACGCCCTTTGAGTACACCTCCAAGCCAGGTTCGTGTCCTGCGTTCAAAATGAGCCAATCCGCCAGCTCGGTACTCGGTAGATCGGGTCCAAAGAGAGTCACGAAGTCGTGTTGGTCCGGCAATTGTCGGCTTCTGGGTGCTTGAAGGTAAAGCGCGGTGATGGCCCTCATGTTTTTCACGCAGTCGGCGGCCATTGTCGGGATCCGCTCTGGAACATCAAATGACAACGTAAGAGTGGTTTCGCGGTCCCAGAAAAGAGTCATTGGGGCTAGCGGGGGCAAGAATGTCGGCGCGATCATTTTCATACATAGTCCATCCGTTGGGTGTCCATTGCTCTCCAGTCCTATGCGCATCTGATGGATGTCTGGACAGTCCCATGAACATGCCCACTCTGCCCAGGGGTCGTGCTGCTCAGATACCTCTACGACGGAAGGCAAAGTGCTGACGTCGTTAGGCTTGAACTCGGGGTTATTCGTTAATGGCAGAAGATGGTTGTTCAACAGGCCAAATTCATACAAGGCCCTGTATGCTTGAAAAGCGGATTCTTTTACCGCTGCGCGCTCTGTCTTCCACCAAAGCTTTCCCTCAATGCGACGAACCTTCGGGTGTACGCAACTAGGCAGAATGACCGTGCCTTTGATAAGGCCTAATTTGTCCTTCTCGAATGAGAACTCTGGCCTATTATCAACATACCGTTCCTCAGGAAGCACGGCGCAGAAATGATATAAATGTGAGACGACAGAATCTGGCGTTATGACGGCACTATCAAGTGTTAAGACGAGGATCACAAGAGCGCAGAAAACCACTTACCCGGTGGCCTCGACAATAATTCTCTCCGGGATGTTTTCATCCATGTCTATGTCTTCCTGGGCTTGTGCCTCCCGGATGTGTCTTTCTTCGTCTTGATAGGCTTTGACCATTGCTTGCTCCAGCATCTGCCATTTGGGCAAATCACAGTTCTCATCCGCAGTGGAGAACATGATAGCGTATGTTGACTTCCTCTGTCGTGCCCGACCACGCCGCTGCACGTAAGACTTTAAGTTCGCCGGTTTGTCAAAGCAAACAACGACACTACAAGCTGTGACATCAATGCCTTCTTCCAAGACACTGGTCGTGACGATCAAGTTTTTGCGCCCGCTTCGGAAGTCGTTTAGCGTCCCTCTTTGCTTTTTCGGATTGTGCCACTCGCCCACCATGTCTTGGCGACCGTTATTCCCTGCCATGCCGACGTAAGCTGCGCATCGGAAACGGTTCTTTGTTTGAGGATGAAAGGAGAGCAACTGGGCCAGAACGCTCACGGTGACCCTTTGTTGCACAAAGATCAGTCCTGAAAACTCGGGGTCATTGAACTTGGCCAGAAACTTGATCAATACTTCGAGCTTTGGCGACATAGGGAAGTCGTCAACGTCTGCGAGTTTCGCCTGGACCTCACGTATTGGTATCCTCGACAGGAAGTTCGAAAGGAAGACTCTCTCCTCGTCTTCCCATTCCAGCGTCAAAGACCTATCACTAATAGCAGTGCGCAGCTGCTCTATAGACGTGCAGATGTAGTAGTCTGCTGCCCACTCTCCCAGTTCCTCGAAGATGTGTCGGCTACGAGTCACGAAGCGTTCTATTTGTTCGTTGCAGATTGACTTTCGCCTCATGAGCGTTTTTAGCCCTCCGTTTGTGTGACAATTACTGCCACTGTAGAGTATAGCATCCGGATCGCCATCACCGTCAATCGATTCCCAGGCGTGAAGGAGGGCCTGCAACGCCCTGCTGCCAGACGTCATGTCTATGTCTATGGGGTTATATACTAGTTTCAGTAACTCAGGTCGATGAGTATACATGGTGAGTTCTTGTTTATAGACTTGGGGAGTTTTGCAAACGGAGTCGAGGTTCGACTCCAGGGTTCTGACGACTTAGTTGAGCGGTCACAATGAGAATGATGGAAAAGTGAAGTTCCTCACCTCAAATCCTGACTTTTTGACCTGACAACCGGGCTAGCGGTCAGACCCAAAATGCGAGGGACGCTATCTCCACCGTGCTCCTTCATCGTGGGATGATAAAAATCAAACATAATCATGTTAGCCGGATGTCGTCGCATGCAATGATGAGCTAGACCGAACGAACCCCAAGCATCAGCAAGTCCGCCCTTCACGTCAGTCAGACCAGAAAAGCAGAACAAACCTTCGTCAAATATGAGAAGACCAAGCTGGGACATCCTGACGAACCCATGCGTCAACGCCTCGAACAGCACAGCATGAGTCGAGACCACCACGTGCTTGTCTTTCAACAGTGCGTCCCAGATATCCTGGCTTTTCCACCTCTCAACCTTGTCCAGCCCTGTGATCGTACAAGCTTTCACGGCTGGAAGATGGCTCCGGATCACCTCATACTGCTGAAGACACAGAGCCACAGTCGGAGTCAAAAACCACGTCAACTAAAACGAAACCAACAATCAGTCCATGTATTATTACCATCAAACCTTCTATACAAATAGTAAACCAAAGAAAGAAAGAAAGGAAAAACTCACCTTGCAAGACCCGCCCTCCAATTCATACGCAATCCGTAACAACGCCCTAGAATCGGACCCCAAACAAGCCCAATTAACTTCAGTCCCCCACATAAATAACAGCGACAAGTATCAGAAAACCAAAGCCAAGCAATGAACCCAACACCCAAAAACAAAAACCACGGAACAAAGAAAAGAGAAGACAAGAAGATAGAAATAGTAATAAACATACACCTGCGTCTTCCCCGTACCCGTATCCATCTACTCCACGTATTCAGTATCAGCATGCAATACATAGGGTATGTATCCACATCCCCATGACAGGGGTGAATGAATAAATGGCAAACATACCGCCACGATAATATTCTGCTTCAGACTAGCCTCGAACATCTCATATTGGTATCCTCTCGGTCGATAATATAGATCATTTTTACTTTGGAGTTTCTGGTCATTCTTAAGCGTCATGGTGGCTGCGGGATGATAGTGACACCGATGGTGATAGTGATAGTAATAGTGTTAGGCAGAGCCAGAGTTCGAAAGGGGAGCTGGTATGGAACGAGAACGTGCACTAAAGCAAGCATGAGAAGAACTGTACGTAGCTATAATAGAATACCCAGAGTAAGGTAGAGGACTATCGGTGTGAATGTAAAGGAATCAAGGGATAAGGAAAAGGGTATGTTTATGTTAATGGTTGGGGGGTGTTGAAAGAGTCTGTAAACAATAGAGAAGATGTGGGAGGAGGAGTAGTAGTAGTAGTAGTATGTGGGGTAAAGGTCTTATCTTTCTGGTTAGGGACCGCGGACTGGTTGGCTCTTGGACAGGGGGTTATTTGGACCGTACACCCTGTTCTAGGCTCCTACTGTATTTCTATTGCATAGAGTTAGCCTTGTCTGGTGGAGGACCATAATAATATGTCTATTATAGATAGTCAGGCTCGAGTAGAGGGTGGGTTTCAAAATAGGCGTGTTTTCTTTTCGAACTTTCTACGTTTTCTCCTGGCTTGAGTTGATAACTTGTACGATTGTTGAATAGTACACATACAAACCTATAATGTTAACGTTTGGAACAGAAGACACTGGTAGAGAAAAAGGAAGCAAAGGAAGCAACACCTTCAGTCCAATTGGCCAGTTAAGTGTATTTATGGGTTCAATCAATTCCCCCCGAGAAAAAGATGAAAATAAAAAGAGGATTAATGACGGGGCGTGTTCCCATCGGACTGAGCGTTTTAAATCCAGGCACAACGCAGAACACCGTGCCTTCCAAAGCATCAAATGAAGAAAACGTTGCAGCATCACGCCATACACCCAAGCATAAAAAGCGGGAGAATACAAAGAGAATGGTAGATAAAAGCAGAAATAAAGTCATACCACAAGGATGACACACCGTCCAAAGAAGCGATAACACCGGTATCTGGATGTAGAATAGGGTTTAGAGCTTTGAAAAAGGACAAGGGCTAAATGGGGTCATGAAACCATGGGGAGCCCATGACTAGGTTGCTCCGCCTTGGTCACATCCGAGTCAGCTTGGGTCTCATCATTACGCGTGCGGCGACCCGGAAAGTTATTGCCAAGGTAATTGGCCTCTTCATTGGGGTGCTTGCGCATCCCTAAGCCTGCGACAGCTATCCGATTCAATGAGTTCATGTCGTCGTTAACCGCGGCACCCTGGGCGGGCCCTTGCGGTTGCTGGGCGCCTGAAGGTGGCGCTGCCGCCGATGAAGACGCCGTGGCAGGCCCAGCACCGGGTTGCGGGATATTCAAGTCGGTCCGGGGCTGGCTCAGATCAATGTTTCCTGGTAGCTCGGGCACCTCGCCCTGGGATTCCAGAAGTCGTGACTGGAGATTGATGATGTACTCGCGGAGTTGATAATTCTCCGCTTGTAACCCCTTGAAGGCATCTGACATGGTATCAAATTCCTTCACCTGCTCCTCCAATTTGCGAATATAACTTTCTTTGCGCTGGCGGAATGCTCGCTATCTACCAGTCAGCAAGCTTCCCGCGGAATTGGCCGATCTCCAACGTACCTGTGCAGCACGGTTCTGAGCGGCACGCTTAGAGGTCGACAACGGTCGCTTGCCGTACGTCTTCGGACTCTCCGGGCCCGTGGGCTCCGGCTGTGGCGGCGTCTGTGGCGGACCGCTGAGCATCGCAGCTCCCGAAATGGCCGGATCGATGTTGTTCTGGTCGCGGGGGCTTGTCGCATTGGGCTGCATATGCGGTGGCTGCGCGGTGGAGGCCTGTGGACGCGTTTGCTGCGGATGTGATAGGTGCTGATGGGCCGCTAGGAGTTGATCATGGAGGACTATATTCAGACAACCATCTTTGCGTTAGCATTTCCCTCGTATATCCTAGAGAAGGAGAGCCAATCGAGGCGAGTCGAAGCTACAAGTGCAGGGTAAATATGACTTCATAGCACGCGGTAGCTGGACGTCATCCTCCGATTTCTTTGTTGTTTTCAGGCTGTTCCTTCTCCTTCCTCTACGATCGACGTAATGCGACACTTACCCTGGTCCGCATGGTCCTATAGATGCAATTAGCGCGTGTGACGATTTACAAGCTATTCACAGTGCACTGGAAGAAACGCGACCGCGGAGGAGAAGCCGTCGTGGCGACAGCTAGGATGATGCCGGGTCGGTCCCCGCGAGCGGAAAAGCGCGATACCAGCACCGAAAGACATCGTGAGACAGAGCTCCAGTCCCGTTGCGTCTCTCGGATGGGTGTGGTGGGCAATGGGGTAACAATGATCTGATGACAAACCGCAGGCTGCTTACCTGAGCAGATGTTTGCATGCTTGGATGCGGCGCTGGGGCTAATGTAGGCTGCATGGAGAGTATGGAGGTTCAAACACGAAGACGCGCCCGAGAGGATCCGCAACACCGACGTCAACTCGAATCCAGCAAAGAGGAAGTCAGGTAATTGAGCCTGAACCAACGACCGTTCCCCGAGGAAAACAGGTGAAGTTGTAGAGGAATTGGAATGAGAGACGCGCGATGAGGTAAGCAGCAGAAGTACAGTAGTTTGGTTTGGTTTAATTTAGGAGTGTTAGGTAAGGCGATGATGAATCAGCCTAGACTATCAAAGTAACGTTAGTTAGTTTAGTTTTTGCTGACTGATTATGGTGATGTCGTAAGCAGGGAAGGGTGAATTCTCACGTTGACTAAGGAAAAAAGGGGAGGAGAAAAGAGGAGTCTGAGGCGATTAGTTAAAAGATCAGTCAGACGCTTCGTGACGTGGGACAAAGAGGAAAAAAGTGGGGGCCAGAGCGGAAACCTGAGGCAGGAGGCCATCACCAAACCACAACAACAGCGCGTTATTCGGATTCGGTCACCGACCCCCAAGGTCTAGGTATATTGCATTATATTTGGGATATTCTCCCATTTCATGACTGATTGTCTACAGATCTACTCATGGCTCATTCGTATTGTCTATTGATACACCAATTGACGCAGTTTATCCTACGTAACATATTCAATAACTCCGAGTCATCGATCAGTAGATGGACAGGTAGACATGACGGCCAAGGCATCAATCAACACCCCCGCTTTGAATCCTTCTGCTGACTGATCCGACTCATGCTGACTCATTCTTCCGGCGCTTCCGCACGCTTGGTCACGGGAAAGCTCTGTCCTCCATCAATTCACCAGAGCTTTGAAACAACCTTCACGATAATTCCGAATACTCGGTTTATCGAACCGCTAATCAATTAGTTAATTTTTCACAGTAGGAACTTCCCCATAGCAGTACTCAAAAGGACACGGGTATCATTTAACACAAGGTACAGAACGCTGTAGACATGTATGCATCCGCGGAAATATATACCTCTACATCATCAACCCTACAGCACTTGATTCCGCGCACGATCCTCCAAACACTGGGGTATATTTCCCTACAAGTTGTTAAACAAGATAACTCCGAGACGCTTGACGAAAATTAGGCTCTCGGAGATGTGGCTAATGCGCTTACACCTATAGACGATATTTGTCCAGCTGTTGACCGGAGAAGCATGGTCGTCACCGCCTTTGGGCTTCTATCGCATGATTCTGCCTATGCTTGCACATTTAGGCAGGCGGAAGGCGAGATAACTAACGCGACTAGATGTATCGAGCAGGCTAGACCTTCCAGCTACATATGTACATGCCTACTCGCCATGGTTTCATCCAACTGGTCGAAAATGCCTCGAAAAGCATTATACTTCAGCAATAACTACGCTGTGCTGGAGTTCAGTGAGAACTATTTTTGCCAGACCATACACAATTTCGAGTGTTCCTGCACTTGCCTGTCATCGCTTTATCGTCACTGTACATGTGAGCGGGATGGTCAATTCACAATATTGGGTATCAATTGAATTCGACATATGCGTAGAGGAAAGAAAGAAACAATTATCATGTGAAGGCGGCCATTTCATACTGTCGCATACACCATACATTTGGGTCTTAGGGGTAGGATTCCTGTCAAGGGCTTAATGAGTGAATGAAGCATGTGATATAACGGAAGCAACGCTGACCAAGATGCAATTATAGACAATAAACATAGTACCGGATGGAACTGGATAAATGATTGGATATTATTGGCCAATTCATAGGTTTAATATCATCACAAGAGCATCCCTATGATGACTATCACATGCATAGTGTCAAATATCTCCCACCAACCATCGGACTAATAACATGACCAATTATAATGGATTCACTTCGATGCGTCGACCCGGAGGGGCGGAACAAATATTAAATCTACTATCGGGCGTAATGGAAGGACTTTTGGAGGCTGAAGATGGATCCTGGAGTTTATGCTCAACAGTTGAAGTATAATATCTACCAAGCAATGGTATTAGCTTCTATCGGCCCACAAACAAAGGGACCATCAACTTAAGAACCTTGAAGTAAACTAGCTTCCTGAAACAGATAATACCCCGGCCTCGAGTTAATGGACCGTGGTGCTCTTGGTGGCACTTTCATAATGTGTGGATCTTGGTTGCTGACCCACCTATAACCTTGGTTTAAATTCTGTCCCAGGGAATCGGGAGCCGGGACAATGTAGTCTGGATCCATTGTGGATTATGGTAGTACTGAGTTAACCTAAAAAAAAAGAAATTGAAATGGTGATGACGGAGAGCTCTATCTTTTGCCCAATTTTGGGAAATTTCATGTGAGATTTGCTTCGAGCTACACTTCTGTCTTATTATGATGCGATATCAACGTGGGAAGAAAAGCAATATGAGAGCCTTGGGCTGCTAGCTGTAGATCAGACCTTTGGTGTAGAGTAGTCAATGGTAAGTGTGATTCTTCCATACCATCTTGCTTTCTTGTCCAAGCATAGTTCCACTATTGAGACCTTTCATTCACATGTTAGAAATATATTGACCTATGACTCTACAAGATGATATCAAGTTGGCTGATCAGGATTTACCCAATAGAAAGAAAGGCTGTGACATGGGACTTCAAGAACAAGGAACTTTATGTTTTATACACCGACTTCTATTACTAAACAAAGAATGAGGGACATTATCATGTTATTGATCTGGTGAGTTGAACGCCTGATGGGTGTCATAAAGCCTTTTTCCGTATCTTTCAAGTATTTAGAGTATATTACCTCGCGGTGAAGAGACTTAAAAGTACCTTGCAATTTTTGGGAAGGGTTCAAGTCTGATGTGGTGATACCTTGGAAAGGACTGGAAAGTCGTGTACCGACTGAGAAGCAAGATGTATGTCCAAGCGCACTGCTCAGGCTGTAGCTGAATCAAGGGGACAAGGCTTTCGGCTACTTAAAGCTGACAGATATCCAGGATTGGAAGAGTCAAAACACTGTACTGCACAGAGGGTTTAGCGGTGTAATATCGATTTTCGTCCATATCATCAAAGTCCAAGCTCTTATAAAAAGGTCTCTCTCCATGGATCGACTATATGACCTCCCAAGCAACTTCGATTATATATATGGGATAATCTGTTGCCCCCATAGACCTTGGAGACTAGGCTCACGGAAAAGTGGTCCTTAGAGCATCGGACGATATGAAGAGAACTTCAAAGCATCGCAAACATATGCAATATATAGTCAATAGGCCCCATGTAGTAGGCTTCGTGGCGCACATGCGCTGCTTCTAGTCACCTTAAGATTTTGAGGGTGCAGCAGGTCAAGACAGAGACCAGTGTTGAATGGTGTTTCGAGACGCTTTCCTGTCTTGAACTTCTGCGTTCCTAACATCGTCAAAAAAGGTAGCTAGTTAAGAGACACGAAGCTCTCTATTATAACCACACTGGACTGAGTCGCTTAGTATATAGATACATCAAAGATATTTGAGAGGATAAGACAGGACTGACGGTAAATTGACAGCCTTGTCCCGTAGGTACGAGGCTGAGAGCACACTTTAGCTAATAAGCTACTCAATCGTCTCCCTATCCTCTGTCCTCTCGGTATGATCACTGAAGAGTCCATACACCGGAAGGTTGCCGTATGGGGTGCCAAAGTTCATGTCCAATGCTACAAGCATGTAGATAATTACCTGACATCGTCCCTTTTCTAGTTCATAAGGAGCCTTAACATCGTACGGGGGTTGTGGGTTTTACCCATATAAGATATATCATCTTGATTTCGGAGTGCTATATCACTGCGACAAGGAAGTGTCTTGAGGATTCCGTGCTTTGGACTGGAGCTTCTGTGACGTATAGACCAACGGGTCCGCAAAACCACCATCGCTTGAAGTTCAACGAAAGCGTTTGCGATGGTGGTGCCTAGTAGATGTGCGACACCATGGTCGGGTATAGTCCCCTTGTATAATCAGGTTGACCTCGGAGTAAAAAAGGGGTATATAAACGCATATAAAAAGGACGCAGAGAGGGTCAAGTCCTCATATAGGGGAACCATCCTTGGTTGTAGCCTGCGTCAATAGCATCTTGCACGGGGTCAACGAGCAAGGGAGGAAAGAGCTTTAGGATAGACTCAATATAGAAGAAATATTGATTGTATCGAGTTGCTTGAAGACGTGGACAGAATGTAGGAGTAAAAGGGCCCTTATATATCTGAGGCCGTTCAAAGGCTTGCAAGACGCTGCCAGAGAGTTCATGGAAGTGACCGCTCAAAACAGTGAAGTGATGGAAACATCACGTGGACTAATTGCATGCAGACTGTTATTTGTTGCCGAATGCGGAATAACTTTTTACAGTGAGGGATTTGGTGAGAAGCTTTCCAATCAATCAGCGGAATGTATCTTTTCATCTCCTCGGTTTATTGTGCCAGTTATATCTCTGACAGTGAATATGTTTAGTTGCAGGCAGTAAAGGTATGTATATACAATGTATGGTATCACCAGATCGACAAAGCTAGGTAAGTGCTTTCACTACATTATAACAAATCAATACAAGTATAAACCAGAGCTTACTGAGCCTCCGCAGGAGGATAGTCAACATAGCCCACAGCATTGTCCTCAAACGGTCCGTAGAACCTGCTACGTTCGTAAGCGTTAAAGGGAATGCCTTTCTTCAACCTCTGCACAAGGTCCGGGTTACTGGCGAAGTACCGGCCATACAACAAAGCATCATAGCGTCCTTCTTCTAGGACTCCCCAGGAGTTTGTCTGGTCCCAGCCACCGGCCGAGAAGAAAGGGGTATCACCGAAGATTTTGCGGAAGCTGGTCAGATCCACATCCAGGAGACCCCAGCTGCTCAGGAACTTATCCTTTTCTTCGTAACTGAAGATTTGTTCGTAGCGCTATGCCTGTTAGCAGAAGTAAAACAAGGAGGAGGGTATGGAGCTCACAGGTTCAATGAAGCTGACATAGGACAAGTTGGGGTGCGTCCGCTTCAATGACTGGCAAAGGAAGGTCCAGGTTTCCACACGCTGCTCGCCACGGGCTTGGTTGAACAGGCCGAATGGCGACAGACGGATAGACAAGTTCTCTTCACCCACCGTCTTCGCCAGCTCCTCCATCAATTCCAGTACGAACTTGCATCGCTTTTGTGGCGACCCACCGTATTCATCCGTGCGCTTGTTAATGTTCGAGCTCAAAAATTGTTCCGGGAGGTATCCATTTCCACTGTGTAGCTCGACGCCATCGAACCCAATCTTCATGGCCGTCTTGGCGGCTTTGCAATAGTCCTGAATGGTCTGCTTGATATGTGGGACGGTCAATTCGATTGGCGGGTGGTCGGCATAGAGGACAGGGTCTGTCGATCCCACGGGGGGATGCGAATAACACTCCGTCGGCGAGTCCCAGACCGTAGCAGAGGCGGAGACAGCTGGAGACCCGGTCATTTGAGGGATGGTAGCACGGCCAGCGTGCCAAAGTTGAGCAAAGATGTAGCCCCCTTGGGCGTGGACCGCATCAACCACTCTTTTCCAGCCGGTGGCTTGCTCCTCGGTGAACAGACCGGGGACACCCGGCATTCCATTACTCTAGATCGACAGGGAAATTGGTTACTATAATTATTCCATCACTCCCCTGGGTCTCTAACTATAGAGCGGGGGAGGTGTAGCCGGGCTTTTTTACTAAGAGCCTACCTCGAGTGAAGGCGGAATGCCTTCCGAAATGATCAGCCCGCCGGGAGTTGTGCGCTGTTGATAATACTCAACCATCAGATCTCCTGGATACCAGATACGATTGGGACTCTCAGGGGTACTGGTGGCGTTCAAGGGGACGCCTCGGTTGCGGGTCATTGGCGCATGAACTACACGATGGCTGAGCTTGATTTTGCCGTTGCTGATGTCCAGCGACTGGAATAGCTTGGAGCTTTCGCCCTCAAGCTTGCGAATCGTCATAGTGGGGCGCCGAGGCTTTCGGAAAAGAAATAAGAAGATCAACGAGCTGAAAGTTTGGTAGCAATTAATTATTAGAGGCGTATAGATATGGTTTGGATCCCAGTCCAAAAAGGAAGGAAAATGAGGAAAAGTGGAAGACAGAGTGCGACCCAAAGTTGAGCCACGACCGGTACTTATTACTAGCCTTTTTGGTTGGTGATCGATAGGAAATATCTCCGCCCCCTCGTACTCACCGTCGATCGTGCCTCCTTTTCTTCTTTTCTAATAGCCCATTACCGAACTGGGTTGACATATGGAGCCGGATCATGATTGGAACTCCAATGAGCGGCGCTGGAACTATGGGCCGCGGGTTGAACCTTTAGAGACGAAGAAACTTCCACGGCCAGAACTGTACTACCATAGGCCTCCATGTTAGAGATAGGGTCGTCTGAGATCCAATCATGTTCCTCATGTCTCGTCCAGGTGATGCCCCGAATCATACACTGTTTCAATGCCATGTCTGTGGTGGAACAACAAGAACCGAGGGATCATTAAGGGATTGGACGGCACGGATTCCACACGTAATAGAAAAGCCGAAATTAGTCATAGTTAGAACAAAGGAAACAAGAAAATTAAGGACAGAAAAGCAAAATTAAAAAAATTTTCTGTCATTCCCGTTCTCCACCTACGCGAGATTCGTTAGACGAAGTGCCTTTAGTGCTGGTTCATTAGGGTTACAAATTACAATCTCACGCCACGGGTCGGCTTCATTCCACAGCTCCAGATTTACCTGCAAAATGTTTCCGAACTTCCCCTTATGAGTCCTTGGAACTTGAACAACGTTTGTTGTGTCAGCCGTCGATCCCTCAACCCAATTCCGCGGATCAAGTTTTTCTTTTTCGCATAGTTCAGGCTACTATGGAAGGATTCCGAATAGTGCCGGGTATAGTACTTTAAGCTACGCATGCAAGTTAATGCATGATTCGCCTAGTTGAACTTGTGGCGTGTGCGCCGTCTGGAAATTTTAATATCCTGACTGGACCACTTAACACAATTACTGATTATATATCATCGGGAACGAGTAGATGCTAAACCCCAAGTAGATAAAAAGGAGAAAGCCGAGGGCCCATTTAAATTCATCACATGGAATTCTAGGTCCACTTGGTGTTGGGCTCGACCCGGACTGCTGGTGACATAGTGACAGCAATAGCATCGACGTAAAGCGATAGACGCTCCACCTTGCCCATTTCTTGCCTAAATCATAGAAAGGTCTACGAATAGTTTACTCGCGATTCATACTCGAAGGAGATCACTGAAACGACACCGTGGTTAGGTGGCGTCTATCCTTTCCTCTTCAAAAGCCCAATGACCGTCCGTTGGCCACTTCCGGGGAATTCAATGCACCTATTGTACATCCTCATTTTGCCTCCAGCGGCCCAAGCCCAACTAGGTTTTTCTATCATGTATCCATGATCGCGGTGGCGGGTCTTAACCACACTTTAACCGTCAATTTTCGGAAATTCACAGGCACCTTCCGACAGGCAACTCCATCTGCTTTGACGGCTACAGTGGCCTATGAGAAGGGAATATTTCATTGAGGAGAACGGGGACACGATCGATGGAGACGCTGGTCGGTCTTGGGTAAGGGTCTTCGATATATTGTGGACTCGCCCCCCTTGAATCCTTCGATTCTATTTTTTTTTTTTTGTTCTATTAGAGCCTCTGGAAGTGGCATCATGCTGCATTGTGGGAATCAACAATGACAAACAATCATCCTACGTCTTCATTAAATACTATAAATCTCGTCACACAATGTCTGTGCATTCCTATCGTTACTATTTTCGTGGCGACACGGTTCGCCATTCGGTGTTGGTATAAGCAGTTTGTCGTAGTGGAAGATAGTATGTTTGAACTTCAATCAAGAGGCAATTCGTGGTTACTGACTTGAGCCTAGCTTTCTGCTTACTAGCATGGGTAGGTACCTCGACATACCGCAGGAGAAGCGTCGATTAACCATCCGCAGATTCTGTTCATGGTATATTGCGCTATTGCCATTATTAGTAAGTCCACATCCCATTGATGCGCCGTAACTCTCTATACTAACTAATCCGCCAGTCGGCCAATATGGAGGAGGTATTCACTATACAGAAGTGCCACCCGAATGGGAGGTTCCCTTCAAAAAGGTATTCCACAGCGCAATTATGAAGCGGCACTCTCCGATACTAAGCTGACTCCATTAGTTCTGCTACATCGCGACAGTCTTCTACTGCCCCATGATCCTCTTCGTGAAATACGCCCTCCTTTCCATCTTGATCCGGATCTTCGCGCCATACCGAGCCCGAATCATGTTCATCTACGGACTCCTCGGATGCCTCACCATCTACTACATTATCGCTGAAATTGTTAAAATTCGCATGTGTGACCCTGTCCCAGCATACTGGACAGGGCAGCCAGCCTCATGTCTCGATCAACGAGCCGCCCTGATTGCCGACTCTGTCATCAGCGCCGTCACCGACGCCATTATCCTCGTCCTCCCGCTTCCGTTAACCTGGTCGCTACAGATGTCACGGAGCAAAAAGATGCGGGTGATCGGCATGTTATCTGCAGGAGGCTTAGCCACTGCATTTAGTATCTACCGACTGATCCTGGTTCTACGAGACGGTAGTTCCCCCAATATGACCGTGATGTTCACCTGCGTGATTCTTTCTGGGTACGTCTAAATCCCGGTTTACAAATAAGCACACTATCCAAAGACGACAAAAGACTAACGTTTCAACCAGTAACGCCGAAGGAGGCGTCGGCCTCATCTGCGCCTGTCTCCCCACCATGAACATCGTGATCAACAAGATCCGCCAAGCCGGCTACAGCTACGGTTCAAACAAATACAACCAAAACGAGTCCTCGATGCACCTCAGCAAAATGAAAGGCGCCAGCAGCAAGGGGTTCTCTGCCATCGGATCGCGAACCGAGCCTGAGTTCGGATCCGATCAAAGCCATCTGATCACGTACGCGGGAACAGTGGACGTCGGATCTGCCGGCGACGGTGGAATCCATAAAACAATCGATGTGTCGCAGACTGTGGAGGTTCTTGGAAACGAGCCTGCGCAGCGGAGTCAGTTCTAACGATGTTTTCGACTCTTATTACCTTTTTTTTTTTTTTTTTTTTTTTTTTTTTTTTTTTATAATAGATATCCGGTAGGTTTAGTAAGGCTTTTCTCTAAACATTTTCCCTACGCCCTATCCCCTGTTTTCTTTTACTTTTCTTTTGTGGAGCTTGATTCTATTGGGTTATACAGGTCTGAAGCTTGGTTCTTGATTGTTGTTCTAGAAGACTCACGATGTCATTTTGGATGTATCTAATGTATATCAACACATTATCAGATAGAGTTATGGTTACGACATCTCGTATGCATGTCAAGATCCATTGCTACGAAGGATGAATTATTTTTTCCCTTAAAACCAAACACCCCTCAATCTATAAGATCGCCTCATCCGAACCACATGACCTCGTCATAGCCCTGCAAAAAGTAAAACAACTATACATGTAAAGATTGATCTAGCGATGAAGATCATCACTAGTGGAGTTCTTTCTGCATACAACCTACACCAACGGCCATGTGGCAATATCCCGAAGGATTTGTCAAGGTTTTATATTAAAGGTATTAAAAATTAATATGTGGGCAATATACAGGCGGCTTGGGCCCCCACTCGCGGGCGAGGCGAGCGGAGAAAATCGGCGTTGTCAACTCCAGGGGAAGAATTCCGCGCATAGACTGCCTTATTTAATCTACTATACTATCGTATGGAGTAACGTATTTCCCGGGTCATCCGGCCACCCGGGCCACCCGGCCACCCAGCCGCCTTCTAAAATTGAAGCCATACAAAACACCATTTAATTGTATTGCTATAGAATAATGAGTAGTTCTACTGATTCGGGCAGTTTATAATCTTATGACCCTGTACATTGCAACCAGAACACCTAGGTGGGGCGCGTCTAGGAGCTGATTCAGCTGGTAAAGCCCTATCTGCCTGTATAGCTTTATCTGTATATTCTCTACTTTCTATAAGCGCCCTTGCTTCCTGAACTGATATACCTGACTCTATTTGAAGCTGCTTCTTAGAGTGTTTTTACTTTTTAAGCTACTTTTCATGAGTATCCTGGTATTACTTAATTTAATACTTCAAAATAGTTACCTTAGCTAGAGCCTGTTCAGCACCTTTTAAAATCTAATTTAAATTCAGTTTAACAGGCGAATCAGGACTTCTAGATTGATTTCTTAACAGCTTTTTTAACCTGGTTTCTGATTTATTCAGCTATTTTATAGTATAAGGTATTTTAGATACTAAGCTGCCTTGACTGCTTAGTCTGCTGCCTGGAGATGTGGGGATTTTAAGCTGTACAGTAATATGAGCAAGAATCTGCTCAGGATTAAAAGAAACTAATCCAGTTGCTTAAAAAGTACTGTAGATAGTGCCGCTAGTAAAGGCCTGCCTACAGGCCTTGGAATAGACTGATAAAAAATTATCTTTATTAATATAATCGATTCCACAGCGCGTTTTAGATTCAATTAATTTTCCATATACCTTTTTCTAGAGATGAAAAGCAGATAATATCAAGCAGTTAAAGCTTATAAGAAGCATGAGCAGGCATATAGATTGGTATAATATCATTCTCTAAGCAAATCTGATTAAATTAAAGTATAAGATAACTATCATGGCTATTAAGAATAAGTAGGCAATATTGTCCTATAGATTAGCCTGTAGTAGCAGGTATAAAATAATTCTGTAGCTAGTGTGATTCCATTAGCCAGCCACCTAACCACTAGGCTAAAAGCTCAGCAATTGACTACTTGAAAAGTAGTCAACCTGTTAGGTGGTATATATATAAGGTGGTCCTATCTCATACTAGGAACCACACTAGTATAGGCCAATTTCATTGCTCGTCTAACCATTAGGACTTATTTTAATCCTCCAATCTGATAAGATATCTTGATTCTTATATTAGGCCTCTATATACACTTTGCCTTTAAAAACAATATAAGGAGATAAAGTCTATCTATTAGAACTTATACATTCTATAGAGATAATCCATTCCCGGTTTCCTGGCTGTATAATAAAAGGTTTCCCTTGTATATCAGACCTAGTTACTACCTTAGCAGTAGCTACTAGGTATATTATAAATCCTGTTTTATCAAAATTATAGATATCACTTAATATAATACTATACTGCTAAATAACATCATTTACTTGCTGGAACTAGGCACGCAGAACCTTAGGATCTTTAGCTTTAGCACGCTGATAGTTATATCTGTATATAAAGCATATTTTCAGCTCAGGCCTGCGCCTAATAAAGATTAAAACCCAGTTTTTGCCAATAGTAGTAGAAGTAACAGTAGGATCACGCTTAGCAAGCAGAAGGTTAGCTATTTCTTGTACATAAGCAGGCCGAGAACTTGCTCCACGTCAATCTAGAGATATAATTTACTATACAAGCGATTCTTCTTTAGAGATACTTAATTTATGATTCTCTA